TCTCGAAGCGGAGACCCTGTTATGATGATGTTCGCGGGGCGGCACGGAAACAAAGCCGCTTCGGCCGTGCGCCTTGACAGTGGATGAGGGGATTGCTTCGAGATCGAGCTATCCATGGGGTGAGGCGGAGGTTGAGACGACCTTGATCTTTTCCCTCTTTTTTTCTTTCTTTTTATCTGTTTTTCCCCCCACTTCTCTTTTCTCTCTCTCCTTAACACATACACACGTTAATACGCATTTGGAACAGAGAAGGTTGGAAGGATGACCCTTCTCCCGGCCCCCCCCCCCCTCTCTCTCTCTCTCTCAAAAAAAAAAAAAAACCAAAAAACCAAAAAAACCAAAAAAAACCCTCCATCCGCCAAACACGGTACATTTATCAAACAAGCGTAACCTCAAAACCTGCAGACAACCGCTGTCATATCTGACAGCATGTGCTGCCCGACCCTGTAAATGACCCTGCACAAATTGCCACATGGCATGACAGCATCTCATGCGCGCCAAACAGAGAAGGGGTGGGAAGGTAAAGACGGTGTGGGCGGTTCACGACATTCCGTGAAGAACGTGTCACGGACACTCGTATGTAGGTATGCATATAAGCTTGTGTATGTGTCTCAAGGGCAACGTAGAGTAGACGGGTAGATGCGCCTGCTATGAGAGACAAGTCGCCTTGCGTCTTCCTTCATGTGTCCGTTGCTTTCCTTCTTTCCTTTTTTATTTTTTTTATTTTTTTTAATCTTTCTTCCTACGCTCTTCGGGGCCGCTGTGGACACCAGGTGAGCGATAGAGAGACGACGCGTAAAGGAACAATAATGACCACATCCTCTCCGTATTCGGAACCGAAAGCAAGTTTCTGGTGACCGAGAAAGTAACAATTCATTACGGTAGACGGCTTTCTATAGTCAAGGGTACCCCCATCGTGCCCCATCTGTCAACGGTACACTATGCCGCCAACCGTTCTCCTTACTTGCATCCCCAGGGCCAGATGCTGCAGAAGAAAGCCCCAGCCAGGATGAAGCCTGAAATACTTGAGCCCATGTTTTGTGCATTGCGTCTCTACTAAGTAATTACGTGCTAGTCGATCGTTGGGGAAAGAAAGAAAAAAAAAGGGGGCCATCTAGTGGACTGATTTACGACGGCGACGACGACGACGGCAACGACCAAGCTCATAGGTGGGGGGCTCCACGCTCACAAACGGCCGTTAACCCCCCCCTCCCCCCAAAATGAGGATACAGAGTTACGTTTGTGTAGGTGTGGGCTTGTGTTTGTGATCACAGACGTCGCTTGGACTGCAAAAGTTCGAACCAGGAAGGGCAGATGATCGGACTGACATGGCAGCGGTCAACCTTGCATGCACTGATCGTTCCTTTGCCCACACGAGATTGTACACCGAGTCCCAACTCTGAATCTGCCTCGCTATTGAGGGCGAGATGCGACTCTTATCCCCAACATCAATCACCATCTACGCCTGAGATTTTGAGATGCTCGTCATTTACTCACCCAGTACGGCAGGAAATGAGATTTCTGTGAGCCCCCTTGACACAGTATTGACCTAAAGCCATAGGAATGGAAATTCGAGTTGATCTACAGGGCCGACAGGACGGAACTGCTGGCAAACGCCGGTCAGCGCGGTGAGTCGAGATGGTAGCCGCACACCTCTCGCCCTCTTATGCTCTGCATGTGACGCCAGTCCTAACTAGGCATTGAAATTGCAACTTTTGCTTGATCACCCCTGCACCGCTCGAGATGCTCCGGTTCCCCTCTCGCCCTTGTCTCTTTCTCTCTCTCTGCTCTGTCCCTCCATCCTTCAATTTTTTTTTTTTTTTTTTTTTTTTTCACGAATGCAATCATAGCCCCTTGACTCATACCCAAGTCGAGCAGAAGCAAGATACTATACTATTCAAGTCTGGATTTCCGTCAGACATTTTGACACATATCGCAGGCCAAACAAAGGCTGCTGTCATGGAGAAGGTTACATGTTATCCCAGCCCCTAAACCCATCCGCACCATGTGGCATCAATCGCGTGCCCTAGCAGGCTCAGCAACCAGCAAAAGGAAAGGAACCAACCAGCAAATATCTGGCTAGCGTACACTTCCAACAAGTACAGTACTTCATGCGTCCCTGTTATGGCTGGAGTGGGCTCTTCCCCAACACGTCGTTACTAGCTGCCCTAAATGCTACTGCAGCACTGCTCACTGCGTCCATCATCACATCGTCCCAAGCACGATCAGGTCTGCAAAGCCTATTTGTCCGTCGTGGAATAAAGATCTTAAACCAGACAGGGGAAGACAAACGTGCGTGCAGGGTAGACAGACAGGCTCTCCACATGCAAGTATACATACTAGTTCTGCAATGGACGTCGGCGGCTATTTCAGAGGGTAGTATCCCTTAGCAACCCCACCTGATTGGGTGTGTTTTCCCTCGAGCCCCGCCTGCAGGCCCGATCTTGAAGCCATCGCGCCTATGAGAAATGTCAAAACCCTAGTCGCATATACAGAAAACCGTGGGGCGATGCTACAGTACCGTGTGTACCTCTCAAGGCTGAAAATCAATCACCTGCCCCCCTGTTCCAGGTTCAAGGCCTGTGCAACCCAAATCGACCCTCTTTACTCGCTTGCCGGGCCCAATCCCCTGCTTGCTGTCAGCACTGTAACCGGACCTCGCTCGATGGCTACTGTGACTCCACGTTGGCGTGCTGCTTTCATCTAATGTATGCAGGACGTAGAAAGAGAGGGGGGCTTGGAAGCTATCATGCACCAACCAACCGCGCCAGCCGACTGACCGCTGAGAAGCGCTGTGCATTGAGCATAGCATTGGACGCACGTTAAGTGCGCAGATTGTGTAGTATGAGAGCGAGTGAGCTCGTGAGTAGACCCTCCCAGATGACATCGTCACCTCCAAGAGACGAAGACGACTCCACACATGCACGCACATCTGAAAGATCAGATGAGAGCATCATCCTTGCTTCGAGAGGAAAATATCATCCACATGCGAGGGGCTTCGGACCCTGCACCGTCACCTTCCGAGATACATTCTCTGAGTCCTTTTGTCCTCGTCCCTGGTTGTGTGGTGGAGCACATTACGAGCCCGAGGGTTCCACTGCGGCCAACAACGAACACTAACGATACAGCGCGGAAGGAAGGCGAGCGAAATCTGCACATACTCGTCGCGCAGGTGGAAGACGGCCGGTGAGCTTTGGCATTATACGAAAACTCCAAAGCTACATCCGCATCCGCGCCGCGCGGATCCTGGGCAGACAGCCTGGCGAGTCTCGTCATCCGGCCGTAAGACAAAGCACACCGAGCCAGCGCAGACACTCGGTCGTTCGCCTTAGAACCACTCACAGGCTCGTCTGGGAAGGGCACCAAGAGAAAGATGTGTATTATCCCCGCGCCTCTGTACAAGCGACTGACCTAGCCGTGGGTGAGGTTACGAGAAGACCTCACCCAATGGTATCTCGGGGCTTCTATGGTTTCGATTGGGTAGTTTTGCTCCAGCGCCCATCTTACCACTTCCCCACGGTCACAGGAGCCTGACCGCACGCGAGACCAATTTTGTGGCCCAGCCCTCCAGACAGGAGAATCAGCCTAATCGGTAACGAGGAGGAGCCAGGGAAAAGGACGGGCAGCGGCAGGATCTTGAGTACAGACATGAATATCGGTCTGTCAGGCGGCAAATTCGTCTGCCGGCAGTCGAGTTCTCCGTTGTCCTATCTGCGGAAGGGCTGCAGGAACTTCTAGTGCATGTCGAGCTGCCAGTGCTCGCATCGCTACCAATATCGTCGCCTCTCCCTCTGTTGAAGAGTACAGTTGAGCATCTGGTATTCACAGTATCTTGCCCGTATAGTGAATGGAGCGGTGGAGGAGAGAAATCTGCGTGCTCAGTAGCAGTGGGGCTGCCAGCCTGTACTGGACGATAGTCTGACCAGACTGGTTCATCCAGACCAAGCAGGATTCTGTAGCTGTCGTGAGTGAGGTTAAAGATGGGCATATCGCAAGACGCCACCACACATGTCAAGAATAGGAAGGAGAATGGCCCCGGCAGATCAAGTCCAAATCCTCTAAGATGATGAATGAAGGGTTGGACACCCACTTCAAGACCCTGACGGCGTTTGTGACCATGGCTCGGCTTGCTGTGGAAGTGCTGGTCTCTCTCCTGCGTCCACCCTGCTTTTAGGACTCTCCAAGGAGACACATGACCGGATCAGAAGGGTGACCTGGCTCGTCGCCACGAATTCCCCTTTTCGGCACGAGAGGGTGTACAGCAGATGCAGGCGGTGTGCATGTCAATCACCAACAGCTTCATCTCAGGGTGCCCGTCGCCAATCGCTTCAAACCTTCCCTCCACTCCCTTTCCCGGCTGACACAACCCACCCGCCATCTTCTGCCATGCAGGCGCTCATCGCTTGCTTGGGGTGGTCTGACAGGAAGATCGCGCGCTCGTAGTGGGATCAGGTGAGTCTGTCATCGAATAGGAATTGGTATAGATGGAAATGAGTGCGAGGTGGAAGCGTGGTCAGCATACATAGTACAGCCAAGATTTCTTAAAGTGACACACAATGACAGGCCAACCCTCGTGCCTGTGCTGAACATCCCAATCAGCAACTCATGAGCCAGCAGCTGGAAGAGCCAGCGCCATGACGAGCAGTTGTGCCGTGGACTTTGGGTTTGGAATGCAAGATCGCTAGTTTCGAAATGGTTGAGAATGAGAAGGAGGTGGTGGAGGAGGAGGAGGGTGCAAATTGGCCTGAAAACATTCCTCTTTATACACTGTCGACCCTTGTGATTGCTCTTTCCCACGCAAAACAAACCACCCACTCCCATCCAGAAGACCCTTTAGTAGTTTCCACAAAACTGCTCAGGAGTCAACCGCGATACCCAACCCAAGGACGTGCTCAATCAAAATCTCCCCCCAATTATGCTCTGGGTTCGTCAAGGCTGGCTGCCCCAAAGACACACTTGGCCACATCACCACGGTGTACATGCCAGACACGCAACACATTGATCTCATCACAGTGATCATATTGGAGGCTATGGTAAAAAAGTAGCTGCCGACTATGCACCAATTCCCATTTCATTTCGTCTCAAGCCTCAAGCCTGCCTCGCCAACCATGGCTGTCTCTCTTTTCCACCGTGTCAATCTGCGTTTCAATCTGTGTCACTGTGCCTGTTCTGGCCCACTTCCTCTCAAGTAACAAAGAAACAAAACGGGAAGAAAACAACACCAAGCAGCCAGCATGAAAAGTCTCCCCGACGTGTATTTGGTACGACCATTAATTTGTTTGGTATCTTTTTTGTTTTGTTCGTTCTCTTGTAGTTGCCCTTGCTCGTCAAATCTTCTTCATCTTGGAGGTTAGCATTTGGGACAATCTGGTGCCCTTTTCAATGTGATCCTCGTCTAGGAAAAATGATTGCCACACACCGCCACCAATCTAACAATGCGCAGTCCGGAACCTGTTTAGCCTGGTTCAAAGCATTTTCATCGACCCTCCTTTCCTTGTTTATTTTGTCTTTTTCTTTCTTTTTTCTTTCCAGTTGACATCGGGGGATGGTGGAGAAGGGGAGAACTGTGAGTTTGACCCCTTTCCGAGCCTTCCGTGGTATGTGCAGTATTCAATCCATTTCACATGCCCAATCAATTGTTCGAGGGGGAGGTAGGGGAGCTAGAACAGTTGAAGTCAGTGACTCGTACCAACAAGGAAGAGAGGGTGTGTGGATATGACTCACTATTGGTCCTGATTACCAGTACGCCCAGGAGTCCGAGGCGAGTAGTTGGGGGACTATTCATGTCGTCAGCTTTGCTCAGGATACGGGTGAGATATACCATGACTAGTGTCAACTTACCGTCGGTGAATAGCTCGGGCTGGTCGGAGACAGATTCTGACCAGGCGAGCGCTGGTACGTCGGACTCGTGGGAGAGTAGGCGTCAGGCGACGTGGGTGAGAAGGTCGGGGACGCAGGAGAATACTGCGGTGACGTCGCGTGCAAGTTAGGCGACGTAGGGCTGTAGTTGGGACTCGCAGGCGAGTATGAAGGCGACGTGGGCGAGGCGCCATAGTTCCCAGCTGGAGAAGTTGGCGAGTACCTGGCAGCCGATGGCGACGTCGGAGAGTAGCTTGGTGACGTCGGGCTGTAGTTGGGGCTTGCAGGGCTCGTGGGGCCTCGGAGCATAGGTGAGGTCGGCGAGAATGTGGGCGACGCCGGGCTGAAGGAGGGAGAGCTGACTCCGTAGCGACTGCCACCATCGATCATGGGCGAAGTAGGAGAGTACGCACCCATCGGAGATGTGGGAGAGTAGCCTCCACTAAAGCCAAATGGCGAAGTGGGCGAGGTGCCGTGGCTGAACGGAGATGTCGCTCTCGGGCTCGTCGGGTTGTAGTTTGAGTCACCAAAGCCGCCGCCATACGTGCTGAAGCCTCCGCTCGCAGGGCTCTCCGAGCCTGCTCCCACAATAGGGGAGAAGTTACCAAGTGCAGGGGATGAGAGGCCGAGGAAGCCACCTGATTCTGCCATGGGAGATCCGCTGTCGTACGGAGTGGCTGCGCCGTCCATGGGGCCATCCTTAACGGTCATACCTGGCATGAGACCCATGCGCGAGTTGTCGGAAATGACCGTCTCGAGCATCTTGGGGTCGAGCTGCACCTCGAAGTGACCAGTACCCATAGGGGCCAACTGACCGAGCATGACGTTCTCCGAGATACCGCGACAGTCATCCAGCTCGCCTGTAGCCGCGGCCTCGAGAAGAATCTCAACCGTCTCCTCGAAGGAACAACGCATGAGAGCACCTGTGTCGGCGCGGTTGATGCCGTGACGGGTGACAGCGGCGATGCTGCCCCGGTAGGTCATGACGTCTACCAGTAGTGCAAGATGACGGTGGTTCACATAAGATCCATCAAAAGCCAACACGGCCGTCAGCTCGCTGAGCAGAGCAGACCGTGCCGCCTCAATGCCAAATACCTCGATGATCTGATGCAGCTGGTTGGTGCTGGTCCGTCTGGTATCGACACCTGGGACTGCAAGAACCTGGCGAAGACTCGTGCCCGAGGTGTCAAGGAAATACTCCTCACATTCTGGGTCGTCCGCGCTGGCCTTCAGCGACCCGTCAGCCGCTTCGATAAGGCGTGCAGATTTGTTGATGAACGCGCGCTCGATGCCCGGAACACCGCGCAAGGTGAGCTTGTCCAGCAGATGACCCTCGAGGCGCTTGAGCATGACATCCTCTTCCATGTCTTCATCATACTCGTCGGCATCATCCTTCTCCTTCATGGAGCGGATACGTATGATTTGCTCCTCGGCGTTGTTGTCGCTGTAGATGACCGCCAGGTCATCGGCATACTCTTCCTTGAGACGCACGGCAACGTCTTCGACCTGGAGCTCCTTGTCGAGCATCTTCTGCCGGTCCAATGTGATACGCAGCACCCACTTAGTCTGGCGATCAACGTCTTGCTGGCCTTCTGGGATGAGATAATATGATTCTATCATATCATAATCATCCTCGACCAGTGTAGACGTAACATCGGGATCGTAGAAGATTTCGGTCATCTGTGTCACTGCACGCAGGTTTGTGTGCTCCACCAAGCTTCGCAGCGTCTTGGCTGAGTCCTGACCGTGTTCGCCGGGCTCCAAGTAGACTTGCATACTAGGCGTCTTAATGTCGCTCGCGACGTTCAGGATTTCCTTGAGACGAGGCACACCAAGAGTGACGTTCTTCGAGGCAACACCAGTGAAGTGGAAGGTGTTTAACGTCATCTGCGTGGCGGGCTCGCCGATGGACTGGGCAGCAAGCACACCAACCATCTCGCCAGGGCTGACCATGGATCGGGACCATCGGCTGTCCAGCTCGCCAAGGATATGTTCGAAGGCCAGGCGGGTGATGCGCTGCTCCATGGCCAGGCGTTTGAAGGCCAGACGCGATCGAAGCTGGGCCTTGAAAAGTATGGTCGCGCTCTCATCAGCCTCCTTGGAGATCGGGTCGTCACCTCGGACTACCACCATGCGTGCCAAGAGGGCCTGGACGGCGGGAACAACATCGCGAGGACGCAGGTCGCTCCGCTTTGTCGGGTCAATCCTGAAAAATGCTATGGCGCTGTTGATCATTCTCTCAATGTTCAGCGGCAATTGCATCTGGGTTTCAATCTTGCCCTTGCTGAGGAAAACCCTGCGAATGGAGTCGCGATCGGTGACTAGTTGCTCATACTCGGCATCAAGCAGTTTCTGTTCATCATGATCACTGATGAGCAACTTGCCGTTCTCGAGATTGGCGCTCAATCCCTTGGCGTCATCCAGATCGACCTTGTATCTGGCGTCAAACTTGCTATGCGAGATGTCGAGGAAGTCCACCTTTTGCTTCTCGATGTGCATACCATCGAGACCGTCTTCACCGTACACAAATTGGATGATATCGTTCAGCGAGTTTCGAACAGTGCCGTCGTACTTGGCGGTCACATCCTCAAGCGCCTTGACAAGTCGGCGCTGGATGTAACCAGTCTCTGCGGTCTTGACTGCTGTATCGATCAAACCCTCTCGACCTGCCATTGCGTGGAAGAAGAATTCGGTGGGAGTCAAGCCGCGGAGGTAGGAGTTCTCGACGAATCCACGAGCCTCAGGAGAGTAGTCGTCCTTGGTGAAGTGCGGCAAGGTTCTGTACTTGAAGCCGAACGGTATACGCTTGCCTTCGACAACCTGTTGACCGACGAGGGCGGTCATCTGTGAAATGTTGATCGAGGAACCCTTGGAACCAGAGCGAGACATGGTGACTGCATTGTTCAGATCCTTGAGAGAGTTCTCTGTGGTCGTACCTGCCTTGTCACGGGCAGTGTTCAGCTCCTTGGAGACCTTGCTCTCGAATGTCTCTCGAATGCTCATGCCGGGAAGTGGCTCCAGCGTGTTCGCCGTTGCCTCTGCCACAATGGTAGCCACAAGGTCCTTCTGCCCGTTGATATCTTGTTGAATCTTCAAGATAGTATCCTTGTCGGGGATCGTATCACCGATGCCGATACTGTGTCCGTTGTGCAGAAGCCAGTAAGCAACCACTCGCTGGCAGGCGTTGAGGAAGTGCATGGCCGCCTTGGGGCCGAGCTCGTTGTAGGCAATATGGATGATGCCGCCGGCAGAAGCGCCAACAATCTTCTTGTTAAGGAGACCGTAGACAAGCTCGCCATTGACAATCCTCTGGGTATCGTCATTGAGGGGGAAGTCGTTTCCACCCATGGAAAGGCTTACTTCCTTAGGTATGATCATACTGATGATCTGCTTGCCAGTCCACCGCGGCGTTGGCTTGAGGATGGCGGGAATTGGTATGATGCCATCCCAGTCTTCGACCCAGAGCATGAGATTCATCACCTGCTCCTTCGTGAGGAAGACATCACGACGACAGATCTTGTAGGCGCCAGCCAACGAGTCCTGGACGATACCCATCAACGGGGAGTTACGCTGTGGTGACACAATGTTCAAGGGAACCAGACACAGGTTCTGGACCTCGGCACGCGTCTCTTCAGTCTGCGGGACGTGCAAGTTCATCTCGTCACCGTCGAAATCCGCATTGTACGGAGACGTGACCGACAGATTCAGACGGAAGGTGGAGTAGGGCATGACCCTGACACGGTGACCCATCATGGACTCCTTGTGCAGCGAGGGCTGACGATTGAAGATGATATAATCACCGTCGATGAGGTGTCGCTCGACCTTCCAGCCATATTCCAGATTGATTTGACTCGCGCGCTTGTGGTGGCGCAGATCAATTCGGGTACCGTCTGACCGAATGACATACTTGGCACCTGGGTGCTCGTTGGGACCATTCTCGACAAGCTTATGCAGCCGGCCGATATTGTAGGGAGTGACGGTCTCAGGATACGTCAAGGTTTTCGCAATGCTTCGTGGTACACCGACCTCATCCAGAGAGATATTCGCATCACCTGTGATGACAGTACGTGCGGAAAAGTCGACTCGCTTTCCCATCAAGTTGCCACGAAGACGACCCTCCTTGCCCTTGAGACGGGCACGGATAGCCTTGACAGGCCGACCGCTCTTCTGCAGCGCACGGGGCGTGCCAGCAATGTCGTTGTCCATGTAGGTGGCAACATGGTACTGCAGCAGCTGCTCGAAGTCGTTGATGATATGCTGTGGCGAGCCTTCATTCTTGGCCTGTTTGACGTTGCCGTTGGCGCGGATGATATCGCCCAGCTTGTATGTCAAATCGTCCTCATTTCGAATTCCCTGGCCAGTACCATCCATGCTGATGGATGGACGCACAGGAGGAGGAGGTACTGGCAGGACAGTGACGATCAGCCACTCGGGGCGCGCATAGTCCTTATTCAAGCCCATGTCTTCCAAATCCTCGTCACTGATCCTACGGAAGATCTCGAGCACCTTCTCAGGGCTGATGGGCTTCTCGATAACGTCCTTTGAGGATCCGCCATCCTCCTTCTGCTGCTGGATTCTCTGGCGAAGCTCGAGAGGGTATTTGCGGATCAGAGGCTGCTCATTGCCACAGCCGCCGTGGTCGTGAGCGACTTGCTTGGGCTTGTTGTCGGGGTCGAACTCTTCATCCTTGCTCTTATTAGCAGTACTCGCATTCTCGCACTTCTTCTTCTTCTTGCAAGCTTCCCAAACCCGGTTGAAGCGGGTCTTGGGGTCTCGGATCGCGACAGCCGCGGCGAACTCTGGATCCTCCTGAAAGAAGCATCAGCATCAACATCTGAGAGAAATCAGCACAAACAAGGCGTTACCAACCCTGTCAGCCAGAGGCTTGCTGCAGAAGTTGCAAACCACTTCCAGAATCTTCTTCGTCTTGTTGAGGAAGCCAGGGTGGAAGACAGGTGTGGCAAGCTCGATGTGACCAAAATGACCAGGACACTCAGACATGTTCTCAGTACAGGTCTTGCACTTGAATTGGCGGTCGACGGAGCCAAGACGGGGATCATTAAGGCCGAACTCGCGAGGTTGCGTCTTCTCTGCGTTCATCGTCTCGGGATACTGGATGTGCGCCACGCTCATGCTCTTGATCTCATCAGGCGACAGGAGTCCAAACTGGATCTCCTGAATCGTCTTGACGGGCGCACTCGAGTGCGGAAAGTACAGGTTCGCCATTTTTGCGACTTATGTAGGGTTTCGTGTACAGGTGAGGGAATCGGTTTCGATGATGGGAAATGGTAGATGTCGAGCGGTCGCGTGGAGCTGATGTCAAAGTGAGGTGAAGGTTGGAGCGCCGTAGCACCAGGTCCTCTGACGGACAAAAGGAGAAAAAAACTGTAGCCGATGGGAAAATGAATGCTCGAATAATCACTTGATAGATAAGGGACGCCGTTGCAGAGGCTACTCGATGGGATTTGTGTTGGTCGACCCTCCACGTTCACGAACAAGGCCGCCCAGAGGCCCCAGTGGACCGAATCGTCGTCCTCGTCAACTCGTCCAGCGTCGCGTCGGTTCGAAAAGTACGTCAAATCAATCGCCTCAATCACCTCTCTCAGATTTCGTGCCGGAAAAGAGCCCTGATCGTGTTGTGTGGGTTCCGACACGCGTTACGTGTGTGGGTAGAAGGGTTGAGAGGTTGAAGCACTGGGGCGAGTTGGGAAAATCAAGAGGCGAGAGATGTAGGACAACCGGCGCGGCCAGCAGCTGGGGGGTGGTCCGTGCTGCAGTGAATAAGTGGCCTAGGGACTTCTGTAAAGTGGGGCGGCTGACAAAAGGTTCTCTCTACTTAGAGGAACCCAGCCACTCCAATATGTGCCACCAAACCCTGCAGAGCTGACTTGCTGCAAGAAGTATCAGCATGGTATGTCTACTTCACCATATAAAGTTCTATTCTTATTTATTTTCTGATTGTGCCAGCATTTCTCTTCAACTCTTAGCGTTTCCGCACCATTGTGAAAGTATGCTGCAGATGCTCGCACCTCTACAGCATCGTTTGTTTTCCATCCATCTGTAGCTAATATATGCGCTGCATAGGTCCGCAGCTTTGTGTCGGTGACTCAACTAATAGGCAGCTTGACACGTATGTACGCGTGTAGTAAAGTTCGAACGCTAAGTAATCACCGGAGCGTGGTCACGCCGAGAGTATCTACCTCGAGAATACGGCGTGAGTCTTCATTTCGAATAGTATGGTAAATTAGTCGATGCTCACAGTTACTCATAATCCGATCTATTTCTTCCTAGCCCTACCTCTTGCGCCGGGTTTTTTCCCGGCCTTGTCCTCCACACCAGTAGCCTCTCCGCCGTCGCCGTCCTCGCCGGCACTTCTCCTCCTCATGGTGCCTGTAGAAACAGCCACGAATTCCTCCTCGCTGTCCGAGTCTCCTAGGTTGAACAGGATAGGCATCTGAAATCCACCAGGCGGCTCTACCCCGGCGTGGCCCATCGTGACCACATCGACTGCCTCATCCTCTTGATCCAGCCGCCTCTTTTTGATCTCTTCCTGCGGATGTATGTCAAACTCGTCCTCCCTCTCCATGTACTCCACGTTTTCCTCGACCTCGACGAAGTCTGGAGCAAGGGCCGACCACCGCTGCGGGCTCGTCACAGACCAGATGTTGATTCGCCCTGTTTCCAGCCCGCATGCAGCGAGCAGGGCCCTGGATGGGTGCCACTCTATGACACCCTGCTCCTCCTTGGGACCCTCCAGCATGCGCACCAGACTGCCATGTCCGCGCTCCCAAATGTACAGCTCATGGTTATTGTACGTAGACGCGACGACGTACTCGCCCGTGCAGCTAAAGGTGACATGGTTCCACGAGCACCTGTTGACCACGTCCTCGAACTTGTGCTCGATGGTCAACTGTATCCTGTCTGTATCTAGATTTTCCGCCGATAGGTCTGGCACCAGGAATGTCTTGATGATCTTGTCCTGCCCGTTGACGAGAAGCTCTCTACCCGAGCGGGTGAGCTTCAACGTGGTGACCACGCCGCTGCAGACTCGTGGGTGTGTGTATATTATTTCGTGGGTCTGCGCGTCGATGATGTTGAGTTTGCCCTTGTTCGTGCCGGCCAGGATGTGATCACCTGAGGCAGTGTAGATGGCGACCGTCGTCATGTGGCGCGCATCGTCCTTCTCCTGCTTTGCCTTCTTCTCTGCATCATCTTCTACATTGACGCGTCTCGGCGTGGACGGGAGGATGTGTTTTCGTGCGATCGCGTCGGTGATGTCAACGAGGATAGGTTGGTCTTCGAACAAGGACACGACGAACTGCTGGCTACGTACGCGCGCCGGGTCAGTCTCCTGGATGCTATGCCATCTGGCTATCCACAGCGAGAAACAGCTTACTGGTTCCAAGGGTGGAGCTCTGCTATATACACCGGCGCCTTGAAGCGCACCTCGCGATATCGTTTCCCATCCTGTAAATCCCAGAGGATGGCCTTCCATCCCTGGCACGCTGACAACAGGTACCGACCGCATCTCGACCAGCTCAGCGAGGATATGCTCTTAGAATGGCCCCTCAACTTGCGGGCAACACCCATAGTATCCAGATCCCATATGACGACTGTGCCATCAATGCGCCCAGAGGCAAGGTAGTCGCCCTTGCGATTGAAGCGCAGGCATGTCGCATGGCCAGACCGGATGGTATTTGTGATGTTCTCGGGGTAGTCCTGGAGGAGGTAATCATCTGAGAGTAGGAGATTCATCTTGTTGATTGCTTGTGTGCCCTGGTGAGGGGCTAAAGGGGCTGAAGTTTGTGTCAATAGAGAGCGAAGGCCTATGAGTATAGCACTTCTTTCCCAAACTTTTGACGCACATGCACTTAATTGACTTGGATCTGCAGGGCTTTGGCGGCGGCGATGAGAGTGGATCCCTGTGACGCTGCTCCCTAGAAGCTAGGGTCCCATCACCCACTGGGACTGGTTGGGCGGGGGGTTTGACAGGGGGTACATGGCAGACAAAATGACCCACTGCATAAGATAGCGGCACTGGAAGTCTGGTCTCAGTCCTTCTTTCTCCAAGGGAGAATCAAAGGCTTCATTGCCGCAACCTCCTAATGCTCAAACGGCAGTCTCTCAGGCCACTGAGCACTCTGCAAATAGCAAGCACAAAGCTGAGGAGCAGCAGAAAAGAGCTTTTGACCTTTCAAAATGGCCAACTCCAAGTGCGCCTCGTCTCATCCCAGCCAGGGAAAATATCATCTGACTCACCAGTGCGCAGGTGGGAATATGTGAAGCAGTTTGAGCGGCCAGACCAGCTCCTGCCAAACACATGGATTGTGGTCAGGATTGATGGCCGTGGCTTCACAAAGTAGGACCTGAAGTGACTGACCCAGAAAAATGCACGCACTGGAGGCTAAATAGACCTTAGGTTTGCAAACAAGTACGCTTTCGAGAAGCCCAACGATAAAAGAGCATTGGACCTCATGAATGAAGCTGCAAAGCTTGTCATGACAGAGCTACCCGAGTTGATCATTGCATATGGGATCAGTGATGAGTACAGGTGTGTTGCGTGCTCTTTGTGCAGGGAGTACACTGTTCTGACTGCAGACCAGCTTCGTCTTCCACAAGACTTGCAAGCTGTTTGAGAGAAGGGAGAGGTAAGCACTTGTACTTGCTCAAAGCCAGAAACAGCCACAGGCCTGACACTCCACAGCAAATTGGTGACAACCATTGTCTCGACATTTACTTCCTACTACATCTTTCTCTGGTCCAAATACTTTCCAGACAAACCTCTGTCGCCACCTCTTCCAAGCTTCGATGGCAGAGTGGTGTGCTATCCCTCCGTCTCGAACCTGCGCGACTATATGAGCTGGAGACAAGCAGACTGTGAGGCACATTTCCCCCCAAAATTTGGGTATAATTGCTAATGTCAATAGGCCATATAAACAATCTCTACAACACGACATTTTGGGCCTTGATCCTACAGGGTGGCATGAACAATCAACAGGCTGAGCAGGCTCTTCTGGTACGTTGGTGTAGGTCTGTTTTGCTGTTATGTGATACTGATCAGAACTCGCGATAGGGCACGGTTTCAAGTGAGAAGAATGAGCTTCTGTTCTCCAAGTTCGGTATCAACTACAACAATGAGCCAGAGATATATAAAAAGGGCAGCGTCATTTTCAGAGATGTAGGTTCTTAGGAAACTCCTCGACTGAACGGCTGCTGATTATTTTTATTTTTAATTTTTGCAGTATGAACTTGTCGAGCCGGGGAGCCACAATGTAGCTGAAGAGGCAGATAACCTGGGTGAGCCGGTTGAGCAATCCAAGACTCAATTGGAGAAAGAGAAGAAGAAGCGCGCGAAGGCCAAGGTGGTGATAGCATATCTGGACATCATCAAAGATGAGTTCTGGGACAAACGACCGTGGATATTGTCGGGGAAGCCAGGTAGAATCCCCAAAGAAGTATGAGCATGATTTTACATGCAGAGTCGCATCATGTTCAGGCGTGCGAGTTCGTTCGCAGTCAGACCCAATGCAAACCTTCCTGTTTTCCCCTCTCTTCTCCTTCCCTTCTTTCCCCCTCCCCCGGCTGAGAAGATGTTAGAGATCTTAAGACAAATAATTGCCGTGTCAATGTGCTACCAATCTGATATCTTCACTTCTCTGAACTCGTGGACTGTGACCACTAGGTGCATGCAAGCCTTGTGTTAGTCCTCATTGGTGCCTGGAATGGACAGGCCTGCTGGTGACGCGTTTGGTCGCACAAGTGAACTCAGTAGAAGAAGGTGGAATCTGATGGACGGTCACGGAAACAAGCAATGGTACCAACGGCAGGCAAGGAACACTGGGTACCAGCGGGCGGCAGGGGAAGCCCTGTAGCTCGGAGACAGTCAAGGTGTTGATTAGAATGGACATGATACCCTTCACAGTTGCACCAGATTTCAACGTCCACTTGTTCTCTCAATGCGTAGAAAGTAGAGTTGCGTAGAAAGTAGAGTCTGGTCACGAGAGTGCAGATTCAACGGTTCATATGGAGTTTGTTGAGAAGTTCGATGTCAACCCCAGTCCGCTGGGTAAATATGTACTTAATCAATCAGAGCAGGGGTGTTCTTTCCATGCCGCCCTTGTCCCTAAAGACCCCTGTTCCTCTGCCGCCCCAGAACTGTTGCGGGAAGGGTCGGCCCAGGCGTCTTATCTCATAGTATTCGCCCCAACAACTCTTTACACATACCCTCTGCACCCTTCATCGCCTGGGCAAGTCGTTTGACCTGACTGACCACTTTCCGAATTCTCTACCTCGCCGGTCTATCTGGCGTGCTTGGGTCTTTCTGCCCTTCCTCTCATCGATTTCTCGTTCGACAACTCCTTTGGCGTTCTCTCGAGTCTCGTCTGTTCCAAGAGACGCTCTTGCGTCCTCCACCTAGCGTTGCTACCCCGCCGACAGACTGACCGATTACCATTCTCGCCGTACTTGCGACATCACCAGCAGCACTGACACAGGCACCGCAACCTCAGACGATTACGACAACCTTGAAACCCAGCAGACATGGCGGACAATACAGAGGGGCCCAGCGACGCCCAAATCACCTTCAAGGTCAAGGCCTCGGGCGACAAGAACCATACCATCACCATGGCTGAGTCTGCCACCATCCTGGACCTCAAGAACAAGCTTGCCACGGAGGAATTCGAGAACATTCCCGTCGAGCGCCAACGCCTCATCTACTCTGGCCGAGTTATGAAGAACGAGGATACTCTGGCCTCCTACAAGGTGAAGCCGGGCAACACAATCCACCTCGTCAAGAGCGCCGCCAGCAACCCAACGCCTGCTCCTAGCAGCGCTGCCTTGCAGCCTGTCCCTCGGGCCATCCCCAACAATATGGCAGCCGGCACCTCTGCGGACAACCTCTTGGCCGGCCTGACGGGTGCTCGTTTCGCTGGCCATGCCAATCTTCCCAGCGCCAATCTCTTTGGTGCCGATGGAGGCGTATGCTCTTCTCTTTCCTTATTATGCTTGTCCTGCCTCGTGTTTTCATCATCGTACTAACGACGCACTTGCTTACAGATGGGCGCTCCACCAAGCGAGGACCAGATGGCTGACATGCTGTCCAACCCGAATATCGCCCAGGCCATGAACGAGGCCCTCAACAACCCGGCAATGGTCGACCTTATGATCCAGTCCAGCCCCATGCTGCGCAACAACCCCCAGGCCCGCCAGATGATCCAGTCCCCTATGTTCCGCCAGATGCTTACCAACCCACAACTTCTGCGACAGGCTGCTCAGATGCGCCGAGCCATGGCGGGAGGCGGCGGGGCAGACGCTTTCCCAGCGCCCGGCGCGACCGATACAACACCGGCTGGGGCCCCGGCCGCAGGTGGTGCTGAGAGGGGGGTTAATACACCAAACCAACAGAACCCATGGGGGCTCCCAGGGTTTGGCATGTTTCCTCTTCCGCCCGCCACGGCTGGAGGTGCTGGCGAAAACCCCTTCATGGCTCTGATGAACCCCTTAGGGGCACCGCCTACAGGCCAGATAGCCGCCGGTCAGGCGCCTTCAGGCGAGGACGCTACCCAGCGCAGCGCCTCTGCGGCCCCGGGCTCGACCCCTGATGGCGCGCCACAGGGCGGAGCTGTCAATCCATTTGGTCTTACACCCGAGACGATGCAACAATTCATGCAGATGATGGGAGGTCCCATGGGCGAGCCATCTATGCCCGTAGACAATCGACCACCGGAGGAGCGCTATGCTGATCAGCTCCGCCAGCTGAACGAAATGGGCTTTTACGACTTTGATCAGAACGTGGCTGCTTTGCGACGTAGTGGTGGCAATGTGCAGGGTGCCGTCAACTTCCTTCTGGGAGGCTGAGCTCGCCTGACTGCGAAACACAGATCCAGCCCGCCACTTACAGCTTGGATACAACACCGCTCACACGCGCAGTATCTAGGGCAGCATGGCATTCTGGATTCCTAGCTTCCTCTTTTTTTTCTTTCTTTCTCTGCAGCAGGGCACACCAAGACATTTGAACCCAGCACACCAGCAGCGGCGGCAGCAGCAGAAGCATAATGGAATGTCTGGAAGCATCTTCTGAGGAACATCATGGATATTTTAATGGCCCAACCCTCGTGATTTGAGTGCAGGAGGCGAAAGAAGGCAAATAGGAGAACGAGATGATGGACCTTGTCGGAAGCCACGGACATCAGATCAAGGGGTATAAGCTTTAGCAGCACAGGTAGTCCAGCAGGCGAAATGGATACCGTATCCGGGAACAGATGGCAGGCAGTCTATTCGTCGTAGGCTTGCATCACCAGTTATATTATCCCTTGATGAAAGGTGTACCGAAGTGCCGTTGGATAGGGCGGCTGACTAAGCCAACCAACGACCCGTCCATTGATCACCAAACAGACCATGGCTGTGAATTAACCAGCTCATCTATCGGCTTCGCCTTTCCAAGTCCAGTCCACAGAACTCAAGTATCCGCCACAGTACAGTGACCACTCACCAGGTCGAATCGTGTGCAGAAATGTAAAGTTTATGCATGTGGAACAAGAGCCAGTTTAACCGTCGAAGGAAAACATCAATGACTGTTGGACGATTGTCATGAGATTTATCTATTCTCTTCCCATGATGGTCAAGAGCAAGCCAGCACGATGATACAAGGGATATTTTACGCCAGATTCTTCCCTCAGGAAGGTGAGATACAATATGGATTGATGCTTTGCCGAAACCTCAATGTTCTCCTCCTCTCTCTCATATCTCAGAAAGCATTCAATCGCACTCCCTCACACACAACTCACACATTTCCTCACAATGACACAAAAGGCTGACTCCACATCTGCCAGGCACTAAGATCGTAGCCCAGGCACCTCCAGGCTGCATCGTGCCCCTTGAGTCTTCTTCTTCTTCCTCCTCACAGCAGAGGAAACCCAGCCTGTTCGACTTTGACGTGCTGCAGGAGTACATCATCCCGCGCAAAGGCTTCTTCAACCGCTACATCGCCGTCAGCGACCCAGACTCCAAGTACTCTATCCTCGGGTTTCCCGTTGCCATCGCCAACCCAAAATACCAGCGGAATGAGTTCATCTTCAACTTTGGCCTGGTCGTCGAGGCGGACGAGGGCGACCAGATTCACTACGAGCGCGTCGTGAGACGGCTGGCCGTGACGTTTGCCGAGATGGAGAAGCAGACCGAGTATCTAAGCCGGGACGGAGAGGGGAGCGCTGGTGAAGGAACGAGGAGGCCGATCGAGAGCCTGTTGGAGATCATCAAGGAGGACCTGAACAACTATGGCGAGTGCATGATACCCGTCGGTGCGTCATCTTTTGTCCATCTCCCACCATCCCTTCGCCATTTTCTTTTCTTTCTTCTTTTACACGCAAGAAAGAAGAAGAGAAGGGAAAAAAAATAAAACAGACACATACTTACAGTACTCTTTCCCTCCCCTCTTTCCTCCACAGATGACGCAAACACAATCAACATGAAACTCTTTCCACACCACCGCACACCCCCCGAGGTAAAAGGCTGGCACGTCCCCGTAGCCAAGATGAAATTCGCCGACGTCGTCGACCCGACGTGGGACCTGACGCTGCAAAAAGTGATCCGGCACATCGACGGCGTCAGCGACGTGCGGCGCATCGCCTTCGCCGCGGACGTCTCCCTGGACCTGACCAAGCTCGCGCTGCGGCACCTGCTGTACTACGACACCATCCTGCTGCTGGACATGTTCTTCTTCGGCTCGTGCTACGCACCCCGCCCCGGGATCCACGAGTTCGTCGCCAACGCAAGCAGCGACGGGTACTACTACACCGCAGCCAACAATAACACGACGACAGCCAACACTACCACCACCACAACCACTGCCGACGAGGACAGCGCCGGGGGGGCTGGTCTCGCGGGCTCTGGAGGGGGAGGGGGAGGAGGAGGAGGAGGCGGCATGATGATGGGTGGTGGTGGAGGTGGAGGAGGAGGTGGCGCTGTGGGAGGCGGGGGCGCCGGCTCCTCCCTCGGGATCGTGGACGAGTGCGCCAACTACGTGTGCATCATGTCCTCCGGGCAGCGCGTGAGCAACTACCAGCTCGTCAAGCTCATGACGACCTTTTGCGTGGGGCGGTCGGTGGCCGAGTGGCTAAGGCTGCACATGGACGCGGGCTTCGACGTCCTGCGGTATGTGGACGTGCGGCGCCTCGTGCAATTTGGCGTCATCAAGGGGCTCCTGTACCGTGTGCACAAGTATGTTGTCAGCAAGCAGTACCTGGCGTCGCTGGTGACGGGGCAGAGCAGGCCGGTCGAGGCCAGCAGCAAGGGTGGTGGTGGTGGTGGTGGTGACCCTCTGCAGAAGTACATGGACGGGATGCATAACTTTGATCAGATCATCACTGAGATGAACGTCACGGATGGGGAGATCATGGAGAAGCTGAAGAGTTTTCCTGCGCCTACATACGATTTGACGGTGTTGTATCGGTGAAAGGGACATTGATACAGGGAGAGAGAGGGGGGTCGGGAGGGCTCGGGTTGGGTGTAGATGAGTTTAGATATTCTCGACTATGTTCTAGGAGATATACACACAATCTGTCAGATTGTGATAATTGTACAGAGTTCCCTGTCGTGCAGATGTGCCTCGGGTTGCTGGTCGGTATCAACCTCAGCAGACCATCGAGGAGCGGCACCCGGCACCAGCAGCAAGGTCTGTACCGCTTTCAGAATCGCAGCGTCTTCAAACCCTTGATCAGGCCCTCTTTCTCGTATTTGGCCAATTCCTCCCGAGCGTTCTTACGGGTGACGGCTTGGGTTGGGGCAGGCAACTGCGATACATCAACCACATCCTCTGGGCTAATCATGCCTCCTTCGTTCGCCTTCTTCATCCTCGCCTCCTCGACCATATGCCGTACCTTCGACATAGCCTTGCGGAACGCACCAGTAAACGGCTGCCCTGGATACTCCTTCCCGCTCTTGGCCCACTCGTCGTCGCTGATGAGCTCGATGCATCGCAGGTTGTGCTTTCCCTTGCGCAGCAGCAGGATCTTGTCATCGATCAGGAAGTTCCTGTTGGCCGCGTTGGGCCAAGTCGTGACGGGGGTGAACATCAGCTGCTCGGGATTCATGCCCTTGTTGACATGACCTTTCTGCCCGGGGGCTCCGCCTATGTAGATGCCGCCGTTCTTGATGGTGCGGTCAGCATCCGAGACGCTGGTCGCAAGTCCGGCGGCAAAGACGATGCGCGCAAGAGACATTTCAACTATGCTGTAGGGCAGCTTCTGGTCGATCCGAGGCCGGTTGTCGATTGTCGTTGGGTGGCCCTGTACAGCTTGGTACTGCTCATTGGATTGTTCGATCTGCCCCGTATTGAGTGGTATGTCTTTGTTGCCACCGTATCTCGTTCGATGTTCGGCTTGTGTGCGCTGAGCAACCTGGGTGCCGTGAACGAGGGCCGTCACCTCATAGGCTAGAAGATGCTGCGCAACTCGCTTCGGCGGGTTGGTCTTGTGCTCCTCCATGAACTTGGCGATGTCGCTCAGAGGGAAAAAGGTGAGGAGTTTTAATAGCCGTTCGACGTCATCATCGGGTCTTCTCACCAGGTAACCATACATGTCGAAGGGGGATGTCTTAAAAGGGTCAAGCCAGATAGCATTTCCTGCGCTTTTTCCAAACTTGGTACCGGCGGAGTCTGTGAGAAGCGGTACCGTGAAACCGATAGGCTGGTCAAATTCCCCATGAGGCAGCTTCTTGGCTGGGTCGGGCTCGTTTTCGATGCAGTATTTGACAGCTTGGGCACCGGTGAGGATGTTGCCGTACTGATCAGAGCCTCCAATCTGCAACTGGACAGTACGCTGCTTGAAAAGCTCATACCAATCCCAGGCCTGCATCAGAGGATAGGAGAATTCAGCAAAGGACATTCCAGTGCCGTCATCAATCCTCTTCTTGACATTGTCGCGTCCAAGCATCGGGCCAAGCCTCACTTGAGACCCCAACCGTTTCAAGACATCCAACATGGGAAGTTTATTCCACCACGCATTGTTGTTAATGACGCCTCGCCTCCAGGCCCAATCCCTCTTGAAACCAAACCTCCGCCCATTTTCTTCGACGTGTTCCCAGACCGCCTTGAGTTGGTATTGTATGCTCGCGAGGTTCTGTACCAGCTGGGCAGAGCGTATTTCCGGGCGAGATTCCGTCCTGCCCGTGGGGTCTCCGATTTTGGCAGTGGAGCCTCCGATCAGTATAAAGGAGCCAAAGCCATGCAGGTACATCCAGAAGATGGGCATGAACGCCACCAGGTGGCCGAGGTGCAAAGAGGGGGCGGTTGGGTCGACACCGCAGTAGGCGCCTATGCGTTTTCTCCGCATCGTCTCTTTGATATGTTGACGAGTCCTACAGGATGCAGAATTTGTCAGAAACACGTCCCCCTATCGCCTAGGCCATGAAAGAGACAGACCCAGCTTACCTACCCCACGACATCCTTAACGAAGCCCCGTTCCTCGAACTCGTCAAATATATGCGTCCTCCTTCCCTGGGAAATCTCCTGTGCCATGTGCCTCCAGTCTTCATCCGCAGCCACCAGCTTAGCCATGAATTTCGTGCCGACCCATCTTCGTTGAGGAAAAGCCGACTTTAGTGTTCTAGCCCATAAACAGTCGCGACACAAAAGGGCGCGCGCTGGGAGGCTTTTGTACAAGGAGGTCAATTGTGCCATGTTGAGCAGCTCTCGTGAGTCCTTGAAGCGCCAATCAGGCTGCAGAGCGATGCGCTCATTCAGCGCGGGGGCAACTGAATAGCGCGGGGCGGCAATACTGGTTCTCAACAGTATTAAGAATCTGCTGCTGCGTGTGGAGTTTTAGCAGGCCGCGAGAATTGTACCATGGTAAAACATTGGCCTCTTGCCTTTGCATTTCAAGAAAATTTGGCGCAAGGAGCTGGGGTGTCTTATCGATAACATAGATCCGGCAGGCAGAGGTCTCATGTCGCTGCAGCACCCCTGCCCTCTTACTCATCATTGTCAACCAATCGTAGAGCTTCCGATTCTGCTTGCAATCCTCGGCAACTTGTCGGTTAAAGCATCATCATCGACGACAACCTCAATCCGACACTTGGGGGACAACAACGAGCCGAGTACAATCAATTCCCACCTCCCAGTCGCTCAGCCCCGACTGGCTCTTTTTACCACCAATATGGCATCGGCCGTTCGCTCATCGCTGTTGCGGCAGACGGCCGCCTTCGCCTCGCCGGCGACCCGAACTGGCCCGTCGTTGCTCTCCTCGACTGCCCGCCAGCAGCTCCTAAGGCCTGCGTTCAAGCCCAGCATCACCCAGATCACAGCCTTCCACGCCACAAGCCGGAGAAACCTGCTGCCTCCTGGCCCACGTACGTCTCGTCTTGCCATCAACCGGTTCCCCCCTTCTGTCTTCCACGCGCAGGTCACTGACAATAATACTCTTTCACAGAGGTGATCAAGGGCACCGTCAACGACCCTGCCCCGATTCCCACGCCCTCATCCTCCCACGGCCGCTACCACTGGACCTTTGAGCGCGGCATGGCCGCCGCCCTGGTGCCGCTCACCATCGCCCCCTTCGCGTCCGGCTCCTTGAACCCGACCCTCGACGCCATCCTGGTCGGAACGCTGCTCGTACACTCCCACCTCAGCGTGCAGGCCATCATCATCGACTATGTTCCCACGTGGGGCTACCCTCTGCTGCGCAAGTTCTGCACATGGGCGCTGAACCTGGCAACGATATTGGTGGGAATCGGTCTGTATGAGTTTGAGACAACGGATGTGGGTATCGTCGAAGCCACCAAGAGGATCTGGAAGGCATGATTAAAGGCATTGGCAGGATTTGGCGGTTTCGTGTATGGTGAATGGGGCAGTATGAGTGTGTTGTATGGAAGAATGATCGGAATACATGGGTCTTAGATGATGGCTCAATTGATAGCATGAATGTGCATACGTGACACTATCTTCTAGCAATGCGCGCAACTTCCTATTATTTCGAAAGTGTCCCGTCTACTTCGTCCCTAACACAGCTGTAGAGCAAGTCTTTCGATTTACTAGCATAGGGAACCACCACCTTGCCAAGAGCCATTATAATCCTTGAGGGCAGGTCATTGTGGTGGGTCTTTGGGGGGGGGGGGGCAGTTCTTCTAGGCTTCTCAAGATTGTCTCTATGGACTGACATATGTTAGTAAGTCTTTGGAGGATAAACAACAAATGTAGAATAAACTATGAATAGCTTCGGTTGGAGCTGAACAGACTACTTGCTATCTTTCGGGTCTGGCAATATGGCTCAAGCTGATGAGTGGGGTCTTTTTTCTTTTTCTTTTTTAAAGAATGGCTTGCAACCACGGATTCTCGTCACAGGCCACACATATCACATAGTGTTTGAGTCACAATTTGAAGAAGAGGAAAGAACAAAAGGGAGAGAAGAAGAGGAGGGGGAGGGGGAGACATCTGAATGCATCATATGAAGAGCCTGCGAAGAAGAAGAAACCAAAGAAGAAAAAATCGTCCCAGGGATTCTAGAATCACTACTCGTCTAGAAATGAAACATCACATGTGACACAAGTTATTTTCCCAGCTACTCTTCAAGAATTTATCTGGTTGTCGATATGGCAATGAGATAAAGACAGGATCTTCATCTGAGTCTGGCCTGGAACTTGGGCGTAACAGCTTTAGGTTCAAGTGGCTAGTTGGTGCAACATGTTTTGCCTAGTACAACTGCACATTGATACTGACCAACCTGTGAGCATTTCTCCGGATCAGATGATCAGTGGTTGAACAGAGAGGAAAATGGAGGATGAAACATTTAACAGAAAAGAATGATAACATATATGAATATGAACATGATCTGGTAAGTCACAGTACAAGATTGGTACTAGATAGACTTGTTCTGAGAGTAGAGATTCTTCTAATGCGCACCCCCTCCATCGTAAACAAATCTGCGGAAGCGCTCTTCCGGCATAACCATCTTCCACGGTGGGCCCTAAACAGCGGTCATGGAAGAAAAGCCGTTGCATGATTCCCGGCTTGATTGCGTCAGGCAGTCCGTACAATTGCTACGACCACTTGGTTAGACAGACGGATGAGGCCTGGAATCGGGAACAGGGCCATAAATTTACGACTTTCCAAGATTAAGTATGCATATGTCAGTTTATAGGCACAGACCGCCAATCACATACCGACCGTATTGTTACCGGCCAGCGCATTTCTAGGTCCGGACTGGATTTGACCATGGACAATAATTTTGTTCCAATGTCAATGCCTTGGGCCCAGTTGCGTGGCGAATACAGTACTTATTACCAAGCCGGCGAGTTCCCTACATGCCTGATGATGGATCTACCGACACAGAATAGACCACAATTGGCAAATCATATGCCGGACGCCATTCAATCAGCCACAAATAAATACTACGTAGGAATTACTATACGTATAACTTTGGCCCCCATCGGTCCACTCGATCTTGTCCTCAACTGCAACTAACGCCGACTGCCGATCCGGAAACCGCTCCCCTTTCCTACCAAGTAAAAAGAGGGTCGGCTGTATGGATCTCGGGGTCGCTTGCAGATTTGGTCTGCTGCAGCACCTTATATGCAGGGCGGCCTGGGCACTGGGTGAAGAGCGGTATACCTGCTCTAGGGCGAAGATGGGGACAGAGTACTGGAGCCCCTTCTAAATTGCGAATCGCTTGCTAGCAATGGCGTCAATCTTTCTCTCAAGGATTATTCTAGGATGCTAGAGACAGTAATTCAGCAGTACAATGTAGTTGAACATGGATGACAAGCCGGCTCAGGTAAGTAAGCATTTTTGCAAGCAGATATTTATACTCGGGACATACCTAACGGTACACATTACCAGCGGGCACCACAACCCCCCCTTCCCCCCAGCTTATCTTCTGGGGAACCGTTTGTGGTCGTACGCATTATTAGACTGCTGAGTACGTAACACCAAAACCAATCCCCATGAGATTGCCAGCCGTAACCCTCGCCCTCAGCGGCGCGGCGCTCGTCAGGGCCGTGGCGTACCCGGGCGTCAGCTGGACGATCTGCGCCAACGAGTCAACGACATGCGCCCAGCAGAACGTCACCTTTGCATACCTTGTGAGTTTGGCCCGGACCCTCCCCCAGCAGGTGGTCAAGGAATCATGATAGGGGCCTTTTTTTCTTCTTTCTTTCTCCCTTTTCTTTCTTCTCGAGAAAGAGACTGATGGGATGTTGGCTGACTATGGCTATATGCCGGGTCTTTTTGCGCGCTCTCTCTCTCTCTTGTAGTATTCCTATCCTTTCTGGCCTTATGGGCTCTATGTTCGGGGCGTAGAGGATGCGTCGACCAATACGATTTACAGCCAGATCAACTTGTCAACGGCAGCCGATACAGCACTTGTGAAGCCTAATGTCGACACGCTGTACTCTCGTGTCTTTCTGGATCTGTCTTCCTCAGATCTGGCCGTCACTATTCCGGACATGACCGATCGGTATTGGGTAATTTCTTCTCCTTCTTTTTGTCTCCTATCTTTTCCCCTTTACAGACCTGCATCATTGCTCAAAACACATGGTTACAGACCTGGCCATTTTATGACGCGTAAGTAAGAATGGGTGGGAAAGGACAGAGCTGAAAAAAGGAGTCCGACATCTGGCAGCTGACATGATTGACTGATCCATTTCAAGCTACGCCAACGACGTTGCCAACCTCAGCCCTCTGCAGTCCTATCCAGGCGGCACATACCTCGTGCGTTACGAGCCTAACAACCCAGGTGCATGGCTAGCGGCCAACTCCACCAACTCCTCCTCCTCTTCATACGCCGGTTATGTCAACCTCCCGACGCCATATGGGATCTCTCTTGTGCGCATTCTAGTACAACCGGAGAATGGCGGCACAGCTGCGGTGAATGCACTGCAGGATCAGCTGCATGTCACCGAGATACCGCGAGACGCCCAGCCCGTGGCGCCTGCTCTGAACCTGAGCATCTTCTACGACGCGGCCATCGTGCCTGGCGGGCAGAGCATCCTCGAGCAGGGCGTGCTGAACCTCGGCGCACTACTCGCGCAGTTTAATCCCAGCGAGGTGGTCGCCGACAGGAGCTGGATCAACGAGACGCTCAGGGACGCCGGGTTTTCCTTCCCCAATGGCACCTCTGCGCAGCCCGCGGGCACAAACCTCACCGCTGCGTCCGCCTCTGCGAATGCGTCGGTGGCGGCCGAGGCAAAGAACACGGGCTTCGAGATCCAGATTGGCACCAGCTGGACCATGCAGAACACGTCGTTTATCGGGAACTACTACGATGCCTATTTTGCACGATACAGCGTCGCCACAGCCGGGTACCTCGCCATGACGGACGACCAGGTGCTCTATCCGGTGTACGGAGGGGCCTTGACCGCGTCCAACACGACGGTACTGCTCGTCATATTTGATTCGAGACCGCCCCTCGAAGACCTGGGCTTCTGGAGCCTGACAGCGTACAACGCCGCGGGGTATCTGATCGAGAACCCGATTGACGTGTATGCGCTCGGGGACAGGAGCAACCTGACCATGATGGACGGGAGCAAGTACTCCGACGGCACAGACGGGCCTTTTCAGATCCTCGTGCAGCCTGGCAATGTTGTGCCGCCGGCCAATTGGACGAGTAATTGGCTGCCTTCGCCGGCCGAAAGTGCTTCTTTTCAACTCGGCTTGCGGTTCTATGGACCGAGTGATGCTCTGAGAAACGATTCATGGACGTACCCCTCGGCCGAGACTGTTGCAGCCATCACAGCATGAGTCCAGTGAACAATATAGGAACGTCTGGGGTGTAGACGGGAGCCTATAAGAAATTAGTGGGTAGGAGTTCCGAGAATCTGCGAGTGTTAAATGGAAGCCTTGCCCGACAGCCCTGTGTCGGACTACTAGGCATAGAAAGGAAGCGACAGTCCTAGAATATTATTTTTTGGATTTCATTTTTAGCTTTCGGATCCTACCAGATGATGATGATCTGGGTGTGTGGCCGGCGACGAAATTTCAGAAAAGACTTAGCGAATGAAGGTGTGATGACGCCGTTGCGCCAGTCAGTGATCGCAGTGCTGGAAGAAGAAGATGAAGGGGAAGAAAAGAAAGGAATGAAATTTGGTTCTTGGGGGTCTGGCCATGACCAGCAGAACCAGGCAATACTATCCAAGAAGCATGCAAATAAAACCCGAGACAAGACGCGACGTGAGTCTTGGGCCCTTGAGCCTCACCGAGCAAATGAATGGTGGTGTCCATAGTAGGAAGATGATCCGACCTAGCTGCAGTTATCCTGAACAGGCAACCGAGCAAGTCGAATAAGCAGCATCGTAAGCAAAGATGGGTGGGCGGGCCAATATGAAGTCCTCCGGGAGGGGTAAGCAGAAATGTGACGTGGTGAGACCTTCTCTTCGCAGACTAGGTGCATCGGTGCCATCTGAAACCTCGAGATCGATCAGCAGTCGAGCCGAGACAGAAAAGACAGGATATGATGCAACCCAATGCGCAAATGCTTCCCCAGGCACGCATGTAATGGCTTGGCTTTGGCTGGCTGGTGTAACGAGAAAGAGGAAAAGGGCTTCATGTGTGGTTGCGGAGTAATGGCTTGGGGGAGACACACGTGCACGTACCATAGAACTCGCACTATGGTACTACGGTACATAGTAGTGGGGTCCTCGGATGTGCCATTGGACAGGGAACGCCTGGCTGCTGCTGCGGCTGCAGGAGCAGCAGAAGAGTGCATGAAGGATTGGGGCCTCCAGCTGCAGCTATTCACACCATCTCCCTTCCGATGCGGTAGGGGTTGGGCTTGTCAGAAAATCGACTGCTTGGATTGGCCCGGTTACCTCCGAGCGCATAGGCCGCCGGTATACCATTTCCTCTTCTGTCGTCCAAGGTCAGTTTGAACGGACAAATATCCTTGGTGTTGCGGTGAGGTGAGATATCCATCGTCATGAGCCCCCCCCCCCCGCCCTCGCGGCCTCTCTTTTGAGACAAGAATGGAAGACCAAAGAGAAAACAAAAGAAAACAAAAGAAAACAGCTGCATCCGAGTTGACTATCATGAGAAAAGGGAATCAAAAAGACGAGCAGCAAAGATACTGACTGTTTCACAGACTCGAAGAAGAATGGCTCTAGACGAGTTCGGCTATCCTTGCTCGGGTCATTGATGCTAGAATTGGCAGGGTCAGTAACTTGGTTAGTGGTAAAGGACTCGTTCTGCCTGCCTGCTGCATACCGCTGGAAGATTTGCAGGTGAGGTGATGGAGAGAGGCTGACGTGAGATGCGGTGTGAAGAGGTGCATCCTCTCATCTGTTTGGACAAGAGTCCGCAGCCGTATGAGGTCATGCTCATAGCCATCAAAAGATCCAGAAAGTGTTCGGACATGATTTGATTTGAGGTAACCCAAAGGAGTGCGGTCTATCGTCTTGCGTGGCTGTGCTTTCCCCACGAGAAATATTTTGCTGGGGGATGACAGGGCATCGCTGTGTTGCAAGAAGCGCGTTGGGGGCACTGCAACGCGGCTAATGCCATGGGCCTCAGTGGCTTGCGCTTGCTGCAGGTCCGCCCCGTAGGGCTAAGGCTCCCGTGGCAGGGGGCGGCCAGATACCGGCCGTCACCGCTGCATCTCTTGCGTCTTCCTCTTGCATCGCCTCACAGGCTAAGTTTCTGGAGAAGGTTGTCTGGGAGGGTCATGCTGCGGAGGCCGATGTCAACGCCGCGGTGTGAGTCTGGTGCTTGGTTGAACCGCATGATCTATTATCGGTACGAGCTACTGTCGTCGTCCCTGGATGGGGTTCTCACACACCTGCATGAGCTCCAGTCAAGCTCCCCATTAGCTCGAGGCAGAGGGCCGTGTGGACCGATGTTTCAGGCCGGGCATGACGCTATAGCATAGTGACTGTCGGTAACTGGCGAATTGCAGTCGAGCCCAGAAAACTTGCGCTTATCAATCCCCAGGAAAGCGTCCGGCTGCGCTCCCAAATCTAGTGCATCACATCATCTCCCAAGAGAGACCCATTGCTGCTGCACAAACGAGGGGTGAACTTCTCTGGTCCTGTCGGATTGCTCTGCATGTAGGGTGTTAGGTGTTGGGTGTTGGCGCAGGGGCACCGGTATTGACCCTTACCATCACCTGCCCGCGTAACTCTGTCTCTGTCTGTCTCTCTCACTCTCTTACTGTTGTTGGTAGCCACAGAGCCATTGTTGTCAGCTTGGCGCAGGCAACGTTCCCCTAAAATTAGTAAAAACGAAAGAAAATAGAAATCAAAAATCAATATTCAGCAAAATGATCGAAGTCGTTGTGGATGAGTGTCTATCTCCTATTGCGTTAGTGCGGTCAAACAAAGAAAATGTCACCATGCAGGTCTAGTGGTCCCCGGTGGGCTGAGCGGCGCTGCCTTCACCAAAGTATGCAAAACGGGACCGTTGGTCATCCCACGGCGCTGCTGAGCACATGCAGCGAATTTTGACCGGGGTGGCCCACGGAGGGCTGCGGACATATATGACTTTGCTGATGCCGTCTTCAGGGTTGCCATGAATAAATAAGATGGCAAACATCGCAAGTCGATGGTCCGGAGTTTGGTGTCAGTACCCCTCCTCTCGTTCGTTTCTTTGTTTTATTTAGTCAGTCAGTCAGTCAGTCAGTCGGCCCGCGCACAGTCGCTTCGTCGTCCACAATGCAGGGCTCGACTTCACTTCAGCTGCCAGCCTCGGACCCTCCGTCTCCGTCTTCAGATGGAGGAGCCAAATCGTCGAGGGTGTGCCTGAACTGTAGGAGGAAGAAGAAGAAGTGTGACAAGAAACTTCCCTCTTGTGGACGGTGTACTTAGTGGGTCCTTCCCCCCCCCCCCCTCTATGCTCTCATCGGCACCAATGTGTTCGAGCCTTGGAGATTATTGACGGACAAACAGCTCCCTCGAGTTCTGCCAACACGAAGACGATCAAGCAGCCTCCCGCTCGGCGGACCCGTCGGCACGAACAAGTTTCGAGAGCCTTGGAAACATAAATGCCCCAGGATCGTTTGCTGTCAGCGCTTTCTTGGGAGGTCAAATAGGCCCTGCCAACCCCACAATCAGCCCGGCGCTGTTTGCACCCCTAGGAACGACAGAAGACATACATCATTTTGTTTCTCGAAGCCTCGCCCAGATCGTAGGAGACAGATCGACAACTGAAAGCATCATACGATATTATTTTGGAACCATCAATGCCTGGTTCACTATCATCGAAAGTGCGAGCTTTGAGGAACGACTGGAGCAGATGTGGGCAGAGCCCTCGGCCGAGACTGGGCTGTTAGCATTGTGCATGCTCTTGATCGTCCGTTCGCCAGAAGAGACTCCAGCCGTCTCGATGCAGAACAGCCTTTACCATGCGGTCAAGACGCTTTGCGGTGTTGTTGTAGCCAAGCTGCCTCTGTCAACGTCCCTCCTGCAGGCGCACCTCTTGATCTGCCTGTACGAGCTTGGTCATCTGATGCCTCAACAAGCGTATCTGACTCTGGGTACATGCATCACTATTGTTCGTGCCTTCGGCTGGCTCGATGAATCGTTTTGGGGACAGGACCAGTGGATTGTCCGGGCCAGGGAGCTGAAGCTGTGCTCGATCCTGTGGTGGACCGTGGTATTTCTGGAAAGGTGCGCCAACTCGCGATCCTCCCCCCCCCCTCTGGCTTGTCGAGGCACCCAGACTAACCCGGCTCAGTGGTCTTCAATCAGAAGAACTCGGATATCCACAGGTTATTCCAAGTCTTTCCTTCGCGATCCCCTTTCCGGAGACGTTCGATCCAATTCTTCAGCTTTCTCAAGCCGGCCCAGAGCAGTATGGCGGGTCCATACAAGAGAGCACTTATAGATTTGCCAATGACGGCGACGAAAAGATAGAGACCATCGTGTTTCCAGAAGCAAAATCGGCATCCCTTCTGTCGCAGGTGCTGGTACGGACGAAACCATCAAGCGTGCCCACCCTTCCCCGCGAAACTCTACATGCCGCAATTGTGGACCATGCTCGTAACATTGTGTCGACGCCATGGAAGGACGGGAGCCGTTTTGCTGCTTTGAGCCTCGCATACACGTGAGAAGAGCCCAAGACCCTCTGAATCTCCCCCCCCCCCCCTTTTCCCCCCCCTCCCCCCTCTGTCTCTTGAGACCGTATGCTGAAGGCGGGCTAGTGCGATGCTCAAGCTCAATTATCCTCATCTAGGCCTCGGAAGGACCTCTCAGCCGGTCTTTGATCCCAGCGATAGAAGTGCTGTCCAGAGCACGATCCAAGTCATCGATTCGATCTGCCACAACGCACAGCTCATCACCTCGTCATCGGGCAGCCTGTCGTTCACGGGACCCCTGGTGCCAACACTGGCACACAGCATGTTCCTAGCGGCGAAGGTTCTGGTAACCACTGGAGGCGCGCTGGCGCAAGGAGTTGATTTTTCGAACAAGATACAACTCCTCCGGGGCTGCCTTGAGGTGTTCGCAAAGAGGTGGAAGATCGCTGGTAAGTCTGCTGCCCAGGTTACCCAAAGGAGGTCTGCTCAGTGAAAGGCTGACGAGTAGCATCAAGATCGATACGTGCAAGCACTCAATGCAGTTATCCAGGCTCAAATGAGCCGATTGCAAGCAAGATGATAGTTGTACATCCTCAAAGGAGACTGTGTCTTCTTACCAGGGGCAGAGCCTCTCCCCTTCCCCCTCCCCCAGGCGGGTGAATATGGGCGGTATAGCCATGATCGTTGTTGGCGCCGAGCGTCAGACGAAACGAGCAGTGGCTGGGTAATGGATAATTGCCATGAACATTTGACAACTTGGCTCGACACCACCATTCGTTATGGAGCAGACGTTGAACGTCGCCGAACTAGGACGGCAGAGCTGGTGTGAAAGGAACAGCAGGGACTGCTCGCGAGATACAGAAAGAAGAAGAGAGAAATACCCTCCTTGCATAAGATATAGCCTGGCCAGCATGAGAAGCTGCACGGCTGCTGGTCAGCTCATGGCTCATCGAGGGTTGCTGTCGTTCTGAAGCAGTGAGAATTGAGTTGTCTTATTCTTTCCTTTTTTCCTACGCAAAAACCTTGTTGGCGTTTTGAAACCTGGTGTCGATCATTGAGACTTGCCTGCTTCGGAGAATGCACCTTCCTCGCAGCTGCCTTGATGTATTACGTAATCCCAGACCTGCTGTTAAAGTTCTGATTAGGTACATCGTAGTGCGGGAATGCTGCCGGGTGGCTGGACTCTGCCACTTTGTGTGAGCTGATATGTCTCATCCTTCACGGTTCTTGCAGTACTATGGTATCACTGTATGTAGGGTATCATTCAGTGGTTCAGATTGAAAAGACGTAGTCGCAGATCTAAGTCGAGTTCTCAGGTCGGCAATCGGGTGAAGAGAACTAAATAGGTACTTAACCGCTGCGGGCGGTGCAACTCTTACCCGTCCCAACCTTTTTCTCTCGACCAAGTATCGCATTTTTACAAAAGTACAAGTAGAGAAAGCCTTACACACGTCTGCTCTGCTACTCACATCACTTCTCAGAAGAGATGGACGTTTCAAAAAACTTGGCAGCGACCTCTGTGCCTTTGAGTCACAACCACACACATGTACCAATGTATCTTTGACCTGGCAGCCTGCGATGCCACGCCTCTGCTTGTCGCAGATGACCCGCCCGAGTCAGATACCGTCTCCCTACCTTGGGCGCTTTGGGCCTCAGAGCATTCGATCTTCCAGTTTGTCACGTCACAAAGTCGGTGGGACGTGGTGAGCATGGCAGGGTGCGACGCCACCCACCATGACATGCGGAGACCGTTGACTTATGTTGAAACCAGCCACCCAAACTCTCTCAACAGACAACAGTCCAATAAGTCAGTCAATCGACACGAGACCGGAATACGGGACGCTCTCTCCCTAAAAACAGAGAGCAAGGCCCTGCCACACCAACACGGCGGCTCAAATGCATAGTCACTCAACTCAATCCAGTTTTGACACATTGCGGTCTCAAGCTCAGCTCATGATCCGTGCCAAAGCCACACCGCTCACGAGGCTGGCCATTCGAGGTCGTGTTCGTTTTCTATGCAAATCTATACACACGTGCTCCACGTTAGACATACGACGGCGTCCCCAATTCCCTGTTCTTCGATCGCCGCCAAGCCCGTCATCCCAGATCTACTATACTGCTTCCTCAGGCCCATGACCCTGGCTTTGGTACGGCCGAGATCCGTTCCCCCTTCAGCCCAGGAGGCGGGAGGGGATGCGCTGGCCACCTGAGGCTTTCAGCGACTAACTGGCGGGTTACCGTGTTATGCATTCACACGAACCACCTCAACACACGCCTTCCTCCCAGGCCCCCGCACGCCTCGTCAGCACGGCCATGCCGGCTCGGCACGAGAAACACGTCTTGTTGTGAGCATGCATCATCGAGAATACCACAGAATGATCCATACGGACAGCCTGCTCGAGGGCGCAAGGCCTCTCCGGTTCCTCGACAACGCATCTTCTGGTGGTGACGTTGTTGTGGAATCATCAGGAGCCACTCGAGGCTTCTCTTTGCGTGTTCAGCAGGTGTTGTGCTGGATCTCTCTGCAGCATGCCGTCCAGCTGCCAGCACAGCTTGTGTATGTTGTCATGGTGTAGTTAGCCAGGAAGGGTGGGAGGCGCAGTCTTGTCTCCTACTACCCTCGAGAGCTCGATGAACGGTTGTGTGGACTTTCGTGTCGTGTAGGTGAGATTGTTTGGCGTCCATTGACTTGAGCTCGGCCAGCCCTAGCTCGAGTGGCAGGTTCCTCCCTGTTGGCGCAAGATGGCGTCGCGATTCCAACAACGGAGTGCCAGCGCACGCCTTTCTGTTTTACTCTTTGTTTTTCTTTTCTTGGCTTCTGAGCCTCTAAATTCAGCCCAACCTGTCATCCCAAGTATAGAGGTAGTTCAAGGCCATCTGCTGAGCAGTTCGCAACGCTCAGACCTTGCCTGTTGTAGAATAGTAGCACGCCTGGATCCTGGGATGACGAGGGCGTTTCAAGAAACCTCATCTTGGGATTTGCATCTACCCAACCCCATGTCGGTATTCCGGTGCCCCTCCCTTTCCCCCACCCCCTGCTCATGGTGTTTGGTAGATTACCTCTCTGCCACCAGTGGATGATGGCGGCAGCCGTGCGGAACTATGTCATGCATCTTTTTTTGGCTTGCATGCAGGCGGCATCAGAGCAAGGATGGTCTTGTCTTTCCGGACCCCACGTTTAGTGAGTTTCCGCCAGCAGACCCAGCACTGCTCACCGTCTTGGACAGTGACACTGGTTTCTCTGCTCCTGCATTGATTATTCCCAGATCTTTCTTACATATAAATGGACAACTGACCCATTCTGAATCTGCACTAAGACAGCCTCTTGCTGCCCGACGGCGACCACCATCAAAAGGTCTGTCTGCGGGTGCGACTCAGTCATCTCTGTCACCTACCTGGATTTTATATAAATTTCCTTTTTCGGTCGCGCCCGGCCCTTTTTGTTACTTTTACTTTTGTTGCTGCCAATGACTCGTTTTGTGTCTCCCATCACTGCAATATCACCCTTCAATACGATTCGGAAAACAAGCAAGCCTTGTCCTTGAAACCAATCCTCACACCCAGAAGAAGAAGAAAGAGAAATAAAAGATGAATTCCTCGTCCACGTCGTCCTCCCCCTCGCGCACCTCGCGCAAAGCGGCCAGCCTTTCTCAAGTCTACTACTCCAACGCTGTCTATTTTCCCAACCAAAAGATCTACAATGGAGACACGCCGGGTTCCATGAACTATAACTGCATAAGCACTGTCTACTACTGCTTTGCGAACGTTGCAACGGACGGGGCCGTCTTCGTGAGTCGTGGAATACCCTTCTTCCTCGGGTAGCCTTCGGTTTTCTAGTCAGAGCACTAACAAGTCCTGTGCGCATAGCTGAGCGATGAGTATGCTGATGCTCGGGCGCCTTGTGATGGTGTATCAGGTGGCCTTGGATCCTTGATGCACCTCAAACAGAAGCACCCTCATCTGCAGGTCATCCTCTCCGTTGGGGGTGGCCAGTCGAGCCAAATCTTCCCCACGGTAGCTGCCAACGCAATGCTGCGCGACAACTTTGCGAGATCTTGTCGAGGTCTGGTCGAGGCTTCTGGTCTGGACGGCATTGACAGTATGAATTCTTCCCACGTCCTTTTTATCTTTCTCTTTCGTCTGTCTCCTTGTTTGTACGCGGCTGACACCCCTTGGTTTCTCTTTCTAGTCGTATGGAGATGTCCCCAGGACGCCGTTCAAGGCACCAATTTCCTCGCACTCTTGGCTGCAGTTCGCGCGTACCTTCCCGTGGAGCAGTACCTCCTCACGACGGCATTACCCGCTGTCCGGTCTGTCCTTGGCACGATCGACCTTCGTCGGGCCGCAGAGTACCTCGACCTGCTCAACCTGATGGCCTATGATCTGTACGGCCCGTGGAAGCCCAAGTCAGGTCACCATGCACAGCTGTATCTAGCCTCGGGCGAGAAAGACGAGAGCTGCACCGGCTCTTATGCTGTGTCTTACCTCCTCTCCCAGGGCTTCCCAGCTAAGAAGATCCTCTTCGGGATTCCCGTGTTTGGCCGGCACTTCCCGGGCGTTACCGGCCCGGGCCACAGATTTGGCAGGCCGAGTGGTGATGGCACTGTTGACTACGCCCAGCTCCCGCGCAAGGGGACCAAGGAGATTGTGGACAGGAGGGCGTGTGCAGCATTCTGTGTGGGCGGAGACAGCAACGGCAGCGGGTTCATCACGTACGATAATCCGGAGACGGTGAAGGCCAAGGCAGCTTTCGTGAAGCAGAAAGGTCTGGGGGTGAGTCATTCTTCCTGTTGCTCTTCCACCAAAAAAAAAAAAGCCAGAGAGACCCTTGTCAGAGACTGACTAGCGATGCTCGCTTTAGGGGCTTTTTTACTGGACCGGACCGGCAGATGCAAAGGACAGCAAGCGCAGTCTGATCGCCGCCGGATTCAAGGCGCTGCATAGCTGCTAATAATGATGAAGATATGACGACTACGGGCAAAAGGAAACACGCAGCGAGCATTGGCTTCTACAGGTTGGAGTTCTCGGATTAGGATAGCATGGGCATTGGCGATCAGGAAAGGATTGGACCCCCCCGCCAGGGACGGGGGGAAAAAGAAGAACAGAATGAAAAATCATGGAGCATTTCATTTGTCAATCACATTGGTTCGGAAGAACGAAACTACAGAAACATCAAAAGAATTCTACCACGAATTGGGAATGGACTCGGAAAGCAAGAGAAAAGCAGAACGCAGAAGGATACCCCGAACAGTAGCGAGAAAGATACCCCCTCCTCCCCCTCCATACTCCATAGGAAAGACTTGTTGGGTGAGAATTACAACAAAGAATGCATAGATCGGCGAGATTCTCAGATGTGAGGAGTCATTACCAGGGTGCGTACCATGTTGTGCTATGGTCTGATTTTCCGTCTTCTTACCTTTTCTGGTTTCCTTTACCCTGCCTTTTTTTTTCTTCCCCCCCTCTTGGTCAGGCCTGACGTGTTCACTCTGTCTCGTCATTACTTTAACGCCACCCACAGGTGCCCATCAAGGGTTCCAAAAAATAAGGGAAGCCACTTGTCGCACAAGCAGTTGATGTCCAAAGCCCAGCTCGGTGAGCAACCCGCGTGCAGCTTGGCACACCGGGCCTTGCCCCACGCCTTCCCAAGTAAGCACTTACTGCTGAGCCTGACTTGCATGCATATCGGCCTTGTGTTGTACTCTCTCGCTTGCGGGAAAAAAAAACCCAACAACAAAAGGTACTCCACATTCTTGTCCCTCACGTGCTAGCAGCACGGCAACCTTTACCTAGTTCCAAACAGCGCGATACTACATCAGAAGGGAGGAGAGAAAGGAGGGGCGAGCGGAGGGCAAAGGCAGGTGGTCCGACCCGATGACAAGGGATCTTGTACAGCAAACAATGGGAGGGAGGGGGGAAGAAAACTTTTTTTTCTTTCTTTCTTCGCTTCCGTCACCCTTCTCCTCTCTGTTTCTGCGACGTGCTTGTGCATATGCAGCCGTGTGGCGTGCATGTATGTGTGGTTTCTGCTGCGCGATGATGACATTTTCCGAGGGACTACCTGAACGAGCGGGGCAGCAGCGGCAGCAGCATACCACCCCCCTTCCGCCTCACACCCTCAGCCCAGGGTGGACAGCCCTGTGTGTATGTGTGTGTGTGTGTGTGTGTGTGTGGTCCATGAAGACCCGATTATTGCTTGTCCCGGGGAGGTAGGCAGCCCAGGAGAACTGTCTCGTTTCAGCCGCGCGCCGTAAGGCAGAGGTCCCTCTTCTTCTCCGGCAGGCGAGGTGAAACGGAGTGGGCTTGGCCCTGAAAGAGGACGTCTGGTGAAGAGTGAACTCGTACCCAGCCAGCCTGCCTGCATATGCGAGGGGCGCAACAGTTACGGGGCGAAATTCTCCCCTCCTGCTTCCTTCACCTGGCGTGCTGCAGGATGGAATGGACTGAGTTGACTGCCCACTGGTCCACGCAATCCGCTTAGGATGTTATTATTCTATCATTCTTCTTCGTTTCCATTTCTTATTTCTGTGAGTCATCATCAACTATGCTGCCGTCGACTTTGCAGTACGCCTTGCATGTTGGGCATCGATAGCCTTATGAACCTGAAACGAATGTCACGCTGCGATGCAGCCACAAAGCGTACAAGTGGCACTCTCCGCATCATCTCTCGTTCATTTCTACCCTTTTCCCTTTTAATTCACCTTTCTCTCTATTTCTCTCTATTTCTTTCTATTTTTATTTTTTTCCATTTTTTCATTATTATTCTTTGGTCCACCTCCTTTCTTGACTTGTTGTCATCGGGCACCGCGACTTTCATCCCTACAGCTGCATGTCGGAATATCGTGGTGGCAGGGTAGGCTCGGCTCTACCCGATGTCTGGGTGACATCAGTGACGACATTGGTCGAACCGATGAAATTTTTACCCAAGAGTGTGGGATGATGCATCTGGAATGTGCTTGGGGGTTTTGTTGGATTTCCTGTTTCGTTTCAGAAAATTTGAAGATTGACTCTCTGTCTGACTGCCAGAGCAGAAGGAGGGTAGGGGTAAGGGGGCATTGAGTGCTGCCACAGTGGTCTAGATGCTGACTTTGGGTGAAGGGAGGGGGGAGCTTGCTTTGGCACTGGCTTGGCTTGTCAAGCAGAAGATCTGGCCCCCAATGCAAATGCACTTTGAGGCATGACACTTGGGGCTTTCAAACAAAGTAGACTGACTACACTTCGCCTGGGGTTCTTTTAAATAAATATGCATGATCGTGGAGACTTGGAGGAGAACCACAGAAGTTTAAGTCAGCCTGGATCTTGTCATCGAAAATATGTAGAGTAGTACTTAGGAATTAGAATTGCTTTCAGGAGGTTTAAAGCCGGCTGTTTGTACCCCTGTTCGTTGCTTGCCCCTGTGTCTCTAGGCCCAAGCGCACTGGGCAGAGCTGAGACCCTGGAGCTGTCACTGGGGGGCTCCGAGCTGAGGCTGTCTCACATGCAACGTCGCCAGACTTGATAGACTTCCCAGAAACCACCATCAAGCAACAACCATGAATATCGTGGAGGGGAACAGCCTTCTCGACCCATCATCACTTGATGCTGGTATGTCCCCATTCTCTTCCCAGCAGGCCATTGTACCTATGGCCCAGAAAGTCCTCCCTTCCTGAAAGCAAGTAAACAAAACAACGTCCACTAACATACATCCTTCCGTACGGCAGTCGACTACGATCCCATAGACCACCTGAACGCCCTCTTTTCCCATCCCTCCGCCGCCGTCACTTCCATCGCCCGCGTCTCCTCCACCCTACAGACACACAAAGATGAGCTCACGACCTCCATCAACACCAGCGAGGCCTCGCAGGCCTGGCGGCCCGACTCGTCCCTCGAGCGCATGCAGACGGCCCAGGCGGAGCTCGCCTCGCTGTTCCAGCGCATCGAGGGCGTGCGCACCCGCGCCCAGCAGACCGAACGCGACATCACCACCATGACGGCCGAGATCAAGCGCCTCGACGGCACCAAGCGCAACCTGACCCTCAGTATGACCGCGCTCAAGCGCCTGCAGATGCTGACCACCGCCTACGAGCAGCTGCGCGGGCTGGCCAGGACCCGCCAGTACCGCGAGTGTGCGGGGCTGCTGCTCGCCGTGCTGCAGCTCATGAAGCACTTCAACAGCTACCGGAGCATCGAGCAGATCGCCGTGCTGAGCAGGAACGTCGCCGACCTGCAGAGGGAGCTGCTCGAGCAGGTCTGCGAGGACTTTGAGATTGCCTTCGCCAAGGGCGAGATTGCCGCGCGCCGTGGCACCTTGGTCGAGGCGTGCCTTGTCGCCGACGCCCTTGGTGACACCGCCAAGAGCAGGCTGATCGCGTGGTATGTCAACACTGAGCTGCGAGAGTACCGGCAGGTGTTCAGGGGCAACGACGAGGCGGGCAACCTGGACAACATCGGCAGGCGGTATGCCTGGTTCAAGCGCATGCTCAAGACGCACGAAGATGAACACGCCGTCATCTTCCCGCCGCACTGGAGGGTGAACGAGATGCTGGCCATGTCCTTCTGCGACGGCACTAGAGAGGACTTCAAGGGCATTCTCGAGAAGAGCATGAGGCGGGCCGACGGCAACAAGATCGACGTCAACCTGCTACTCAGCTGCCTGCAGGAGACGATGGACTTCGAGCAGGGCCTGGAGAGGCGCTTCGGGAGTGAGCTACCGCGCGCGAGCATCGACACGCTCAGCTCCTCGGATGATCGGACGCAGAACTTCCACGGGTCCATCTCCGTAGCGTTCGAGCCGTATCTGAGTCTCTGGGTCGAGTCGCAGGACAAGACCCTGGCGGCCATGATCCCCAAGTACAAGAATGACCCTCTGATCCCGGAAGATGAGGAGTTCTCGACCAGTGCTGTCATACCGTCGGCGATCGAACTGTTCCAGTTCTACAAGATCACCCTATCTCAGTGTGCCAAGTTGTCGACGGGAGAGCGGTTGCACGACCTGGCCAAGATCCTGGCCAAATACCTGGAGGAGTATGCCCAGCAAGTCCTGCTGGGAGTTCTCCAGCGGGGCGGCCCTCAGGGACCAGCACTGAAGGACACCGTTCTGGTTCTCAACACGGCGGACTTTTGGCACACCAACACCGTCCAGCTGGAGGACAACATCAAGAAGCGCATCGACCCGGAGCTTGCGGCCAAGATCGACCTGTCGTCGCAGGCGGACGCGTTTCTAGGCGTCGCTAGCGCCTCTGTCCAGGCGCTGGTGCACAAAGTGGAGGCGGACTGCGAGGGAGCCTGGCGAGAGATGAAGAACACGAACTGGCGGGACATGGAGAGCGTGGGCGACACCAGCTCGTATGTCAACGAGCTTCTGAAGCACATCAACACCCAAGCCGAAGAGATCCTCTCACTCATCGTCAAACAACAATACGCAAGGGCCTTCTGCGACAAGCTGGTCGACCGTCTGGCGGCGGTCTACATCACGAATATCGTGCTATGCCGTCCCATCTCTGAAGGCGGTGCTGAGCAGGTACGTCTGTTCTCTTTCGAAAACACTGTGTGTGCGCAGCTGATTTGCTAAATTTCTCTGCTTCTTTCTTGTAGATGCTTCTCGACAAATATACCCTTGTCAAAGATTTCGAGAAGCTCATTTCATTCCACAACTCATCATCCGCCTCCAACCCTCCAGCGTCTTATGTCAAACGCGTCAACCAGAGCATGACGCGCATCGACCCACTTCTCAAGACCCTGCAGGTCAGGCCCTCACCCCCCGAGGGTCTCGTGCAGGCCTACCTGATCCACATTGGGGACCGCTCCGACAGCAACTTTAAGAAGATTCTCGAACTCAAGGGTGTGCGCAAGCAGGAACACGCCCACCTGCTAGAGTTGTTCGCGATCCATCGGGACGGCGCTGGCGCTGACAAGCAGCTGGTCGACACCTCGCCCCTTCTTACGCCTCTCATGATGACCTCAGCGTCTGCTCTCGGCAGCGCGGGTCTCCCAGTCATGAACTTACCTGGCGGCCCCGGCTCGGCTAGTCTGCAAGGTCGGTTTGATGCGGCATCGCTGGGCGAGAAGCTGCTCAGCGCCGCGCGTGATGCGTCTGACCGTCTGGGTACCCCCACCACCGGAGGTCCCGCAGGTGCGCCAGGAGAGAAGGTCACGATCAACGAGAATCTGAAAAATATTGGCAAATTCTTCAGGAGGGACATTGGAGTGCGATTTGGCAAGAGGGATATCACTCCTACCGGAGGTGGTGGTGACGACTCTCAGCGGGGGTAATGGGGAGAAGGGAAAAGGGGGAAACCGCTTTTGCGGCCGCCAGCGCAGTAATCGGACAACGAAGTTCCATTTCTCTCCCTCCTACGGGTTCACAGTATTCAAATCTTGAAAAGCACCTGACGTTTTTGGATAAGCAAGTGGTCAGAACATTATCGTACATGCATGCACTGTATCTTGGGTACTTCTGGAATACGACGTGTCCCTTGACATTCTTATTTCCCCTCATCAAAACAATCAGAAACCTTGAGAAAGTTATCGAGCCTTATGAGATCGAGTAACACAACGTCCCTCGTATCAAGTCGAGGTTCAACTCTCCTTTTTCGACAAGATTGTTTTCCTTGGCGGGTTTGTGAGCAGGAAGGAGCAAGCAACAGGGGCTACAGTGCTTACAAGGGATTTCCTTCAGGCCCAGCTAGCACTAGAGGGATTTTTCTTTGTCAACAACAGCATCATCAACAATGACTATTCTAACCCACTCTTGTTACCAGAGGTCGTAATTCAACCTTTTTCACAAATCAAACCAGCTAGGGGTCTGTACTGTACGCCGTCTTCTTGATGGAATTGGCAAGATGGTGGCAACTCGACTGACTTCAACAGGGCCATTTCTTTCTTGTCAATAAAAATAAAGAAGAAAAAACGGGGATGACAGGATGACGGTAAGCATCAGATTGAAAGGGCGCCGAGGGTGTGAAGGTCATCTCATCGCGTCCACGGGCCAGGGCTAAGACCCGCTTGTTTGTTTCCGGTATAACACGCCATTGGCCAAGTAAGCGACGATGGCTGCCAGGCGCAGTAGCTTATTTACAGCAGGATTGCCGTGAGGCTGACCTCGACCTCTTCTCTTTCGCCCTGAGGAAGGGAGAGGGGGCCAGAAATGGTGTGAGTTTTTGGAGACAATCCCTCTCTTTCACTCTCTATCACGCGAACGTGGCCAGCTACCTGCATTGGGCTCAGACGCCCAAGCCTTTACCGTTGTACGTCTCATTCCATCCATCACCACAGTCTCGAGGCGGTTCGTCACGCGGCAATAAGTGCCCACTGTTATAGGATCCACGGATGGTCTCACTGCCCGCCACGACGACCTTTGGCACAACAAAACTTGGTTATGCACCTACGCCTGAAGATCACCGCATTCCTCAGCCCGTAACATGTCGACGCTGCTTGCAGAAAATGGTCTAGAGCCTCAACCCAAACAAGGATTGGACTGCCCCAAGTCCCACTGAGCTACGAGTACCATGCAGTCTTCGCCTGGCCGCCACGCTGTGCCGCTGGCATGATTATGCAAACATACCCGCGATGGATCGATTTTCGAATCCTTCCAGCTGCCTTGTACCACCAACCTCTCTGTCTCTCACTCCTTTCTGCACGGCCCCCTAGGTATAGCATAAACAGGGACGTCTCAAGGGAAGGGGGATGCAAGTTCTAGAATGAGGGATACACCTGGGACGTTTTCTGGTTTGCACCATCCGTTGCTCGACATTTCTAGGGTTCCTGGAGACGAACCGAGACTCGAGAAAGTGCGAAGCACACACAAAGAGAGGTCTGTGGAAGCAGTCGTTGATGACTTTTGGCGTGCTAGCACTGTGGCGTCAGTACCTGCATTGATGCTTTGGATGGATCTGTGATGCTGGGGCGGAATCTTGTTTATTTTTTTCCTTTCAGGAGAACCTGCACCGTCCTGTCTAGCACCACACAATCTCTCTCTGACACACACAGGCACATGCACGCTTGCAAAGTCACGTCAGCCTTCATTACCTGACCTTGCCCTTTGTCAGTTCAGTCCAGGGAGATCCGGTTGCCACTCGGCCGGCTTTCTTACCGATCCTGTCTGCTTACGTTGGGCGACTTCCAACCTTCTTTTCCTATCTTTTTTTCCCCCTCCCTCCTACTTCTTCGAACTCTACACTCAACCCCAACGCTGGTCTATTGCACACTGCCACCGCACACAAACGCATTCGTGGGAAGAGAGAGAGGCACCGATGGTGGATGACAGCCTCGGCCGAACACGTCGCCGCGAAGACGAGGTGAGGAGACATCTTTTCCCCCGACAAAGATGTCCAACGCCGGACCTCTCACGACGACATTCACCGCACCGCCGGCCTGCACGACTGCGACCGGCCTCTACCAGATATGGGACGCCACAAACACAGACTCGTTGTACTACTATGAGCAGGGGCCGCTGGCCTCGATGACGAGTTGTTACCCGAGTGGTTACGACCCGGTGCCTGAGCAGTACTACTCGCCTGGCTTGTGTCCGAGTGGGTATACTGCAGCTTGCTCGAGCACGGATGTGGTGTCGGCCACGGTGACGGAGACCGCATTTGCCTGCTGTCCGACGGGTGTCGTATACACGTGTGCGGCGAGCTCAACGCCAGGCCAGCAGTACCTGGGATGCACGACGAGCTTTGGTGGACCCCTGGCCGTGGCGGGCGTGACGGCGGTATCTGACGGGCAGTCGTATACCACGTCGACGACGGAGAATAATGGATTCGTGATGGGAGCCAACAGCATTGCAGTACGGTTTCGTTCGGGAGACTTTTCGGCCGGTGCGATTGCCACGGTAAGTTTTCTACAGATGACAATTTGTTTTCGATTGACGAACCACCTGCTGACAACCGTCTCTTCCTTTGTCTCTCAAACATAAGACCTCTGGAACGACGACAGCACCATGTCCAATAGAGACAGCATCCATCACGCCGTCGCCGTCGCCGTCAACGGACAGCAAGGCACTGTCGACTGTGGGAATAGCTGGAATAGCAGCCGGCTCAGCAGGAGGAGCTCTCATCATCGCCAGCTCGCTGGGTCTCTTCCTCTGGCTCCGCAGGAGGAAACAGAGGGCATCACGAGTACAACAGTCGAAAGGCCGATCCATCTCAACAACACCTACACCACTATTACCGCCACCACCACCGCCACCGCCACCAGCACCATCAAGTAGACCACCGCGACCACAACGGCCCCCAACCCTGCCGCCCCCACCGCCCCCTAAGGACCGACACCTCTGGCCGACCTCGCCGACCCCGAGCAGCACGAGCGACTTCAAGAAGCATTACTACTACTCCCATCGCGACGACTTCCCCAGGAGGTCCCGCTCCTATGATGACTTCAAGAAGTATTCTGGCCGGGACACCAAGTCGACCTTCGACAGCCTCCACGGGCCCTTTGAGCTCCCCACCGCAACCACCGCCGGGAGCAAGAACGATCTCGAGCTGCACGAGCTGTACAGCGATTGGCCCACGAGCCCCAACTCGACGACAGGATTGGTGTCGCCCACGAGCAAATTCTCACACTCGGCGTCGGCGAGAAACCATCAACAACACCAGCTTGCCTCGCCTAGGTCCAGGGACTACTTTCCCCCGCCGCCGTCGCCCCAGGTCCCCGCCCGCTATTGGACACCGACGCCACCGCCTCCGCTGCTGACGAATACGACGACCTACGGAAGCAGTAGCCAGCCAGCCGAGCTCGAGTCGCCGTCGCGTAGCTTTAGGTCGCCGGCGCGGCAGAGGCGGATGCCTAGTGGGCGGTTGGGGAGCAGCTGGGCGCCGGCCGAATTGCCCGGGGACTGTGAGTCTCCTGGGGTTAGTGGGGCCCCACAAGGATTTTTGTGACAATATCAACATCTTGTTTCTTATATGTTGTGGATCTATTTCTCTTTTCCCTTTGTTTCATCTTGGTGACGATGGCAAAATTGTCATCCATGAGGCTGTATGAACGTTAGCTGTACGAATATTCTGGGTTCTACGGTGGGGGGGGGGGGGGTGGAAGGATTGTATTTGTATCTCGTGCATTGCTTCGGCGCTGGACTTTGATTTCTTTTCTTTTTTTTTCTTTCTTCCCCTTTCATTTTTCTCTCTCCTGTCCTGTCCTTTATTACAAAGGGAGGGACGTATTGGTTTCAATTCGACATCTGAGCCTTGTCAAGCGCAAGATCAGAGGGGTGTATTCACACAGAAAAATTCCGGCTACCTTTCCTATTCGTGTAATATTTCTCTCTCTTTCTCTCCATGGAGCAAGGAAGAAGCAATTGTGGAGCAAAATCTTAGGAGGGAGAGAGGGACACTAGCATTGGGCTCATGTTAAATCAGGCAGGAAATTCTCACGATGGGGAAAGCAAGACAGAGCATGATAAGATGGTTGTGCAAGATATTGAGCATGGTGAAAGTGCGCAAACACATATCTGTGCGTTCTGGAGGGATACACTGGGTGTGTACAATACATAGCAGCGCGTGGTGAAGAGTTTACTGCTAGTAAAGCAAAGATTGTACCAATAAATCATACAGTCAGTCAGAATGAGTTTCTGGGTTCGAGAGATGTGTCTACGCAGAACGATAAAGAGTTCATGGCTGCGTTGTGTCCTTGAGGTGGTGAGTGATGTCTGTTCATATCACAAGTTCTCCGGGCTATGTGAGATACTTTTCTTAGCTGTGGTGTGTTTACATATTTCGTCGTGGTAGGTGTGGTAGAATGCGCTTTGCTGTGTATGTGTCTAGATAGCAAATGCACGCGGGATCTCGAATTGCCCATGTACTGAGTAATTGCACAAGTCTGGCCTTGTCCTGTTCGCTCACCCTGGTCTGCTCTTCTTGCTCTTCTCCTTTGGAATCAGCCGTTTTGCTACGCCATGAGGCGTCACATGAAAACACATGTGCTACAGTACAAGCAAGCCCAAGCTGGGACCCAAGGATTAATATTGTCTCCAGCGGGGTGTGTTCGTAGAAAGAAGACCATGGGGCGAACGGTAACATGCTGGCAGGCCCCTCGGCGCAGCATCAAAGAATCCTCGAGAAAAGGGAAAAAAGAGAAGGGGAAGAACAAGAGAAAAAGGAAGACAAGTCTGGACGAATAAATCGAACGCATGTTGGGGTAACATGTATAGAGGAATCAATTACTGGTGACTGGATGCCATGACGGAAACGCGCGTCTCCCCTTCTCATTGGGACAGCAGGCGATAGGCTCAGGTTGACGTGAATGCCACTGGAGCCATGTGGTCGGGACCAAAAGTTTGGGAGAGGACCGTGTAATATAGTAACCACGTGTGAACGAGAGCATCAAGAGAAGTAAAGACGAGAGAAAGAAGACGGAGGAACCTGGTACGCTTAGGACCAACCTTCCCGTGTTCAAAGTGACAGCTCGCTGTATTGTCCACACAATGTGACATCGAGCTGTTGGGAATCTCCCCAAGCGTAGACCTGCCATGCGCTTGACGAGATCCTCGGCTGCCCAACGACAAACTTCCTTCCATCCCCGGCCTGGCCCCTCCTTCAACAAATAGCCGCAACCTTTGCCAACCGCCCAAGCAGATCTATTGCCGAGAGAGAAGAAAAAAGTACCACCAGGCGCTTGCAACGTGATCCACACATCCACAAACGCAGGCACACACACACACACACACACACACACACACACACACACACACACACACACAAGTTTAACCTTGCTCCAGCCTGGCCAGCCAGAAAGAAGGGTGGGCGCGGTAACAAGCAAAAAGAAGAGAGGGGAAATAAAAGGTTGGAGTGGGGAGAGAGAGAGAGAGTACTATGTAGAGAGGAGGGAGGGGGCAAAAGTGACAATACACTTACCCAATCAGAGGACCAGGCGCGCGATGAGCCCATACTTGTCTTTTCCGCGGACGAATCGAAAAGAAGCTTTGCCCACTCTTGTTGTTTGCCGGGCGTCTAGATGCAGTGTGACGGGTGAGATGATTGGGCGTGGACCCCTGAAAAGGTGTGGGTGGTTTTTTTGTTGTGTTTCTTTTCTGGCGTGTGTGAGTGCAATGGTACATGTGCGCGATCCTAAATTTGGACCAGTGCTGATACCCTACCCCTGCCACATCCATTACAGTACCACCAATGTTGGTGTGTGTATGTCTCTCTCGCTGTTTTCTTTCTTCTCTTCGTGTAAGCCTTTTTGTCGGTATGTTCTCCCCGAGGTTGCCTCCAAGGGACAAGGGGGTGCGGCGACGCTCTTTTCAGAGAAAGATGTTCGTATGCAAGCCATCCCGCTAGTGGAGGGGACTTGACAGGGTCCACAGCGCTTAGAGAGGAGAATTAGCCCGTACTATAGTAGACATGCTTTTTTTTTTTTGGGCAGAAGGGCGGGTAGAGAGCGACGGCCGTGGCTACCATGCCTTTTCTCGGTTGAAGGAGGAGAAAAATACCCCAGGCAAGAGAAGGCGAGAGGAGAGAGACAGCCAGCCAGCCAGACAGCCAGACAGACAGGGTGCAAGGTATCTCGGTCTAATCAGACAGGCCTGTTCGCTTCGTTGTGGTGCACACTGCATTGCAACGGGCGGCTGCTGTTGCTCATTGTGATGAGTGGTGTTTTTGATAGTCGCTGGAGTAGGTGGCTAGCCATTAATGTTTGCCATCATCCGCCTGTGATAATTTGACTTTTTCTTTCTTTTTCTTCTTTTTCCTTTCTTCCTCCTATTACTCCCTTTTGTTTTTAGCTGCTCACCGTCCCGTCAAGCTTTTGTTCGTTTTATTTGCTTGCTTGCTTGCTTGGTGGGTTGTGAGGCTCTTTGTTGCCCCGAGTCGACCGAGCCCTTTCTGCATTGTGCGACGTGTAGAAGACGAAGAAGAAGAGGAAGAACCTGCTGCAGCACCACCATCACCATTCAAACTCGACAATGTACTCATAGCAGAGTGGATGAGACGAAACCCTTTTACACACCCTCCCTCGCCCTTCAACACCATATCCATCCCGAACGAAGGGGTCCAGAGTCGCAGACGCTCCACCTTGTGAAGGAGATCAAAAATAGAAGGAGAGGACGGACAAGGAAAAAAAATATTACAGGAGGTGTCAAGACTTCTGATTACTATTTTCATCCCGTCAAGATGTCGCCCAGATTACCACAGGGAGGCGCCTTCTCCCTATTCCCCAGGGAGAGATCGCCTTCAGGCGGAATGCAGCAGCACGTGGGGGCCGCCGGGTCCGGCCCCAGACCATCCATCGACTCTGTGACGCGGGACTCACCCTCCAGGACGGGAAGGCGCACCCCGCTGGAGCGCAAGATGTCCGTGAAGGACGGGAAGAAGCCGGCAGCCGTGGTAGGCAACACGGAATCATCTGGTGCCAACAACAACAACAACTACAACATCAATGCCTCGCTGTCGAAGGAGGAGGAAGAGGATGGAGAGAAGGAGGACCCAGTAATAATACAACGCCCTGCTCCTGTGGTTCTGGCCAGCTCGACAACATCGCCACCACCTCGCTGTGGCACGGCCTTCTCAGAGGCGCAGACCCTCGTGCGGGAGAACAGCACGCGGTCCAGGAACTCGATCGCCAAGCTGCCGCTCGCGCCTGAGGAAGGCAGCAACATGGCCAACGGAGCCCCAGCACCAGCACCTGTGCGCTCCATCTTCCCAGAATACAACCCCAATGTGCCCCTTGCCCAGCAAAACTACTACCCGACCCAAGTCAGCCCCACGAGCATCCCACCAGAGGCCATCAGCCGGCGCCTCTACTCACCGACCTCTCCAGACGCCCACAGCCAACACCAACAACACCACTCAACCTCCCTTCCCAATAATAACAGCAACAACGGGCCCCAATCTCCACCTCTCCGGAGCCCACAGAGCGCTGGGACCGCCAACACTGCTGCTCCACGTAGGTGGCCTCCGCCCCGCGCCAATGAAGTGCACCCTGCCCAGCCGCCCACTATCAGCACGACCGAGCAGCTCCGTGACTACTGGAAGGTAGCCAACGGGTGGAAGGCAAGCGCGAGCGAGGGGCGCGTGTACACCTTCAAGGTCAGCTGCGAGCGGGACGCCCCCATTTACACCCTCGCCTCGAGAGCCCAGCAGCCCTTTTACCGCGTCAAGCTGGATCCCACGAGCACCTCTGCCAACGTCTCCGTGTCGCGCTTTGACCCTGCTCGGCCGTACAAGCCGCCTGTGCCGCCCAAGGATCACAGCGGCAGCCGCAGCCGCAACGGGAGCAGCGAGAGCGTGGGCGGGAGCGGCCTGAACCTGTCCCTCGGCAAGGAGACCAGCGCCAAGGGCTGGCAGGAGGTGCTGGCCACGACGATCGAGGAGAAAGCAAGGCACCACGCCCCGCACGACGGGCTCGTGGCCCTTCTATTCCCGTCCGCGGCCGCCAAGTTGGCCATGGAGAGCCAGTACACCAACGCGGCGGCGTGCGCCATGGCCGAGCGCGAGTGTGCACGGCTCGTGTGGGACGACGACAGCGGGAGCCACTTCCTCGTGCACCCGGCCCTGGCCATGCCGTTCTGCGTCACCATCGAGCGGAATCCAACGTGGTCCCGCACAGAGTACACGCTCGAGCACATCGAGTCGCCGCAGCACTTTGCCCGCCTGACCAAGGACGGCACGGGCACGGGCTGGCTGGAGATCGACACGGGCATCGCCTCCAAGATCGACGCCGTGTACCTGGCTGATGTCGCGGTCACGGCGCTGCTGCTGGTCGCGCATGCCGACGGCGACTTCAGCAGGGTCGAGGTCTTTGAGCCGCCGCCGTCCATCGGAAGCGGACGGGACAGCAGGCAGGACAAGAGGCCGTCGAGTCGCATCAGCCGGCTGAGCACCAGGATCGGGACGGGCGGGAGTGGCGACAAGAAGAAGAAGGTCGGCAAGAGCCCGCTGGAGTCGTTCGAGCTAGACCTCGAGAGCCAGACGAGCGAGCTGAAGAACCACTTGTCGTCGAGTAAAGAAAAGGACGGGACGCCGGGCTGCGCGAGGATCCTCATCTCGGTGCTGAGTGTCACCTTCAAGTGCTTGATATGGTGCGCCACGGTCGCCTTCAAGGCGCTGACGGCTTGTATTGCGCTGATTGCCAAGTGCCTAACTTCTGAGAAGTTGTAAGTCGCGCAAAGCAAAGAAGGCAAAAATATTTGTTCATGATATGCACGATGGATGATACGAGAGAGAAAGAAAATATATCGGTAATGGTTGTAGATGATGACGATGGGCCGGCGAGTTGCACCTGAGGGCGTGGGGTCTCTCTTGGGTTTTTCTTCTTCTTCCTTTCTTGTTTATTTCTTTGGCATTGTATTTCCCATGATACCTCTTCTGTCTCGGCATAATTCGAAAGCTTCTTGCGGCCGGCCCTGCTTACTTCCCGGCGCGTGCTGGGGATTGACAAAAATGATCTGGGCCGTCCCACGTTCTTCCGCTACCTCTTGCGCTCGCGCACCTTGAAGTTCTTCCCTTTCTTAGTGATGCCTCCCACTGTAGCCGTCTTGGCCATCTTTGCCCGCTGCATCTCGAGCTCCATCTCGGTCTCCGTCAGGGCGCTGAGCTTCTTCTTTGCAGTCTGTAGCTTCTGTCGTAACCGCTCGGCGTTCTGCCTCTTCCGCATCTTCTCTTTCGTTTTCCTGTCGTCCATGTCCACCATGTCGTCGTCGCTGTCCTCCGGCTCTGGCAGAATCTCGTCCCTGTCCTCGGCAGTGTCGGCAAACACAATCTTTTTTGGTTTCGACTGTGCCTTTGTCGTCCGCCGCGGTTCCTCGTCGTCCTCGTCACTGTCAAGGTCCTCATCATCATCTTCCTCCGCATCGGCAGCAACACCGGCAAACGCGCCAGCAATCACAGCCCGCTGCTCGAGCCGTGCCACCTCCTTGGCGGCCACGTTGCGCATGGTCCGCAGGTAGCCGATGTCCTGCGTCTTGAGCAGCCGCACGGTGTCCACGTCCATGGCCTTGTTGCCCCTGTCGCCTGCTACCGTGCCCGTCCACCTCTTGCCGCCCGCGAGCTTGTCTGTGGAGAACTTGCCCCGGGACACCATCCCGAAGTAGAACTCATCTTCGTTGCGCTCGGCGGCCTTTTGCTTCAGGCTCTTGAGGACAGTCTGTTTCTTCTTGTGGTCTTTGGCTCGGAGGGCGTAGTCCTGGTGGAAGAAAGAAGAGAGAGGGGAAATTGTCAGCGCCCAGTTCGTCATGCGTCGATAGGGGGGGGGGGGGGGGGTTTGTTTAAACGAATGAATTCGATAGTGTGGACGTGGGAAACAGGGAAGAAGAGCAAAAGCGTACCTTGTGCTTCTCGAGAAGGCCGAGCCTCTCGCGTTCCTTGAGCTGGCCTCTCTCGCGGTGCGAGCGGCGTTGTATTGAGTTTCGTAATGAGGACATGGCTTCTGATTTTGGTAGTGGAAGGAAGAGGTTTGTTTGGCGGACTGCTGGGCGAAAGAAAGGAAAGACGATTCTTTGGGAGAAGGCAAGAGTAAAGTAGAAGATGGGAAATTTCCAGATTGCGATAAGATAAGGAATGGCCTTAGCGCAGACTCTCTATGCCTCATTCCTTCAAGTAGTTTAAAGTATAGAATTTGTTCATCTCAGCAACGGTTTCTAGGAATAAATACAAGCCACTGTTTTGACACATGTCTTATGTACAATCTTCCAACTCTCCATACATCCGAGAATGCCAGGCGTCCTGTTGTTTATCCGTTCTTGGACGTAAAGCGCCTGCGATCCACGCATTGTGTCGTCCCCATCAAACAAACCAAGAGCGCTTGAATCTGAACCTGAGTCTGCGTGACTTCAGAAGCGTTACCATCCTTACGAAGCTCATCGAGGGACCTGAAAATGCCCAACACGTACCATTGGTCTGTACATACTATAAAGTTAATGTGTGCCGGGGCCCCTTCTACGACACGGCCACGACGGCGTCCGGAGACCCCACAAAGCCAGCCATCACTGTCTCCAAGACCCATCCCTGGATCCTCGGTCAGCGCCGGCGGTGGGACGATGGCTTAGGTCGCGGCCCCGCGTCTTCTCACTCCGGGGTTCGTCCCGTTCGACTGTCCTTTTCTGGACCCCGGCTGGAACGTGCAAGGGATGCAGTCTCACAGCCTTCTCCATCTTCCCCCTTTTTTCCTTGCTTATTGTCCAGATCAATCTCTACGATGCGAGGCTGGATATGCGCCAGTGGCACGAGGAGAAAGAGACGTGTGCATACACGCAACGCGGTCTTGGCAGCACGACATCTGATCTATACTTGTACTCTTTTAAAATTACGTTTCCGTTCTCCTGGCGATCCTGGCCAGGATCCACTCGGGATGATCTCGACCTTATTTACTAGCATATTCTACCCTAAAAACAGACATGCCACAGAGCGTTTCTGGAACGACTCGTATATACTATTCAGGGGCAGACACTACTTTCTTCTTTTCTCCGAGACAGAAAACCGACTGACCAACCAACCTGCGACCTTGCAATTTTGTGTTTAGCCGCTGCTGCAGTCCTGCCCATGCCCCAGCTCCTTCTTTCCCAATACGAGCCAGGTAATTAATTCTAGTTCAGATGATGTCATTTATGTTCGTTTCTCTTCTTTGACCAAGCCCAGGGCCACCACCTTGTAAGGTCTGTTTTCCATGATTTATTCATGTATGAACTTGAAAACAATGTGGAGCAAGAAGAGACACAGCCAAATGGCTCATCAGCCCTGTCTGCCTCGAGGAGGGATGAGTAAGGTCTCAGGATCGGAGATGGGCATTCTGGAATACCTCCTTCCTTCCCCCTGCGTGCCTGCAGCCCATTGCTCCTACCAAAGGGATATCTACTAGCCGTGCAGGGAGACTTTGATGACTGCCAACAAACAGCCCCGAAAAGAGGGCCAGTGTGAGCAAGAGTAAAGTGAGTGAGTGAGCCAGTCCGTTACTTGGGCCATGAGCTCACTCTTGGGGTGTGCTGTCCACTGCGGAATTTCCACTCCAGACAAAAGCATAAGCATCTGACAAAGGAACGCAAAGTCGCGTGTCTTGCTGGGTTCTTGTCTGCTTCCTTTTTTTTCTTCTTTCTTTCCCCCTATCTCTCTTTCTTCCATACAGACCCTCTCTCTACTTCTTGTTCTTTCATTTTTTTTCTCTTTCTTGTCTCTCTTTCTCTCTTCTTCTCACGAGAACAAGGTCTCATCCTCGAGCTTGTTCATCTTCGACACGTTCCTTGCGTTGCGGCTGTCTTTTTTTACATGGATATCTCCTTCTCGTCCGCTTCCCCCGTCACGAGCCCATGGCTGTATTAAAGAGCCACCGTAGACAGCTACGCGTGGCCTTGGTGACAGTGTCTCTGGTCATCGCATTCCTCTTCACTTTCTCTCCATATCACCTCGAGCATAGCCTGCACAGGATTCGGCCCTCCTATGTACCCAGCAGCTACGACTGGTCGCGGAGGAAACAAGCACACCCGGTAGAGAAATACGAGACCCTTCCCAAGGGACATCCCAAACCCCTCCACCGGATCCAACACACCTTCGCCCCAGGTACAGGACGCGCACAAGAGTCACGACGGAGCGAGGTCAAAAAGACATTCAGGAAGTGCTGGGCCTCGTACCAAAAATACGCCTGGGGCCGCGATGAGCTGCAGCCGCTGGCCTTGTCCGGCTCCGATACCTTCTCGGGCTGGGGCGCCACCCTCGTCGACGCCCTCGACACCCTCATTCTCATGGATCTGAAGCCCGAGCTCGCCCACGCCCTCACCCACGTCGCGGCCATCGACTGGGACAGCACGGGCCCGGGACAGGAGACATGTTCACTGTTCGAGACCACCATCCGTTATCTGGGCGGCCTCCTCGGCGCCTATGACCTCTCCAACGAGACCGTTCTGCTGCGCAAGGCCGTCGAGCTGGGCGATATGCTGTACAGCGGGTTCGATACCCCAAACCGGCTACCCGCCAACCTCTTTCACTTCCAGAAGGCCAAGGACGGCGAGCTGATCCCCAGCGCGAGGGAGATCTCGGCCAACGTCGGCAGCCTGAGCCTCGAGTTCACCAGGCTGACCCAGCTGACGGGCGATCCCAAGTACTTTGACGCCATCGACCGCGTCAAGAAGAGGCTCTATGCGACGCAAGACCAGACGAAACTGCCGGGTCTGTGGCCGCAGTACATGGACGTCGTAAGCGGCCTGCTCATGGGTGACGGTACGTTTACGCTTGGCTCTATGGAGGACTCCCTCTATGAGTACCTGCCCAAGATGTACATGTTGCTGGGCGGGCTGGATCAGACCTACAGAGACATGTACGAAAGGGCGATGACGACTGCTAAGAAATACCTGCTCTACCGGCCCATGCTCCCAGATGAGGACGTCGACATTTTGTTCGCCGGCAGCGCCATGTCAAATGGCCAAGGGACCGTCGACCTGATGGCGCAGACCCAGCACCTTGCGTGCTTTGTGGGTGGCATGTTCGCCCTGGGCGGGAGGTTATTCAATCTTCCCGGGGACATCGAAACCAGCAGAAAGCTCACAAGAGGCTGTGCCTGGGCGTACAGGGTGATGCCGACAAACGTGATGCCCGAGGAGCTCAGGTTCATGCCCTGCCGGACTACCAATCTGGAGAAGTGCGCCTGGGATGAGGAGCGGTGGAAGAAAGAAGGCAGCGCGAGGTATCCCAAGGGGGTCGCAGCGGTGTACATCAAGAATTATTTACTGCGGCCCGAGGCTGTCGAGAGCTTGTTCTACCTGTGGCGCATCACCGGTGAGGAGGTCTGGAGGGACACGGCGTGGGAGATGTTCCTGGCCATCCAAAAAGTGACGAGTACGGAGCACGCGAACAGTGCTATACGGGATGCCACACAGAGCGGCGGTGGCGGAATGCTGGATAAGATGGAGGTAAGTTCCTTTTTCCTCCTTGCTTTGTTTCCTGCCTGAAGCCTCAGTGTCTTCTCTTTGAAGGCAACGTATCGTATTCTTTTTTGAGGACCTTGATTATGCTAAACTTTGTCTGCGCAGAGCTTCTGGATGGCTGAGACACTGAAATATTTCTACCTCATCTTTTCTGAGACGGACTTGGTGTCTCTAGATGATTACGTCTTCAACACCGAAGCACATCCTTTCATTCTTCCCAAACCCTGAATGCCCTTTTTATTGTCCATTTTGACAATATCCACTACGCGTGCCGATGAGTATGATCCACTTGACGTTGTTGCGTAGGGGTGAGTACAAGTCACTGTTTGCTGCCTTGTGGTCTGTGACGAAAATATCAGGAGTATTTGCTGACTTGGCATTCTAGAGCGCCACGTTCACTTCTCCATGACTATGGGCTGAAGGCAGTGCGATGGGCGGCAACTAGAACTTCCTTTTTCCCACCGGAACTCCATGGATCGATTATCAAGCCGCCGTGGCAAAGTCGGTACTGACATTGTCAGACTTCTTAGCTGTCTTGAATATGGGATTCGAGAACGAGGATTAGGGAAAGCAAAAATCTATAACGAAGGTGGATATTTTTAGCCGTGATAAATACCGGGATAGATTCCCCCAGAGGACGTCATTAATAGGGTAAAGGCCAACTGCACAGATAAACATCAACAATGACACAAATGTCGTGTCGAGATCCGGTCTTCATGAATGATTGAGGCTGAGAGAGACATTGCAAGATTCTATGTCAATGTCTATAGCAAGGATACATCATAGCAAACGGTACGGGACGACCCATGATACGGAGGAAGCAAGCATCTGGCTGGATCATACATATCTTTATTGCTGCCTTGACAAATAGCCACACCAACGTGCGACAAACACCACTAGCTGAACAGCTCATGCGGTTTTGAGTTCCCTAGGCTCCGCATCGATGAAGCGAAGGTATGAGCCTTCGCCGAGCATTTCGCTGTATTTGGAGAGAGGCAGCATTGGGTCTAACGCTAGGTGTGATGTGGTAAAATACTCATTGCCCTGCTACAGTCGAACTGGTCCGGGGCACACTCCGGTCATCCAAGCATAGTTCTCCTTTCCACACGCTGGTAGGAGGAGGCGGGGTGCGCGCGCAAGCGGTCCTGTAGAGGGGGGTGGAGAAGGGGGGGGGGGGGAGAAACCTCTCTTTTCCTGTGAAAGTCTGCGGCTAAAGACTCAGGTCGCGCCCCCGCTCGTGCCGTCCGCATTCGAAGAAGGGCTGTGAGGGCGTATCGCGGAAGGATCGAGGTTCTCTACGTTGATCTGGCTGAGGTCGATCCGCGTAACTCTATTTGATAAGTGTTAGAAGAAGAACATGAAAGAAAGAAGAAAACTGCCCTCGCATGCTCAATGGATGGAGGAAGGAGAAGAAACTAGAGAGAAGAAGGGTGAGAGCCACCCTGGGGGGGGGGGGACAAGAAAAGCTCACCGCTTATACACATCATCGACAACGATCCCCTTGGCCTCAATCTGAGCGATGAGGTCTTTGCGCTCCTGGATCTGCAGCAAAATATGCTCGACAGTCCTGTTCAGGACGAGGCCCTCGGAGCGGCCCATTCCTTCGAGACCAGGGACCATGTTGGACAGCTTGTCGAAGCCGTCGCGGATGGCTTGGCGGCGTTTTTGTTCTGTTTTTGGTTGGAGAGGTAGTGAGTGATTTGTTCGTAAAGTCCTTTATGGTGTTCTCTAGAGAGAGAGAGAGACAGATAGAGAGGAGAGGGGGAGAGGAGCAGGACAAAACACGCACCACTGCTGATGTGATTCTGGCGCTTTTGGGCCTCGGTCAGCCTGGGCTTGTTCTCGTCCTGCGCCTGGACTTCGGACATCCGGGCGTCGACTGTGCGAGCGTCGCGCAGGGGTGGTGACTGTTCTGGTTCTGACATTTTGACGTGTATTGGAGAGCTTCTTGTCGTCGGAGGGGGTGAGGAGGAGGAGGAGGAGGAGGACGTTTATCTCTGTCTCTGTCTCTCTCTCTTTATCCTTTTTTCGGGGGGGGAGGGGGGGCTTGGTGCAAGTGTTGCTGCTGTGTGTTCTGTGCTTGGACCGCGCTCTTTCTGGACAGGCAATATATCTAGCGGCTCGTCGTGGCATACGCAGTGTCTCTGGAGGAGAGTGGGTTGGGTAAGTAATTGCTATGAGTTATGATGCAGTATGAGCAGATGTTACGTTGGAAGAGGGTAGGTACGGCTTGAGCCCAAGCATGTGACAGAGGTCGACTGCAAGGTCCCGGACCCACCCCCGCACTTTTCCGGATGAGGCGAGCTACTTACTGATGGTCTCGTGCCTGTGGGGCATGGTTTGATTTATTGCGTTAGTGCTAGACATGAGAGAGTCAAATCCACTGATGATCCCTTTCCCGGGTGTTCCTCAATGTAAAATAAGATGGCAGTATAAGAACTGAGGCTATCGAGATGTAATAGCCCGGTGAGACAGTCGCAGCCATGGTTGTGTGTAAAAGTTCAGGACACTTTCCTGTGAGTTATTTTTTTTTTTAGTTTTTTTTTAGTTTTTTTTTTTTTTTTTTTTTTTGTTTATCATACCACTTCATATTGTGTCACCTATGCAATGGTGCCAGATTCCCTCGTGTATACTTTGTATTCGCACTGACAGTCATAGGCCTTGAAGTGCTGATCAAACATCCTGCTTTAACTTATGGCTACCGAACCAGTTCAGGCTCCAAATATAACCTCTAAATTCTCCAGGTCTACAGCCATCTTCCGTCTACCTTTGTGTGTCTATTTTGTCTGAGAAAGCAACCATTCTAACCAGTCTCTATCATCTATTATAGATCGAACCCTACCCTCTAGCCACTCTGTATTCCCCCAGAACCCCCAGCTAGCCTGGAACCTCAGCCAATCCACGAGGGCCGCCTCCCAGTGCCGCACAAGTGCATCCCACTCGTACTCCTTTCCCGAGACCTGCCGCAGCCTCTCCAGGTAGAAGCGCAGCAGCTTTTCCTCGCGCCCGTCCATGGGCTGCTGCTGCGCTCTGCTCAGGCCGAGCATCGACCGCGGTACAGAACAAGTGAACAGCTTGGCGAGGTCGCAGACGCCGAGCCCCAGGCCGACGTACTGGAAGTCGAAGAAGGCCACCTTGTCGCCCTCCTCGCTGGTGAAAAGGTTCTCTGACTTGACGTCTCCGTGGATCAGCGTCTCGTAAGGCGACACGCCATCCTCGGCGCAAGGTGCCAGCACCCGTGCCACGAGCTCCGCGAGCGACTCCTCCCGCCCGCCTACCGGCCGGCACAGGGCCTCGGACCACTCAGTGCCCCCGTCCTCGCACAGGTCGGCATATTCGCCCCGCCTGGTCTGCAGGTACGTGTATCCGCCGTTAAGCCACACCCTGGCCGACTGGCCCCCGCCTAGTGCTGTCGTCGCCGTCGCAAGACCAGCATTGGGATCTCTGACTACGGCATTACCATGTCGCGCGAAGTGCTCCAGCGGCGGCCTCACTAATCCGCCGCGATCGAGGGTACCGACGCGGGGCCACCAGTGACCGTGGAACCCGGCCAGCCACCGCAAGGCTCCATACACCTGTGCCTCGGCCAGAGCGGCGCGCTTCCCGCCCGCCACGGGGAACGCAGGGCGGAGGTCCGTGAGGAGCATGGCAGTCTTGAGGTCGGCATTTCGGCCCGAGCTGAGGCTCGCTCGACACGCCGCCACCGCGATATCTGGAGGCAGATCCGGCGCGAGGTGGGTGTAGAAAGAGAGCTCTATCTGGTAGGACAGCAGCTTGCGAGTGTGGCCCTCGTCCGGCTTGGATCCGCGGTTGACATGGGGCGGCGTGATGTACTTCAGGATCAGCGAGACATGTGAGCTCTGTGTGTCTTCCTTCTTCTTCTTCTTCTTCTTCTTCTTGTCCTTCTTGTCGTCCTCAGGCAGGCCAACAACGGCGCCGTCGGCCATGGGGGCGGCAAGAATGTGGCAGATGTGGCCGTAGCCTGCCCATAGCGACTGTAAGCTGCGGCATGAGACCAGGCGCAGATTCTGCCTCGCGAGCAGATCTATAGCGACCTGCTCGATGTTGGCCTGCGACTGCATTCTTCTGGAGCGGGGGCAATCGAAGGCAGGGGAGGGAGAAGAAGGCCGGTGGCAGATATTACGACCAGCAGAACTTTATGTCGTTGGAGTGAAAGAGGACGAGACAAGACCGGGTTCTAGAAAACCCTAACCCTCGAGATGTTTCGCTGGGGAACCAGTGGTGCGTGTGCTAAGCTACAGAAGATGAGACCCCCCTTGACCGCCTGTACTACCCCCCTACTGAGCCGCATTTAGGACCCACACTTGCCCAGGAGAACCGCCTCGGGAACGTCATCCAGTGCCATCAATTCGATCTTTCTCCTGACTCGACTTTGCGATCAACTTCAGATGGAAGCAGCCGCGCCCTCGACTCAGCGCTAAGGCCCGCCCTCGACCTCCTACTTCTCCCACTCGTCAAGCCCACTTCTCCTTTCCTCTTTTCCGCCATCGATGCCCTCCTTCTTCAGCCTCAGCATCTGGAACACCTCAGTCGCCATGGCCTACACATCTGTCCCCTCCGACCCTACGCCACATCACATCCAGGCTGCTCGCGACCATGGCATCCGGCTCAGGCAGAGCGCCCCTATTCGCAAGGGCACGCTACCATTCGAGCTGCCCATCATATCACATCTGAAGGGGAAGAGAGTTATACTGGCCTCTTCGTCGCCGAGGAGGAAAGCTTTGCTGGCACAGGTCTGTCCCACCCCCCTCTCTCGTCTATTGTATTCATTTAGCATCGTCCATGTGGCTGACACTGAAATTCTACCAGGTTGGCCTCAAAGATCTCGAGATCAAAGCCTCCACCCTCCCCGAGGATCTCGACAAGACCGCCTACACCCCCTACGAATACGTCTCCGCCACCGCCCGCCGCAAGTGCATGAGTGTATACGAGGCCGCCCTCGAGGAGCAGGCAGCACAAGCCAAAACCTCGTCAACACCACCGCCCGACCCGGAGCTCGTCATCGCCGCCGACACCGTCATCGTGAGCAACGAGGGCCGCGTTCTCGAGAAGCCGCACAGCGAGGCCGAGCACGGCCGCATGCTCCGCCACCTGCGCGACACGCGCGTGCACAGGGTGCTGACGGCCGTCGTGTGCCTCGCGCCCAAGGCCGACGCCAGCCACCCGGGCTACGAGATCGCCGCGCACACCGAGGAGACGAAAGTGTATTTTGCGCAGGAGGACGATGGCCTGCCGGACGATGTCATTGATACGTACGTCAAGACAAGGGAGGGCGCAGACAAGGCGGGCGGGTACGCTGTGCAGGGGATCGGCGGTCTGGTGTTGGTCGAGAAGGTGGAAGGGTGTGTGGACAACGTCGTGGGTTTGCCTGTCAGGAAAACACTGGCCCTAGCGGAGAAGGTCATATTCCAGCAGGGAGAGGAGGAGGTTCAGTGGTCGGACGAGGAGGGTCACGATGACTGATTGGGCGAAGCTTGGGTGTGGGGCGGGAGGGCTGTGAGGGACCCTCCTGCATGAGGAGCGTGGTTCATGATCTGCGTCTGGGGTGGTGTGTCGGTCGGGACCAGCCGAGGAACCCGACATAACGACGGGGCGGGGAAAAACATAAAATATAGAGAAAACAAATCACCACATCGGACAAGAGAAATAGAGAGAACATGTTAATAGTGATGTGGTCCTGTGTTAGAGTATAAAGATGCAAATAGTGGAGGCAGACAGCAAACAGGAGGGAGAGACACGTGCAGCTTGGAATGGAGGAGATCTCAGGGTATCACTGTACATTTTCCCACGCCCTTTCTCTTCTATTGATATCTATCAAGTTGCTCTCTCAAGAACTGGAGCAGCTCCGTCGGGCTCATGCGCACGTCTTTCTTTTGGTCTCTGAGCGTTGGGATCCCGGAGACGTTGACGTCGACACTCTGGCTCTCCACATTCTTGGGGCCAACGACAACAATAACGCCGTAGCCCTTTTGCTTTGCCTCCCGGACTTTGAGCCCCACGCTCCTCGCGCTGTCGTCGACATCCACGGCCAGCTGCGACGGGTGGCTCTCCCGGCCACCGCCGCCACTGCTGCCGCCGCCCACCGTGCCCAGCAGCACGTGCCGCGTCTCCAGCGCGAGCTTCCTCACAGGCTCGGTGTCGTTGACCGTAATGACAACGACCTGCTTCGGGTTCAGCCAGAAGGGCCACTTGCCGTCGTAGTGCTCGATGAGCAGGGCCATGAGCCTCTCGACCGACCCCAGCACGGCGCGGTGGATCATGACGGGGCGGACGCGGCCCACAGAGGCCAGCAGCTCCGGGTCGGTGGTGCTCAGCCCTCTCTGCTCGAGCTCCGGCGCGGGCGCCTCGTACTCCAGGCCGAAGCGCTTGGGCAGCTGGAAGTCGAGCTGGACGGTGGCGGTCTGGTGCTCCTTGCCGTCCGAGTCCCGGAGGATGATGTCGATCTTGGGGCCGTAGAAGGCGCCGTCGCCGGCGCTGAGGGTCCACGGCTGGCCGGTCCGGTCAAGGGCGCTCCGCAGGGCGGCCTCGGCCTGGTCCCACTCGTCGGTGGTGCCGATGTAGTGGTCGTCGGGCCGGGTGGAGAGCACGAGGCGGTAGGGCCCGAGGCGGAAGGTCTCGTAGGCCTCCTTGACGAAGTCGAGGGTGCGCCTGATCTCCTCCTCGATCTGGGCGGGGCGGCAGAAGATGTGGCCGTCGTCCTGGTGGAACCTGCGCACGCGCGTGAGGCCGCTCAGGGCGCCTGAGATCTCGTTGCGGTGGAGGGGCGAGAAGTCGGCGTAGCGGATGGGCAGGTCGCGGTACGAGTGGCGGTGCGCGCCAAAGATCAGACAGTGGCCGGGGCAGTTCATTGGCTTCAGGCCGTACTCGTCTTCCTCCGTGGGCGCGCCCTCTCCTCCTGCGCCGCTGCCTTCTTCCGCGAGTGGCGGGTCCCGTCTCGACGGGGATGTGCTCGTCACGGTGAACATATCCTCTGCATAGTTCTCCAGGTGGCCTGACTTGGCCCACAGCGCCTTTTTGTAGATGGTCGGGGTGATGACCTCCTGGAAGCCATATTTGACATATTTCCGGCGCAGGTACTCGACCAGCCGGTTGAAGATGCGCGCGCCGGCAGGGAGGAAGATGGGCGAGCCTGGGCTATATATGGAGGTGGTGAAGAGCTCCTGCTGGACACCGAGGTGGCGGTGGTCGGCGGGCGTTTTCTGAAGAGGAGAAGGAGGATTCGTGGTCGGCGCTGCGTGGTTGGCGCATTGTCGAAGCTGGGAGTGACGTGTTGTTGCTGCTGCTGCTGTCGGTGTTAGCAGTGGTGGCCTGGCCCACCTCCTCCTGTATATCCAAGGTCGTGAGGATATCCCAGCAGCCCTTGTGCCCAGCATGGCCGTGTGAAGACTTGTTGTCGTGGTGCCTCAGATCAACATTGCAGGAAGTGTGACCTTGGGTGGAACTCGGTAGCTTTTCTTTTGGATAGGCGCGGCATTGGGGGGGGATAAACCAACCCCTGCAGGACAGCAACGTATAGGAGGACCCACCCTAGCAGCCTGGTACCTCAATGCTCAGTACACAGCACATCTTTCTATGATAGAGAAGTACTGTGAGTTTCCCACACAACGCCATAGTGCTGTGAGAAATGCGGGTACTGTACTATCAGAACACCACATTCTCACAGTACCGCTGTACGAAGAAACCACCTGACAGGGGCCCAGATCACCCGCCGCAACCCACGTCATCCCTTCCAGCGACTCCCTCCACAAATAGTTTGCCATCTCGACTTGTCACCACAAAGTTGTGAAGATGAACTTCTTCAATAGATCGACTGTACATGATCTCGTCATATTTACGTGAAATAAGTGAAACGCAAAACATTTGGATCTTATTTCTCTCTTAAAACGTCCATCTGCAAGGCTGCCTACAGACACATGACTCACACTTGCATCGAACCGAAGTGCGCTCTCACTTGAGTACAGTACTACTAGTACAGTACATACAGATAGGCAAAGGCCTAGGCTTAGGCAGACAGACATCAAGCCTCGCCACCGTGCAACCACCACCAAACCCAACCCAACAATCAACGTACAACATACAACAACCACATTTGCTATAAATCGTTTCAGGAATCTGTGTTTTTTGGGATTATCCTTGCACTTTCTGCGGTGCTGCGACTCCCAGGAAGCTGTCTGGTCTTCTCTCCACCCATTGGTCTCATCTGTCTGGTTGGAATCATTGGGGCCGGTCCCGTTGCGCAGGCGCTTCTAACAGCTCTCAACGACCTTCTGAAGACCCAGGCGAGGAACAGAGGAGAGGTAGCCTGCACGAGGCTATTCAGCCCCCATTTCCGACGACACCAGACCAGAGATGGGCCCTGGCCGTGGCGGGACGAAGAGGCAGGTTCTTCCTGTCGAGACATCATGGCGCATGGTTGAGGGCGAACATGACAGCTTCGACACATCCGTCGTCCCTGATCATCTTCTCGACGACGACATCCTGTCGGTTGGTGGAAGCGGGCCCTCGCAGCTGTCCAACCTGTCACAGCTCTCGGGGCTGTCCTCACAGTCTAACGGGGACTGGGACTACAGAGGATCCTCTCAGGACAGCAGCACAATCCAAGACTTTATCACCAGAGCAGACGATGAGAGAGTCATCATGAGATCGCCCTTCCAGCCCTCCGTTCCCGGTGCCGTGAGGCGGTCGCAGCCTGCGCAAAACCATGGCAACCAATCACCAGAGCCGGTCTTCTACATGCCCCGTGTGGACATCGAGGGCTCGCGGCACACGTGGTCGGCACGTTCATCTGGGACCATCAAGCCGCCCGGCGAGCCAGCAGCCTACGCTCGACAGCGACGGGGCGTGCGCCAGCCAAGGTCGGAACAACGGCCTGCGCCTGAATCTATATTCGCCCGACCACCACCAGAAGAGCCCTCGGTCGGACAGCGCCTGGCCACCTCGCTGCCGCATGCGTTGTATGACACCCTCGCCTGGGCCTTTGGCGTCGTGGGCATGGCCTTCCGCTACGCACAGAAGCCGTTGGCCCTGGCGCTCGCCATCTACTTTGTCTTTGGCGCGCTTATGATCGCGTCCACCTGGCTCACGCAGTCCTTTCAGGCCGCACTCTCGCCAATATGCAGCATCCCAGGCCTCACTATGGTCGTGGACCTACCCTTCTGCCCCTCGCGGCCCGACTCGAACGGCAGCCCCGCGAAGCCTGTCGAGTTTGACAGTCTCATGAGCGCACAGGAGCCTCTAGAAGATATTCTCGAGAAGTCTGCCGGCTACATCAGCCTCCCGCTGGATATGATGCACGGCGTGAGGTCGGTGCGCAGCGTCAGGACGATGGTCTTGTACTCCAACCTCGACGAGAAGGACCTGCTGTTGGTCGACCTAGACAGCTTCATCGAGGCGACGGGCTCCGCCACGCACCTGCTCCATGCGTTCAACATACACGTCGGCTCGACCATCGACGCCGTCATCAACATCAACACCTGGACAAAGAGGCAGCTGGAGAGGATGGCCGAGGCGGAGCAGCACAGCCTCGGGTGGATCTCGAATGTCGCGAGCTGGATCTTTGCGCCTTTCCAGCCCGTCGTGTCTCCGGAACAAACCGTGGCGGAGAAGTATGTGCAGCACACCGCCGGGGTGTCCAGGCGGATCAGCCAGCTCATTGACGAGGCCTACGACGCGCTCTCGTATCTCGTGGTCGCGGAGGATCACCTCGACTCGATACACGCTTTCGGCGTCAGCCGGTCCCAGGACATCCGCGCCCAGCAGGACGGCGACAGGTGGATGAGCTTCCTCCGGCGCATCGGCGTCAACATCGGCCGCGTGCGCGACCTCGACGAGAAGCTCAAGCTGCTGCACCGCGTCGAGATGTACAGGAAGATGGCCGCCACCCAGCTCACCGAGCTCATCGCCGACCTGACCCGCGTCCAGCTCGAGCTGGGCCAGCTGGGCGCCGCGGTCGAGGGGCCCGACGACTCGGCCTCCGCCACCGACGAGCCCCTGCCGCTGGCCGTGCACATCGAGACCATCAACAGCGGCATCGAGAGGCTGCAGCATGCGAGGAGGCGCATTAGGGAGGAGGAGCAAGACCGGTTCGAGCAGGCCGCTGGGAGGAGAAAGGAGAGCGAGAAGCTTATCGAGGCGTTTTGATTCTCTACTTGTTCCGCGTCACCTATCATAACCACTCACTTTATCCTGGCTTTCACCTTTATTTTTATTTTTTTCGCACTTTTATTTCTTCTCTCTCCCTTTCCCTTTCATGAGAAGTGTTGCTGGCATGGTGTTCGGGATGCAACTTCTTAGATAAATGATGGGAGATCTGACTTGGATTTGTACTCAAATGAGGGTGATTTTAGGTAGCAGTCGTCATACATGTTTCTCTTTTGTTCTTTATAGCAGCTGCAGCAAATACAAAGATACCCGGCGTTTGTGAAGCAAATGTGCAGAGCGTGATCAGGAACAGATAGTGCTACACAAAATTAATATTGTACACAGGACATCATATACACAGACCTCGAACCAGTAGTACTCAAAGGGTCAAGATGAAGAGAGGTCCAGTGAAGACGTAATTGAGTCGTGAAGGTCGGCTGAACAACTCGTAGTAGATTGCAATCCAACAATGTAACTTTGGATCTAACGCATTAAATATCTGACGTTAAACGGTGTGGCCTCCACCTCCTTTCTTCTCTTCCCCCTGCACTTCTTTCCAGGAATAGAACGAACAGGACATTATCTTCATTTACTCATGTTCATCGTCCTCCTCGTCGTCCTGCACCACCACCACTATCACTCCTACATATTCTGTTCTCTATCCCCGCTCCTACTTCTCAGTATACAAAGTAGTTCTGTCCAAGAGGAAGTTCGGTACTCGGTTCAGCCCCACACACCTGCCCATCCGCCTCGACGACGTAGCTCTCCGGGTCGACGCGCATACGCGGCATAGAATCGTTGTACCGCATGTCCTTCTTGCCGATGTTCCTGCAGTTTCGGACGGGCTCGACGCGCTTGCGCAGACCATAGGCCTGGACGACGCCGTGCTCGATGGAGGCCTGGGAGACGAAGAGGACAGAAGTGGTGGGGACTCGGGGGGCGAACATGGGGCGGGCCTGAATGGGCTGAACAGTTGGGATGGAGGCATTGGGGTCGCCCTTGAGAGGAGGGGGTTGTTAGTGGACATACTATACGCAAGAAGAGAGTGGGAATTAAGAAGCCTACCATCTGACTCCAGGCGATCAGGCCGCTCTTAACGACCAGGCTGGGCTTGGTGCCAAACCACGCAGGATCCCACACGAGGAAGTCGGCCAGCTTGCCGACCTCGATGCTGCCAACCAGGTGACCCATGCCTTGCGCAGTGGCTGGGTTGACCGTGTACTTGCTCACGTAGCGCTTGACACGGAAATTGTCAGCGCCGGTGCCCTCGTCCTCGGGAAGAGAGCCCCTCTGGACCTTGTTCTTGTGAGCCGTGTTCCAAGTACGGAGGATAACCTCGCCGCAGCGGCCCATGGCCTGGCTATCACTGCTCATCATGCTGATAGCACCAAGGTCGTGCAGGACGTCCTCCGCGGCGATGGTCTCGGCGCGGATGCGACTCTCGGCAAAGGCCACGTCCTCGGGAATGTCCTTTGACAGGTGGTGACACACCATGAGCATGTCCAGGTGCTCGTCCAGGGTGTTGCGCGTGTAGGGCCTCGTCGGGTTAGTGCTGCTGGGGAGAACATTGGCGTGCTCGACCACACTGATAATATCAGGGGCGTGGCCGCCGCCGGCGCCCTCGGTGTGGTATGTGTGGATGGTGCGACCCCGGAAAGCGGCCGTGGTGCCCTCGACGAAGCCGGATTCGTTAAGCGTGTCCGTGTGGATCAGGCACTGCACGTCGAGCTCGTCGCATACCGACAAGCAGGCATCGATAGCGGCGGGCGTGGTGCCCCAGTCCTCGTGCAGCTTGAGGCCACACGCGCCCGCGATCACCTGCTCACGGAGGGCCTTGGGATCGCTATCGTTGCCCTTGCCGGTGATACCCACGTTGAGGGGAAGGGAGTCGCAGGCCTGAAGCATCTGGCGCATGTAGTTGGCACCAGGCGTGCAAGTGGTCGCGCTAGTTCCGGCGCTGGAGACACACACGAGACAGAGTCAGCATGCATCTATATGTATGAGTGAGGGGGGAAAAGAGAGAAGGGAGGGAAAGAGAGTGAGAGAGACGAAAGGAGGAGGGCAAGGAAAGGATATAGGGCAGGGCATCACAAGTAGCACGAGATAAGAGACACGTCCTGTTATACATACCTCGGTCCTGTGCCACCGCCCAATATGGTGGTGATACCACTGGCGATGGACTCTTCGGCCTGCTGCGGACATATGAAGTGGATGTGCGTGTCGATACCGCCGGCAGTGATGATCTTACCCTCGCCTGCAATCACATCCGTACAGCTTCCGACGACCATACCTGGGGTCACGCCCTCCATGACGTCCGGGTTGCCGGCCTTGCCGATGCCCACGATCAGCCCGTCCTTGATACCGATATCGGTCTTGTATATTCCAGTCCAGTCAACAACGAGCGCATTGGTCACGACGAGGTCGAGGGTGCTGGCACCAGGCCGGCCAGAGGCCTGGCCCATACCCTCGCGCAGAGTCTTGCCGCCGCCGAACTTGCACTCATCGCCGTACACGGTGAGATCGCGCTCGACGCGCACCCACAGGTCCGTCAGCCCCAACCGCACACGGTCGCCCGTTGTGGGACCAAACATAGCGGCGTAGGCGGCTCGGCCCATCCTACACGCCTCGACCACCAGGCCAGCGTCCGCCGCCGGGTCTGCTGTTGGCGCTGGCTCATGTGCAAAGCCGGCAGCGCGGAGCTTGGTGACGATCTGCTCGGCGCGGGTGGCGCTGACGACGCCTGAAGCGAGGTTGTTGCCGCCCTGGATGATGCGGTTACCAGCAATCTCGACGAGGGTGACGGTCTTGGTGTCGCCCGGCTCGAAGCGCACCGAGGTACCGGCTGGGATGTCGAGGCGGAAGCCGTAGGCTGCAACGCGGTCGAAGGACAACTGCGGATTGACCTCAATGAAGTGGTAGTGGCTGCCCACCTGGACAGGCCTGTCGCCGAGGCTGGTGACCTTGAGGCGGATGCGACGGCGGCCGCGGTTCAGCTCGATGGGCTCGGCGTTAGCGACGGGAATCACGGCACCGGGTTTCCGTTCTAGGGCGAAGTCCTCGGCAGCGGGCAGAGGGAACAAGTCTTGGCTGGGCACAGGCAGGAAGCTCCCGTACAGGGCACGAGCGAGGTCGCCGTCATCAGAGCCAATGGGGTTGTGCACGGTGACCAGATACGTCCCCGTGGGAAAGGTACCCTCGACCTGGATCTCATGGAGCGTGGCGAGCACGGAGGGCTGCACGTGCCGACGACCCAGCATGGTGGCGCCCAGGGCCATGAGGTCGGCAACGGTGTGGCTGCCATCGCGGATGAGCTCCTGAAGGTTGTTGGCGATGAGAGCCTGTCGAAGGAGGAGGGAGGGAGGGAGAAGAAGTGCGTTAGTACAAAGGTGTGGAGACGATTGGTATCACTTTGGAGAGGAGACAGGGAGGCAAGGAGGGAGAGAAACTTACGACGGCCTCGGCATGGTTCAGCTTGACGCCCCTGGCGAGGCGACGCTGGGCGAGGAAGCCCAGGGTCGAGATGGTGAGCTTATCAAGCTGTGATTGGCGACGGGGTGGATCGTGTTAGCAGGAGCTGGGGCCAGGAGGAAGGAGCTGGGGCCAGGACAAGCTCCTTCTCAACGACAACAACGAAACCATGACGATGACGGAGACGAACCTCTTTGGGCACGAGATGCATCTTGGTTTAGGCAGGGAGAGTATATAGGCCAGACTTTTTTTTTCTACGTCGAGTCCCTCTTCAACCCTTGACCTTTTCGAGGTGTATGCGGCATAAAAACTCTCACGAGAGCCGAATCCGAGGTTTGGGAGAGATGATGTATGTGTGTATAAACAAGTGTATAATATCTGATTCGTGTGTATATTTAGATGTACATGTGTAGATTCTGGTGGATAGATAGGATCGATCAGATAGAGATAGGCAGTGAGAGGCTCTATTGCGGGTCGAGGTTCCAGAGCCTAGGGTGTGTGGGTGTGGGAAGGGCGGGAGAAAAAAGGAGCGTACGTAATTCGAGAAGACGGAGACAAGGAGATGGGCCAAGGTTATTTCGAGAAAGGGCACTGGAGAGGGGAATGAGAGAAGGGCGGGAAAGATGGGAATAGCTAGCGGATAAAAAATGGCGAGACTCTTTCCTTATATTTGAAGGAAAGAGAGAGGGAGGGAGGGAGGGAGAGAGGGAGAAGAGGCAAAGAGCCATGCATCACATCCCAATCCATCCATCCATCCAGCCAGCCAGCCATAATCAAACCATGCACTCACTACATTTGCATCCCCATTCATCATTCATCCATCATCCCTCCATCCCTCCATCCTGGACCTCGTCATTCACGTCTACAGAAGTAGGTACCATACTTACTATTTCAGTCATCCGCCCATCCATCTATCCAAAACCTAACCAAACAAGTCCAGAACGATGACCTCTTCCCACTCCTCCTTCCTCCCCCGCCCTACTTGCGCAAGAAAGTCCAAGCGAGCTCATACATACAAACTATAGATATGCAATGCACCTCCTTAGACACCCCCTCCACGATACATGGCAGGCGACATGTTATATTTCCTCTCACTCTTTGCCTTCTCCTTCTCGTCTTCCATCACTTTTTGTTGGTTTTGATGCCGTTCTAGTCTCTAGTACGCCCGAGAGACCCGTAAAAACATCAGTCCACTACCCACGCGGAAAAAGTAACTCCCCCTCCTTCTAACATCCCTTGGCGCTGAGAGCAACAGGGGAAAACACAGAGAGCGCGAACGAGCGACAGCCCTGCACATCGGGCTTTGAGCTCTAGACGTTCTGTTGCAGTCAACAACTGAAAGGTGGGCTCTTGGCGGTGCCGATTACACGCTTCGAACGGTCTAGAACCCTTGCAGCCACCCCATTGTTTTTGATTGTCCCGCGCGCGTCAGGGTGGAGAGCTGCAGCCACAGAAGCTCCAGCATCAGCACCTCGGAAAAAGTTTACTTGTTCCAACGGCCCTTAATGTACCGTAGTACAGTATACAACCCCACCCCCTCTCTCCTGGCAGGTGCTTGATCTGACAGCTAGCCGAACGCGGGGGGAGCCCTGGAGGGGGGGGGGGGCAGGGTCTGCAGCAGCATGGAGATCATCATGGGGCATAGGCATCTCAAAACCGACATAGGCTGGTCAGACTTTCCTATAAAAATTGGTGGTGGTGGTGCACATGAGCGCCCAAAGATGCGAGGCCGCTCGAACAACGTCTATCACATCCCGTCCTTGTCCTATGCTGCGCTCACGGTCGCCTGCATGATGCAAGGACTTGGCAGCCTCGTATCGCCATGGTGTCTGCACGTGCTCACTCTTTCGCTGCGCAGGAGCAACAAACTGCTCGACTGTGTCGGGCCGGTTTTTGGGACCTAGGTGCATATTTCACCATGTACCCACTGCTATGTACTGTCGTAGTGAGCCCATCCCTCCTCCCACCCCTGCCTGCATATCCTCTTCTTGCGCGCCAGGAGAGAATGGGTTGGTACCAAGGTAGACCCAATGTCCCTGATCATCGCACATACACCATATAGTACATGACGACCCAGGTAGCATCGTATCTGCTTCGTGTACCGTGACTGGTTACGCCCGAGGGAGCCTCAAATTATCTCGTACCCTAAGCAGTCGTGTCCTCCGCCGAGTGCCGGGGCAGGTTTCTAGATCAGAAAGGTAGGCATGTAAATGAGAGTGTGGATCGTAGAATGGATGAATGTATGTGCACTTCTCTTCAAATGCAACAATGACAACGAGGAGTCGCGGCGCAAGTCGTTCTTCTCGGTCCTTGCGGCCCAACCCGCAGCGTGCCGGACCCCCCCCCCCTCTCTCTCGCACAGGTCTGGCCGAGCTACGAAAAGTAAAACCCAAGCTGACGGCAGCGAGCTTGTCTGCGGAAACTCTGATGCTTTGTCGCCTTCTTCTTTCGAGCGGCGCTCTGGATACAAGTAATGCATGGGCATAAATAAAGTGCTGGAAATGATATTATATACACACAAGGATCTTATTTACACCGAACATCTGCCTCCTCCTACACTGACGTATTGCCATCCTCCTGATGAGTATACCTCCTTCCAGGGTCGGACATTCAGCTGAACATGTAATGTGCAGCATAACATAGTCCAAACCTTATACGTAAGTACAGCTTTCCCGAGAGAGAGAGAGAGAGAGAGAGAGAGAGAGAGAGAGAGAGAGAGAGAGAGAGAGAGAGAGAAGCAAGAAGAAATGAATGCATATCTCTTCCTCTCTCTCTGTCCCACACACACACACACACACACACACACACACACTCACTCATATCAATGTACCTTTGTTATACCCGTACTACTATTGATACCGTATCTCAACAGACCTTGGGTGTGAAATTCTACTTAGTGGTTACATACCTAATCCCTTTAATTTTTCCCCTTTCTCTCGATGAAATGGCTGCGACCCACACAGGCCACTACCACTACCTACTACTACTACTAGATACTAGAAACCAAATAGGGAGTATACGTATGCATGTCTCACAGTGAGCAGACGCTGCTCCTGCTGCTACTGCTGGGGATCGCAGGCAGACCCTCCCAGCTCATGCCACCTGAATACTTACTATGCAATACTTGTAAGCCACCCAGAGACAACTACCAACCCGCCCGCCCGCCTCGACCTGGGGACCTGCCTGCTGCTAAAGTGTCAAAAGTGCTTTGGGACAGATTTCCGTTTCCCAGGCCCAGCTTTTTAGCACGCCCTGCAAGGACAACAGGACACCGTTCGCTAGAGCCCCGAGGGCTCGACGACTCCCTTCTTCTCTTCAGGGGCCCCTTGACCAATCTATCAACGCAACTTCAGGCAGCAGCAACAGCAGCAACCGCCCTGCGCTCAAGAAAACAAGGAACCACTGAACTCGCCAGTAAAACAGGACATTTCAACAAGAGTGTGCAAATCAGAATTTCATTCTCGTAATTGCCTGCAGCTCAAACCATATACCAGGTACTCCCTTCAAACACGAAAACTAGTACTAGTAGTTACACTCCGAAACAGAATCTACAGAAACAAGTCATAAGGCTTCCGTCCGGCCTGCCAGGGTCGATACGCCCTCCACTTAACATGCCGAGACGGGCTCCAGCCGTCCATACTTCTTCCATTCATGACCACCAGGTCAGCCGTCAGTCAATAGGATGAAAAGCAGTAGACCCAAGTCATTTTTCCAGTAGTTCCGTCGCCGCCTCCCCTCCCCTTCCTACCAGCCCATTCAAGACAGACCACTTCCGTGGTCGCACACCAAGGCAAGTAAAGTAAAATCACACAAGCCAGACAAGACGAAAAGAAAGAGAAAGGGAAAATAACAAGGCCAATTTCCACAACAGCATGTTCATACTTTCCTCTGGTGTCATATGCAGAGTGTGCCCAAAGTCCCTGGATGTTGGCACGGCGAACAAAGTGTCGAATGCCGGGATAAGCCTTCTCTGGGACCAGAAGGGGGAAGGTCGGCGGAAGAACAAGACGGTTCTTGCTGTGTTTTTGTTACTAACACGCCATGTTGGCCGTTGTGGCGTTTGGCGAAAAGACATCAATCATCAGGTCCGAGCCTGCTGTCGAGACAAGGAGGCGAGACCGACAAGTTTGCTTCTTGGTCTTTTTTTTTTTCTTCTCTTTTTCTTTGGTTTGCTAGTGAACTGGCTGAAAACAGGTCGAGAGCCGCACCGAACAGAAGAGGTATCATCGTTGAAATTGGAAGAGAGCCGGGTCGATAGCATGATCATATTGGGAGGGGACCGCCTAACCGCTCTTAGCCTTCTTGCGTCCCGACTTCTTGGGTTCATCCTTCTCGGGCTGCTCTACCGGCTTAGCAGTTGTCCTCTTGCGCTTCTTGTCCGGGCTGGCAGCACCGGTAGAAGCCGCCGCGGGGGTGGCCTGCGCGGGCTCGACCTCGCTCTTGCGCTTGCGGGATGCCTTGGCCTTGGGCGTCTTGCTGGTCGGCTCCTCGACAGCGGCAGGAACAGCAGCATGATGCTGCAGCTGCTCAGCGATGGCCGCGCTGTCGTTGACAGGATCGACCTCGACGCCGCCAACTGGGGGCATAGGAATGTTGAACTCCTCGCAGTAGCGGACAGCCTCCTCATCGGACATTTCCTTGGCACTCACGTTGCCCGCCTTGTACGAGTGGACACGAGCATTGTACAGACGCAGGTTGTACTGGTAGGCTTGGTTCCAGCCCTGGTATGGTGCATTAGCAAATGCGCTGGGCACAAAGAGGAAGGGAGAGGGACCAAAAAAAGAAACCGGGGAGGGGGGGGGGGGGGTAGGAGAGACTGACCAGCTTCTCCTGGGCAGACATGGAGGCCCAGCGGCGCTGGCCCTCCTCCTGGACGGCACCCTTGGGGACGCCCTCGCCTAGGTCTGCAGCAATGATAGGACGGGCAGTCTGCATGTAGAGGAAGTAAGGAGTCAGAGGGCGCTTAGGAGCATTGGGATCATGCTGGCGCTTCTTGCGCTCCTTCTTCTCATCGACAGCGGGGACGACAGGAGTAGCAGGGAGGGGTTGAATGGGAGGGGCAGCGACGACGGGCTGAACATTCAGCAGGCTCTCCAGGTTCTGGTTGAGAACATCATCGCCATTGAGAAGAGCGGGTTCTCCAAGCAGCAGGTTGGTCTGCGTGAGGTAGTCCGCGGCAAAGGATCCTATTATGCCCTGGATGGTAGTCAAGCGCGAATAAACCTGTCGATGGTGTCAGCAATCCATATGTTCAGATATGACCCTGTCTGTCTCGTGTCGACCTTGGTCGACATGATATGATGCACTGAAAATGCCCGCGGACTCATTTCTTGACGCGTTATGAGAAAACAAGGGGAGGGTTGGTTGCGCGACGACGCGTTGCAGTGCACGACATAGAACCAGATTGTGTCTGGATTTCTGACGTTGCAGCGTGATCACGTGTGAAATGATGGGGATAGAGGAATTGGGACCGTGAGACTTGTGATACGAGAGGCGTTGTTGACCATGAGGTGTTGGCAGATGAGTGATGTCGCATGGACGCGACTGACAACGTCATGTACATAATTTTAGGTTGGGGGTAGATTTGAGAAGGGGGTGATTGAAGAAAAAATCAGTCGGGCCCCTGCCAACACACTTGCATCTGATTGAGATGTGTTGGCTGTTGGCGACGTTGTCAAAGTAGTTGTTGTCATGCTACTGGGGATGTGTAGGGCGGAAGTTTGTTTGTTTTGAATGGGCTGATGATGGGGAGGGTTGCTGGGGAGGGGAGTGGGGGGACGGCCTCTGCTTGAGTTCGCGCGTAGGGATTGTGGAAGATGATGAGACGGGTTAACGTACGCTGTCGCGGACACGAATGAAGTTGCTGACGTCGATGGTGCGGCCTTGAGGGTTGATGGCGGGCACAGCGGGGACAGGAGGAAGAGGAGCTGGGGCGACAGCCTGAGGGTGAGGCTGCATAGCCGGGGCCAGCTGCTTCTGCTCTTCGGCCTTCTTGGAGCGCGCCATTGTTGTTTTGTTGTTGTTGCTGAAGGCGGGGGGGTTGCTGATGCTGTTGCTGTTGTGTCGTGTTGTTGGGTCCACTGGCGAGTCGAATCGCTGGAACCGAGATGGGCTGGCTGGGTGCTGTTGTTGCTGCTGTTGCTGCTGGAGGCGGGCGGGTGGTTGGGTAAAGTTTAGCGGTGAATTGTTCAGGCGGTCTTTTTGTTCGATGCCTGTAACGATGATGGTGTTTGGCTTAGGAAGCCCTGAGAAGCCTGGCGGTTTTTCTTGGGTGCAGGTTGCTGGGGAATGAAAGAGGAGAAGGAGTCGGGAACAGCGAGAGCCTGGAAAGGTGGGCGGGTCGCTTCCTTATTGAAAAATTGGGGGCCTCAAGAGCTGCTGCTGATTTCTAGCGGGTGGGCGGGCGGTGGGCTGCTGCACGCTGAATCAAAAATTGGAGTAAGTCAGTCAGAGGGGAAGGCGGGAGAAGGGAAAGGGGGGGTCTAGGGCCACCCGCCCCAGTGGAAACTGCTGCCCTGGCCCATTTGATTGTCCAACCCAAACCAAAAAGGCGTGCTGCAAGAAGAAGAAAAAACCCTGGCTGGACCTGGAAATCAGCAGATCAGTCCTCCCTCCAGCTGCCCTTCTGATAAACCCCGTCCACGCCCGCCCACCTCTCTTCCGTCAAAAGCACCCTTCTAATATCACAGAGGACCATCCCCCCGGGAAACAGGTTCTTGCAACGCTCCGAACTCGGGTTTCAGCACTCTCAGTGCCAGCTCTCTCTGCCTGGTGCGTTGGAACGCTAGAAGATCGCAGCGCATAGGACTCAACCCCTATCGAATCGAGTGCTTCTGCTCTGCCGCACCACCTGCGCAATGTTCACTATGTGCATTCCTAAAGTACCCCTGTCACACCTTTCCCAAGGGCTCGAGTGCAGCACGTATTCTATTTCAGCTTCAGTGTTCCAAACAACTTGCAGCTCCAGAGACAATCTACCGTCATGAAGCGCATCTTCCAGTCATGAAGTCTACTGTAGGTAGATGGCATTTCGAAATCCGTGCAGCCTGGATTTCTGGTACCTTTCTCAACGCGTCAAGTTTTAATCCCTCTCTTCATTCTCCTTGTTTTTCTTCTCGGTCCAGAAAACCCCCTCGCTTTCCTGGCGCGTCACACGAGCTGTGCGACCTTCTACAAACAAGCTTGGGATCACTACGGTACACTTTGCCTAGCAGCAGGAAAAGAGGGGCTTGGGCACTCAGGTCTGGGTGCCGCTGATTCCATGGCTACCTTAGGCCAATAAGGGCGCTCCTCTAGGCTTGGCAGGGGTTGGGGCCAGCAGCGCTAACAAGGGCAAGCTCCGTCTTGCCGAGGAGCTCGCAGGTTCTGGGGCCTGCAGTGACACACAGCCACGATGCTGAAAATCAGCGCACCCATCTCCCTTCACCTTACCCCCCCCAGCCCCCCGACCCCCCCTCTCCCGTCCCCAATGACTAGACTGACCTAGGTGCTGCCTCTCTCGCCCGCCCAACCCGTCGGCATGGTGTTCCCCCCAACGTGTCTGTACAAGCCGCCCCAAGGACTGGCTGGTCTGCTGGAATGCCCCAAATACTGGCGTGCGATGCACCAGATCTGCTACACCAAAAGACTGAAACGTTGTCGCCCAGCAGAGCACATACATAGCCAAATGGTCCAGACTCCGGTAAAACAAAACACGCCTGCAGCCTGGGTATTGTTAACAGCAGCTCACCCGAGCTGCCTCTCCCTCTACCTTTCGTAGCCACACATTGGACGTTGCTCCATACATTATCGGCAGCTACGGTTTGTTGAGGAGCGATGATCTGCTCCAAGTTTAAAATGTCAGAGGAAAAAGCAACATTCGATATCAGCTCAGCTCTTCCACTAAGCAGAAGTGGTACCTAGATTGTAGGCTCAGGTGGTTCCGAGACTGGCGCTTTTTGCTTCTGGCGCGCTAAGGCCATACGTGTCAGCCGCGAAGATCCCTCTCTGCCTGATCCTGGGAAGCCAGAGTAGATCGCTGCTGCGATTCCGTATGATGTGAAGTAGTCTCGACGCGCGCATGCGTTGATTTGACTACGAAGACCTCTCAGGCCCAAATATGTGTCTAGGTATTCGTCGTGTATTGACCTATATGCATTGAACTACTTCTTTAGCTTGTCTATAAGGTTTGTAGATACTGGATCAGGTAGCCGAGTTGTGAGAAACATTACGTCTTGTCCGGCACAATGACACATTAGCGTTGCTGAGTGGTGTCATGGAGCCCTGAGACAATGTTCGGCTTTGATCTGATACGTCAACGAAGGTATCACCACACCACCCTGAGTGCGGGGGAGCTGGCTTCTGCGATCCGGACCCAGGGACCAGCAGCAGGCAAGCAAGCAAGCAGCAGCTCGAAGCAGCGTGGCAGCCGAGTGGGGTTCTCGCAACGGCCCGGCGGCTCTTCCATATCTACTGTGCGTGGGAACTGGAACAGGAACAGGAATGGCAACGGGAATAGGGTAGGGCAGGGGCTGTCTGTAGGTGGGTGAGGCTTCAGTGGCAGAGCTTTGCGGTCCGGTTGAGGGGCCCTGGATTCAACAGCTACCTTGACTTGTTTCCCTTCAAGCACAGATCACAGGCTGGGCTCTGGTTACTTAGATGGGTTTGATCAGCATTGTAGATGATTTGTGGAATCACTTCAAGTAAGTCAGGTCAGAAGGAGGTGATTCCCTTGGGATAGCCAGACAGACTATTCTCAACAAGCACAATCAATTGCCCTTTCTCGCATGCAGCATGTTGGGATGCAGCTGGATTCTTGCAGCGCTTGGAGAATGGTCCTCAAGCTCACAAGCATTATCATGTGAGTCAAAAACGCCTTGAGAATGGCCTATCGAAATGTGTATATGTGTGATGAGATACTATACCATAGTAGACCCAACCTCGACCTGAGACCTGCCACTCTATTTGCCTACTACGGTAGATAAGACATGCCAAGGCGTTGCACTCATTGGGGTCCAACAGCCGTGTGGCCAACAACAATTCAAGGTGGCTTACTCTGTGTTCAATCATCCCTTTCGGACCCGAGGCGGGGTGGTTGAGCAAAAGCCAACGAAATTCCTTGTAACTGAATGTCTTGGCTGATGGCTGAGCTCACCTTTGCCCCTCCTTCCCAAGTGCAGACAACTTGCCCCTCACCCCACCTAAGCTCACCAGCTCGAGCTGTGAATGGAGTCTTGGCGCGTTTGACTTGACACGCCATCCATCCAGCCATTCATCCATCCATCACTCTCTTTCACCCTGCCAATCTTTTCCCCCTCTGCTCCTTCTCCTCTACCCTCCCTCCTTTGGATGCTCATTTTTGCATCTTTCTTTTCTTCAAAAAGTGCAACTATCAAGTCCCTCCCCCCGTTCTTTTCTAAAACTTTTCTGAAAGACGCAGCTGTTCTTCAGCTGCACCACCACATAACATTTGATTAGGGCCCCACAGACCTCTGAATCTGAGCTGTCACTACCACCAGTAGGTACGTACGTCACCAAGGATCCACACAAGTCGTGGCAGCACGACCTTTGGAAGCTTCGTTGCTCCCATTGTGTTGTTACTAGGTTGTGAGGTTAAAGATTTGGTCTCTCAATATTATCCTTACTTGAACGCAAAAAACTGACAAGCAACCAATCGACACAGGAGAACAAGCCCGATTCCCACCATGTCCTCGTTCAAGATGACGCCCTTGCTATGGGGCTTCATTCTACTCTTCCTCTTTGCCAGACCTGCCCATGCCTTTGGAGCTGGTAACATTGCGGGTATATCCAAGGTCGAAGGACAGAACTGTAAGCTCTTGGGTCCTAATATGCTCCTCCTCGTCCAGATTGTTACTGACTGAAAGTTTCCACACAGGGCGCCATGGTGACATCGAGGGTAAGCCGAGGTCTTCTGACAACAACTTACAGCAGGGCCAAACACTGACAGCTATGTCTAAATAGATACTCTGCTAAAGATCTTGATGGCCCGATCTGTGGGCGGCAAGAAGTTTGATAAGCTCATGGTCTCTCGTACCTACTTCGGCAACTGGCTCCGAGATTACTCCCAGGCCATCGACGTGGGCACCGTCAAGTCTGTTTCCGCCGAGGCCATCCGTCTCCTGCTCTGCATTCTCGGCTTCTTGACCTTCGGTTTTGGCTCGCGCGAGTTCGAGGTCACGGCTGAACGCCTGGGCTGCTACCGGCCTGAAGGTATATATGAGCCATCCAGTTGTGACGTGACGTAACACGACAGACAGAAAATGCTAACACAGCACGAAGATCATATCGACAACCCCAAGAACTACGCGGATAATCTAGATGCCCGCCAGTATGATCGTCGCCTGCGCGGTCCGGTTGATGAGCGGGTCGAGCTGGCCATTGATCCAGAGACGGGCATGAAGAATTACATTGCGAATGAGCGTGCCAACATCATGACCAGCGCCCTGCACGTCAGACGTCTGTTCACCAAGTGTATTCAGCTGGGACGACAGTATTCTCGCGGGCACAGGAAGGAGGACTTGTACGAAGCCCTTCGCCTGATGGGCACTGGCCTTCACTGTCTGGAAGGTGAGACTCGACCTATCCGTACCACAGAGGATGGCAGGCATACTGACGACATCTCTCGCCGCAGACTTTCTGGCGCACAGCAACTACTGTGAGCTTGCTCTCATCGAGATGGGAGAGCACGACGTGTTCCCTCACGTGGGCCGCAACACCCGCATGCGCCTCCGCGGTGCGCGCAGCGAAGTCTACCCCTGCGTGACCGGGACTTTTGGCGGCGTAGACTTCCTGCATTCCGTGACGGGCGAGGTCTCCGATAAGCTGACACAGAACGAGATCGACGAGCTCGAGGGCACGCTGCAGCAGAGCTCGAATAGCGACACCAGCATGCTGCGCAACCTGCTCGACATGATCCCCAGTGGCCTCTTCGGAGGCGACGATAAGAAGGACAAGATGGAAGAGCTCCAGAACAACGCCAACGCGGCTCAGATGCAGAACACGACCATCTCGCCCCGCGAGCCCGAGGAGTACACGCTCTACATCAAGAACATCTTCAAGCAAATCATGCCTGCTATTGAGTTCCATGACGAGATCATCCAGAAGATCTCCGAGGAGATCGAGAAGATACCTATATTGCCCAAGATGATCGAGCAGCTTGAGGACCAGCTCTCCGTGTTCGTCTTCTCGCTCATTGCGCCTTTCATTGTCCCTGTGATCAACCAGATCAAGAACGAGCTGCGCACCGGCTCTGAGGAGATCATCCAGAGCAGCCAGAACGAGCAGCTTATCGTGTTCAACGATGATCACTGCAGTGACCCTACGCACTCTATGCTCTCCAAGGACCACTTCTCCAACGTAAGTCGCTTTTGCCCCTTCTCTTACACTCTCTCCGTGTTACACCTGGTTTCATCGCGGCTGACACGGTTCACTAGATACTCAACGAAGTCGCCGGCCGGACAGCGTCTCAGGTCGTGGCGTGGGTTGTTCCTCAGCTCATGCAAGCTTGGGATGACACCAGCATCGACCCTGACCGACTGTGCAGTCGTGTCATTCACGGCGTCATGCACCACCCAGCGCAGTAAGTCCAACGTGTGATTTCGATCTCTCCTTGGTAGAGCATATTCTGACTTCTCATCTCTCTCACTAGGCGTGACCAAGGCGACGACGGCGCACGAGATGGCCGGGCGATTATGTTCCGCTCCGTAGAGGAGTGGTGGAAATCCATGGACCGCTCTCAGCAGGCCGATTACCGGCGCAAGCTGAGCCGCGATGGTGTCAGACGCGATGAGAACCACAAGGAGGGAGTGCAGGACACAGGCCACGGCCACGGGTGCAGTGGCAAGCTGGGCATGCACAAGCAGTTCGGTTCGGACGGGCCGCAGACCATGGAGGACAAGATCGCGAACCAAGCCGCTGGCGCCATCATCGGCGGCTTGACAGGCGGGCTCTCCAGCATCATCTCCGAGTCCACGGGCGGGAAAATCAACCTACCCACCTCTGAACGCCCAACCCAAGGCGGCGGTCTTCTCGGAGCTGCGTCGTCGCTGCTGTCTGGAGCGTTCTCCGGTGGCGAGACCGATACGTTCGAGTCGCGCCCGCACCGTGACACGGACGGCGGTATCACCCAGACGATCGAGCAGTACGGCCGTAGTGCGGACGGACGCCGCTTCGAGCAGGCTGAGCTCATCGAGACACGCTACGACGACGGCAGGGAGCGTAGGGAGTTCCAGCGGTTCGAGCAGCGCGAAGACGGCCGCGGCCGCGAGGAGGGCTACGGTTTTGAGGAGACAGAAGAGCGACGCGGCGGGGGCCGGTTCCAGGTCACGGAGGAGAGGAGCTGGGAGGGAGGTAACAGCTTCGAAAGACGGGAGGAAGGGAGGCACCACGGCGGCGGTGGTGGCCACCATCACCAGCAGCAGGAACGCAGGGATGAAGGTGGCTTTGGGAGCTTCTTTGGTGGTGGTGGTGATGGTGGTGGTGAGCGACGCGATGAGGGATTTGGCGGGTTCGGCCGTGGCGGCCGTCGCGAGGAGCAGCAGCGCTTTGAGGAACGCCGCGAGGAACCCGAATTCGGCGGCCGCCAAGAGGGCGGCGGCGGCGGTGGCTATGGAGAGCGCCGCGGGGAGCCCGAGTTTGGTGGCGGCGGCTACGGTGGTCGCCAGGAAGAGTACGGCGGCCGTCAAGAAGGCGGCGGCGGTTGGGGCGAGGGCGGATTCGGCGGTGGTGGTGGTGGTGGTGGTCGCCGCCGTGGTGACGACGAAGAAGAGGAGTATCGAGGAGAAGACGACGGCCGCGAGGGTGGCTGGGGCGAACGTCGCTATGAGGAACGGCGCGGTGGTGGCGGTTGGTGATCTCGACACCCTTCCTCTTTTCCTGAGCTGGCGATGTGCGTCAAGCACATTATGACCCAATAGATGAGCCGTCTCTGGGGTTAGTCCGTCACTTGAAAATAAAAGTTTCTGGCTGTCTCTTCCTTTACCTCCTTTGTTGCTTCTGTCTTCCTACATCTGGGCGTCTTTGTGGACTGCAAGAGTATGCATCGGGAGTCTCTCCATCCCGGCCACAGAGCTGTCAGAGATGTTCGTCGAGGTCGATCAGGTAGGATGTAAGGCAGTATTCTCAATTCTCCTTGGAGCAAGACAGGGGGGTTTTCTTTTGGAGAATTCGAACTAGTTAAATTGTTGCAAATCATCAGGACGCTGCTATGCCGTAGTAAAGCAATATGTCCCTTCTAAGCCGTGCACGTCTCCGGCTTTTACCAGGATGTTCCAGCCCATAGCCAATACGGGCGATGCCTATATAGTCGAACCCGAGAATACCTGACTGACGCCATATCAGGTTGCTCGAATGCCTTTTCTTCCCTTTAGGTAAGTCAAATTCGACTTGCCCCCTCTCTTACGCCCAAGATGCGTCGGTCAAGAACCTATGCTAAATTTCCCTTCCGTGGTCTGCCTTTGTTGAAAACCGTGATTGCACAAGCAACCCTATAGACGTCCATGTCGCATAACCTGCAGTGGCGGCTTCCAGTGTCGCTGTATTCCTGAACGCCGTAGTCAATGCCTTCCAAAAATCGTTGTATAAAAAGTTGCGTTGGGGTATCATTGCATCACAGCTCTGTGAGGGACAAAAAAAAAAAATTGGAACCGAATCCAACCAGAGCAAGGAGAAAAAAAGAAAACACTATCGAAAGCCAGGAAACATAGTCTTGGTGATTTTCTTCCCTGTTTTCTGTCAGTAGAATGGCCAGAGGTGAAATAAAGATAGCACGAAAATTTGGGGGGGTTGAAGACTGACATCTCGGCCGTCCGTCCCAGCTCTGCCCATCACTTGACTCGACGCCAGCCAGGTCACGCATCCGCAGACGCGTCTCTGCTGTCGGGCTGTGACGGGATGGTATTTCTAACACGGCATTTGCCGCGCTGTTGCTGGGACGGAATAGCTTCTTTTTCCGAAGGTTACCCCTCCACCTGCTCGGTCGACTCTCCATCTCTGCATCCTCTACAGTAATGGAGCCGCGGAGCCGCCGTAAGGCTCTTTCACGCCGTACCATGGCATTTGTGATCTCGGGGCAGTATCCCTTCGGGAGCATGGATGCTTTGCACTGCGGACACAGGGAGCTGTTCTCACTCAGGAATTCATCGATACACTCCGGGTGGTAGATATGACCGCACGACAGCTCCCTGATGATGGTGATGCGGTTCTCGAAATCCTCCTCACAGATCATGCATCTCGGCTGGTAATCAGTCGATACGCTGTTGATCGTAAGTCCGGTTATAGTTGATCTCGCCGCCTGGCTGGGCGACACGGCTTTCTCCGACAGAGGCCTGGACTGATCGGCCCCCTCACCGTCATCTCGGTTGCGCACCAACTCGGGCAGCCCGGACGATATGGGCGAGGTCGGCGGGTTTGTGGACTTTGGTTCGTAATTGTAGGTAAAGAGGGGGAATTTCTCGACGTGCTCGATGGGGACCCTGACCCTCTTGATATTCATGGCCTCCAGATTGACCTCCCCAGACATGACCCGCTGCTGGAGTGAGACTCGTCGCCTGTGCTGGGTGTAGTGCATCAGGCAGGACACGAGAGCAACAAAGATCAGCAGGACCCCGATGCAGACGCATATGAAGACCCATATGGTCGGCAACGTGTTCGGGGTTGCGACGTAGATCTCTGACCATATCCGTACGTAGTCGTTTGCGCCCGGGCTATACAGGGCTGTGATGTTGTCGCCATACGGCACCGAGCTGACATTGCCAGAGTATAGGCTCAGTTCAGTCATCATCGCGCCACCGGCGGCTCCTGAAATAGCGTACACGGGAAATTTGCTGGTCGACCTCCAGTCACCATGGTCATGTAGGTCCCACTGCCTGTCTTCCACGCCTGGCGGTCTGTCGGACTTGTTGTTCGGCACGTAGGTGAGGAAGGCTCGAATCGGATCAGAAGAGACAGACGCCAAGTAAGACTTTGTACAGTTCGGGTCGTACCAAGGAACGAGCGCGATCAGGTTGTAGTCGGAGGGTGGTAGGTCGGCCTGACGAACGGCAGAGTTGGGAACATAGTTGGGCTCTATCTCCAAGCAAGGATCGTCTTCGTCCAGGTAGGGTACGTATAGCAAGCCCTGTATGATGCCGTTCTCGGTCGAGGCATACTTGGAAGTCAAAATCGTTATGTTGTCTCCTATAGTAGCAGAGTATGCAATGTCACTCTACACACACAGCATTAATGGACACTTTCGGTCTATGGGGGAGACGAGTAAGGGAGGGGCGGTGGGAGGCAGGACGCACGGAGAGAGCGGTGATGTTCTTGATGATAGTAGACGGGATGGTAGGGTCGCCTGACCAGGCGGGATTGCTGAATAAAAGACTATGACAAATCAGTACACACAGAGCCATGACACGAAGGACGAGGATGACGACGGGCATGTCTTTCGAGTCGGGTATTGGTGCTGTCTTGGCCATGGCCCCGGCGAGGAAGGAGTTCTTCTCGTGTCGACATCATCCTGATCGCACAAGCACGAAGCACCTCGCATTCAAGGAATACGTAGTCAAGACCTGATAGCCCAGCCACGGACGCGACAGAGATGGTTGGCCGCCAATCTGAACAGACGAAGAGGAGAAGGGCAGACTCGGGAGTTACGGTGACAAGGGGAGAAAGAATGGCGGGCATACACTGCATTTTGTATGTCATCAACGTAGGCTGTGAAACAAGAAGCGGCAGTCAGTATTCGTGTCCGTACGTGCGTGTGTGCTTCTGTCTGAGAGAAAGAGAAAGAGGATTGTCTCATTGTTCTTTCGACCATATGGTGCATTGTCTTTGGATGCGCTGGGTCTTGCCAAGGCGATCGCGCGGCTGCCAAGAATCTGGGGGAACGATCACCAAGAACTTGTGACGTGCTGTGGTCCTGTCATCCCGCCTGGGCGCGCCTCCCAAGCTTTTTTGACACCTGGCAGGGTGGGTAGAGAATAGAAGAGAAAGAAAAAAGAAAAGTAACATACTATTGCCCAGCATTGTAGACGATCATTGTGCGGGTTCTGAGACCCAAGGCTCGAGGCGCGACTGCATCCAGACTCTGAAAAATCGCGATGGTGGTTGAATGCTGACGGTGACGGTAATGCCTGAAAAGGGGAAGAAGGGGGGGAGGGAAAAAGAAGAAGAAGAGGAGATGAGTAACGACAAAAGGGTAGGTCGAATGAGTGAAGTTTGAAGGAGGTTCCAAGTGATCCGGATTGGCGACAGATGTAGGTAGTGTGTGTGTGTGTTAGTGTGTGTGTGTGTGCGCGCGTATGTATCTACGTATGTAGGTAAGACGAAATTGACGCTCTGGCTTTGATTGGTATGACGGAATAATTCTGCTTGTGGCCAGCAGGTCGTAAAGGGTGGGTTTGGGAGATGAGTGATCGGGGGGAAGAGAGAGAGATAGCGATTTGTCGACGTTGTCCTGCCTACTGATCCTCAAATTCCCTCAATTGATTTTTTTTTTTTTCTTCCCCTGTTTTTTTCTTTCCTCTTCCCCTTCCCCTGTTAATTTGGACACAAATGGAGAGAGAGAGAGAGAGAGAGAGAGAGACCGCGAAACAAGTCTGTGCGGGTAACCTGAGCTGAGGCTCACTTGCAGGTCGAGAAAGATTGAAGGATGAGACGAGGGGAGACAAGAGCAGTTGTTCCGGCGTCCAGGGCCAGCGAGGGCTGCCGTCTGCCAAGACTTTATGAGGAAGGTTCCTGGGGACCCAGGCGCCGGGGGAGGACTGGGGGGGAGAGAGCCTAGAGAAGAGGGGCACACGTGTGGGTGGGGCCCCTGGCAGAGGTAGCAACAGCCAGCAACCCGAACCAAAGAGAGGAGGGGAGCGCTTGTAAGGACGGCCCAGCAGGGGAAAAGGGAGGACTTGATAGACTGCAACCCACACCATCCACTACCCACCCATGCACCCTGTCACAACCCATGGCCTATAGCACCGTGAATTAGGCTACCGCATCAGCAGCGCGACAGAGGCTAGCCACAAGAAGCTCCTCTGAGAGGGTTACACCCAGCAAATAACCTTCCCGTCTTTTCCGTCAGGGAAATTCTGCACAGACACAACAGGGCAGGGCACCTCGCGGGCAATCAACAAGTTCCGCACCCTCCTGCTCCCGTACAGCTACACCCCCGCTAGTCCGGCACAAAGGCACACCCACACAGCATAATTGTACTACAAAGCACAACGCAGCACAATCAATACAACACACACGCGCGCGCGCGCGCCCACCCGGAACCTAAAATGCTGCATCTTGTCCAATCGGCACCACCAGACCCGAGATCTCAGGTATCGTGATGTCTTCGACCCCTCAACCGCCCCCACTGTACAGTACGTACCCAAAAGACAAGCCAAGTACCCTGCGAGTCAGAGTCAAATCTTGCAGCAAAATAAGTTTTCCAATCCCTCCCCCTTCTTACAGAAAGGTATCATCAAAAGGAAGTGAAAGTGATTTGACGTTGCCGAGGTCCGCGCCTCAGGTACTGCGCGTATCACCAGCAACAAACACGTCATTTCATTGAGGACGTACTACTTGCAGAGCTCATGTGAAAGCAAAGGGGCCTCATAGGAACCTTGAAACCACCGATACTCGTCTCCTCTGTGTTGTTGTACTCACTGATTCCGTCATCTACAGCGGCTTGGGGTTGCCACTAAGGCGAGAAGGCAGAGGCGTCGGTCTGGACTCTTGCAGACCACTGTTGGTAACACAAGTACCACAGTAGATGAGGAGAGGGTCAGACAATTTTATGCATATCGACGCCCCTTCGACTCCTAGATCGTACTATGGTAGTAAGTGTGGCCCTTTGGCTCACCTTCCTTATTCTCTCTTCTTCTTGCCCGCAACCAAGCAAGGAAAGAAGTAACTAGCAGCAGAAAATCATCACTTACACTGGTAGCGAGTCGGGGAGCCAAAGCCCTCACCAGCGGGTTTGCAGGGTAGAGTGGGCGGGTGTGTGAGAGAGTGTGTGAGAGACGGACCAAACCTTCTTTGTAGCCACTCGGAGAACAAGAGGGCCTAATCTTGATTTTCTCCCTTTTCTTTTTTTTCTTCTTTTTGCGCGAACGTTCTACTGCAACATAGCGGCAACACCACGAGTCCTCTCGGAACAGCGAGTTGGAATAATTGTTATCATTGTGAACGGGGTACCGTACCAAAATATATACCTGACCTGAGAGATAGGTGGAGAACCAACAGACAAGTACGGCAAGAATAGGTATAATACCAACCGGTCGGGACCATCGCCAAGCCTGACGGATCTGCCTTGGCTCCAAGGTGTTTCCGCGAATGTGGTGTACTTACTTACAAACGCACTTAGAAGAAGAGGGGGGGGGGGGCCAAAGCTTGGCCAAGGTGCTTATCATGGCATAAGCAATTGTCAACAGAAGCACCCTCTGCTCAATCACCCGTATACGCTTGCGAATATTTGGAGCAAGGGGAGGAGGAGAGGGGGCCGTCCAATTTCTCATACAGGTTCTCTCTCTCACACACACACACACACACACACACACACACACACACACACACAAGCATATCCCTCCCTCTACAAAAACAAACAAAGGCAACAAAGACAAGAGGCAACAAAAAAAGAGAAACAGTATCAGAGGGAGGATGGAGCCCATGCACACACGGGAAGGCCCATGCCAAGCAACAGTGACAGGTGCTGGCTTCTGCGTTTCAGACTTGGCAACCTCGCGTGTGATCTACACTTTTGGACGCGTCTCCCCCTTGCTTTCTCTTTTTCCTTACTGTTACTGGCAAGTGCACACGGGACGAAGAAAAGAATTTTCGTCTCATCGATCTGGACAGCATGGACGTAAATCCAAGTACTTGTGACTTTCTCTGCGACGTCGGCTTGTTCACCCCCCCTGTGCAGCCCGTCTTGGCAGAACTTGAGGGATCGACATCGTCTCTTCTTCTTCCCTCCCCCACTTCACGTATGATATGAGAGCAAGGGGGAAAAGAAAGGAAAGAAATGGAGAAAAAGAAACTCAAGTGAGCTATGCAACATGGCAACCATCTTGTCAATGCACACTATCTCCCGGTTCATCGGCACATAGTAGAGCGCGACTCGGCACGGAACACGGCACCAAGAGGCCTGGTCAATACCAAATCACCAACCGCCACCAACGACGGTGTTTGTGATTTTGAATGTTTTTTCCCCCTTCCCCCCCCCCCCGTCTGTTGATGTTCACTAAACTAAACCCCACCGCCACATCCCTTGCTCAGTCAGCCTCATGCAGATATACACCCACGACGATTTGTGACCCCCGCCCTAGATGCGTCTCCTCTTGCCGTGTTAGCCGCTGCGGCGATCTGCCTCGTGAAGGGGAGTTCTGGACTTGCTTTGCTTGCATTTCTTCAGATAAAAGAATCCTTGGGGGAGGGGGGGGTTTGTCTTTTATTTGTCTGTCTACCCTTGTCACTACCATCAACGGTCACTAAACAATGGACAGGTACACAAGAACAAAAGGGACTAAGGAAAAAAGAGAACCAAGAGAAAATCTGTGATTCACGCCCCTCCGACCACGGGGGACCCTCCACACGCATGCACACCCTCTCTCTTTCTCTCTCTATCGACAGACCGGTCGGGGAGATCATAATCCCCGGCTCTGGCTACTCGGCGCCTTGTCTTTGCTTTTTGTCCAGAACGCAGGTGACGTACTCGTGTCTGCATATTGCATAATACCTTGGACCTTGCAGAGACTTGCCATGTTTCCCGGTACTTTACCGCGGCATTGCTCGTGGTCTCGACATGATTCGGAAAGAAATATATTTAGCTTTTTCCACGTCACCAACTATAGAGGAGGAGGATATTGATGCCGGGCTCGTCCCCCCCCCCCCCTTTTCCGAGTCTCGGCTTGAGAAAAGCATGTGCAGGACGCTCGAGGCCACGTCGTTCGTCTGGGCCGCGCACACACACACCTGGCATCCCAGGACGGGCTGGCCGCCGAGTCAGATAAGAGTAAACGTCTGAGAAGAGAGTTGGCCGGACCATTGTCCACTCCACCAGCTGCCACGTCAGGAAGTAATTAAGGGTTAAATCTCTGAAAATATTATAATGTTTCCCTCTGCTGTGGTAGGATTCAAGGCTCACAAGGACGTTGGAAAACTAAGATGCGCAGTGTCCAAGCTCTTGAGCGAGTCTGTACAAAAAGTGAGTGAGTGGGAATGCGTAATATTGTTCGTCAAATGTGGTTAGGTAACCTACGCAGCGTGTTGATATGGCGGGGTACGTGGAATCCCTGAGGTGTTCCTTCCTTCAATGCCTGCGAAGACAACTGTACAACTTGCTTTGTCAATTAGTCCTGCTTTTGGAAGCAACGGCCCCAGAGCAGTAGCTAACCTGAGGCTATAATATTTCTGCCTTCCTCTTGTATCAAGAAGGAACTATTTGAGCAAAATGTTCTGCTGAAAGTGTGAGCATGTTGTCATAATTTTACTCGGACTCTTGCAGTGCTTCTCCCTCAAGGCTCTCTCGCCGTCCAGCACCATGCTGCAAACTACATCTACTTGATATGTACTTGAGGACTTTGAAAATTCAGCCAGAAGGTAGTGATCATAGAGGTGTCTCATGTATTTGTGATAAATCTTTTAGTCAATTCAGTACAACTAGATTTACAAAGGAAACAAGGAAGAAGAAAAAAAAATGGACAAGAACAAGGAGCTTACAAGGAAATTGGTCATCCCATCAGCTGTTGATGACCTTGGCACTAGGCTCGGCCCGTTTATTGTTCAGGTTTAGCAAAAAAGCTCTACAAGTATCTCTCTCTCTCTCACCTCTCAACCACCAATGTAAACCTCCAAGGTCTTTGCGCTGCTCACCTGGACAGCCCCCTCGGGATCCTGCGACCCGACCGCAACATCATCATAAGCAAAAGCGTATCCTCCCACCGTCTCATGGGCATGAACAACCCGTGCATAGTGGTTGGTGATGTCGGCCTCCCGGTAGAACATGGCCGCCGGCGGACCAGGCTGCACATGCCCGCCCTCGACGAGCAGGGTGGACCGCGTGAAGGCCGCGCACACACGCGGCACAATGGCCTTGAAGGCATTGTCGGCAGTGGCGTTGATGGCAAAGGCGCCGCTGTTGCAGCCCCAGATGTCAGCCGTCGTGGGCCGCGGCATGCGCACCGCCGTGCCCGTGCAGACCAGGGCGTCGTCCGTCGCCGCGTCCACCGTGCACGAGACGATGGTGTCGTTGATGGTGCCGAGGCCCGCCTGCTGCGTGTCGATGTATAGCGGCTGCTTGGCGTAGCGCTGCCAGACCTTGGTGATGTAGGGTTCGTAGTAGTCGTCGCTGGCGAAGGCGATGTGCTGCTCGGCGCCGTCCTGGGGGGACAGGACGCGGAGGAGGGTGCTGTTGTTGTCATCGCCGTAGATGCACAGCTCGCCCCATTTGTTGCCGTCCTTCTCGGCCTGCTGCTGGAGGCCGGCGCAGATTTTCTCGGCCGGGGTGGTTGCGGCGGCGGCGGCGGTGGTGTTAGCTGAGCCGGGGAGCGTGTTCATGAGGCCTGGGATGGTGTGGTTTGCACCGCTCTCATCGGTGACAGCGATGCCAAAAGCCAAGGCAACAAAGTCCACAAAGGAGAGGTTTACAAAGAATTCCTCGTCGCCGCTAGTGAGTTCGATGAAGCCCCAGCGCGTGTCGTAGGCCAGCGTGCCCGGATCGGTGACGACCGGCTGCACGACAGTGGTGATGCCGCTGGCCGCCCCAACCATCTGCCACTCCATCTGCGCGCCCTCGAAAGCGTACATGCGTGCCGAGCTGATGTAGCTGGGCAAGGTGAGCGTGGTGGACTGGCCGTGCTTGGCGAGGAAGCCGACGTCCCTTGTGACGTTGACGGGGGTGACCGAGCCTCCTGCGTTGAGGGTGAGCCACTGGCCGTTGGTCTGCAGCATCGACTGCGAGCCTGAGGTGTCTACGTCACCCGTGATGTAGATGTATAGATTCTTGCCGGAAGCAACCGTATTGTGGATGGTGATGGCTACATTGGGGTTGGCAGAGCTGGAGGACACACCTGTCTCAGCTCTGTGGTGGAGGATGTTGACAGTGTCGGTGGGGCGAGTGATGACAGAAACAACAGCTGCTGGCTGTAACTTACCTGGGCTCGAGACCAGGTTTCCTCCCACAGGAAGACATTGGGCAAGAGGGAAGGAGAAGGAGAGCAGAACCCCGACAAGGGGTGTGAGCAAGCGCACCGTACTGAGTAGCATGGCTGGTCTCGTAGTGTGTGTTGGAATCTTGTGTGTGTTTGTTCTGCTGGAGATAGTTGTGTTTTTTAAGATTTGTATTGGTGTGAATGGTCTCTCCAGTGTAATCATAGAGAGGAAGGAAAGCCATCAAACCATGCGGTGCTATCTGCGGTCATATATCCTACACCTTCTCGTCCCAAGAAAGTACTGTCATGATACACACCTACTGTCTTGACTTGTGGTCAACAAAGGGCCTTCAGTGAAAATCTACAATGGATTTGTGCGAAAATGAGGGACGACAGCAAGCGTGTCAGCAGTTTTTCAAACAAGTGTCATTGTCATCCTATGAAGAATACGCCACAAAGGCATTGTCATTTGTATGAACAATGTAGATAGACACACATACACACATAAACATAACATGGATTAAGGAGGAGAGCAAGAGAGACATGTTGATTACCTATTGACACTACCAAAATTGTATGCACTAATCAAGAACCTGTCGATGATGAAGTGACTAGCATAGTCAAAGCTCGCAAGCCTTCGCTTGAGCTCAGGAGCTGATTTCATCCAAGTCAAAGTTGAAAGTATACTGTAAAGCATTGTCCACTGACAATTCTGCAGATGTGTAATCATGTGCTTTGCAGTCCGTACTCTCTTGTGCTCTCAGCACATAGTAAGGGAAGTCCAAACAATAGCGCAATTGAACTGCAGCATATGTAGGCAAGATGTTGTTTCTCTCTTCTTCCTCTTGCCCGTGAATTAGGTATTACTGGAAAGAGAGACTTGGCATTTGCAAATATGAACATGATTCATTTCAAGGTCTTGCATGGTTGGTGATCATGAATCACATATCGGCCAGCTTATAACCTTTCCCAGCTGCACCCGGATGGCAATGCCTTTCACCAGGCGACAAACCCCACCGCGGAAATGGGAACACAGAGCAACATAATAGTGCTTTCAGTAGAGGATCATTTTGATACAGCCTGCCTGGTATAGGTAATAGAGGGTAACCTCACAACGCCGATCTGTTGTCATGCATTCCACTGCCAATCCATTGCCATACAATCCCATCGAGTCATAATGTCGAATCACGCATGCCCCTTGAAGTAACGCCAATCCTATCCTATCCATGAAATGAGTTGTGGTGGTGACATCCTTTTATCGGTGACCAGTTGTGTGCCATGAGGGGTGTCCATAAATGAGGAGCAAAGCAGCTCACTCATCCTCCTCATCATCCCAGTGCTGAGTTTCATACTTGATGAGCTCGGTCATTTCAGGCCCTTTGAAGATGGAGCTATCAGGCTCGCTAGCTCTGGGGACCTTGCCAAGATTCTCCCCATCAAAGACTGTGCCGATGCTCTCGATCCACCGACGTCGTCTCTCCATCAGGGTCTTGGTGAGGTCACCAATACCAGGTCTTGCAATGCCTGCTGCGGCTGCGGCTGCCCCTGCAGCACCAGGCCGTGCCTTCTTCTTGGTCTTGCCCATAGTACGAGTCCTCTTGAGATACGCAGCCTGCACCTGACCATCGAGATCCTCCAAGATGGTCTGGTATTCCTGGAAAGCCATGCGCTCACGGACCAGCTCTGACAGCTTGGCCTTGCGTGCACCATTGATGAGCATCTGCTCACGAAGGCGGTCCTGCAGCAGTCGCAGTCTTGCAGCAACCTCGTCGTCATAGGCACCATCATAGTCAGCACGGGTCTCTTCTGGCTGTGGCTGCTCTGGATCTGGATCCGGAAGGAAGCCAATGTGGCGGAGCTCCTGTTTGATGCGCTCCTCAACTTGATTGTAGTCCAGCTTTGGATGGGTGGCCCTCTTCCAGGTGTCTGAATTGGACTCGGGCATGTGAGAAGCAGGTGACAGCTCACGCTCAGCAGGCTGTCCATTGGGTTGCAGACCTGGTGCTGTGTCAAAGCTGTCAATGCCATTGTTGGACAGATCAAGGCTCCCATTCAGATCACCGTTCACGCCGTTTGAAAGTGGCTTGGCATCATCACTTGTATCAGCTCGACACTCAGGTCGCATGGCTTGAAGAAGGCGAGACAGGAGTGGCCCCACAGAGAGCTTGTCCGTCTCAGCAAGGTCGTCCGCCATCTGCTCGATGCCCCCACGAGCGTGATTTGGATCTAACTTGTCATGTACAGAGTCGTTGGCCGTGCTGCCATCCTCTTCTGCCCAGACTTCTTTGTAGGACTTCTTGCCTCGTTTGGGCAGAATGAAGGGGGTGACCCTGTCGCCGCGCTCTCGAAGGAATGCCAGGTCTTCTTCAGTAAAGGGCCGGAAGTATGGCTCAACGTAGGTGGAGAAGGTGTTGAAAGCGATTTGGTTGGATGGTTTTGCGCTGCTAAAGTCCTTGTCGGGAGGGACACCAGCGACCAGATCTGCAAGGTTGCTCTTGGGATATGTGGAAACTGACGTCGCCTCCTTGATGTCCTCGTCTGCCATGCTGTCCCAGTCGACTTTCGTAATCTCGTACACGGTGGGATCGGGGAATGTGGAAGGGTCGTCGCCGAACGTGTTGGCTTGGGGTACTCGAGGCGGAGGAGGGGCGCCATCGTCGTCCGAACTGGAGTCGGAATCGTCGTTGTCGTCCTCATCCTGGTCCTCCTTCTTGGCAGCCTTGTTCTTCTCGTCGACTTCCATTGGGCCAGGTGTAGCAGGAGCGACAGGTGAGAGGGAGGAGGATGCAGAGTCGTGGCCACGCGACAGCTTGCGGGGCCTGTTGGAATCGCGTAACGGAGATGAGCGTTCTGCGAGAGTGGGTAGTGTTGGTTAGTGGTAGGTCGACTAGAGTTTAGACGAAAAAGTAGAGGCAGCATACAGGCCAAGCAAGGAATCCCAAAGAAAGAAAAGAAGAAAAGACAACCACCCCGCTCTCCCTCCAAAAAAACCCAACCCCCCCCCCCTCTTCAAAAAAAAAATGGACAATGGAAATCAAAGATCGCAGCCACAGCACCGATACAGATTCATTTTCTTTTCCCCCTCGTTGAAACACTGCTCGCAAATGAGGAACCGTTTCTGACTGACCTGTGTTGCCATCCTGAGGCGCTAGAGTGTCGGTGGCTTTTCTTTTCTTCTTGTTGGCCTTGTTTGCCTTTCTGGTGCGCTCCTCATCCTCGACGCGCTGGCGCTCCTCTTCTCGACTCCTCTCAGCGGCGACCTCGTCCATCCTCGCCCTGAGCTCGTTGACGAGCCGGCGCATGCCGCGGTCGCAGAAGCCGCTCCGCCTCTCGAGAGTGTCCTGGAGGCGCTGGAAGCGGGTCATGACGCCATCGAGGCTCCTTGACTCGGGCATGTGGGAGTTGGAGCCATTCTGGTCGACGACGTCCTCGTACGTGATGTTGCGGAAGGACTCGTACGGGAGGTCGAGCCACTCTGTCGACTTGTTCTCGACGGGGGGGAGAGATGCCGACGGCGGGATCGAGCTGGGCGTGGTATTCCGACTGCGCTGGCGGGCGATGGCACCGGCCCCTTTCTTGCCGGTGCCCTTCTGACTCGACGATGCAGGAGGCATGTTGGTTGATAGGTAGATTTGTTCTGCTTCTTCAACAGTTAAGGGAACGTGAGCGTCTTGTTCCAAGGGGCCATGGGAGGAAGGAGTTTCGGGGCGAGCGAGGGCGGCAGTAGCGATGCGCCTCTGCAGCAAGGTCGGTCGGCTGGCTATCGACGACGACAACAGACAACGCCAGAGGTCATTGATATTGAGAATCGACTCCACGCCAGGTGATGTGGGTCATGAGCAGCTATGGGTCATTAGATGGGACAAGCAAGCAGTGAGTGAGAGACGGTCGTTTCGCGTTGAGGCTCCTAAGCTGACTTACGCGGAGGTGGGACCAACGGGAACCATGACAAGATGAAGAATGAAGCACCGCCACGCCCAACCAGGGAAGAGGCTTTGTGGCTTTATTTTAAGTGTGGCTTGACCTTGACGCAACCTCACCTAGTCACTAGTGCCATAGTACTACGAATCATGTAGCACTGTCGTCCTTGACGAATTGCATCTTCACCTCTCTTCTTCACAATCACTTTCATGCTGGCATACCGATTGATGACAATACATACTCAAGTGATCATGCAGTCCTCCTTCATCACTACAGAACGAAAACAAGAAAAGGAAGGAGAAGAAAAGAAATTACAACCACACAGTCAGGTGACTGGATGGGCGACACAAGAGGGCGGGCCGATCTAATTCTTTCCTCTTCTTTCTTCTCCGACCCTGACTGCATGCATGGATTTGGCTGGACTGCATTGACGATCGCGCCTGATAGCTCTGCGCTTTCTATGCAGGAGCAATCGTTTCCGACATCGTGACTCGAAAAACCCAGACATTATCCGCGAGTGCAGCGCAGCAGTGCATCAGTGCCATTAAATCTCGTCGAGGCCAGATTCGCAAATGGCTCAAACACATGTCTTGAGCAGATGATGCTGATTGGTTGCTCAGCTGGGCCACCACGCCCAAGTGTGAAGCTTGGCCGAGGGATGCGACGCAAATGTGGGGACCTTTCATCGATCAGGGTCCTCCCGTTTATACGACGAGGACCCAATTGAGACGGTTGCGGCACCACGAGTATTGATTCTCGAGAGCACATGGCTCGAGGTTGCCTCTATGTGCGTGTGTGTGTCTCCTTTAGGCAAGCCGATAGGTAAGTAGGTTATTATGGTATGTACGCTCCCAGGTGTCTTTGCTTTACATTTATATTTTTGTTGGGGATCACAAGCCCTCCTTCTTCCCTCCTCTTGTGTGCTTTCTGCTTTTTTTGTTCTCTCTTTCTTTTCTTTTCTATCTCTTACCTCTTACCTCGACTCAACGTCCGGTAATAATTCGTTATTGTTTCCACAATCTTCTTCCTCTCTCAAGCATATATCTTGCAATGAGAGAATATCATGGCTTCTCTTGGTGGTAACATGTTACCTCCACAAATGGATTCCAAAATTGTCTATGCTGGTATTGCTGGCGTCGTTTGTTTTGCAATTGGCCTATCTCGGGTCTTTGCAGACAAGAGCGAGAACGATCAAGACGAAACGCCAGGTCTCGTCAAGTCTCTGTTGTTGTTCGCCTACTCTTGCTTCCTAAAGCCTCATGAGGGTGACAGCAAGGGCAACCAGCAGGATGCCCTTGAGTCCTTCTATAAGAAGCAGGCGGGCATTTATGACAGCACGAGAAGCGCTCTTCTGAGAGGCCGTGAGGATATGCTGGCACTGGTAGCTGCCCAGCTGGAGTTCAAAGCCAAGAAGAGCGCCACATCCAAGGGAAAGAAGGAGGCCGTCGTCAAGAGGGTCTGGGTTGATGTGAGCCCTCCTTTACCAAAACTCAGCAATATGCTTCGTCCTGGTGATCCTGTCCTGATTTATTCACTCTATAGGTGGGCGGGGGCACTGGGTTCAATATTGAGGCTATGAACCAGTTTGTCAACGTGCCCGAGTTCTTCTCCAGCGTCTACCTGGTCGATTTCTCTCCTTCTCTATGCGAGGTTGCCCGCAAGCGTTTCGCTCGACTGGGCTGGAAAAACGTCCAGGTCATCTGCGAGGATGCAAGAAAGTTCAAGCTGGAGGATTATGAGAATGATCTTCGGGGACTCCAGTCACCACCCGTCCGGAGTCCCAGTCACTATTTTTCTGACAAGCGTCCTGAGCATGGCGGCGCTGATCTGATCACCATGTCGTACAGTTTGTCTATGATTGTATGTGTGTCATGAGGTGATGGCGAGAGAGAAGCAAAGCGAACGTCACTGATAGTCTCGTGCAGCCTGACTACTATTCTGTCATCGACTCCTTGACATGTCTGCTTTCGCCCGACGGGGTGATGGGGGTGGTTGACTTTTATGTGCAGTCCAAAGTCGACGTCAACTTCCGAAATTACACGGGCGGTCTTGTCAACCGCCACGTCAACTTTCTCGGGCGCACGTTCTGGAGGGCCTGGTTCGACATCGACAGGGTTGGTCTCGAGCCCAGCCGCCGTGATTATCTCGAATATCGATTCGGCACGCTTCTGGGCGCCAACTTCCGCAACAACATGCTGGGCGCGATCCCCTACTACGTCTGGTTGGGCTGCCACAAGAAGCCGTTTGCCTCGTCCAGCCTGCCTCAGGAAATTGTCGAGTATGTGGACGCGCTGGTGACCGAGTCGCCATATCTGCTGCCTGCCAACGCCCCGAATGCCCTGACCCGAGCAGTGCAGAGGACGGCGCCCGAGATACGGTCCAAGGCCTTTGATGCTGCCGTGGGAAATCTCGCCTCGAATCTTCCCCTGCCGGCCTTCTTCTACCAGAACCATCACTGGCGCATCTACTACGACGAGCGGCTCAAGAAGCACACGCAATTCAATGATGAGTATATCTACGCCTTCACATGGGAGGACTCCCGCACCGATGCCCGGATCCTCAACCTCAAGTCCGACGATGTCGTCCTGGCCATCTGCAGCGCAGGGGACAACATCCTCTCGTACGTGATGCAGGGTCCTGCTCGCGTCCACGCCGTCGACCTGAACCCCACGCAGTGCCACCTCCTGGAACTCAAGGTGGCCGCCTACAACGCACTGCCCTACGAGGACTTCTGGAAGATCTTTGGCGAGGGAAAACACACCGAGTTCCGCCAGCTGCTCGTCTCGAAGCTCTCCCCTCACCTGTCCAGCCGCGCGTTCCAGTACTGGCTCAGTAACGCGCACATCTTCACCAGCGCGCGAGGCCGCGGGCTGTATGACACAGGCGGCTCCAAGCACGCCATCAGGGTGATGCGCTGGATAGCACGTGTCTTTGGCCTCCAGCGCGCCGTCGCAGCCCTCTTGGAAGCCAAGACGCTCAACGAGCAGCGCGAGGTCTGGCGCTCGTCCATCCGGCCCGCGCTCCTCTCCACCGCCGTCAACCGCCTCGTCGTCTCCCAGGAGGCCTTCCTCTGGGCGGCCCTCGGCGTGCCCAAGAACCAGCTCGCCATGATCGAGGCGGACCACGCAGCGCGCGGCGGCGACAGGGGCCGCACCACCCGCTCCCAGGCCGTCTGGAACTACATGGTCGACACGCTGGACCCGGTGGCCGAGGGCACCCACATCGCGGCCGACAACCCCTACTACCACGTCTGTCTCGCCGGCAGGTTCTCGCGCAGGTGTCACCCAGAGTACCTCGCCCCGCAGGCCCACGCGCGCCTGTCCCGGCCCGGCGCCCTGGACGGCCTGCGCATCCACACGGACGAGCTGGACGAGGTCATCGCGCGCATCATGCCAGGCACCCTGACGGTCGCGGTCGTCATGGACTCGATGGACTGGTTTGACCCGCAGGGCCCGGGAGCCGCCGCCCAGGTGCGCAAGCTGAACCGGGCGCTCAAGATGGGCGGGCGCGTCATGCTGCGCAGCGCGGCGCTGACGCCTTGGTATGTCAAGGTGTTTGAGCAGTCGGGGTTCTCGGCCAAGAGGCATGGGGAGAGGCTGCCTGGGGTATGTATTGACCGCGTCAATATGTACGCCAGCTGCTGGGTTTTGAGCAAGACGTCTCATCTGCCGCCTCCCACGCCGGATCTGGATGGGGCTGTGGGGGCGGAAATGGACAGCCTTGTGATCTGAGAGTGTTTTGTCACGCCTTTTTCAAAAAAAATTTTTTATGTTATTGAAACGCCTTTGACTGTCTTTTGGTGCTAGTTACGAGAAAGATAGGGTGGGTGTCATTGAGGTATTACACACAGAAACCAAAACAGTGGTCCGAATTAGTATACAACCTGCCGAGGGTTTTACCTTTGATTCCATGCCCATGATGATACAGCCCGCATTGGATCCAAGTCAGATGCTTGTCTTCAAAAGATACAGTGCAATCAGCAATGCACATACAGATACATAGACACCTTGTGCCTCCGACTGGATGAACACCCTGTGGCCATCAACCAATAGGCAGCTCGGCCACCCATCCGACCCCCGCGTGTGCCATGCAATAGCATCCTACAATATCTCGTGGTTAGCTTTGATAGGATGGCATTGGAGAGCCTCGAGATGATAGTTACCTATGTTCTGCAGTCCTCATAAACCATGCTTTGATAATGCAGCGCACGTGTGAGTTGGACAGCGGTACATGATATTCTATGTCTCGGGTTTTCTCGCTCTCTTTCGTTTCATTCCGATCTCTCTCTTCTTCTTTCCCTTTTCCTCTCGACACGGTTGCACATCTTTCTTGTGCCACGCTTCCTGTATTTCTTTGGTCGACCGTGTATCAAGGCTGTCTTACTTGAAACAGAGTCGAGACCTTTGAATTCTACCCATCCATCATCACATATACACTTCTTGAAACCCCCACACTCTCCCTCCTCCCGCAAGGCTGCAAAGAAGAAGGACCAAACATCCAGGTGTATCTACACTTATAAGCCATGTCCGATCACAACCAGGGCCAACGTTCCCAGCTGGACACCATGGAGGACAAATGGGCCTCAGGATGGCTTGGTCCTCGTCCGACCTCTTCCCCCTCCTCCATGTACGACAACAACCCAGGCATTTTTCTTTCTTTCTCTCTCTCTCTCTCTCTCTCTCTCTCTCTCTCTCTCTCCCTCTCTCTCCCCACCCTTTAACCAATCAATAATCTCACTTACTGACGGTCACAGATTACCTTCCTATCGCGCCTCCCTACTCGAGAATAACCTAGTTCCCCCCCAATATACTCTAACCTGCACTGTTCCTGGCTGCTCGTCCGCTCCCTTCATGCGCGCCGCCTCCCTCCAGCGACATGTCGCCCAGTATCACCAGACTACGGAGCAGCCACAACAGGGGCCGGTTGCCCAGACTGAGTATCCCTGCCTATTCGCGGGCTGCCTCGTCGCTCCATTCAAGCGCTTCGCGGACCTCGACCGGCATACAAAACACGTCCATTCGCCCAAGAGCTTGCAGACGTCTCGATACTGCGACTGGTCCAAGGGAAAGGATTTCCAAGATACTGCAGGTGACAGCCCTTTCACTCGAAAGGATCATTTCAAGGCGCATCGGAGGGACTACCAACTTGAGCCGCTCCAAAGCTGAGTGATGCTGTGTCAATACAGGGGATTGATTGTCAAGCTAGAGAAAACCGACTGTTGTGGACACATATTTTGACGGGGACGTACTGAAGCGGTGGGAAGACAGAGTATCACGACCATCTCAAGTCTGTTATGTGATGTATAGTTTCTAGTGTGGTTTTTTTTTTGGTTTTGTTTCGTTCAACATAATATATGCGAGGTCTCATGCAAGTTTGCGCTTTTGTGACGGAGCCTTGTGGCTCACCAACTGGCCAATCTAAATACTAACAGAGGTATCTTATTATCCCAAAACCCGTTGTATGTCCAAATACCCAATTAACTAGGAAGAGAAATGAGGCGCATTGAGGAACAGCCCCATCAGCACACCACCCAGAGTACCAGCAATGGGAATGGTGAGAATCCAGGCGGTCAGAAGCAGGCCGATCCGCTGGAAGTTGACGGCCTTGAGGGTACCGTTGCAGAGACCGACACCGACAGTGGCGCCAGTGATGCACATCGAGGTTGAGACCGGCAGCGAGTACTGCGAGAAGACCAGCACGGTGACGGCGGCGCCCATCTCCATGGAGCAGCCTCGGCTGGGGCTGTGGTATGTGATCTTGTTTCCCATGACTGTTGGGTTGATTCCAGATTAGCGACCGCTGACATGATAATACGAAGTAGGGGGTTTGGATTGGATATCCACACACCTTTCATGATGTTGTATCCATAAGTGATCAGACCCAGTGAGATCATGGCAGAGAGGACCGCGAGCTGCCACACAGGCACAGGCGCCTTGGAAGCAGCAGCATCACCAGTAGACCAGGCCGAGTAGATGACCGCCCAAGGTCCCACCGAGTTACCAATATCATTCGCACCATGCGCAAACGACGCAGTACACGCCGTCAGGATCTGCACGAACGAGTAGGTGTGCTCCACCTCGTTAGGATACTTTTGCGCATGAGCATAGACACGCTGCATACGATCACCCTCGGGCGTGCCCGCAATGCCTGACTGCGCGGCGTGGATGTCGTAGTGCAGACCGTACAGCGCACCCACGACGATCTGGGCTGGGAGGCGCTTGAGCAAAATGCGGATGTTGTGCAGCTCGTAGATCTGACCAGCGCCCATGGGGTTGTCATGGAGGAGGCGCATGGCCCAACCCAGAGGTCCCTTTTTCTTCAGCAGCCTGGCGTGGAACCTGGCCTCGCCGTCGGCCATCAGCTCCTTGTAGGACGGGTGGGCAACCTCGTTGGTGACGGCCTGCTTCTCGCTGTCTGTTGTAGTGGGGGTGGTGGAGGCTCTGGCTCCCTTGAGCTCGGAGACGGTGGTGGACTCGTCCTCCTCCTCCTCATCGTCGTGATATTTTTGGACCACCTCGTAGTTGGGGATCTTGGCCTTTTCGCTTTCGGCTGGGGCGGGCCTTTTAAAGAGGAGGGGACCGTAGATGAACTGCCACCACTTGAGAGTCTGGTCCTTCTTGATGATCTTGGTGTGCACATAGGGCACAAAGAACAACGCCGCGAGTAGGGCAAGACCTGCACCCGTGCCCATGGTGACGCTGGCGACATACCAGCCGGGCTTCTTGTTCAGGCCCAGGTTGGGAGAGCCTTTGTAGACGATGGAGAGTGTGCAGATGGTGCCGGCGATGAGGAAAAAGAAGGGCGAGGACCACACGGCCCAGGGCACAGGGTTGCTACGGATGTGAACGACCAGCTTGATGAGCATGAAGATGGACGCCCCAAAACCAGCCGAGATGGCTGGTGCCATGCCCAGGCCTGCAAAGATGGCGCCCAGGCCTTTTCCTTTGTTCCACCCCCACTGGACCTGCGAGGCGCCCACCGTCGCGATGCCCACGCCTGCTACGGCCGAGATGAGCGAGTAGGTCGACGAGACGTGGGCTGAGTGGCGGGTGCACCACATGACCCAGGTCGAGGCCGCGGCCAGGGCACATGTGAAGGCCAGCATCTGCACGCCGGCGTTGTCTTGGAAGGCTGAGTTGGGGATGATGCCGTTCTTGATGGTGTCGGCTGTCCTGGCGCCGACTGTGATAGCACCCAACATCTCGAAGATGGTGCCGAGGACCATGGCCTGTCTGTAGGAGATGGATCTCGAAGACACACTGGTCGCCCAGGCGTTGGCAACATCATCTAATGATTGTGACAAAAAGGGTATCGTTAGACAAGTTGATTTGATTTGAGAAATTTGAGTGTTGTTGTTGACTTACTGGCTCCGTTGTTGTAGGCATCGAGCATGGCAAAAAATGTGCCTATCGCAAAGACATAGGTATATTGGTCCAACATCTTGAATGGGAGTTGTGCCCTGGGAGGCAAACCACCGTGTATTCAAAAGGAAGGGGAGGAAAAAGAAGAGAAGAACAGGACAATGATAGAAGCTCGAGGAGGAGCGAACAAGAAGTGGTTACTTCTCCAAACCAAACTTTATTCTCTGGGAAGGAGCCATGCGCAGCTCTATATACAATCATGCCCCTTCTCGTCTCGAGAGTGAATTGATACCAGGTTTCCAAATCCTCAGCACCGGAAACTCGTCCTCCTCCTAACTTGTTCCAACGGCGCTGGTCTCGGCCCCATATCCCACCCTCATCCCGACATAGCCACAAGCAAGGTTTGAGTGGGCGCCATCAAGAAGAGAAGAGCGCTTTCCGAGCAGCACGTTTCTCAATCGGAGGCTCTGACTTGCGCAAAGCCTTTCGAAGCATCCTCAGCTAGTCCAGATCACCCTGTCTGCTTCTGGGCAGTCCGCCGGGCCAAGCCTTCCTTGGTGTACACAAAGTAAGAACTTCCCAACGGGATCCCTCTCATGAACATGACTTTGCGAGGACGAGAATTTCCTTAGCCAGCTTGGCGAGCAACGCCCATCCTAATGGCTTGGCCCGCTCACCCCCAGGGCGGAGAGCGGGCTCTATATACAGTAGAAAGTTTAGAAGGGCCGGGTCGGGACAAGGCTCTTGGCGTAGCTTGGCGGTAAGTCCGGAAAGGGTAGATAGTCACCTATGAAAGACGTTGAAAGCAGGCACGTGGGCTTGATTGCAAGGCTTGGGATCTTTTTTATCATTTGTATGTTGCGACAAGATTTTGACTTTGGAGGTTTGGGTGCGTTAGGCCTCGTCTGATTCGTTGCGCCACATTCTCCATATCGTCGCGTAGTCTTCTTTTTTTGTGAGCTTTATTGACTGTGCTAGCAAAATCCAGGCCCCAAAATGTACGTATAGCAAAGCACATTCGGTGTCATTTGTCATGGGAACTCAAGATGAAGACGAGCACGTGGCTCTACATGTGGTTGGAGGACGTGTAGCGCAGTCATAATTTTTTGCGCTTCAACTGGAATTTTTTTTGGACGTAACCAAGAGGGTTCTGGGAAGAAGGAAAAAGTGATCTGATGTAAGCCGGACTGATCAGATGGTTCTGATGTTGAAGTAAAAGAAAAAGGTTCAAGTGACTGTGAAACCCGTGTCTTGGGTACAAGGCAGTCACTTGAGAAAAGCACAACTGCGCTTCTATCTGATTTTGTCTTGTGTGTGCATGAGCAGTGCTTACTTTATTGTCTGGAGTACAGCAGGGGCCCAGAGCACAATTGTGCTCCTCGTGGGTGTGGAGACATGGTGCGCGTGCCTTTGCACCTTGAACGGCATGACTGTGCTCTTGAACGTGCTGCGCTCTTTGAACGTGCTGTGCTCTTTGAACGTGCTATGCTCTTTGAACGTGTTGTGCTCTTGAACGTGCTCTGCTCTTGGGCGATAGTATCCTACCTATCACAGCAGCTTTTACTTGCTTGGTACTGAAGACTCTGTATCAGGGCTAGCGCTTTCCGGCCTCTGTATCCCACCCCCACGTGCCCTTTCCAACTGTGCCGCCAAGTTCGCTGGCCCGGCTAGGCAGGGGCTAAAAGAGGTAGATTTTCGCGGTCCCCGTCAGCCTAACTCGTTGATCGGTACCGGGGGGGGGGGTCCAAAGCAGGTTTCGTGCCATAGTAAGGATTCAAATACATATTCGTGTCTGAAGTATGAACTTTGGATTAGAAAATAAAACCTTTGTTGGATAGTAATTTTTTAGGCGGAGATTTGGAAATGTATTCCCTTCTCAGTTGAATGGAATCTTGACAAGTCCTGGGTAGTTGTGGCGTGTTGTGCTCTTGGGAGATATGTGCCCTTCAATGAAGCACAGGGACCTCAATGGTCATATCATTTGCACAGAGACCCTACTTGATTGATTATCTGATGACTACTATTTACAGACTGCTGACTGGAGTCTTTCTGTAACAAGATTATATGTGAGCAATGGGCATACCCTAACCCTCACACCTTTTTGCCATAAGAAACCTCATACAAGCATGAGAACTTACAGTAGTAATTCTCTCATATTTGCTCCTTTGATTTTCCTTGGTCGGGATTGTTTCTGCCACTGGCATCCTCGAGAAGCTCGCTGTCTCGGTCCATAAAAATTGATGCAGAATGAGTTAGCAGTGATACAAGATAGTAATCTCAAGGCTGCCTTGCCTCCTCACTAGTGACACTATGAAGCACTCAGGTCAATGCATCTGAGAATGGTGCTTTACCACGGAGATCAACTATCGGCTCCGGGCCGGACAGACCGGTGTCGGCGATTGAAGACCTTCAACATCGAACGACGGGCTGCATTCTCTTCGTCATGCGTGGCTCAGTCCACGTCACGTAGATTTCATACATTTTCAATGACCTTCAGTACTCTTGTGTTTAAGAGAGGTTCATTCTCGCTCATTCACCACAGGCACAGACAGAGACGAAAATCAGACCTGTTATACCATTCATTTCCTCCTCCACAGACTTGAGAACAACCATGTCCTCCTCTCCAAAGACGCAGCAAATAATAGTCATAGGGTAAAGCCACAAATCCTCCATGTATACAAACCCATATTAAAAATTCCACTCCCTCCAGCGCCGGCGTGACAGGTCTCTCCTGCGCCCTCGACCTACAAGAAGCCGGCCACACCGTCACCCTCCTGGCCCGAGACTTCCCCGCCCCCTTCGCCCTCATCGACGCCCAAGCCCAGATCAACTACACCTCCCCCTGGGGCGGCGCCCACAACCGCTGGGTGCCTCCTCCTCCTCCTCCTCCTCCCGCCACAGCCCGTGAACAAGGCCACAGCCCCCAGCACGACCATGCCTTCCGCGACCACCGCCTCGCCCTCGCCACCTTCCACCGCATGCGCCGCCTCGCAGCCGCCCACCCCGAGGCAGGCATCACCTTCATGAAGGGCATCGAGTACCTCGAGAAGCCCGGCCCCGAGTACCTGGCCCTGGTGGCACCCGGCAGCAGCGGGCCAGGCAGCGCGGCGGCGCTCGGGGTCGAGGGGTTCCGCGTGCTGGGGCGGGACGAGCTGCCGGACGACAGGGTGGTGCTGGGGCTGGAGTATGATACGTGGTGTGTCAATCCCATGGTCTACTGCTCGTTTCTCCTCAACAGCTTTGTGCACAGAGGGGGTCGGGTGGTGAAGCGGGAGGTGAGGGCGCCCGAGGAGGTGTTTGCGCTGAGGGGACTGCTGGGGGGTGGGGGTAGTGGTGCGGAGGTGTCTAATATGGTGGTGGTGAATGCCTCGGGCCAGGGGTTTGGGGATGAGAAGTGTTTTATCACGAGAGGTGAGTTTCAAGATCGTTGACCATCTTAGAGAGAGAGAGACAAGAGGTTGTTGTTCCTACTGGGATTTGAGACTGATGTTTTTCACAAACACAGGCCAGACATGTCTCGTCGCCAACAAGTGCGATGCCACCGTCACCAGGCAGAACGCAGACGGCTCCTGGACCTTTTGTGTGCCGCGCAACTTTGACGGCGGGACCATCATAGGCGGCACCAAGGAGCCTGACAACTGGGACCCGGAACCTTCGCGCGAGGTCAGGGACAGGCTGGTGCGGGCGTTTGTGGCCACGTACCCGGGCATTGCGGATGAGGCTGGCTCGGTGACGGTTCTCAAGGATATTGTTGGTCGGAGGCCGACGAGACATGGCGGTGCTAGGATCGAGAGGGAGGAGGTGGATGGGGGTCCTGGTAGGACCATCGTGCATGCGTATGGTCTGGGTGGGAGGGGGTATGAGATGTCATGGGGTGTGGCAGAGATGGTGGCAAGGCTTGTCGAGGGAGCTGAGCCGACCAGAGCACGGATATGATTGGGATTGTGGACATTGTCTGTGTGTCATGTTCCAGAGTGCTGTCATGCTTCACAGACACACGTGTGTTCCCATGTGTATATGTACAAGGTCCTATGTATGGCCTGTCCACTTTATCATCAGCACACCGTGCAGGCCGTGTCGTCGTGATATGCCGTACTAGATCCTCATTTCTCCAGGCGCCCTCAAAACGCCCAGGACAATAATACATTCTCTCTCCCTCCGTCTCCCTCTCTTCCATCACCGCCTTTCCCCCTCCTCTCCACCCCGCCCTCTGCTCCGAAACCCGCCAACCCTCTCCCCCCTCCTCAACTTCTCCTCCTCCGCCCGCCGCCTGGCCTCGTCCCTCTCGTTCTCCTCGATGCCCCACCACTCCCGCACAAACCGCGCCTGCTCCTCCTTCCGCCGCTGCTTCTCCACCCGCTGCCGCGCCCGCTCCTGCCGCTGCGCAAACCACTCCTCCCGCGCCGCGTCTTCCTCTTGCGGCGTCGCGTGGGCCTTCATGCACCCGTTCATCAGCCGGTGGGGTTCGCGGCAGGCAAAGGGGACAGAGAAGGTGCGTCCGAGGGCGCAGTCGGCGAAGGCTATGCGTGTGTGTGATTTTCATTGTCAGCAGGGTGAAAAATGAAAGGATGTTTGCTGGAGAAGATAAGAAAGAGAGAGAGAGAGAGAGAGAGAGAGAGAAAGAGAGAGAGCCAGCCATAGAAGGAGGAAAGAAGGGTAAAAACATCTTCACCTTTTATCTCAGCCGCGCACTGCCTCCGCACCCTGTCGTAAAACACCTCCCGCACCTGCGCCTCTTGCGATGCAGACAGCGGTAATGGGTTCCTCGACGGCATCGGCAGGTGCTCTGTTGTGGTAGTGCTGGTGTTATTGTTGTTGTTCGGGCTGGAGCCAGAGCTCGAGCCGTTGGGTGTTTGGACGGCCATCGCGGCCATTGATTAATTTCCAGCTGTGCTCTGAGCGACGAAGAGAGACAGAGAGAGGGAGGGAGGGAGGGAGGAAGGGAGAGGGACAGAGTGCGTGTCTGTGTGTGTGCGTTCTGCGTCTGTATGTAGGTGCAGGTTGGTGAATGGGGAGTTGTCTCGTGTACGTTGAGTAGATTCGGCCCAAAAAGTTTCAATGCGATGTTGTGACGAGCTTGTTTCGAGAGACTGTCTAAATTGGTCGAGAGGTAGATACAGGTAGGTAGGTGGGTAGGAACCTCGTGTGCTGATGTGTTCCTTTTGTCTAGGGGAGCAGTGGGACGGCGAGGTGGGCACAACGGACGATGCGTGCAAATCGACTGATGTGATGTGATGTGGTGATGATTGGAATTATGGATGCGGACCGATCTCTTGAGCTCGAAATTCTGCCGCTTGGGGGGAGCTTGGCACCCACCACCACCACCCAGAAAACCCTTGACCGCCCTCGGCCAGTGCCGCTGCAGTAGACCCAGGGGACACGCCTTTCAGGGGTCCTCCTCTCATCATACCTACTTAAAGTACCTTAGAGTGTACTGCATACAGTAACTGTACACTACATACTTTTAATGAATTCTCGACAAGACAAAAAGAAGAACGGAACTAATTTTCACTACGCTCAAAACGAGAGGAAGCCTTCATCTTTTCTTCTGCATGAGAGATGTAAACAAAACCTCGATAGCGCTGGTGTGATATGCAATTCTTGTTAATTCGCTAGCTACGCCGTCTGAAAAAGGCAGTCGTCTATGCCCTGCCTCTCTTGCACAGCGCACATCAACGCTTGTATTTGGTGGTGAGAGTGGTATACTCGACAAGGCAGTCTGGACAGTCAAATGAGAGAAGAAAGAGCTAGCAAGACAGAGACGACCCCCCCCCCCCCTTTCTCTCCTACTCCTCAGGAGTGGCCTCCGTGTCCACACTGCTCATCCGCTCATGCTCAATGTCCAGGCTCTCCCTGCCCTTTTCCTTCTTCTTGCCCATCGAGAACCACCGACCGCTCATCCTACCGTCTTTGGCCTTGGTGCTTCCTCCTCCAACGGACGGGCTGCTGTTGACACTCTCGTAGCTTTTCCCGAGGAATTCTTCGCCCGCGGCGTTGATGCCACTGCCGCCACCGCCTAGGACGTCGTCGCTGCCACCAAAGCTGGACCGGTGCTCCCTCTCCGAGATGTTGGTCGTTGTCGACCCCGGCCCGCCCTTCTTAGACCCGCCAAGGCGAGACGAGAGGCTGAACTTGCTGGAGCTGCCCTTGCGGAAGAGCTTGCGCACGACATTATCCGGGCTGGTGGGCTCTTTCAACATAAACTCCGACGGCGTGTTAGAGACGGATTGATCCAGCGACAGCGAGTCGTGCGATTCGCTGATGGACGTTCGGCTCTGCACCGACAAGGACTGTCGAGATTCGGACCGCTCATCGACCGACTCATTGCCCGAGAACGGCTGGGTCATCGCCTGGTCGTCTGCACCAGTGGCTCCCCTCACCTCCTTGCCCTTGGTCTTCTTCTCCTTGCTGCTGCTGTCCTTATCCGCTTTCGGCTTGAAAATGTTGCCCATGAAGGACGGGGCCGCGGGGTTCAGAGCCTTGGCCAGGGACTTCTTCGTAGGACCAGGTCTTCCGATGACGCCGACTTGAGACGGCGAGACTTGAGGGTCCAACAACGCCTCGTCGTCCAGAATCTCATCGTCCGCGGAAGCCAGCGTCGTCTTGAGAACCGAGGGTGATCCGTGGAGAGAAGGTCTTCTAGACGGATTCCGCGACCACGAGTTATTGTCTGGGGACCAGACGAGCCGTGACCGTCCGAAACCTGCCTGGTCCGGTGGCGGCCAGAGGGACGAGCTGTCGGTGGACGGGCGGGGTCGATCTGCAGACGCGATCGAGGCCGGTCGTGAGCTGCTCTGATCTCGATCAAACACCCCCGTCATAGCCCGCCGCGGGCCCCCAAAAGGCAAAAAGCTCTCGGTCGAGAATCCTGTGGTGCCGGCCTGCGATGGATAGGCATCCATGGTGTCGGGTCCCACCGAGTTGCGATTAAATACATTGAAGCTAGACAGGTTGATGCGACGCCGGCTCGGCACCCTCTCAAGATCTTCCAGCTGCCGTGGGAAGGATCGGCTCTGTCCAGGCTTGAGACTGCCCAGCTCAGGAGGTTCATCCAGCGGCTTGGTAGGCTTTCCCCGCTGGAAGCTGAAGAGGGACGCCAGCCTATTCGTAGCGGGCTGGCCGGGAGGCGGGAGCGGCGAAGAAAAGTTGCCAGTATGTGAATTGAGCGAACGCCTCTCGGCATCGTCGCTGGGAAACGAGGAGTACTGGAGATTCTGCATCGACCCGTGCGGGCTCGACATGATGCTGGCGGAGCGGCCTGAGCCGGGCGACTGTGGGTCGTGATCGACAGGAGACGCGGGCTGCGCGGGCACAAATGGGCTCGTTGGCTCGAAATCAGATGCGGGACTATCAGGCTCATCGTGCTCGTCGTCCGTGAAGATGTTGCTGGGAAGGAGGTTGGTCGCCGAGGGGCTGAGCGGTGCGTCAGCCATGAATGACCTGAACTCCTCATCGTCGTGGTCTTCATATCGCGGGATCGGATCGAGCAGAAGAGGGCCAAGGCCAGGCGGGGGCCCGCCTCTTACGCCAAACCCAGGTTGCTGCTGGGGTGGTTCCAGCGCGGTGTACTGCGGCGCGGGGGAGATGCCGACGTTCGAGAGGGAGTTGCTGTGGTGACTTCGGCGCTTGAGCTGGTTCTGTGAAGGCACATCAAAATCGGCGCCCGACGAGTTGGCCTGATGGTGGAGGGCGAGGGTGGCCTGTGGGATCTGTTGCAGGACGGCGTGGATCGAGTTGAGGCTCATGTCGAGCTCCCTGCCCTTCTGCTCTTCCTTGTGAAGCTTGGCGAGCCACTCTGACTGCCTCCGTGCCCACTCGCGGCGCCGCTCAAAGTCCTTCTGGCGCCACTCTGCATCGTCCTCGCCTCCGGGGAGCTTCTTCCGGTCCTCCTCGAGCTTCCTCACCTGCTCCCTCTTGGCCTTGAGGTCGGCCTCCATCTGGGAGCACTCGGCCTGCAGCTGCTCGTTGCTCTGCCGGAGCTCTTTGTTTCTCGCCGCGCTCTCCTCCTCGATCGCTGCCTTCTGTTCGTCGTAGCTTTCCCTCTCCTTGCGCATCTCCTGAATCTGCTTTTCCATCTTGGCAGTGCCGTCCTCGTACCGGGACCGCTCGGCCTGTCTTGCCTTGACCTCCTTTTCCAGCTGCGCTTTCCTCTGTATGGCAGACCGCATGGCCCTGTCCGTCGTACCCATCTCTTTCTTGAGCTTCTCTGTCTGCTCTTCCTTCTTTTTCTGCTCCGCCTTCTTCTGTTGTTTCTCTTGTTCCAGCTCGTCCAGCAGCCGCTTGCTGTCCTCTTCCTCCTTGGCGACGAGCGCTATGGTGTCCTCGAGTTCCTTCTTGATGCTGCTGAACTTTTCGCCCAGCCCTCTGATCTCGGCCTCCGACGTACTGTCCTTGCGCACCGGCTTCTGATCCATGCTCCCAACCGACGGCGAGGATCTGCGGCCAACTGTATTTCGTCGCGGAACCTGACCAGCCGCACTGGTTTCTCTCGTCAGCGTCAGGCCGCCATCAGGTATCGTCGCACTTTCGATGCCAGGGACTGGGCTCCGCGGCGCTGTACCCTCGTCGCCGTTCTCGCGTTGTACGGACGAGGAGGTCTGATCCTCGGGCTCGAAGTTCGGAGGCAGGCGGGAGTTGCCCAGCTGAGGCCGTCCATCCCGACCAAAAGTCCGGAGACGAACAGTCCGACTGCCGGCCTGGAAGCTATTTGCACCAACGGCGATGACGCGTACGTTGTAGAAGTGGCTCGGTTTCAGTCCGGTGACGGTGATGGCCGTCTCTTGATTCGCTGGTGACTCGCCCACTTTTTGTTTTGCATCGCCAGGTCAGAAGCTGTCCGCAAGTATTTTTTGGTATGGATCATGCAAACACGTCCACGTGTCGCGTGCGACGACGACGAGACACTTACCAACTACGCCGTTGACCTGTATCAGAAACTTTTGGACGGGCTTGTTGGGATGAGGTCTTGCCCAGTTGACGGTTGCCTTGTCGACACCGATGCCCGCGAGCATGACATCAGGTGCATCTGGGACGTCGACGCCGAGAATTCCAATAAGTTCGGGAACGGGCTTCCATAGTGTCTGGACAGCCCTTCGCATCAGCCTGCAGAAGATAGAAAGGGTACTGGTCAGCAACGCCCGGGGCCGAGGAGAAGAACAAGGACACTGGTAGACACGCGAGCACAGGCCCAAGGCGGTTCTTCGTGGAAGGAGAAGGTGTGCAAGTGCAGCATAGCGTACCAAACGACTGCGGCACTGAACAGCAACATGCTGGCATTCTCCTCGCAAAAGCGGTCCAAATTGTCTAGGGTAACGTGAGAGGCAGTATGCATGTAGATATTTTGAGGCGACAGGCTGTCGAGGTCGAGGTCGAGGTTGAGGGCCGTGTAGAGTAACGCGCAGACGACAGCAACGAGCAGGTGGAGCAGTGCGGCTCTACGCTCGACAAGAAAGGACCATGCCAGGACGGAGCAGATGAGGATGAGGAGCGGAACGAGCGTCGTCCATGAGGTCCATGTCATATCGAGGGGGGTGTGACGCCGACCGACAGCAAGGAGAGGGGTCGAACCGATCGAGATGGGTTGTGGGATGTGACGGTGGCAGTGAGGGTGGTGGAGGAGGGGGGGGAGGAGAAGAAGAAGAAGGGGAGAACCATCAAGAGAGGAGAGATAGAGAGGTTGTATGTACTAAAGTGGAAAGATGCAGAAAAAAAAAGCGAGTTAAAAACTTGGGTCGGTGGTTGCATGGAACTTTGACCCGTCCGTGTATGGTTTGGGTAAGAAGTGGAGAGAGGCGTTGGTCTTTGCCTGGCTGGTAAATGTAGAACGTACAGCACAGCAATGCAGCGAGCAAAGGCCTGGAGCCTGGGGGAAATCACCCGAGTCAGCCGCAAGAAACAGGGCTAACAGTCAGTACAAGGGCATCTCAGGACAGGGTTAGGTATCTAGGTACTACTATAAGGTTGCAGGCACTATAGGCCACTACATAGTACTATAGCACTATGTAATCTCCAGCACTGGGGAAGGAAAAGATCAGACCACTACACAGAAGGCAGGAAGGCACAACACAGCAAGTGTGTTGTCAACGACTAGCTTGCCCCTTCAACAAGCTCAGCAGGGGTCGCCAAGCACATACTGACCATTTCAGGCGCCTCAACGGCCCTGATCATAGACATCGTGAGGTCTTCACTGGAAGACGAAATTGACACCAGGTCTGCATCTGCCTTGCCAGCCTTACTTCCTTTTCTACTTTACTAGATGAGACAGCTGATCTACTAGGACACGAAGGCCTCGTGAATAGCAAGGTCAAATCAGCTTGTTCGCTCAACCTGGGATCGACACTGCAGGCGACAATACCGTTCCAACCAAAGCTCATTCTAACTGCCAGCATTACACCTCACATGCAGTAGTCAACCCAAGTATACACCCATGTAACTGATAAGCTCCTCATTGTCCTGCTTTCTCAGTTCCCCCGCTTCATCGTCCGCATGCAGGGTTATGTGAGGCTCGGTAGAAGCAAATGGGCTATGAATATAGAAAAGCTGCTGCGTCCAGGGCCTCCTCAGCACTCGCAACCCAGCACCAACGTTTCTTGGGCTGCATTGTCTACACTGGGCACTAATAGCGCTTCTGCAGCTATATATCCACGCATTTTTTCTTCTTCTTCTCTTGGCTGAATATATACCAAGTCATGCTACATGGAGCAAGGACACTGGGATGCCCTCCTTCGATGGCCCAACTCGTATGGAGTCTTACTCAGCATGAGTCCTTGAGGCTCCTCGCCTATAAGTATGCTGCCAGCGCGGCACATGACGATTATATGCCACTCCATTCCAGCAGCTTGGGATGAGGTGAACCAAGGTTTGTTGCGCACGGCTCTCGTCAAAGATCAATATGAAGCCATAGATCACTCCTGTTCGTCAAGTCGCAGCGAGGGCATTCGTCGCAGCGTGGGCTTTGTTGCCTCCCCTGCCTCGCTCTTCACGTCGGGACGAGAGCGTCGGCGCGCTTGCAGCAACGCAGTCATGACGCGTCCGACCTGTGCGAGCATGTCTGGCTGATCCAACGCGTTATCCCTCGAAGTTTCTCTCTGCCCTTCGGATGCTGGTGACTCGGCGGAGCACAGCATGCAGTAGAATGTGGCCACGGACTTTCCGTGTCTCTCAAGCTGCTTCGTCTGCACCAGGGTCCATAGTTCTGGGATAGCGAGTGTAGCCTGGCCGTACCGCTCCACGATGGGGTTGCGGAACTGGCAGTTGTCCGCAAAGGTGCTGATGACCTTCCTATCGCAGAGCTGGCTGTCTACGTAGCGAGGAGCATAGACCCAGGCTGGTGATTCGGGCAGCGATGAAGCCATGTTCTTCCGGTTGCTAGAAGGCTCTAACAAGTTGTGGGCGGCCAGGGCTATGCCCAGCAGAGCCCCCTGCGTCGCTCTATTGCCTGCCAATGCATTACAGAGGATATGCTGGCAGGCGTGTGAGACGGCCTCCTTCACTGCGTCGACCAGCCGCAGACGTTTGTTCACAGACTGACCTTCGCCTGAAATGGCATCTGCGGGGTCATCATCTATATCGCTTGAGACCCAGCTTGTTACTCGGAGCCCTGCCATGATGGCCTCATACATATTGGCTGCCTGACGTGCTCGCACCTTGCGCCGGCCGGATGTTGTGTCCGCGTTCGCATAGCTGCAAAGCCGGGAGCCGACATCATCTTTGATGCTACGGACGCCGTGGGGCACAGAGACGGTTGAGAACAGGTCGGATCCCGTCTCCAGGGCCATGTTCCCCGCCGTCAGGAAGACGATGTCCCAGAAGACCTCCTCCAGCGTTTTATCGTAGTTCACCTCGAGGCCCACAGGATCAAAGTACGGGTCGAGGCGGTCAGCCAGGCCCAGCAGGCCATAGACTCGATCCAGCTGCCGCGTGCTGTCGCAATTTGAGAATTCCCTGATGAGACCTGAGAAGCGGAGGTACTTGCCAGCTTTCATGTGATCTCGGAGCTTGACAAGTTTGAATACCCAGTGGCTCGTCCATGCATCCGCCTCGATGATCCCGTCTTTCCACGGGAACTTGGCCCAGGCCGATGCGAGCTGCTTCGACAGGACATCAAAATCCACCGCAACAGAGCCGTAGACAACCAAGGTAGTTCGCGCGCAGGCCACCTCCTGGATGACCCAGACGCGGCGCCAGTACTGCTCTTCGCGCAACAGCCGGAGCAGGGCGCGGCGGAGTGAGATGGAGCGCGGCGAGAGCCGGTCTGCGGTGCTCTTGGGGTCGAGATGGTACGGCAGACCCGGCCCCCAGTTCATGATGGTCTGAAGAGCCTCGACGCCACGCGGGCACTCCCCGAGCCAGGAGATGACGTGATCTGCCTGGGAGTAGATGTTGCCCATCCGTGTGACCTGGTCGTTGAGCTCGCTGTGGTGGGCCTGGTCGATGCATATCGAGTCTGTCCAAAACCAATCTGTCTCCTTGTTCATCCAGGCGCGGTGCAGGAACCGCCACAGGTTCTCGTGAACCTTTCGCACCAGGCCATTTATGTGGACGGTGTGCCTGGGGGTCGGGTCTCCCCAACAATAGGACAGAGCGACATAGGGTGGGCGAGACTTGGGTCCAAAGTGCTCGAGAGTGCAGACGAGATTCCCGTACTCTAGATCAGGGTGAATCCTGATCAGCCTGATCCAAGTTCGGTTCGGGAGAGGCTCATGCTGGAATTCGGTGGTAGGAATGGACGCCGACATTTCTCACAACAGACGTTTTGTATGATTTCTCTCACAAAACTCATGGAGAGAAACGGTGCGAGCACCTGCAAGGACTCCATGTGGTTCATTGAAACGGGCTTTGATCAAAGGTTGAGGGGCACTGGCACCGATGTTCGACGACACCACTGGAGCAGAAGCGCCCACTTCAGTGGCAACTACTGCATGCTGAGCCTCAACCCCTCAGATGTCAGCCTGTAGAAGAGGCCAATGCAATGTGGGATGCCTCCTGCTAAACAGCGACGAATCAAATTACAGCTCATGCTGTTGTCCGACAAGTGGCTGAGTGTGCGCTAGCCTAGCCCACCTTTCCAACTTATTGAGAAAGAGAGGCATTCCTCGAAAGTTGTGCTCGGGATACCCTTTGCTATATACTATGCGTAAACAGAATTATGGTGTTCACTTGAGGTTATTACCAGCAGGAAACAGGCGGAAGAAGAGAATAAATAGTGGTGGCCTTCCGGCGCATTGCAAGAGTCAGCTCCCAAAAAGGCTCATAATAACAGGACAGTTTCGCAATGCAAAAAAGAAATGAATAACAGTAAGGCAAGAAGATGTGATGACTGCTCTGTAGAAGAGGCTGGATAATTTCGTCCAACGAGAGCCATCCATTTATCCGAAGGATCACAGCGAACTGTTTGGATGCAAAGTCACTCGCCACTATGACAGAAAGCCTAACTGACAGCACAGCCAAGCATACTCAAGACAGATCACAGTCAGGCCGTGGCAAGACATTCATAAGATGTTTGGCATGGTCCTTCCTCAACACCAGTGGTGAGCATTGTCCTGGCTAGGAATGTTGGGGTTACATCGGCGCAAGCAAGCCGCCCGTCACCAAGACTCTGTCTCGTGGCAGCGCAAGCCCCCCCAACCTTGTGCTGCCCAACAAAGAACTACCGGGGTCCATTACGAATTAGCATGCTGGGTCGACTCGGGGTTTTCGAGGTGGAGGACCACCAACAAAGGACCATGTATGTTGTCATGGATCGCTCGTCCCCCATCGTCGTCAACGTCCGATGTCTCAAACAAGGTCGTAGAGGTCAAAGCCTATTGTATCAATCTGCTCCCCTCGTGGGGGCTTTGAGGTGTTTGTCGTTTCGCTTTTCTCAATTTTGAATCAAACATCGGCTTGTACAGTACAATGACATCACTTGGATCTGATCTGACCCGATTCTTAAAGCAGAACCTCGGGTCAATGTGGCCCCAAAGTCTGACAGGCGGATAGGCTGAGTGGCTGGAAAGCCAGCAGCAATGACTTCAGGTGACCTTAAGCCTCACATCCCTCAGGGCAGCTACGCGTTGCAGGACGCCGGGGGGGGGGGGGGGCTCGGTAGTTTCCAGATAGCGGGTGCGCTAGGTAGTACCCTGTAATTAATCTGCTATGGGGTACAACTCATGGATTCCGAGCCCAAGTCGATCCCCCAAATATCCGAGGCACGGAGAATACGCCCCGGTCAGCTAGTCATTCTCATTGGGAATCGTAAGATGACATGTGACAGAAGATGAGAGATGGACAAGAACACCGACAGAGAGGAAGATACGATATGCTAGTAGACGAGACGCAGAAAGGTACTGAGTAGGCCATTACTTTTAAAGTACTGATGCTACTCATAAATGTTGTACAACAGCCGCTAAATAATTCATACACCCACTGACAGGAGTTACCCCCAACACCATCAAAAAAAATAGTCTCATCGAAACGGCTGGCAACTAACGGGTGGGCTAGCAGGGGTACCCAATTGTTGGGTTCTTGTTTTCTGCACTGGCAGCCCCCTAGGGCTATGGGGCACGCTGGAAGTCATCACCTGGGGACCTACGCCAGTGCCTACGTTTGTGCCGTCAAGTGACCCACCGCCCCCGTAGATCATCAGCCATCCTCCCATAAGCCTTGCACTCTTCACCTCGTCTGCATACATACGTACATACATCATACATCCCATCCCATCCCAAAAAACCTAATCCCCCTCCAACTCCCCTTCTCTTTCGGGTTGAATCTTTCTTGACCTTCCCGTCCCCTTTCCCCTCCCTACGACCCCGCCGACAGACTGCACGATGCAATACGTGCGCAACATATCAGATTCCGTGTCGACGGCATGGAATTCGATAAATCCAGCAACCCTGAGCGGCGCAATCGACGTAATAGTCGTAGAGCAGGCAGATGGCACCCTGTCGTGCTCCCCCTTCCATGTTCGCTTCGGCAAGTTCTCGCTCTTGCGACCATACGAGAAGAAGGTCGAGTTCAGGGTCAATGGCAAGAAGCAGGACTACGCCATGAAGCTGGGCGAAGGGGGCGAGGCCTTCTTCGTTTTCGAGACGAGTGACACCATCCCTCAGAACCTCCAGACCTCTCCCTTGGTGTCTCCTGCATCTAGTCCCCCAATGCCGCCTGGGAGGGCCGCTACCACTTCTCTCCTGCAGGATCCTCCCCTACTCGACCTGGATAACGACGAAAATGGGAAGGAAACACCCCGTTCTTCGAGCCCTGTTCGGCCTCCTCCCTCGGCGCTTTACTCAAGCTCAGTACCACGAGATGCAGGTATGTGCTTCCCCCGCTCCCGTTTCCGCTCGGAAGATTTTGTCTGTGAGATGAGGCTGATGTCGAGTGCAGGTCTGATTACACCAGGGTCAACCGCGACCTCGTTCTCGCACGGGCGACCAAAGTCAGGAGACTTTTCCCATCTCACCCGACCCCATAGCGAGGATATCCTGCACCATGCCGCACGCAAGAAGACCAGCGAGTCCGACCTGAAAGAAGGTGTCGAAAGCCTTGACCTTCTGGAGGATAGGTCCATGAGCCCACCGCTTCTGGGCCCACAGGAGGCGCTGGAACGTGCCAGGAATCTATCCAGAGGGCTACAGGCCGTCAACATCCCCACACACGTTACCGAGACGGGAGACCTGATGCTCGACATGACCGGCTTCAAGCAGAGCGAAGAAGACGCAATCAGGGCCGAGATCCTTGCCAGGAAGGTTCTCTCTGAGGAGCTTGAGGGGAACTACGATATTGGAGCGCTGTTCGGCATCGACGAGCACGGGAATCTCTGGATCTACAGCAGCGAAGAGGCCAAGGATGCGGCCATGAAGAAGACTATGGAAGCCGGTCTCCGATCCAGCACATTTGATGCTGACGCAGTGTCCGACCCAGGCTACCATAGCGACGACAGCACAGGGACTACATCTGCACTACCTGTGCATAGGAGAACGGAGTCAGATGTCGGTCAGGGCAGTCTACAGACACCGCCTGCCTCGCCAGGATCCGGCGGCAGAGTCAAGGCCGCAGGTGATCCTAATAGGAACTACGCAAAGACTTTGCGTCTGACCAGCGACCAGCTGAAGGCGATGGACCTGAAGCCGGGTGAGAACTCGCTCAGCTTCACCGTGAACAGGGCAACCTGCTCCGCATTCATGTACCTGTGGAAACACGATACGCCAGTGGTCATCTCGGACATCGACGGCACCATCACCAAGTCTGATGCGCTCGGTCAGCTATTCAACATGGTCGGCCGGGACTGGACACACGCGGGTGTGGCCAAGCTCTACAGCGACATTGTCGCGAACGGATACAACATTATGTACCTCACAAGTCGATCAGTCGGCCAGGCCGACACCACGAGAGCGTACCTTGCCGGTATCGTCCAGGACGGCTACCGTCTGCCGCGCGGCCCGACGATACTTTCGCCTGACCGGACAATGGCCGCCCTGCGTCGTGAGATCTACCTGCGCAAGCCGCACGTATTCAAGATGGCCACGCTGCGGGACATCCGGCAGCTCTACGGGGCGGACCACCATGCCTTTTACGCCGGCTTCGGGAACCGGCTGACGGATCAAATTTCTTATCGGACGGTCGACGTGCCCAGGACGCGCATCTTCACTATTAATAGCAACGCCGAGGTCTCCCTGGACCTGCTTTCCCTCAACAAGCTCAAGCTCAGCTACGTCAGTATGACTGACGTCGTTGACCACTACTTCCCGCCCGTGTCCACCATCGTCAAGGGCGGCGGCGAGGAGTACACGGACTTTGCCTACTGGCGTGACAAACCGCTCGAGATGGACGACTTCTCGGCCTCGGACGACGAAGACGGCTTTGCGCTGGAGGAGGACAAGGACAGCCAGTACGCCGAAGATGAGGACGAGATCGAGGGCGATGGGCTCGGCGACAGTTACATCTCGAGGGGATCGTACGACGACGACGGGTATGCGGAGGGGAGCGTCCTCAGCGGTGACTACGACGAAGAGCAGGAGCGCATGGCGAGGTCGATGATGGACGGCCTGGCCGACGACGACGCCGATGACGAGGAAGACGAGCCGGAGGAGGACAACGAGGATGACGATGAAGAGGGGCTGGAGGAGGAGGAGGAGGAGGAGCAAAAGCAGGAGGTAGAAGGAGGAGGAAAGGCGGCCACCCTTGCGCCGCCTAAAGAGAAACAGCCCTCGAGACCGCTGTCGCCACGGATAGCGGTCAAGGATTATAGTGCTGAGCTGATCACGGGCATGACGGATCTCGCTATCGAGAAGGAGGTCGAGGAGCAGTGAACATAAAACTTGCGGACGCACACACCCACGCAAGCGGGCTCTCATATACACAGCAAGGCGTTGTGGTCAAGCATCATCATCATCGTTATCATCATCATATCACGGGTAGGAGCAAGCGTATCATCTTGTCATCGTTTGGTTGGGTTTTATCATCAGAACTTTGTATAAACTAATTCCATCGCTTACCACTATGTTTGGGATCGATGTCAAGTAGCTGGGTAGGAATAGACCGGGTGGATTGCTCGCGCAGTGAGGGGAAAAAAGAAGATGAAAAGAACGAGGTCTCTCTAGCATCGCTTCTCTCTCTCTCTCTCCAGTGTTATTTTGCAATTCGGACTGCCCTTTCTTTGGACCACCATATGCTGACTGGTGGTCTTATGCCACGTGAACCTCGTCGACCTTAAGTCGTCCCATCACCTCTGGCACAGGATGACCTTGCGACGAAATAGAGGTCGACAACCCCCCCGCCGCGAAAGAGATGCTTCGCTACGGCGCAGACTGACGGGCTGGTGAGTTGTCCACGGCAGGTGATGGCGGGCTTGGCCGGCGAAACGGATTGCGTCCAGTGGTTTGGACGAAGCCGGGAGGCTGCTGCTGCTGCTGCTGCTGCTCGGCCAGTGGGCTGTTTTCGAACAAAGGATGTCGAAACATGGTCGCGTAGCGCCCCGGCATGGCCTGTGGAGGGGCCGGGCTGGCACTGGGCTGAGGGTTGGGCCCGTGATGGGAGGAGGGAGAGGAGGAGGGTCCGGCTCCAGATACAAATGTTTGAGATCCAGTGTTGAGCGTAGTGTAGGGGTGGAGCTCTGCTCCCTGTGGGTAGTAGTACTGGTGTGGTGGAGAAACGGCGGAAGAAATATTGTTCGGTACTGAGCCGTTCTGCAGATGCAGTGGACTAATTTGGGACTGTTCATTTGTCTGGATGGCCGCTCGTCGACCATCTAAGACATCGCTGTTTTGCGGTGAGGCGCTTGGTGAGTGGTGACTGGTGAAAGGCTGACTCTGGCTTGTCTGCAGATGCTGGACGCTGGCTGCCTGATGACTGGTGTGCTGAGATCCATCTCGCGAACGAAAAGCGATGCCATTATTCGGATTCGTGGTATTCCCGTGCATAGAACCCTGGTGACGAGTGTTGTTGTAAGATGGTGTATCATGGGCATCAGAGGAGCCGGTATCTGGATTCCAAGCGGTTCGAGCCAGAGGAGAAATGAATCTCACGTCTGTGAAAGACGTTGTGCCGTTGAGATCCCTCATACCCAAACCTTCTCCAGAGGCGTTTGAGAATCGCGCCATTTGCATAGGGTTGAGTCGCATCCCCGGTTCGCCTTGCGACGGCGAGTCCATGACATACGCGCTCTTCCAAGACGTACCGTATGTCATATCTAACGCAGAGTGATGTCCATTGGTGATGGGGCCAGAGCTCTAGTCTGCCCCTCCCATGTCCACATCCTCCTCACCGACCTGCTCGTTATTCTCGGCCCCAAACACATCCTCCATCGTGCCGCCTTCGACGCCATCACCGCCGACGTCCTCCTCGTTCGGCTGCACCTCCATCGCATCCACCATCTCCTGATCGTCATCATCGTCCTCATTATCTTCGCTGTCATCGTCGCCCCGGGCCAGGATGTCTCGAAGGCCCCATCCCATGCCGGTCATGACAAAGCGCTCGCTCGGTAGCCTGACACCCCATTCGTTGGCGGGGACGCGAGGCAGTGCAACCTTGTTCCGCTCGGCTGCGAGATTCGCCAGTGCATCCTTGCTGATGCCGCCGCCTCCAGTGGCTCCACCGCCGCCATGAAATTGGTACGCAAGCCGTGAGCCGATGGCCAGGCGCACGGCATTGGCGCTGACTGTCGCATCACCGCCAGTGCCAGGCACAGAAGAAGCCGCGCCCGATGCCGCAGAGGGCTTGGAACCGGCGTGGGTAGTATATGGATCAGCAGCAAGGTACAAGCTGTCGGAGAGAACAGAGGCAGTGTGGCGGTAGGCGAAGTCGAGAAGGAGGAGAGGCACGCGAGACTCAAAGGCGGTCACACCCTGCGCGTTGAGAAGAAGCTCGATGGTGCGCTGGTCGCGAGGCTTAGGAGCGGAGCTTGCATTTGTGTTGGAGCCAGCGGCTTGCGCTCCTGCTGCCGTAGGAGCCTGCTGCTGTGTCGATGAAGCTTGTGGTTGTGGTTGAGACTGGGTGGATTGAGAGGGCACGCCGTTTGTAGCTGGTTGGGTGTTACCATCAGACGCCGGTTGTGTTGGCTGCGACTGGATATTGTTGGGGGTCTGGGATTGAGACACGCCGGGCGAGGACGGCACGCCGTTCGTCTGCGGTGGTGCCGCGGCAGACATCGTGAAGTTTCGTGACGAGGCGACGTGATTCCGGGGGAGGGGGAAGTTGAGCTGAGAGAGGGAACTGTAGGCGTCGTGTCCGCTCAAAGGTGTCGTGCTGACGATGATTGTGGCTATTGAGCTGGATCCAGACGTTTATTGCCAGATTAATTCCTATCGTGGCGCGGAATTTCTGGATGGATTGAGCCTGGTCGTGAAGCTAGGGTGAGCGTTTGGAAGTCGCGCCTGGGAACCGTGAAAGCCCCAAGCTCACACCCCCGGCCCAGCACGGCGAGCTAGCCATGGAGACGCGAAATGGCGGGAAAAGGCCAAACAATTGCCCGCCACGGGAGCAGAGCCAGCTGCTGGGCAAGTACGTACCTGCATGCAGAGGCCTAGCAACCTTATTCCAACCCCTGTGAGGTTTAGTAGCCTTGCACCTTGTGGCTAGCCCTTGCAGGCCCCTGGCAGATCGCTGGGGTTCCACCTGAGAGGGGTTGTGCTGTACTGACTGGAAACTGCGTAGACCAAGATGGCAAGAGGGAAAGGGAAAAAAAGAGAAGGCCCCACGGTGACGCTGCCACTTCCATACAACCAAAAGCGGCATCAAGGGTACAGCCGCCGATCCAGGAGCCCCAGCACGAGTTACGTACTAGCGAATTGAACTTTTTCGATTTCAAGTGCCACTTTCTTGGAGCCATGTATCGAAGTTAAGACTCATCAACACGTTTTACTTGAGTGGTGTGATTTTTGACGGGTCACTTACTGACTGATACATATGAGTGACTCTTTTATATTTCTCTCAAGTCACAGAGGAGGAAAGTTTTCCTTTCGCTGATAGACAACCCAGCTTTGATTTCTGCATTCCTCTGCCTCCGATATCGTGATTCGAGCATCGAAGTCTACAGAGGACATCAACCATGGAGACAACGCTTCCCGTCCCATTCCTGGTGAGCGTTGCGATACCACCAGGCCTAATTGGCACAGAGGGTCTGAGCCGAGAAGAGGTCAGCTGCCTGGGCGCTGTCTTCTTCCAAGTCACCCAGGAAAACCTCGAGCAGACCCAACGCTTCCTCGCCCAGCACAACGTCGATTCCCAGTCCTTTTTGGACGTGACTCAGCTCGAGTCCAAGGATGATGTCCTCGCCCTCCTCGACGCCGGTGCACGAAGGGTCTTCGTGAAGCCTAAGCAGCTCTCTGAATATACAGAGTATGGGTCTAGAGTCGCACCGGTTGTTAGCAACAAGGCGACGGATGCTCTGAGCTTAGCTACCGAGCATGGTCTGCTCATCACCGACTTTGACCACTCACAGCGTGATGAGGTCAACCTGTTCCTGGCGGAGGCCAAGTCGAGAAAGGTGAAGAACCTCTTCGTCAGACCCATCCAAGGGGCGACATTGGAGCATTTCGTGGAGGTTGCCGCTCAACTGGGTGCTGTCCCCATCCTCCCCTCGACCGGCCTCACTACTGCAAAGGAGACCAACGGGAAGCTGTCCGTCTCCAAGATCCTGTGCTCGACATGGCGTTCAGACAGGCCAGACAGTCTCATCCCGACTGTCGTCTGTGATGAGAACGGTATCGCCCTCGGGCTCGTCTACAGCAGCGAGGAAAGTGTCGGAGAGGCACTCAGGACGCAGACTGGAGTGTATCAGAGCAGAAAGCGTGGTCTGTGGTACAAAGGCGCAACCTCAGGAGATACGCAAGAATTGGTCAGGGTATCGCTGGACTGCGACAGTGACGCTCTGAAATTCGTGGTCAGACAGACAGGACGATTTTGTCACCTGGATCAATTCGGTTGCTTCGGAGAGCTGAAGGGTATCCCGAAGCTGGAGCAGACTCTCAAGTCGAGAAAGGAATCTGCGCCGCAAGGATCCTACACGGCGCGTCTTTTTTCTGACGAGAAGCTCTTGCGAGCCAAGATCATGGAGGAGGCAGAGGAGCTATGCGACGCCAAGTCGCCACAAGATGTCGCTTTTGAAGCAGCAGACCTGATCTACTTTGCCCTCACCAAGGCCGTCGGCGCGGGGGTCAGCCTTGCCGACATAGAGAGGAGTCTTGACGCCAAGAGCTGGAAGGTCAAGAGGCGCCAGGGAGACGCCAAGGGCAAGTGGGCCGAGAAGGAGGGCATCAAGCCCGTGAACGGCACCACAACCGCGGCCGTGACTGCACCAGCGACCTCGGCGCCAGTGCCTGCGTCTGGCAGGATTGCCATGAAGCGCTACGATGTGTCTCAGCTCAACCAGGCGCAGCTGGAGCAGGTGCTGAACCGGCCTTCACAAAAATCTGCCGACTCGATCATGAAGATTGTTGTGCCCATCATCGACGATGTCAAGAAGAACGGCGACAAAGCCCTCCTGTCCTATACCCACAAGTTCGAGAAGGCTACCTCTCTCACCTCGCCCGTTCTCAGAGCCCCATTTCCTCAGTCGCTCATGCAGCTGCCTCAGGAGACCATCAAGGCCATCGACATTTCGTTTGAGAACATCAGGAAATTCCACGCCGCCCAGAAGGAAGAGAAGCCTCTTCGTGTGGAGACTATGCCTGGTGTCATCTGCAGCCGCTTCTCCCGGCCCATCGAACGCGTTGGTCTCTATGTTCCCGGCGGCACCGCCGTTCTTCCCTCCACAGCCCTGATGCTCGGTGTCCCCGCCATGGTGGCTGGCTGCAAGAAGATCGTACTCGCCTCGCCGCCCCGCTCCGACGGCAGTGTGACACCTGAGATTGTCTATGTCGCGCACAAGGTCGGCGCTGAGAGCATCGTGCTGGCCGGTGGCGCGCAGGCTGTGGCGGCGATGGCCTATGGTACTGAGAGCGTGACCAAGGTAGACAAGATCCTGGGCCCTGGAAACCAATTTGTGACGGCGGGCAAGATGTATGTCAGCAACGACACCAATGCCGGGGTCAGCATCGACATGCCGGCGGGCCCGTCTGAGGTCCTGGTCATTGCGGACCGCGAGGCGAACCCAGCATTCGTCGCATCCGACCTGCTGTCGCAGGCAGAGCACGGCGTCGACAGCCAGGTAATCCTCATCGCCGTCGACCTGGGTGAGAAGGAGCTGCAGGCCATTGAGGACGAGCTGCACGACCAGGCCATGGCGCTGCCGCGGGTGGAGATTGTGCGCGGCGCGATTGCGCACTCTGTGACGATTCAGGTCAAGACCATCGAAGAGGCCATGCGTGTGAGCAACGAGTATGCGCCGGAGCACCTGATCCTCCAGCTGCGAGACGCGGAGAAGGTGGCCGAGACGGTCATGAACGCGGGAAGCGTGTTCATCGGACAGTGGACGCCCGAGAGCGTGGGTGATTACTCTGCTGGTGTAAATCACTCTCTGCGTAAGTTCCAAAGTTCAATAAACCCACAACGAACCTCTTGCCACCATGATCCATGAAGCAAGAAGGTTTTCACAGAGGTATAGAGGCACACCCAGATGTACTAACGCATTCTGGTACAGCAACATACGGCTATGCCAAGCAGTACTCGGGCGTCAACCTGGGGTCTTTTGTCAAGCACATTACCAGCTCGAACCTGACAGCTGAGGGCCTGCGCAACGTCGGCGAGGCCGTGATGCAGCTCGCCAAGGTGGAAGAGCTGGAGGCTCACAGGCGGGCCGTAGGCATTCGCATGGAGCACATGAAACGGTAGAGACAGACAAACAGAGAGAGAAAAAGAGAGAGATTTCTGTGTGTGATCTAGAACGTATCACGTCGATGTCTGTTCATCAAATGTACAACAACGACAAATTTGAACCAAAAAGAGCCTCTTTTCTCTTCATCCAGACTACACCCTACCTTTACATACATTTTCTCGTCCCTTTCTCGAGCGCATATCTCGCGAATCGAGACCTAAACAGGCCTTGCAGATGGCACACCGGCTCTATATTGATCCGTCTTATCATCTCGTATTCATTACGAGTATAAGGGTTGTTTATTATGCTATCCTGTCTTAGGCCAGTGTAAAGTATGCCCGGCAGAAAACCGGAGGGCCAATTCGGTCTGGCTGACGAGACCTCGGCGCATGAGTGGATCCCTTTTGGTTTCGACATGCGGGGATGTACAATTCTCTCTTCTTTCTTCTTTCTTCTCCTCTCGACGACTCTATTTGTAAATAATTCTTCCCATTTGCAATCTCCAAAGTTATCACACACTCATCAGACCGACCTGCTCCTACTACTACTCTCCCCTTTCAGTTCAGATTTGGACCAACCCAGCCATCATCAAAATGTCGGCAGCACCACCAACGACAATAACAGACGCGGGCCCAATAACCATCTCCGTCGTCCAGGACGCCTCAGATTTCTTACCCTTCTTCAATGTCTGCGCCAGGTCCTTTGGAGACCAAATTCAAGACGCCATCTGGACAGCCATCAGCCCAGGCTGGGACACGGAAACGGGCCGCCAAGCCAACGCCGACCGCTTCGTGAAGCGCTGGCAGACCACAAAGCCCACCAGCGCCGGCGACCCCAGCACCGTCTTCCTCAAAGCCACAGTGCCCGACCCAGACAGGCCTGGAGGTGAGCACATCGTCGGTGTCGCGACCTGGGCGCAGCTCTCGTTCGCGCCCGGGTGGGGGAATCCGCCGTCTACGGAGCTCGGCGGCACAGACGACATATTCCCGGACGAGAAAGCGGCGCGGCTGGCGAGGCAGATCTGGGCCTCGCTCATGAAGCCGCGTGTGGCGACTGTGCGGGCCAAGGAAGGAGACGAGGTGCCTGCTGTCTTTGTGCTGGACCTGTGCGCCGTCGACCCGGATTTCCAGCGACGGGGGATCGCGAGCAAGCTTGTTCGGTGGGGGCTCGATGAGGCGGCCAGGCGGGGCGGGCTGGAGGCTACGACAGAGGCTTCGGTGATGGGACGGTGGGTGTATAAGCAGCTTGGATTCGTGCCGGTGAAGGAGATTGAGTACGAGGTGGATGGAGAACTGCTGGGGTCCACTGTGCTGCCGTCAAACCTGTTTATGAGGACGCGTCCATGATTGACGGTCGCGAAACTACAAAGGCTGCGAGAGGAGGCATCATGTGTGCCATTCACCGATCGTCTCTCTAGGAGCTGAGAGAGTATGCAACACTACATACTCAGCGACAACTCTAGATGGGCCCTCTCATCGTCGTGCCTCGCATCTCCATACACACGAGCCATATAGGCCCTTGGCGTACATAATGTCTATGAGACTTGGCCAAGCACGCAACACAGAAAACTCAGTTAGTTGAGGAAGCGAGTCGGCATCAGCCAGCATGATGCTACCTCAGCTGCATACTCCCTACCCAACCTATCAGGTGAAAGAGATAGACTTGACTATTTACCAACTTGGGCCACATTTCCGAACCAGGTTCCCGTATCCTCCTGCATAAGTACGACCCCCTCTGGCTTCCCTCCGTCATAGCGGTTCAAACTGATGTTACGCACCACATTGCTACAGTACAGCATGTATACTATAGTTATCTACAGCTTTAGACTCAGTATACTATGCACCAATGCAGAGGAGAGAGGTTGCAGTTACTACCTCAAGATGCGCTGAGCTATTACAACTTATGAAGACGGGCCCTTTGTGGGCTCCCCTACAAGAAGAGGAGGATGCGTCCTTCTTCTTAAAAACGACACTCTACAGTATGAGACTTCCCGGGGCGTATTTTAGCTGCAAGAATGAACGCCCTCCAGAACGCCAGCAGCATCCTCGGTATCCTCGACATCGCCTACAGGGCCATCGCGCGGCTCAACAGCATCCTACGAGACTGTTCCTCCGCGCCTGCTGAAGTCCTCCGCCTGCAAGAATCCACAACCAGGTTTCACGACCTCCTAGACAGCGTGGTGCAGGTGCAGAACACCGTCGTCGGCGTCCTGGGCCCGAGCAGAGATGTTGGTGCGCTGTCGTATGATGTCGAGTTTGCGCGCATGATGCTGGGTCGGCTGGAGGATGTGCTGGAGAGTGTGTCAGCTCAGCAGCAGGGTGCCGACAGGGCAGACACACAGATAGAGACGGAGACAGATATCGGTTCTGTTTCCAGGGTTGGGTGGTTGGGGCAGAGAAAGACCATCATTGACCTGCAGAGAAGCTTGGATGATTGCTATCACAGGCTCCTGGTCAGGCTCATGGTGCTGAATGTGTAAGGAAGGACATAGCATTGATTTCTAAGGGCTTCTCTTCTCTTCTTCACGTAAGAGATGAACTCCTGCTGACAACTTTCATCCTTTAGCACAACCACTGTCAATGTCTATTCTTCCCTGGCACATGAACACCAGCTTGCAGTTGTCAAGTTACAGGATGAACGAGAAAAGACAGGAAAACATCCTCATGATGTTCTCCTGCTGCAGCAAGAAATTCAAAGAGCAGAGCCTACCCAGCCCGACGAGGCCTCCCCTGGTCTGGAGTTGAGGCATCGCGACAACGAGCGGAGGTTCCAGTACCTTGAGCAGACAATTCCAGCAGTCATCACAAATACCACCAACTCATCATACTCGATAAAACCTCCTCAAATGCCATCGTGTCGATGTCGCTGCCACACAGTGCGGAGATCCTCTCACAAGTCATCACGTTGGGCTTTAACGGCCTTCAGGTTAACCCTGGGCTCCTTCTCTGTCCACTTCAGCGTCAAGAACCCCAACGCCAGAGCCCCTAGCCACCGCCACCGACCTTGCACTCTCGCCAGCTGCAAGGCAACCTGCTCCAGGCGCTCGTCCACACTCAGGCTGACCTATACATTCCCAACCTGGCTCCTCCACACAGCCATCGCGGCGGTCTACTCGGACGCCCTAGGCCTACCAGAGCTGCTGATCCGAGTCATCCGGCGCATCGCCCCCGAAGACGAGCTGGAGGGGATCGTGGGAGACGTGAAAAGGAGAGACCTCGACGCCGTGCGCCGCACGCTGCATACAAGGTGCCACTCGGTGTTCGACGCCATGTGGGACGGCACGAGCCTGATCCTGCTCGCGCTGATGAGAGAAGACCTGGGCATCATCAACCTCCTCCTGTCCGAGGGCGCCGACATCTTCCAGGAGGACGACCACGGCAACAAGCCCTACCGCGACGTCCTCATGCAGATCTACGCCTCGCCACACCTGCCCGCCCACTCCAGGCGCGAGCTCGAGCGCATCATGCCCGTCGACGAGATCATCGACGCCACAGAGCTCCCCGACCTGCACAAGGTCGTCCTCGGCATCCGCTGCCTCGATACCACCGCGTACCTCCACACAGCAGCGCCCCTCATCAACCTGGACGCCACAGACGCCTTCCACCGCTCCGCCCTCTGGTACGCCGCCTGCAAAGGCGACCTGGCCGCCGTCGAGGCCCCTGCTGGGCGCAGGCGTGCAGCCCGCCGCAGACCCCCACAACAAACCAGTCCACATCGCCGCCCGCCACAACCACGTCGCCGTGCTGCGCTGCCTTGTTCGACCAGGGCGGGGCGCCTGTCGACGGCCGCCACGCGTGGTCCTTTACGCCCCTCATGAGCTGCGCGCAGGGCAGAGGCCCCGCCGACGACGCGGCCCTCGAGCTGCTTCGTCGCGGCGCCCATGTCGACGCTCATAACCTGGACGGGACCACGGCCCTGCACCTCGCGGCTCGTCTTTAACAGGGCTGGGCTCGTGAGGATCCTCGCTGCGCACGGGGCGGATGTGGATCGCCGGAATGTCCGCGGGGCGTCTGCCTTGTCTGGGGCGATCCAGCTCGGCTCGCGGGATGCCATGGTTGCGCTGCTGCGGTGCGGTGCGGACTTATCGGTTTCGGAGCCCAGGGAAGGGGCGTGGCGTGCTTCACATGCTGGCGCTCTTTGCGGATGCGGGGACGATGCAGGTTCTGACCGAGGCGCCGTGGTTGTTGGCGGGGCTGGACACTGAGGGTGGAGATGGTGAAGGTAGAATGCCTATGGAGATCTGCCTGGAGAGAGAAGCTGGGGTAAGGATCATCGATACGGGTCAGGATGCGTTGAGCAAGACGTTTGCGCTTCTGCTGCGTGCTGTGGCCAACCAGGGCGCGGTGGAGGAACACGATTCGGATGGCGAGGAGGAGTACTTCGATGCAAGGGAAAACGGGGTTTAAACTCTAGCCGACAAGATGGTCCTTGTATGAATACATCACAGTGTAGTGATCTGATCTTAGGGGATATGTATATATATATATATATATATTTGCGGCCACGAAGCGTTGAAGCAACAATAATAACACACATGAGCCACGTCCCCGAGGCAATTCAGTGGCTCGACAGGCCACAGGATGAGTGAAGCTGGTGAAGCCAATGATATTCTGAGTCTATAGTCCGAAAGAACAAGGAAGGGAAGGAAATCAAATAAACTAATCGAGAATTTGATCATTGGAATAAGTGAAACATCATCTTGCAAGAAAGCCCGCAGGACAAAAAGAATGATTCTCCTGTACCCCCACATTGTCATCGAGTCACCGTCGCCTCTGGCATCCCCACAGTCTGGAAACAAGTAGCCTCCCCATTGTTGTTGATGGTACAGTTGTAATTGATGCCCAAGAATTCCGACACCGTCCAGTGGCCCCGGCTTGTCTCGCTCGGATCAACCACGTCCTGCATATATTCCTCCACGGTGATATCACTCAGCACAGCTATGGTGACACTGGTGTGATCACCATCAGCCGTCGCGTCGGGCACGCTCTCCACCCCATTTGCGATCCTCGTCCTCGACGTCTCCTTGCCCTTGTCGGCTGACTCGAGATGGCGGCGATAGTCACGCCAGAAGCTTAGAAGATGTGCACTTGCCTCCACAGCCCTCTCGGCATCCTCGCGCCTCTCGATATTCATTTTCATCAGGTCGTCTATGAGGGGAGTGGCCTTCTTGAGCACGGCGTCACCGTACTTCTCTGAATATTTGCGAAAGAAGTCGTGGAATGTGGAACTGCTGGAGCCTAGATACGCCAGCAAGTCGTGAAGGTCGGCGCTCCCAGATACTCCCTTGGAGTTCTGTTCAAGCACAACATCGCGGCCATTTTTGTCTAGGCTGGTGCTGACCTCCATTTTGTTGAACACAAACCTGGCCAGCTGATCCGACATTCGATGCAAGCTTGCCAGCAGCGCATCCGTTGTACTGAGAATACCTTCGTCTTCACGCACACGTTGCTCGTTCGCAATGTCATCTGCATCAGAATCGGGGTTCCCTCGCCAGTTGGTGATACGATTCCATGGGTTTTGCAACCAGGTGCTGAAGCCGCTGCCTTCGGTAGAGGTGCTGGAACCCAATATTGTTGTGCTTGTCTTTCTCTCGCTTGTGACAGTGTGCTCTGGCTTCACGATATCCTCTGCACCATCTTGGACAGAGTCTTGATCACGATTTTTCCGCCAGTCGTTGATATGATCCCAAGGCTTCTTCAACCATGCATTGAAGCCACTGGTCTTGGTCGAGGTGCTGGAAGCCAGGGATGTTGTCTTTGTACTGCTGTGACTTGTGGCAGTGTACCCTGACCTTGCGTGTTGATCTGTCTCATCCTGAGTAGTGACATCCTCAGACTCAACTGCCCGCGTTCTCGTCCCTTTGCGAGTGATCGTCTTAGGCTCCTTAGGCGCGGCATCTTCGTCCTCTGATGAGTCTCTCTTCATCGTGTTGCTCAACTTTCTAGTGCTCGTCCTTTTCTTTGTTTCTGTGCGTGTTGTCGTATCAGTCTGTGTCTCCGTGGCATCCCTGAGGGCACGTGTGCTAGGCTCTTCCTGCGATGTGACTGTGCTAGTCATACTCCTCGTACTCTTGCGAGTAACCGTTTTGGTGTTGTCTTTCTTTTTGGCATCTTTCTTGGTGTCTTTGCTGGAGAAGGTCTCCTTGGACCTCGCTTTGCTCGTCTTCTCACTTTCGCTATCTTCCGTATCCCCAGCTTTCTTCATTGTGGCATCCTTTTCGGTAGCTTCGCTGGAACTGAATTCCTGAGACGTGTCCTTTTCTGCTTGCTTTACTGTGTGAGTGATCGTCTCTAAGGGAGCAGTGGTCCGTATTCCCCCTGTTGGTTGCTCGAGGTTCTCCTCGGCTGCCGGAGTCGTGGCCACGGGATCAATACCGATGGTCGTCCGCACCTCCTCTACAGAGCTCGTGAAAAGAGGCTCTGTGTTTTGGGAAGACACTGGCGGTAGCCATGACCAAGTCGAAGAAAAGACGGATGAAACCCTGAAGTCGGACATAAGGCCCCCGGTGATTCTGGAGGAGCTTGGCAGGATAATGTTCAAAACAAACAGGGCTAAGGCGCCCAGCCACAACCACCACAGGGCCGACAAGAGAAAAGCCACAAGGTAGCCTGTGAATGGCCTAGACGAGGTGCTCGGGTTGACAATATCCTCCCAGGCTCGGAGGTGTTGCTGCAAGGTATAGTCTTCCCATTGCTCCATTTCGTCCGAGTCATCACCAGCATAATACACCACCTGCGCCTTCTGGATGACTGTGACTTCGTCACCAGTGTTCCCTCCGCTGCCGTTGGCGACATTCTGTTGAAAGGGAAAGTAGCGCTCGAGGAACGGGAAAAGACTGATCTGGACCTTGGCAGCACGCCGGATTTTACTGCGTGGCTTGGGATTAAGTAGCTCATATTGGACAGCCAACTGCGAATCATCTACCGGATCAGGAAGATTGGCCTGTTGGAATACCGCATATCTCTCGGCATTCCATTTCTGCATCTCATCCGACTCTTCAAGGACGTGGTTGTCGTGGGCCTGGGCTGCCTGGTTGGACGCCTTCCACGGGATGTCAGTGACGTGTTCCTGGCGGAGATCCCACAGCTGGCCAGGCTGCGGAAAGTCGATCCAGAAGCAAGATCTCGAGAATTTGTCCCCGTTGCTCAGATAGGCCGCCTCGGCGACGATGTTGTGCAATTTCTGGTGCACTTCTGTCAGTGGTGGCCACGGCGTAGTAGGGCACAATGAGCCGATCATGTTGATTAGCGGGAGGAGCAGGTTGAGGATGCCAGCGGTGACACGATCGACCTCCGGCCAGAAGTCGGCTGCGTAGAGCTCATCCGTGAGGTACTTGTGGATCGGGTTGTACCGAGCAAACTTCCTGGCGTAGCCTGTTGTTATGATGATGTGTTAGATGTCAGGGAGTAGCATATTAGCAGCGTGTGCGAGGAGGACATATCGTACCGTCAGCGGTCCCGTCGGTGGTGCGATCGAGGAGCTCTAGAGCTGTTTGCTCCTGTGGTGTCGCACCGAAGAGCAGAGAGTCAAAGCACTGTTCCTGTAGCAATTTTGCAATGACGGCAGTGCACAGGTACACGCGGTCGTCCCTGGACAAGAAGAGAAATTCGTAGCCGTGATCGTGGTAGCCTTTTGGTCCGGTTTTGGGCCTCCTGTAGGGGTCGCCTCTTGCGACGACGGAAGCGCACCGGACGAAGTCGGCCGGAAGATATCGCAACATGTCGCGGGTCCAGTCCCTCTGCCCCAGTTGTTCAGAGAAATCGACATGACCAAAGGTCGCTGCAGCGAAGTCCCAAAGCCTGGCAAAGAGACTGGAGGACATCTCCTCGAACCAGAAGGCGGGCAGCTTGTCGTAGTCTTCTTCGCGTACAGGCTTCCTGGGACGAGTCTCACGGACGATTTTGCTCACCCTCTGGTGAGTTTCTGCAAGGAGGCGGAACCGTAACCTCGTGGGGTTATACCCAGCGAGATCATCAAGTGATCGAGGGCTGAACATTGGATTCTTGAGCTCCTCTTCCCGTGTATACTTGTCTATCAGTAGCTGAGCACGGTAGGCCATTTGAGGGGCGATATGCGGGCGCATCGAGGGATATGTCTGCCTGAGCTCTGGTCTCTGCTCTCTCAAGCGCCAGCCCCTCCACTTGGGATCAGGCGACAGCTCGATGCCCACGGGGCGCACGTTGGGCACGATGATCTCTTCATCGTCTTGTCGTCGGAAGCTAGTTTGTAGCTGGGTGATGGTTGTCATGGCTGCTATCAGCTGCGCTCCGGAACTGAGGACAAGCCAGTCGAATAGACCAGTGAATAGGAATTGTTCTTTCGCTTGTCCTTCAGTTTTGCAGTCTCAACTCACTCGTTCGTCGTCGCTCTGACGTGCACTTGCTCTCCGTCTCCAGAAGAAAATTCGAAGTTGGCAATGTGTTCCACACGAGGTTACACACAAAGTACTGGCTAGGTTTATATGACCTTCAAGGCGTCATGGAAGATTCCATGGATGCGACCAAGACGCACGAGGCGGCTTTGTTTGTTGACTGAAAGAGTATCTGGATGGGTCCTCAGCACGACGTCCGTTTCCGAACAGCACAAAGAAGACCACCAGTGAAGCTTGACAATATCCGGCATATTGTGAAGGCGCAAAAGTGTAAGAAAGGTGGAGCTTGATTGTTCTCTATGAAGCAGAAGCACAAACTGGGCTAGGAGCTGGTTAAGTTCAGGACCACAATTCAAGTCAGTGTACAGGGCGATGATCTGGAAAGCGATTGATTCCTAGCAAATTCTCTCCACTATGCCACACGAGAAGACTCAGAGAAGAACAGGAAGAAACGAGAAAAAAAAAAACCAATACAGATTGTTCCTCAGAGTGAAGCCATCTCCCATCAGAGAGACATGATAGTCTGGCAGCTACTGCATGGACCACTCGGTGTTGGAGCAGAAGAAAAGAAAAGGAACTGAACAGGAGAAGGGAAGGTAGTGTGTAAACTGCAGAACAGAGAACTAGAAGAGTGTGACAAAGCATTGACAGGCAACAGGTAGCGGTTGAGCTCAACACAAAGAGTTGTAAGGCGGAAAGTTATTCTGACTTTTTGATTTGATAAAAGGGCAAACCACACAACAAAGCAGCAGCCGTAGTCAAACAGCGTCGGAAGCTCCACACAGTACCTTACATAAGCAGTCAGAGGCGTGGCTGGAGAGCCAGTGCACCACATGACGCCTTACTGTTACGGTAGGAAGGCACGCGGGGCAGCAGGCACTTAGTGGCAGGCAGCACAGCCAACCGCCACATGGTATTGTCTTGCGCCTGCGACGGGGACCCTTCCTTTCGATTTCTTGAAACCGCCAAAAAAACTCCCATTACGATCCCACCACTTGGCACGTCAACCAAATTGTGCACTTGTTTCTTTTTTGCCTGGCGCAAACATCTGCTGAGCACCTTTAGGCGCTCTCTCCAACGATCTCGCTGACCGCAACAACGAAGGCACGATTGCAACCACCCCGCCTCGAGCCTGCTTGCTTGATTGAGTAGTGCCTCTCACTCTCGACCGAACTTTTTCCCATCGGATCCCACTTGCACGACAAGCCCTCTCTATTCCGCAACCACCACCACCCTACGCTTTCCCCCCCCCCCCCCCCCCAGAGCTTGTTTCCAACTCCAAGCGCCTTCCTCACTATCGGAGAGTAGACGAGAACTGTTTACCCATTCCTATTCAGAGAATACCTCGTCCCATTCCTCATCTCTGTTACACACGTCGTGAAACTCCCAGCGAACGATAGTCGAGAGAAAAAAACCACAACTGCACCCAACAAACCCCCACCTACGACGTGAAGATGTCTGAGCAGGTTGATTTGTCTACCATACCCGTCTCGCCCGAGGGTGGCAACAACGCCTCTGCCTCCACCGACGCCGCTCCCTCCACGGATGCTAAGCCAGTCACTGTCTTCGACGACAAGGATAACTTCAACGTGAAGCACCCTCTGGCCAACAACTGGACCCTGTGGTTTACCAAGCCCTCGTCTGGCAAGGTTTGTCTTCCTGTGTCCTCTCCGCACAGACCTTCCTGCGTTATGCCAAGGCGCACTGAATGGACATGGCTAATTTTGGATCTGCTTGCGCTTAGGGTGACAACTGGAACGATCTCTTGAAGCAGGTGATCACCTTCAACTCGGTCGAGGAGTTCTGGGGTATCTATGTATGCCTTTCCCTCATTCATGTCTTCTTCAGGATGGCAATCTGTCTTGTGAACTGGAGCTGACTGTCTCTCCTCCCTTCTCTCTCTCTCTCTCTCTCAATAGAACAACATTGCTCCCGTCTCCGAGCTCGCCCTCAAGTCTGATTACCACCTGTTTAAGGCTGGTGTGCGACCTGAGTGGGAGGATCCCCAGAACAAGCACGGCGGCAAGTGGTCTTACCAGTTCAAGGAGAAGCGCAATGTCAATATCGATGAGCTCTGGCTGCACATAATGCTTGCAGCCATTGGCAACACTCTCGAGGATGAGGAGGACGGTGAGGTGATGGGCGTTGTCGTCAACGTTCGCAAGGCCTTCTACCGTATCGGTGTCTGGACCCGTACCGTTGGTAAGGCCATTCCCAACCGCGGCGACGGCGATGTCTCTGGTGGTAAGGGGCGCACTCCCGAGAAGGGCAAGGAGGTCCTTTTCACCATCGGCAAAAGGGTCAAGGACGTCCTGAAGCTGCCCGCCAGTGAGCAGGTTGAGTTCTCCAGCCACACCGAGGCTGCGCATGCTGGCAGTACACGGGCTAGGGCTAAAATGGCGGTCTGATTACGTTGCTGTCATGCTCTGTTTACCATATCGACCTTAGCACATCCTTTGGGCATCATCACCTCTTGACGCTTCTACTATGCCATGCATAACCACGAAGCAGACGGCGCTGTCTACCCCTTTGTCCACCACTCATCACAGGAAATAGGAGGACAAATGGTCTCGGAGGAGGAGGGAACATGGCGCTGCTAGCCATTGGCAATACCTCTGCACAAAATTTTATTAGGCGGCTATATGCCTGGAGCGATACCTGGGCCCTTCCAGGACTGGCCTGGACAAAAAGCTTTGATGAAGGAAATGGAGACACGATAAGAGGAACAAACTATGTGTCGCACCGGAGAGGCTTGCTATTATAATGAAGTCAGTTTTCTTAGAGGAGAGATTTTACCATGATCAATTTCTAGCGACAAAAAAATGGGAACCGATATCTCTTGTGATGCAATGAGAGCGGCATAAGTGAGGACTCAAATTCTGACTCAAGTTCTATTGGTGTCATGACATTTATATCTACGTCTCTCCCCCCCCCCCCCCCGTTTTGCAATGCTATTGCCAGGCTGTTTAATATACACTTGTATCCGGATCATCCAATTCTTTTCTTCTTCATGGTCCTGAGGAAATACCAGGCCATCGGCATAAATCTTTACTCTTTTCTCTTTCTTTTGGGTCTGTCTTTTCAACCACCCAGCGCAAGGCCGGTCTGGCTTTTCATTACATCTCGTCGCCGCTAAAGTCATCCTGGAAGATGGCCTTGACAAGCTGCTTCTTGTTAATCTTGCCCATGGCGTTCCGCGGGATGTGATCGACGACCCTGAGCACCTGGGGGATCTTATACGCCACAAGCCGTCCCTTGAGGGCGCGCCGCATGTCCATGGCGGACCACTTGGCGCCCTCGCCCTCGGGGAAGTTCTCCTTGTTGAGGATGACGACGGCGCCTACTTTCTGGCCCCATTTGCCGCTGGGGACGGCGACGACGGCGGCCTCGGCGATCTCGGGCAGGGAGAGGAGCTCGCGCTCGACCTCGAGGGCGGAGACTTTTTCGCCGCCGGACTTGATGATGTCGGCGGACTTGCGGCCGAGGATAAAGAACATGTCGCCGCCGGTCCAGGCCTGGGAGGGGGGTTTGGTGGAGGTGTTGGTGGTGTCGGCGGTGGCGGGGACGGGACGCCGCACGGCTACGTCGCCTGTCTTGAACCAGCTGCCGCGGCCGTCGGTGGCGGGGACGAACTCGGCTGCGGTGGCGGTTGGGTTGCGCCAGTACTCCTTGAAGATGGTCGGGCCGCGCAGCTGGATCTCGCCCGAGTGCTCACGGCCATCCTCTCCTTGCTCCTCGCCGGGCGGGATGACCTTGCCTGTGTCGACGTCGACCAGGCGCGCCTCGACGGAGGGGAGTGGCCAGCCGACGGAACCATCGACGCGGTGAGAAAAGGACAGGCCGCAGGACAGGGCCATACCGACCTCGGTCATGCCGAAGCGCTCGAGGAGAACGTTGCCGTGGGAGAGGTCGGACCAGGCGCGCTTGATTGGGGTGGGGAGGGCGGCAGAACCGGAGATGCAGAGGCGGAGGTTGGAGGGGGAGATGGCGGTGCGGGCGGCCTCCTGGAGGTGTGGGGGCAGGGTGCGGTGGGTGGAGAGGAGGCGGGAGTAGACTGTTGGGACCACGGTGAAGAAGGTGATTTTATCCTTGGGATGGGTTGAGTGGTGGTGGTGGTGGTGATGATGATGATGATGGTGGTGGTGGGTGCTGGTGCCGTTGGTCGTCGTTCCGTTGGTGGTTCCATTGGTAGCATGCCCGTTAACGACGACGCCGCCGCTGCTCGTTGTATGCCCATTCGTGCTGCTGCTGTTGGTGCTAGCAACGTCCTTCTCGAGGAAAGGCGCGGCAAACCTCCTCCAGACGGCATCCGCGTTGAAAGGGTACAGAAACTCGACAGAGCTGCCAGAAAAGAGAGGCGCGAAGATGGCGTTGATGGTGCCGTGGATGTGATGGAGCGGTAGTACGTGCAGCAGCCTGTCACTCGGGGCATACTCCCACGCCTGCAGCAGACTCCTTGCCTGGGCCGTCATCACGGCTTGGGGGATGAGCACGCCCTTGGGCCGATTGGTCGTGCCAGAGGTGTAGAGCATCATACCTGCGGCGCCTGGGTCGGTGCTTTCTGAGAGGGTCACGTTTTGCTGCTGCTGCTGCTGCTGCTGCTGCTGCTGCTGCTGCTGGGAGGCGGCTCCCCTGCCGAGGTGCTTGGTGAGCTCGACATGCTTGGGGGGCGTGACCAGCGGGAGGGAGAGAGTCTCCTCTGCCTTTGTGCTAAAGCGTGCAGAGGAGAGGAGGAGGGAGGCCTCGCTGTGGCCCAGGATGTACTGAAGCTCTGGTGCTGGAAAGGATGGCGAGAGGGGCACCGCTATGGCTTTTGCTGCGAGGATGGCAAGCCATATCACTGGATACTTTCTTAGCCCTATGAATGAAGAACATAATCCAGGAGGGGGAAATAGCAGCTCTCTCTGTCTCTCGTCTACAGGTTCCACTCTCTCACTCAAACTCACCTACGTAGTCATAACTGTTCTCTACCAGAAATGCCACCCTCTCGCCGCTAATGTCCTCCCTGCCGGCCTCCTCTAGCAGCCTGTTGCGGGCCCGACACACGTCGCTGAGCAGCTCACCGTACTTAAAGGTCCGCTGCGAGGCTGAGTGCACGGCCACAATCGATTCAGGGTCGTGGCTGGCGATAGCCTCGAAGACCGGCAGCCTCGGGAGCGTCGACATCGTTGTCGTTGTCGTCGAGGCCATTCTCACACCACTCGCGAAGCTTGAATTGTGTGTGGTACTGCTGCGGCTGCTGCTGCTGCTGCTGCTGCACCCTGGGAGAGAAGAATGACGGTATGATGTTGCTGCTGCTGCTGGGCTGCCGAGTATTCTAGCCTGCGACGAGGTCACCAACTGCCTCAGCGGTGTTGCTGATGTTGATGCTGATGTTGTTATGAAGGAAAAGGAGCTCCTCGATGATGATAAGAACTTGGGTAACGACAGCCTTTCTCTCAATACAAATCGCCAAGACGGAGGGCCAATGATCATTATGAGGAAAAGAAAAGAGAAAAGAGAGAGAGAAGATTACAAAAGAAGAAGGATGAGGTGAGGATCAGTCGAATATATCAATCAATCTGATCCGAATAGCATGCATGTAACCCGGCAGGGCAAGGGCAAATGCCCGATGCGTGCTTTGCAGTGACCAGGGTACCTTCAATTCCACCCCTGGGGCCGGTTCGGCTCATGATTTGAGACGCCGAAACGGTGACCGCAGCCAGTAGCGGGTTCAGTGCGCTGCATTTTCCTTGTACACTTTATGTCTTTTAAGTATAGCATACCACTTGAGAAGAGAAAGAGGGGGACACATACTACAACTTCATTGCTTTTTCGCTATTTTTATTCTATGAACATCTAGATAATTATTAACTACAGTAGAATTTTTGGTGATCATGAAATTGTCGCCCTCTGGGTGATCGAAGGTGTATACGTATGCATAATGCGTTCAGTACGCCTGCGGCTGCATCAATAAAAAGCAACACACCATGATTCTCCCGAGGTTTCCCCTTCTCTTACCTACCAAATGATCACTATTTTCCTGATGGCCACCTTCTATTTATTGGGGTGCAACATGCATGCACGGTTTCCTAGCAAGAATCAAGAAGGTGTTCGTGCATGGGATGTTACATAACATGCCTCCCGATGAACCTGGACAAGAGAGGCGAGAATCGAGACTGACAACTCTCGCCAATATTCCGAAGCGTCGTCAAGAAATATCAACTATAGCCCGACCTGCCGCCAATGGCCACCAATAGAGCCTATCTGCAAGGACCCTGCAGGGTGCCGGAGGGGAAGTTTGGGAGGGCAAAAAAGGAACATCGACGCGCAAACGCAGCCGATTGGCTTATACGGGCCAAAATAATGTGGTACCCGCCTCCCCTGCTGCCCCTGTGGCCTGGCTTTTCCTCTCATCGCTTCCCGAGACGCTGGAATATATGGGGTCTTGGGGTGGCTTTTCGGCACCTAGAACTGGACGACCGCCCAACATTTTTTCCCTCTAGAGTTTTTGTTGGTGATAAGCACGCACGCTTCCGCCGATGGGCAAGGGGATGTTGGAAAAAAAATCAAAAAAAATCGTGCATTTGAAATTATGCGCTCGTAAAAAAGATCGTCAAGAGACGATGGGTCCTCGTCCGATCTTTTTCTTGACTCGGCATGATGGATATCTGATGTTGATATTTACGTGGAAGAGGGCAGCTCCTAAGAATCACTTTTTCTTTGACCAATTTCCATGACACGTGCTTGTCGCTGCTGCGGGTCAGCCTTGCCCGCAGCAACAACCCAGAACCAACCGATCAATACTACTTTCTGCTTGCCAAGGTTGAGCTAAGCGTGCCGGCTGTCCTTCGCTTTAGAAGGAACTCCTTCAAGTTCCTGCTCCGGTCCGCTGCAGATTCGCCTATGCGCCTGGATGATCGTGAAGTGCTGGTATACGACCTGTCTGACGATGTCGGGCTGTGACTCCCACCAGCCCTGACACTGGAGGCATTTGCTGTCCGCGGGACGGCCGTGCTGGTCATTGTCAAACTTGACCGTGCGCGGCTGAATCCCACGGCTGGGGGTGCCGTGGAATTATAGTTGACCCGTGCTGCTGCTGCTGCTGCTGCTGCTGCTGCTGCTGCTGCTGCTGCTGCTGCTGGTGGTGGTGGTGGCGCTGGTGGCGACGGCGGTAGTCTCGACATGGGCGAGTTCCGTGCTGCTTCCTTCGCTGCTGGTGGTGGCGGCATCAACTCTTGGGGCGCGGTCTCGAAGGCGTCGTCTTCGCTTTCGTCGTCGTCGTCGTCATCGTCGTCATCATCGTCACGATCAGGTCGCGATCGAGGCGTGGATGATTCTTGTACCACCTTCTCTTGGAGAGGCGACAATGTCCTAGGGGCGGCTCGCTCAGTTGCAGCTTCCTCAGCGGCATTGTCAACGCCTACAGAGGAGGGCTGGTATCTGCTCTGTGCTGAAGACCTTGGTTCGTGATTTGGTCGTGTGATGGCCGGGGTTTCGGGAACTCGTTCGTAGTGAGGTGCAGGAGACCGGACGTTCTGTGAGTACACTGAAGGCGAAGGCGGGAGGGGCATCAGGAAGTCAACTGTATCAAACGAGCCGCGAGGATCTCGGGCTGTGCTCTGCCTCGCTGCGTATAACCTGCGCCACGCCGGTGTCGTATTCTCCTTCTTTATGATGCTACTGGCTTGTGGAGTAGAAGGAATCCTCTCCGGCTCCGATGGCTCAGTGGAAGGAGATGATGGAGCGTTTCGTGTCTCATCATCGGCCGCAACGGGAGGAAGCCCATCAACGGCGACTTCCTCAACGTGGGAGTTGTCCTCTATATCTTCATCTCTCTGGTTTGTAGTCTGATCATTTGCCGACAAAGACCTTGTTGCAGAAAGGTCATGGTCATTTTCCGCCGCCTTCTTACCACGCCTAGATCCAGAGAATGCTTGAATTGGCGGAGGTCCGGGAGATTCAATATGAAGCTGCGGAGAAGATCGAGACTCGCCAGCGTCCTTCATCTCGATAGCCTCTGGTTCCTGTCCCTCTTCTTCCTCGTTGCCCTCGGGTGCATCTGACATGTCCTCGTCGCTCTCCTCGGCGGCCGACTCTGATGTAGTAGACTGCGAGTCCCCTAGAGATCGTCTCACGGAGCGTGCTTCTCCCGCATGTGCTTCTAGTATGGCAGCCAGGTTATCTTTTCGGATCAGTCTCTTGGTATATTGCATCTCCTTTGTGGTTTCATTGTACCATTGGATAGCCGGTAAGATCCTCTCAGCCTTTTTTCTGTCGCATTCTGACACATAGATGAGGTATTCTGACGAATGTGCCCTGACATAATCATCATATAGAAATTCGGGAAGTTGTCGGTCGCGCCGCAGCTGGTTCACACTAAGACATGCGCTGACGAATTTCCTGCTGTTCTCTGAGTAATCGGCATACGCTGCTTTGAACTCTTCGTACGGGGTCCGGGCAGGCTGCCCTTCCTTTGCTGGAAGCTGGGCTTGCCTCGTGGCGGGCGACGATGATGGTGATGATTCTCTGTGCTCGGCTATGTGCTGAGCTAGTGGTGGCGCGAATAGAGGTTTGGACGTTGAGGCTCCCGTGTTGACTGCTGAAGAAGCTGCTGAGGCCATTCGCCGGCCCTCCCACGTGGGTGTGAAACCGGACGGGTCTTGATGAGTTGCAGTACTCGTAGCTGGACCACCGTATCTCATCCTTGGTGAACCTGTGTGAAGAGATCGCTGAGGGGTACGCCGTGACTCGTATGTGTTAGTCGAGGCACCCGTCGCCATGCTGTTTTGATTGCTCTCAGGTTCTTGAGGCGGTAGACTCGTCCTGGCGCTGGGTACAACTGCTGATTGCGAAGCCTCCGGGCCAGTCTCCGATGATTGGATCTCTTCTAACCTACGCCTCCGCTTGGGAGGCGGAGGATGCATGGCTCTCTCAGTCGTACGTGGCGGTGCCTGGGCAGATGGAGGTGTGGGCTCTGGCCTGCCTGAGCCTGTCGCGACGGCCCGCAAGGCGGCCCTATTGACCGGCAATTCCATGGACTGGCTCAAGAATTCGCGAGGCTCTATCTCAAGGCCATCGCTGTTCATGGCACTACTTGTTGGGTCTTCTTCGATGAATGACAAATGGGGCTTCCTCTTTGGTTCAGTGCTGCGCAGAGGCGTCTCGTGTCGTTTTTCTGGCGATGGTGCTTGCATTTCAGCCTTGCTGATGGACGCTTGCGTCGCAGCAGCGGCGTCCTCTGCGGACAGCTGGGTTTCGGGCCAAGAACACAAGGGCACGCCGTCGCTCTCGTCATCGCCGTCATCGTCGTTGACCGGACTGGACGCTGCATGTCCTTGCGTGGGCGATTGGGATGCAAATCTTGCATTATCTGCAGCTCTTGAGGGCGGAGAGGGCGTGTGATCTTCCTGTGAGGGCTCTACATGCTTGCTGATGGCAGAATTCTTGACCTCCTGCAGAACCTGGCTTGGAAGATTGAGCATGCCATATTGTCCCTGCTTGAGATGCTTAGACCAGGAGCTGTCGTCATCGAGAAGCTTCTGTTGATCCTTTGGGATTTGCAAATATCGGTGTTTTATGAAGCGTTCAGACCGGATCAAGTCGTCATCGGGATTGGAAGCCATCTGCACGCTTGGTCGCGCTGGTCAACGCGAGCGACACGGCTGTTTGGAGATGAGGGGTCGAGGAAGAACAGCTCAGTCCAATGAAGGTCGGCAGGATTCGTATACAGGATTAGCTGGCAGTGAGTGACCAAGTCCATTCCCTGGCTGGATGCATTCCGTCCTGGCTATGAAGCCGGCGGTGCGATATGGTAGAAAGGTAGTCAAAAGTCAAATCCAGGATGTCGCAAATGATTGCTGAGAAACGCGTGGTCGAGTGCGCATGTTCAGTTGAAACCGCGTCTTACAGGGGTCCTCTCACCCACTCACCCGCTGTCATGTGCTCCCGCTCCCGCTCGAGATGACGCAGCACCTTGTGGTCGAGTGCCCAGAGGCTTGACCCTGGTGCCTGAATGGTCTAGCCCCCCAAATAGACCCCGCGGGCGCTGACACTTGCCTCGCACCTCACAGGGGTCATTAGTGGCGGTTGCACGCCCCTCTCGGTGCGATTACATAGGGCTTCGTAGCGTGGGAAAGGTAAGGCTATCACCGCCAATACATTCTTGATCTTATAGCCATACCCACCCACCCACCGCGTACAAGTCCTGCCACCACACCTCTCACGTCGATACCAGAGCACCAGAAACCAGTCACACCCTCCAACTTCGCCCACCGTCTGGTAACTGCGCTATACAAAGCTGCCCTCTCCCACCCGCTCCGCCTGTGACGTCGTGAGGACATGAAGAGCTCTCGTCCGTCCAGAATGCTGCAAATGTACCTGCGCGAGCAGTAGTTGTGCCGCTTGGGTTTTGATCCGTCTGACTGTGAGCCTGTCTCCTCCTCCATCCAACACCACCCACTGTTTCTTTCAGCCTACGTCAGGCTGCATGGCAAGACACAAGATAACTAACGCAGGTTTTCAATGTTTCTCTCTCTCGGCCAGATAGTCGTCTCGTATCTACAGATCATGCGTACACGTTTATAATCTCCCTACACAAGTCGACCAGATGTGTACGACCCCGTGTCCCTCAGAGGCTGTAGACGAGTGACGAAGACGCGCGATCACTACACAATAACTGTCAGCGCGCTCTCTATAGGAGCTGGCAGAGGAGAAGAGACAGACATGGAGCCCAGCACACCGGTCAGGTCGACCCTGGCACCCTCGACTGCCTCCATCGACGATCTCAGGTCCCGTCGCGACTCCTTCAACTCCATCTCCACCGTTTCTCAAGTCGAGAAGGAACAGCTTGCGCAAGCCCTCGATAAGATTCACACATCGGCCAGTCAGTCAGACGTCCTGACCACTTTCAACGACTTTACGCCTCCTCCGGCTTCCGTTCCGGCGGACAATCGAGGTTCGCCCACTGAACTCGTACACCATGGCATCAGCGGTCTGTATAGCCGTCTCAAAGAGGCCGTCGGTGCAGGTGGCAAGGGGTACATGCCGGATCTGGAATCACCAGAGAGGCTGGATCCTGGGCTAAGAAAGGGAAAGGCACCTGCCGTCCCTCCGACAGCCCGGAGCGATGGGCTCACAAGCCAAGTCTCAGACCCCTCGCAGGCCACAGCCTCGTCAACTGCATCTGTGGTACTGCCCGACAGCTACCCATTGGCCCCACAGTCGTCCAAGGCGTCATCGGTAGTAACGGTCAGCACAGCCAAGAGTGCGCCGAGCTTGCCGAAGATTGCAAAAGGGGCTGCTCCGGCGGTCGCCGACACAGCTGTTGCGCCTGTCACGGTCAGCGCTTTCAAGGATGATGATGGGCGAGGTGTGACGACGCGCACTGAAGAGAACGGCCGGCGTCCTTTCACCCAGCTGCCCGAACTCAGGACTACAAGCGCTTCAAGGAGCTCCAGTGTCTATGCACCAAGCGAATCACGACATATCAGCGACAGGGTTAAAGAGCGTTCGAGGCGGCAGGACTCTTTCAGCCACGATGGCAGCTCCGATATGGCTCTGAGCCCAACCAGGACGTCTAGCACGGTGGCAAGTAGGGTTCGCATTCATCAGCCACGTCCTTCGGCAGACAGTTTGAGGAAGCCGGCTGTGATCGACCGCATCAGCCGTTCCAGGACGTCCGTGGAGGTGCACTCCAGGTCCTCTTCGATGGAAGGCAAGGCTGAGCCAAGCCCCATTAACATGGCGGCGCATGGCTCTGTGCACCATGAATCTTTCCACCATAACGAGAGACCAGAGAAGCTCTCGAGCGGCCGCGTGCGGATCCCTGGCACGAGGGCTGTGGATGGTCCTGGGACAGTGAGCAAAACCCTCGAGGCCATGAGAAAGCAGGTCACGAGCAAAGAGTTCTGGATGGCAGATGAGACGACCAAAGAATGCTTTCTCTGCGGCGCACCCTTCTCTGCGTTTCGGAGAAAACACCACTGCCGGACATGTGGCTGTATCTTCGACTCGAAATGTACATCAAACATCTCTGGCCAGAAGCTGGGATTTCCCGGCACCCTCAAAGTCTGCAAGACTTGTCTTGATGTCATCAACAGCCGTTACGAGGGCGATTCTGACGATTCCGACAACGACACCTACCTTCCTGCTATCTTCCGATCCAACCCACTGAAGCAGATTCAAGGTCCCAAGTTAAAGGTGGATGATGATACAATTAGCATATCGGAGAGGGCTGAGGACTACGATGGAAATAGAATGGCATCAGCCCCCATGATGGCCATCCCGGCCACGAGGAGGATCATGGATGCGAATAGGCGCTCTGCAGTCCTTGAGATAGACGCTGGCCCGCAACTGAGTCGACCGAGTTCTTCAAGGTCACTGAGGTCGTTGGCATCAGGTCGGCCGCAGTCAGCAGGTCATCGGCGGCATCTCTCGAAGCACAACTTGCTCGGGAGGCTCAAAGGTTCGCCAGTCCACGACGACTCCGCTCCGTTCCGCAAGTCAGCCAATGAAGAATTGCAGCGGAAATCTAAGCTTCCTGCTTTCCACGACGACAACATCATTGACCCTGAGCTTGCTCCCTACATGTCTGAGGAGTCCAGCGGGGACGAGCAGCAAATGAGCATTTTCGCCACAATGAACAGCAGCGACATCACTCCTTCGAGTCTCGACCCGGACAAGTCAAATTTTGGGCCATTCTTGAGTGGGAGCCGAAGACATAGGGTGATACGAGGCGAGAAGAGCATCAGCGGCCTCAGCATCGTGTCTCGTGCGCAGGATGATAATGCCGCCGTCAGCGTTATAAGCCATGGAAGGCCGACGCGACGGAGAAATATGAGCACTACAAGCCAGACTGGATACCACATGCGGTCGCCGCGGCCGCGGTCGGGAATATTCAAACTGCCAGGCCCTGGAGTGTCAGTTGAATCACTGGCTGTCTTTGATCCGTCGACGCCAGTCGAGCCGACCAAACTGGTGAGGAGCCGTTCCCTCCGACAAAAGCCTGTGCAAGACGAAGTGCTCCCAGAGGCCAGCCTGCAGCATGTCAAGAAGCTGTTCGGACAGCTCTTGCAGGACGCCGAGGTCCCAAACCCCTCGGCCTGGGAGAGGGCGTTGATCCCCATCCTCATTCGGTGTTCGAGTGATGTGGATCCTGACACCCGAGTGGGGGATCTGATGGATATACGTCACTACGTGAAGCTGAAGAAGATACCAGGAGGCAAGCCTGGAGACACTAGCTATGTGTCCGGCGTGATCTTCACCAAAAATCTTGCTCTGAAAAGCATGCCGCGGCGAATTGCCAGCCCGCGCATCGTCATTGTGTCGTTTCCGATCGAGTACCAACGTCACCAGCAACATCATTTTATGAGTCTGCAGCCTGTCATAGAGCAGGAGAAGGAGTATCTGCGTATGGTTGTGAACCGTATCATCAATCTTCGTCCTCAAGTACTGCTCGCGCACAAAGCTGTCTCGGGTGTCGCGCTGCAATACCTCTCCGAGGCAGGCATAGCTGTCGTTTACAACGTGAAGCTGGCGGTCATCGAGGCCGTGTCACGATGTGCCAAAGCGGATATTATCGAGTCGCTGGACATGTTGGTACTACCAACCCAAGTCGGCCAAGCTGGTGGCTTCGAGGTGAAGACATATGTGAACAATGACTACCCGGGCCGTAAGAAGACTTACATATTCATATCCGGCTGCATCAAGTCTCTGGGTTGCACCATCGCTCTGCGGGGTGCCAACACCCAAGTTCTTCATAGGATGAAGAAGGTCACCGAGTTTATGATCTACGTTGTTTACAACCTCAAGCTCGAGGCAGCGCTGTTGCGGGATCACCTGGTCTACATGGGAACAGACCCAGAGGGTCCACCTGCGCTCACCCCATCCAGGCCAGACGTTGACCAGAGCCTCGAGTCATCAGCAAATCTCAAGAACAAGGACGCAGCAGAACCCATCTCAACACAAGAGGAGCCAGCAGGCGAGAGTCAGCAGAGCAGCCAGCCCAGGTCTGAGGCGGACCCAATGACGGAAAAGACTCAATCTCCTGAGGCTTCACAGCCCTCGCTACCGGAAAAGACGCAAAGCTTGCTGTCTCTTCACTCGATCCACTCAGGTCATGACAATCACGTGCCTGAGGACGTACCTGCGCCGCAATTCTACAGCGACATGGTCGCCAAGTACAAGACGAAACTCTTGTCGGCTTCACCCTTTGTAAAGTTCACGCAGCCCTACCTGCTCATGAAAGCTCGAGAGCAGGAACGTCGCCTGGTCTATCTCAAACGGCTGCGTGACCAGGATGTCATCGAGGAGCAGGGAGAGAACGAAAAGGCCAAGCCGCAAAAATTCCAGCTCATCAAACCAGAGATGGTACACGCGATTGGACAAAAAGCCCCTAGACAAATCATGGAGATCCTCCACGCGGTTCATGATGCAGAATACGACAAGGCTCTTTACAATTATCAGACGCAGACACGACAGTGGGAGAACTTCATTGCAGGGGCTCTGGATCTCTTTGATCCGTACTCGCACCAGAACATTGTTGTTCTTTATTCCGTCATCTGCACAGATACTAAGATTCCGTGCTCTGAGCCTGGGTTGATAGCCTTTGGCTTCTACCATGACGACCCAGATGACAACATGGATCCCGACTGCACGCTCGGACAATATATCGAGGATCTTTGTGGGAGCGCTGAGTCCATTTGTCACGCTAATGGCTGTGACCGGCAAATGGCTGAGCATCACCGTACATATGTCCACGATGAGGCTCGCATCACGGTCTTCATCGAGAGGAACTCCCCTCTTCCTTTCGATCCCTCCATTTTAAGGAGGGACGAGTTGCCCATGATGGATGATAACGACGTTGAGGACCCCATCTACCTGTGGAGCTACTGCAAAGTGTGCAAGAAGGACATGGGCTTCGGGCTGCTGTCCGACGTTGCACGCAAGTACTCCTTTGGCAAATATCTCGAGCTGTCATTTTGGGGCAGAGGCCTCAAATGCTGGCCCGACCTCCAGTGTCCTCATGACTATCAGAAGGAGCACATCCGCTACTTCAGCTTCCATGACACATCGATGCGGGTTCACTGGGATCCGATCGACCTTCTGGAGATCATCGTACCGCGCGCCCGTCTCACGTGGAAGGTTGATCGGGATCTACGGCTGAAGAACGACATTTTCACCAAGTCTGAAGAACGTTGGTACCGCTTCATGACCTCTGTCAAGGCGAGGCTCAAGTCCATCCGCATCGACAGCGTGTTGCCCGAGAAAGCCGACAACTGCAAGGCTGAAGTCGAGAGGCTGACCAAGAAGGCGCAAGAGGATGAGCCCAGACTCATCCGCGAGCTGCAGTCCACATACATCAACTCCAAGTACTACGAGGTCATCCCTCTCAACGCCGTCATCCGCACAATGCTTGAAAGCGTCGAAGATTGGAACTCGGCCTTTGCTAAGTTCGAGGCCGACTTCTTGTCCGACAAAGATGTGCGGCAGTTGACTATCATCCAATTAAAGAAGATGTTCTCGGATAACGAGTCCAAGGAGTCGCTTCCGACCTCTACGGATGGCACTAGCGTTGTGTCTGTGGATACGGACGAGAAAGTCTCGCCACCGACGACGCAATCTAGTCTGCTCGAGGGGGATCCTGAGAAAGTTCAAAGCGAGCCAAATTTGCCCTCCACAGACCATACCAAGGAGGAGCAGCCTCTGGGCATAGATGCGTCCAATGGAGAAACCAGCGTCAGTCCCCATCAGACTGCTCAAACCGGGCCCGATGTCGAAGACTCGACCACTACAGCGGCGCCAGAAACCATATTGACAGAAAGCGGTGACCTTTCCCAAGAAGGCGCAGCGAAATCTGACATTATACATGGGACCAGTAAAGCTGAGACATCTGGAGAGCCCTCTCCAGAGGTTGCGCCGCTCGCTGGCACGAAAGAGCCAGAGCACACGCCGGAGCATTCTCAGCCGACGGAAAGCTCCAGTTCTCCGCCCACAGAGCCCACAGTGAAGGTTTCGAGTCCAGCGCACTCGCCGACCCCGTCGCGCAGCCACTCGAGGCTTGCACCCTTACAGCCAGACTCATCACTATCGCTCACTGAGAAGGTGGAGCAGTTACGGCGTCAGCAACAAACAGCCATATCTTCGGATACATCGAACACGACTGGCAAAGCTGAGGCAAACGGTGACGCGTCGGCGAGATTGTCGGAACGTGGGTCATCTCGTAGGCCGGGACTGTCTGGTCCGCCGCCTATGACGCGTGCTATCACACAGCCAGTTGGCACCATTCCCCGTGCGCCTTCTGGGATTGGCAAGCCGCTCCCAGCACTTCCACCCAAGACAGCCGGGTTGCCTACTGAACCAGAGCATCGGCGCATGACCAAAGTCGAGTCCAATGCCTCCCTCAAAAGTGAGAAGAGCAAGCTCTCCGACCGCTTCAGCATCTCGAGTCTCAAAAACAAGAAGGCGGGCCAGTCATCGATCCCGCGATACGTTCACACCCACACGACGAAGAAGAGAGACACCAGGGTATCAAATCTGGCCAAGCATTTTGAGCAGCTGAGCCGGGAGTTTGAAAAAGAGCGCATCCGGGACCGCAACAAGAGGGCCGCCAAGCTGCAGCCCTCTAGATCGTTCATGCCGCGAACTTCGGCCAAGGCTATAGTGGAAGTCTACGAAGATGTGGACCAGGCCGTACAAGAGCCAGGGCCGTCGGACGATGACCATCTACTTGACAGTCAGCAGAGCGGCGCAAAATCGTCGGAGAGCGCACAGCAGACTGAAACCGCTATGCCTGATGATCATGCAGGGCCGGCTGGTAGCTCTCTCGAAAAGAGCACGGGTGAAAAGGCAGAGCCTACCTCGCAGCCAGGTGCAGACAAGGAGGCGGAACAGAAATCAACCAGCCAAGCTGGCACGGACGACGAGGGTGACGGAGCCGCGAGTGATGTTGAAGGGTCGCTCCTAGAAGAAATTATGCCGGACGTCCAAGAGATCGCCGAGTCACTGGAGTCGAGCGAAGAGATGTCACTTGAACTGCCCAAACACCAAAGATCCAGCCTGATGAAAATGCTCACAACCTTCTGGGCCGAACGGTCTGCCAGCGGTTGGCCTCAACTGGACTACCCTTTCAACGTCACGGACCACATTTTCATCGATTCTAATGTCATAGTCAGAGAGGATGAGCCGAGCTCGCTGATCGCCTTTGCTCTTGGCTCGGAGGACTACAAGATCAAGCTGCATGACATCCAGAAGCAATGGAAGATGACCACGCAACACGCAGATACTGGGGACGAAACGCCGGACGGCAGCAAGTTCGGTGGCGCGTCCGATTCCGAAGCATTCATTAGCGAGGAGGAGCTCGAGAAGAGCCTTTTGCGTGCCACCGGGACACATTTGAAATACCAGTTCACCGAAGGGTCTTGCAAGATGCTCTGCAAGATTTTCTATGCCGAGCAGTTCGACGCGCTCCGCCAAAAGTGCGGTGCTGCAGACCGTATCATCGAGTCCCTATCGCGCTGTCTGAAGTGGGATTCTAAAGGCGGCAAGACAAAGTCTGTCTTCCTGAAGACCCTCGACGACCGCCTGGTCATGAAGTCTCTCTCGCCGATCGAGACGTCTGCATTCCTGCGCTTTGCGCCAGCCTACTTCAACATCATGGCCGAGGCCTTGTTCCATGATTTGCCGTCTGTCATTGCCAAGATGCTCGGGTTCTACCAGGTGATCATCAAGAACCCGGCGACAGGCACCGAGATCAAGCTCGACCTGCTGGTGATGGAGAATCTGTTCTATGACCGCTCGCCGACGCGCATCTTTGATCTGAAGGGGTCTATGAGGAACCGTAAGATCCAGTCGACCGGCGAGCAGAACGAAGTGTTGTTGGACGAGAACATGGTCGAGTACATTTACGAGTCGCCGCTCTTTGCGAGGGAGCACAGCAAGAAGCTGCTCAGAGCCTCTGTAAGTTCATATATGCCTCGCCCCATCCACACCCCGTTGTCATGCCATGTTATTAACCAGCCACTCATAGGTCTGGAATGACACTCTCTTCCTCGCAAGGCAGAATGTAATGGACTACTCGCTCATGATCGCCGTCGACGAGAACCGCAAGGAGCTTGTCGTGGGCATCATCGACTGCATTCGCACGTACACGTGGGACAAGCGCCTCGAATCTTGGATCAAGGACCGTGGATTCGCAGGCGGCGGCCGCAACCGGCCGACCGTCACATCTCCCAAGGAGTACAAGTCACGGTTCAGGGAGGCCATGGCGAGGTATATCCTCCAGGCGCCGAATTGTTGGCATCACTTTGGCGTACCGCACCCTGGTGCAGTCGGAGGAAGTGCGGGTCCCACGCCCGGTCTGGCACAGATGGCGCGATTCGAGGCGGATGTGTGAAGAATTCATTGGGACAAGAGGAAGTAGTTCTTTTTCGGGGGGGAGGGGAGGGGGGACGATCATGATTAATGGTACAAATCTTGCCCTTTTCTATCTCAATGAGCGCTTGTTTTCTTTTGTTTGGTGCATTGCGTGTGGGGAAGGATAACGGATAGAGTTGCATGGAAGAGTTGTTGGCACGCATGGTTGATTGTTGGATAGGATCATCTTGCAACGGATGGGCAGCCAACACCACAGAGGGGAAGAAAATTTTGTCACATAACACAGCCGAACATGAGATACCCAATACAAGTAGTGCTGGATCATTCTTTTCAGCAGATCCTTTGAGTATGCGATTCCTATCAAGTGGTGCTGAGAACTGCCTCCTTTTTTGCGGGACTGAAATTCTCGCCGCCAAGTACAGTAACCTCAAAATCGGGTATCACTCGCCTACCGCCCGACATAGACTGGCCGTCAGTACTGGTCAGATTTGTCCTTGAAAGGGTTCAGGCCGCAGAGTATTGTTACGTTGCTCGTACAGGCCATCTGCTGGACAGGATTGAATAGTAAGCCGTATATAAATAAATTTGACGGTATGGTGATTATTTATCTCAACAAAGTGATAATCACTCTTCATCCTCATCCTCATCCTCATCTTCATCACTCCCAGAGCCCTCATCCTCGTCCTCATCCTCGAAATCTTCTCCCTCCTCCTCGCTCTCGACATCATCATCGCTCCCCTCTAACCTCCTCTGCTCCTCCTCCTTCCGCTTCTTATCATCCTCCTTCCGCGCCTGCTCCATCATCTTGGCCTTCTCAGCCCGCAGCTTCCTCTGCGACACGACAAAGGCGCCGACAGGCGTCTTCTCCCAGTCGAAGCCGCTGAGGAACTTGTCGACCTGGTCCCTGTTCTTGGGCGCAAAGTCGACCTTGGCGCGCTTCTCCTCGATGAACTTGGCGTTGGCCTCGACCTTTTGCACGAGCAGGGCGATCTGCGACACGAGCTTGGTGTTCTTGTTTCCGGCGCCCTTGGCCTTCTTGTGGCCCCGGGCCTCCTTGGACCAGCGCTTGAGCATGATCACCACGGGGAGGGCGAACTCCGGGAAGGCGATGTTGGTGGACCAGGTCGCGAAGTACTCGCAGAAGAGCTCGACGACCTGCTCGCCGACGCCGTCCTGGTAGACGCGGGTGCGGAGGTACGACTTGGGGGCCTTGTATTGGACGGCGAAGTCGAGCGCTTTGAGGGTGGTGGCCTTGGGTGGCTTCTTCATCTCGGCCGAGTTGAGCACCTCGAGGAGGGCGGATGCTAGGGGGATGTACGTGCCCGTCGCGCGAGAGAGTCGCAGGAGGGAGCGGATTAACTGGAAGCGTAGGGGGAAGTAGAGGGCTGTGGGGATGAGGCGCATGGCGCCCAGCGTCACTTGGACAAGCGGATAAATGAGGAGCTTCAGCTGGCTCTCCTTGTTGGCCTCGGCCTCCTTTAGGAGACTGCAGTGCTCGGCAAGCACGCAGGACCAAAAGTCCAGCGAATGCACGTACTGCCAGTTGTAGACAGCCTTGTACGACTCGTTCTGGTTGTGGGTGATGCTGTTGCGGAGATGGATGGCGAGCTGCCGAATAAAGGTGAAGGCTGTCGTGTAGCCAATGGTCTGGTCGATACCCCAAAGCTCAGCTGCCGAGTTCTTCATCAGGTTGATGCCCTGGATTGTGTTGGGATTTGTGGACCGGCTGCCCTGGATCAGCCCCTGGTATGTGACCTTGAAAACGGCCTCACGAATTCCCTTGTCTCCAATGACAACGAGTCTCCGCAGCACCAGAAACGCTGTGATTCTTGTTGCCTCGCTGCTGGAGGACTGGGACCAGAAGTGGACCACGGTCTTGACCAGGTTCTTCAGCACCTTGCGGAACGAGAGCAGGTATGGCAGGAGAGGCGTAAGGGCGGAGAGGGTGAGCTTCAGTGTGGCATCGTCCGAGAGGGTACCCAGGAGGTGCAGCACAGAAGCAGTGTAGCTCTTGATGAGTATAGACAGCGTCCTGAACTTCTTGGACTCGGTGGGGACCGACACTTTCCCAGATGCCGACTCCTTCACCGGGCAGTGGTATTGCAGCACCTCGGGAATCTGCTTGAGGGCTACCATGAGGATGTCGTGGAATACCTCTGGGCTCGAGATGGTGTACCGCTGCCTGTTCTCCTCGTCGTCCTCGTTGAGGTGGGCGGCGCTCCGGAAGGCCAACACAACCTGCCGTGCTGCCCGCAGGGATTTCTTGTCAGAGATGGAGGCTTTCCACCTAGCCACCATAGCCTTGGTGAGCTCGTTGCGCTGGGAGAACTCGTCGTCCGAGTCCGCATCCGCAGCCTTGCTCTTGTCCTTCTTCCTCTTCTTCTTGGGCTGCTCTTCGTCCTCGCCAGAGCTCAGGTCGTCGACTTCAGCCAGGTCTACATTCTCGTCAAAGTCCAAGGCCTCAGGGTCGTTCTCCTGCAGGTACTTGTAGAACTCGGGATCGTCCTTGGCCAGCGCGTCCATGGCACCCTTGCTCATGCCGACATCGCCATCTTCCTCGGACTCGGCATCACTGGCGCCGCCAGCGGCCAGATCACCCTCCTCCTCCGTATCCAAGTCTCCTGCAGGCTCGTCGCGCTTCCTCTTGCCCAGCTTGCCGGCCTTCTTGCCGTTTGTAGGGTTCTTCTTGTCGATAATCTCGAAGCCGCCGCTGAAGAAGTCGTCTACGCTCATGGCGCTGACGGTCGCGTCTGGGGCTTTCTTCTTGCTCTTCTTGTCGTCGTCTGCGCCGCCCTCGGCCTTGGGACCCTTGAAGAAGTCGTCATCGTGGGCGCGCTTTGTCTGTTTCTTGGCCTTGACCTGGGCGCGCTGCTTGACTTTTGCATCGACCTTGCGCTTGTCGAGAACGCCTTTGAGGTGGTTCTTTTCGAACTTTTTGGTCGCCTTGAGGTTCTTCTTTCCGGGACCCATCTTGACGGCGACTGTGGGGGTCGGACGTATGGATCAACAAGAAAGAAAGGGAAAAAAAGAGGAAGGGGATGCAGAAACAGAGCGACGGGGCGCAAGACGGGATCCAAAGATTTGATGCGAATTCTCGAAAAATTTCCAGCGATAAGCGGCTATCTAACCCGGACCCTGACTCCACCAACAAGACCACCCCTGTCACTTAACGACGTCCAAACAACGCTCTCATGGCTCATGATGACGAAAGGTCATCATCACCAGGCATCTGTCGTTCATCAACATTAAAAAGAAAGACCAAAAAAAATGATGATACAACATCTCAGAATTTCAGTGAAAAGATGATGCCAAGACAAGCATACGCGCCTACACCACACAGCTACGTCCCAAACACAACACTGTCCGCCACAATAAATCTCGATGAGGTCCGCTCACACCTTTTGTCCCATATCCATTCTCCTTTTCCCTGACCACTCTTCTAAGTCTATTACTCTGCTTGAGAGACACAGAATGAAGGGAGACTCTGGCTGACAGACACACAAAACGAGCAAACAGGAGGTGAAACTCGCAGACACTCGCGCGGAGCGAGACCTGCAGGACTCCCTCGCAGAGATCTTCAGCATCCTCGTCACCCTCGACGAGCTGGAGAAGGCCTTCCTCAAGGATGCCATACCAGAAGCAGACTACACCGAGATCTGCGAGAGGTCGCTCAAGCAGTACAAGGCCATCCTGGCAGACGAGGGCGTGGCGAGGGCATTTGTCGGGATCGAGGAGTTCAAGGCGGAATGGGATGTATGTTTGGAGGAAGTTTTTGCTGGTTTTCCCCCAAGAAATCGATTGATTAAGCATGGCCAACATGGACTTGTTTTGTTCTTTGGTCCCTTTCGCTGACACTTTCTTTGTAGCTCGAGGTGCCCCGTGCCACAGAGCGCATCCGCGTCGGCATGCCCAGCACGGCTCTGACCGCCTCCTCCGGGACAGCGGCCCCCTCCCAGGCGGCATCCGGGACCAACACCAGCGGCGCGCTCATCCTCGAGGCCACGCAGGACTTCATTACGTTTCTGGATGCCCTGCGGCTTGGTCTTCTCGCCAAGGACCAGCTGCACCCCTTGTTGACGGACGTGATCCAGTCCGTGAACAAGGTGACAGATCGGGATTTCGAGAACAGGGGCAAGATTGTGCAGTGGTTGATCGCGCTGAACCAGATGAAGGCGACGGAGGAGCTGAGTGAGGCGCAGGCGAGGGAGTTGGAGCTGGATATCAACTCGGCCTATTCGGGGTTCAAGGACACATTGACTTGATGGGAGATGAGAAGGCAGCCCGAATGGAGCCGAGATGCCCCCTTCCTGCGGTTTTTGCAGGATAAATCAATCTAAATCTCCTGTGACTAGGCCTTTTTTTGCCTTTCTTTTTTCCTTCTTTTCCCGAGTCCAAGCTAGACGAGGAATGTCCAGAAGCTTGGGTAAACAAATTCCTCCTCAAAAATCCTCCTCACCTGCTCCAAAACAAACCTCTCCACCTTGCCCACATTCTTGAGGCTCTGCTTACCTCCTTCCCTCTGCCCAATCTCGCTCTCCACCCGGATCTCCTGCAACAACCCGCCCATCTTGCCATGCCCGTTCCGCCCGCCTCCGCCGCCGCCCGACGACGACGCAGCACCAGGCCCACCAGTGGTGGTAGGAGTAGTAGTAGTGGCATCGTCGCCAGCCTGCGCGTTCCCATTCTCGTCCGCGCCCACGGCAGCCAGCGCGTCCTCCGGGCTCAGGAAGCAAAAGTGCACCCTCTTGCGTATGTGCGCGACGACGCCGACCCCGTCAAACGACAGGCCCGTGATGCTCAGACGCAGCGGGATGCCCACGAAGCTCGGCATGGGGTAGTCGAGGAGGATGTCCGCCGTCAGCAGGAGCCGCACATCGCCCGAGTAGTTGATCCGAAATACAGCCTGGATGTCCTCGGTCCTGGCCTCGCGGAATCTTGGTTTCTCGCGGTGCTGATTCTGGCCATTGTCGTCTTCGTCTTCGGCGATTGCGCTGCCGCCAGCGAGCGCTGCTGGTGACGACGAGGTGTTGGTATTGTTGTTGGCGTTGTCCCTCGTCGGGGGCCGAGATGTCCCCGCCGAGGACGTCGGTGCAAAGGTAGAGACGCTGGATTTTTCGCGCAGCGCCGGATGGGAGAGGGAGTGCATGGGGGTCAGACCCGCCATCGCGCCACTGCCGTGGTTGAAGTCGGCCACTGAGATGGAGCTTTGGCTCGGGTTCCGGCTGTGGCTGGGCGCGCGGCCGTCGACCGAGGCGTTCCTGGCTGCCTGGTCCGGGAAGGCGGCTGTGGACACAGAGAGGGGGCTGTAGCTCCCGCCCGCTGTATCTGCTGGCACGTGCTGTTGCCAGGATTGCTGCTGCTGCTGCTGTTGGTGAAGATAGTGGTGATAGTGGTGGTGGTTGTTCCCGTTGTTCCCAAGCTGTGCCCCAGCGACGGCGGCGAGGGGCGTCTGCGTCCCCGACAGGCCGCCCGCGAGGTGAGAGTGGAAGTAGCTGAGGTTTGACGCACCGCCCAGTATACCAGGCGTCGATGTGCCGAGAAACGGGCTTCCTAGGTCCTGCGGCACAGAGGACATGCCTCTCATGTGTCCGCCTGGAAAACTTGTTGTGATGTGTGGTGGTATAGCCGAGAGTCTTGCGCCTGGCGCCATCATTGTCGGCGGCGGCGGTCGTCCTCCGCCGTTGTATTCCCGCCTCCGTTCCGCCGCCGCCCTGATATCGTGCATCGAGACACTTCCTTCCTCGTCTAGGCGGCTCTCGTGCGCCACCCCACCCTCATCATCCTCATCATCCTCTTCCGAGTCTTCGTCGTCCGCGGCAGAGTTCTCCTCGTAGAAATCCGGCAGCGGGTCCGTGATGTCCTTGAGCTCCAGCTCGGGCGGCGTGGTGCCGAACTCAAAGTCGTGCACCGTCACGGACTTGATGAAGCGCGGTAGGGGAACGGACTGGAACTTGGTATGGATGAAGTCGCGGATGCTGTGTGCGAGGGCCTCGCCGTCTGGCCCGCCTGTGAGAGCTTCCCAGTTTAGGTCGATAGACATTTGTTAAAGAGATTGGGACCCAAAGGTGATAGACCCCTCTGGATTTTAAGACAATAAGAGGGGCAAAGGTATGGTTTTCCTGGATAGAAAGTGCGCCGCTCAGGAGGGCGAGTTGGCTTTGGGCGCAGATTTGTTGATGTCGGAAGCTCAGTTTGGTCACATCCTTAATTGTGCACCGAATGAGTGAATCGATGAGCGATGTGGCTTGCTTTCCTGTGTCATAGATATACTTCTGATAAGAGTTTCTTTCGCCATTTGGTATTGGCTGATAAATTTCTTCATTCCTTTCTTTCTTCATAAGAGGCATGAATATTATTCAAGAGAGGTTTGAAATAGTTATGTCACTAAGAGTCCGATGTGGTTTCCGAACAATGTAGGGTTAGGGTCATGATTTCAACTGTCACTTAGCCTCGTCCTCAATCTTCATCCCACCTTGCTGTAGGCGACAATGAAAACCCCTCCTCGCAGATGAAGTAAAAGATGATGAGGTAGTACTTATAGTGCACTTTAATTATTGACTTTTAGATACACAGAAAAGAAAAGTTCAGACCAAAATCTCGCTCGTCATAATCATTCAAGCATCTATACTCCATTGCTATGCCAAAACAAAGAAGAGACCCCCTTCTCGGATCCCCGCTTCTTGGTCCTCTTCATCATCATCATCCTCCTCTTCTGCATTAAACCCTATCATCTCCATCTAGGTTTGCCAACGGCACATACCCAGCCTCCTCCTTCCTGCCTCTGCCTATCGCGCCCCGGAACCGGTCGGCCACCTCAATCACTCCACCCTTGACCGTGTCCACCAGGCCAGGCCTGCGCAGTCTCCTTTCCATCGCCTCCTTGCCAGCCGCCTCGTCCATCCACCTAGGCCGCCTCCAGAACTTGAGAAGCAGGGAGCTCACAACCACCGACACCGAGCTAACAGCCATGGCCGCACCGGCCGCCATGGGGTGCAGATGCAGTCCGAACGGCAGGAAGATGCCCATCGCAAAGGGTAGGCCAACGATGTTGTACAGACACGCCCAAGCCAGGTTCGCCTTGATACGGTTGAAGATGCTCTTGGAGAGGTGCAGCGCCGCGGGGATGTCCATCAGCTCGTTGGGCCGCATGAGCACAACGTCTGCCGCCTCCATGGCCACATCTGTGCCCGAGGACATGGCGATACCGACGTCTGCGGTTGCCAGAGCCGGTGAGTCGTTGATGCCGTCGCCTACCATGGCCACCACCTCGCCCTGCTCGCGCATCTGACGGACGATGATCTGTTTCTGGTCTGGCGAGACACCGGCGTGCACACAATCCTCAGGGATGCCAACGGCGGCGGCGACGGCGTGCGCGGTGGAAGGCTGGTCGCCGGTGACCATGGCAACCTTGACGCCCATGCGGTGCTGGAGGACCGAGATCGCGGCTGCTGCACCTTCCTTGATCACGTCTGACAGGCACAGGTGACCTGCGTATTTTCCGTCAATGGCGATGAAGATGTTCGTGGTCCCAGCCGAATCGCGAGCTTTGCCAGACGAGGCGTTCTTGTTGATCGCCTCGGAGGAGTCGATAGCCTCCTGGGAAACTTCCACGTTATTCTCGCGGAGGTACTTGACGTTGCCGACCAGGATGGTGTATCGGGTGCGCTCGGCGCTGGTGGCTGGCTCGACGGCTGCCGAAATACCACGTCCCACAGCAGCTGTGAAGTCGCCAACGCTGCCCTCAATAGTGCCCTCCGAGTCGATCCCGAGCTCGTTCTTGGCGGCATTGAGCACGGCCTTGCCAACTGGATGCTCGCTGCCCATCTCAGCAAGACCGACAACAGTCCACCACAGCCGACGGCGCCACTCATTGTCCTGCCAGATCGAGACAATGTTCATGCTTGCCACGGTCATCCTGCCGTAGGTGATAGTGCCAGTCTTGTCGAGAACGACCTGAGTGACCTTGGTAGTAGTCTCGAGCGCTGCACCGCCCTTGACCAGAATCCCGTTCTCAGCGCCAACTCCAGTGCCGACCATAACAGCAGTGGGTGTGGCGAGGCCAAGAGCACAAGGACAGGCAAACACGATGACCGAGATGCACAGCTTGACGCACACAAAGATCTTGCCGCCGCTGGAGTCTTCCTGAAAGATTTTCGGCGGGTTGGAGAGCACGTGGCTGAGAACCATCCAAACCACGAAGGTGAGGAATCCCAGAACCAAGATCGTCGGCACAAAATAACCAGCCAGGGTGTCCGCCAGTCTCTGAATAGGAGCCCGTGTGGTCTGGGCATCCTGGACGAGTTTGACAATCTGGCTGAGCTGTGTATCGCGGCCAGCCCGCGTGACCCTGAAGTCGACACGGCCGTGGCCATTGACAGTACCACCAATCAGGTTCGAGCCTTTGCGCTTCTGCACGGGCATGGCCTCACCAGTCACCATGCTCTCGTCAACATAGGTCTCGCCCCTGACCAGAACACCGTCGGCAGGAATCTTGTCACCGGGGCGGAGAATAACAATATCTCCGACCTGGATGAGTTCTGTGGGAATGATCTTCTCCTCAGCAGCATTCCCGTCTGCTGTGGGTGTCTTGGGTTCACCGCTGCCAGTGACGCTGTCCCACTTCTCCGCAGCCTTCTCGGCAGCGATTGGATCAGCGTAGATGGTGGCCATGGAGGGGGCCAGTGACATGAGACGGGACAGAGCCTTGGAGGTCTGACCCTTGGCACGGTTCTCCAGGAAACGACCGAAAGTGATGAACGTGATCAGCATAGTGCTGGTGTCGAAGATTGTGCTTGGCCGGGTGTGCGGGGGAAAGAAGAACGAGACCAACATGGCGACGCAGCTGAAGAAGAAGGCACACGAAGTGCCCAGTACGACAAGGACGTCCATGGTCGGCGATCCGTGCTTGACGGACTTGTAAGCGGAGATGTAAAAACGCTTTCCAATACCGAACTGAACAGGCATCGTCAAGATGAGACAGAGAATGTCGCCCAGGAAGAGGCCAGGCAGGATCTGCCACGATCCAAAGTCCAGAGCTGGGATGCACATCGGTATGACCATACCAATCATGAAGACCGGGATGGCGAAGCCCAATGACGTCTTGAAGGCCCTCCGCCACTCATTAATTTCACGTGTCTTCGCGAGAGACTCCAGCTGTGCGTTATTGTCGTCGTTGTCTGCGACAAGCGCGTTGTAGCCGGCCTCCTCCACCTTCTCAACAATAGCTCGGAGGCCAGTCACACCAGGTAGATGTGTGACAGTCAACCTGGACGTAGCAAGGCTCAGTTTCACCGAGGTCACGCCAGTGAGGGTCTGTATGTTCTCTTCCAGCGCCGTAGCCGCGCTGGCATTTGGGACGCCGTAGACCTTGAATTGTGCCGTGGCCGAGGTCTGTGATGTGTCGGCTGTCTCCGATTGCGTTGAGATGATGTTAGCGCCGAAGCCGCGGTCCTCGATGATCTCGACGATCTGCTCAGAAGACAGCTTGGCCGGGTCGTGTGTGATCATTGCCCTCTCAGCCAGTAGGCTGATGTTGAATTTGAGCATCCCTTCGACATCGCTGAAACCGGATTCCACGGCTGACGTGCATGCGCCGCATGTCATGCCCTCGATGCCAACCGTGGTGATCATCTGGAGAGCCTTGCCTGCCGATGCTCCTGAGGCACCCTTCTTCTCGTCTTGTGCCTCCGAGCTCTCGATGACGGTTGCGCCGAATCCCCGGTCCTCGATCATCTCGGCGATCTGCTCGGCAGACAGGACAGAGGGGTCGTGATCGATGACGGCTCTCTCGGATAATAACGATATGCTGAAGTTCTTGACGCCCGCCACGTCCTTGAAGGCACCTTGGACAGCTGATGTGCATGCGCCGCATGTCATGCCCTCGATCGCGACGACCGTGCTGAGAATCCTCGGCCCGGCCTGTGCTGCTTCTGCAAATGCGCCGTCCATCTTGTCCACTCTCGGTGATATTATGTCTGTAGAAAGAACGTCTGCGTCGAAGCCTCGGTCCTCTATAATTTCTTGGATTTGTTCGGCAGATATCCGGCCTGCGTCGTGCATAACCACTGCCCTTTCCATAATCAAACTGACGGAGACGTTACCGACGCCGTCCACGCCTTTGAGTCCGCTCTCGACAGCCGATGTACAAGCACCGCACCTGTTGCGCAAGCAGAGTTAGAGCAAGCAAGATACAAGTATAGGGAATCCCCAGGGTGAATAGAGCAGACGAGCGCGGCTGCTGTAATGCGCTGAGTGCCTAAACCCTCATAGGGCTCGGAGTAAGCACGAGGGGCGACTCACGTCATACCGCCAACCTTCAGAGTCGTTGTCGCCATGTGGGCGGTGTTCGCACTCAGCAAGTCCACCGACGGGACTTGTATCTTGGATGGGGCCATGTCGACGTCTGAGGAGCGATTTTGAGAAAGGTCGGTGCGCGCACGAGTAGTGGTAGTCGCCGGTGGTCCTCTAGATCGAGGCCGAACACATCTGAAAGAGGTGAGACGTGCGGTAGGGGTGTTTTGGCCGACGTGGGAGGTTATACAATATGGATCCAAGAAGAAAAGCAGAAGACCAGCTTCTGGGCGGTGTAAGGTTCTTGTATTTCGTGTATGTATATATACAAGTCGGTGCCGACACCAGACTCGAGTAATGGGTAGATTAGGAATGGAAGGATTCGACCAGCTGGTGGGGGTAGAGAATGTGGTGGCTTGGTCGGATAGTTTGGAGGGGATTATGCAGAAGTGCAATAGTCGCCGGGTGATTATTGCTTCATAAGCGCGCGAGAGAGAGAGAGAGAGGATGACGCTGGACAAAAGGAGAGGGTAGAAGGGCAGAAGCGAGAATGGGAGGGAGGCAGCGAGATGCAGGATACAAATGGTCCTAGACGAGGGAGCATTTCCTCATCGTGTTGGGTTTGGTACCGGCAGATACGGGGAAAGTTTCGTCGTCGTGTCTCGTCGTCGCGGCTGCTGGAACCAGAACCCACAGCTTTCAAGGTTCCCCCTGTGGTATGGATGTTGACATGTGTGGGTGTGGGTTGCGCGAACTGGGGATGGAGCATGTCCGATGTTCGTGCAGATGCGATTGCAAATCAATCCGGGCGGCCTTGAGCGGCAACGAGCGGCGCTGGGGGGCGTCTGGAGGGTACTATGGTTTAGGGCCTAATCATGGCGCAAGGGTCTGATCCGGTGTGCCGGGATCAAATTGGCATTAGCTTGTCTCTTAGACCAGTTATACTCGGTACGTACCCCCCTTCTGCCGTTTCAATGCCCCTACATTAGCCCACAAGTTGCCTGAGCGTGGGCGCCGTTCTCGTTCACTCTGTGTGTCATAGCACATAGTGCTATGGTGCTAAGGAGGGGGTGGTGACCTCCTTGTGGTACTAGGCAGTATTCAAACACATTTACAGAACACGCTATTGATCAAACAAAGAAGAGACGAATGATACAAACCCCAAGGGGCTCAGTTTCACGTTCTCCAATGGCGCTCTTTCAAGTTTTGAAAGTAGACCTGAGCCCTGTCAATTTTGTCTTCGCTTGGATTCAAGAGGATTTGTCTGGCCTGGGATCTGGTGGGTTCTATGGCATCGGCACATCACTTTGTCTCCATTGGAATAGTGGCGTAGTAGTACGAAGGACGGTGGATAGAAAACATGTGCCACTATAGAGTCTAAGGTTATAACCGCCTGTAAAAGAGAACGGGCCCGCCCTATGAAGTTCCATACCGAGTGTCATCTCCGTCAATATCGATAAATAACCGAACGGAACGGTGCATACAGTACTATATTGAATCACTGTTGTCGATAACACTTGGTGCACGCGTGGCCTCTTACATAGCCACCCACAGCATTTTTCAATAGTGCCGCCACTAATTCACCTCTTCTGGCCGTGCGCCTTGACAAGACAGGACGTACCCGGTAATACTCAGTTGGGTCTATCGACATAATGTCAGCAATAAGACTGCTTCCCGTCAGTCGTCGGCCTCCTATCGAAGACACAATTTAATTTTCCTTCCTTGTCTCTGCCACGTTGTCTTTGTTCTTCACCGGAGAAGACTTGAGACTTGTGTTCTCCACCTTCCCGTCCCACTCGGTTAAACGGTTGGCTTACAGCCAGTATTTCATTTGAGCAGAAAGCCTCAGCTCGAGACGGAAATGGGAAAACTTCCTGGGGATTAATCAGATTGAACCAGTCAATTCCCGTAGGACGGCAGTGTATGTAAGAGGTTGAATTCAAGTGGGGAGGTATTGCAGGGTACGCCTGTGGTGCTCCTCCCCTCCATTCCTTCGTCGTGGTGCCGTTCTGTGCCGTTCCCTGTGCCCTGTCCAGATTTGCGGCAGCCGCCCCCGTCAGAAGGCTTAACTACATCAGCCAAAACGCATCTCAAACCACCGCTTTCCGTTGTTTCCAATCAGATCAAACCTCTCAGCTTCAAGACACGAAAATTCTCCCCGGCTTGGAACCCACTGCTGGCGGCAACTCGGTCGGCAAAGTCAGATTCGATCCTTACTGAGTAGTGGACCCAGAGCCTCACAGAACAAAGAGACTCAACCAGACCGACGTTTAGTGACGGTGCCGTATCTGTCCTCCTTGGTGGAGACCGCCACCCCGAGTCAACCCATCCTATCCTTTGGCCCAACGGCGATTAGGTACTGCTAGGCTGCTGGCTTGTCAGAGTGCTTGGTGCCTGGTGCTTCGCTGGAGAAGCTAGACAGCAGCCAGTTCCCCGCCCTGCCAGCCGGCTGAGCCTGCTGAGGACCCCACCAAGGCTTGCCATACAGGGGGTCTCACAATTGACGTCGTCCAGCAGCTCAACCAGCAGTTTGATAACCGTCTCTCCAGCTTATCACCAAGAGAGGTTCCACACCAAAGGAGGGAGAGAGAAAGAGAGGAGGTCCAGCAACAGCAAATTCAAGGAGCACCATCAGTCAGCCCAAAATGGAGCAGACCAAAGCCCTCAATGCTCTGGAGGCAAGTCGCCCTGTCTTGTTCAATTACGACGACGACCACCACCACCATCAACATCATCATAGAAGAAGCAGCCACACCACGTACTTGCAAAACAGCTAACTCTCTTCTTCACAGCCCTTCCTAGCCCTCTCCAAATCTGCTACCTCTCCTCGTGCTGCGGCCGACCTCATCAACCGTGCCACCTCCGCCCCCGGCACCTACGCCTTCACCGAGCTCCTCAGCACGCCCAATATCGCCGCCCTCGCGTCGTCACCCGAGCCGGAATTCCGGGCATGGCACACCCACCTCGAGCTCTTTAGCCATGGACTCTACGAGGGCTACGCCGCCGACGGCACCCTGCCACCCCTGAGCCCAGCCCAGCAGCTCAAGCTCCGCCAGCTCTCCCTGCTGACCCTCTCGCGCGACAAAGCCCGCCTCACCTACCCGGCCCTGATGCGCAGCCTTGGCCTCGCCACCCCTAGGGACCTTGAGGACCTCGTCATCGGCGCCGTCTACGCCGGCCTGCTCTCTGCCCGTCTCAACCCCGCCCGCCGCGAGGTCCAGGTCAACAACGTGGCGCCCCTTCGCGACGTACGCCCCGCCTCTGTCGCCGGCATCGTCACCACCCTGCAGGAGTGGTCTGCCCGCTGCGACGCTACCCTTGCCGAGCTCGAGGCCTCCGTCTCTGCCATCCGTGCCGAGGCCGCCCGCGCCGTGACCCGGAGGCGTGAGGACGAGAGGGTTGTTGCCGTCGCTGTCGCCGCTGAGGAGAAGGCTTCTGCCGCCGGCGGTGCCAGCCTCGCTCCTGAGGGAGGTTCTGGTGCAGGCTCGCGGCATAGGTCGAGGAAGACCCACGGCCACTCTGCCGTGGCCAATCTGCGGTCACAGATCAATGCCAGTGGCCCTCTCGGCAGCAGTGCAGGCGGCGGCGGTGCGAAGAGGAGCAGCGAGAAGCTGATGGAGAGCACGGCGGGCGCAGATGACGACGACGAGGCGATGGACCTGGATGACGACGCAGAGGGGCCCGGCCAGGGGCGAGCCAGTCGACGTAGGTTGTGAGGTGAATACGGACCAACCTTTGCCGAGAGAACGCGGTCATCAGGCACTCCTATACTTACTCGCCGTTTGCAAATCGGTCCAGATATGAATTGATGGCTTAAAACCACAGACGATACCGAGCACAATTGCCTCAACCACCGTGTGCAGTGCTCCCAAAAAACTCAAATGAGGAGATACCTCTCTAAACCTCGGTGGGGCTGGCTCGCCTTTCAATTATGGCGATAGACAGATTCGAGAACAAAGGACATCTTCTCAAACTACGACTTGGACTCGATTGTGTGTCTAGACACTGCAGCTGCACTGAAGTCATGACAATAATCCGATCAAATAAGATCCATTGATTCAAATGAAGCCCTGGTAAGGACGCGGTGGTTGCGGGAAACCCTGTCAACGACACCTCCCGAAAATAATGATATTAATGAACCGTCAAAGTTCAGCGCCCAAGAGTCTCTCTCCAAGCCAGCCCTGTCTGCCTTGCCTGTCCATTCGTATCCCAGGTATAAACTCGTATCAAGCTGGAGATGAAAGCTCTCCCTTCCCGCAAATCTCCCTTCTCAAATCGATGAGTAGTCGTACAAGTATAACGGCGTTCATTCACGCCAACGTAAAACCCCTCGCAGATTATCGTTGCGCTTGGTCCACTGACAAGAACAAAACGCCGCAAGATTTCCTTCCCACTTCTTCTCCCACTCGCGGACCGTCCTTCGCCCAGCTCGCCTCCGGGCAGCAACCTTGCGACGACTCTGGCATCAACGAATCGTTTCCAAGGTCCCTACTTGACCCAGCGAAGAAAAGAAGAAAATTGACTGGGTAATAATATCTCGCGTCGCTAGAAAAGTGGTCGATGGTGGAAATGAAAGTCGTAACGTCGTCAATTAGGTATTCTTTTTTTTAATTTTATGTTGAGGTTTGTGATATCCGCGTCAGTGATCACAGACGCTTGCCGGGCACGAAGATGAAAAGGACTGATAAGGCTGCATCAACCAGTGCTGTCACGGCTAGAACCATGATTGCTCGCTTCGCGAGCAACTTTCGGACATAGGGCTCTCGAACACGGGAGAAGTTGAAGGGCGTATACTCGCTGAGGCCTATCAGAGCAAGCACAGGATCCAAGGAGTACTGGTAGGAGGCGAGGAAATAGATGCCCAGGGTGAAGGGCAGAATGAGCTGCAAATATACGTCAGTGAAAACATATCTCGGTGATCTTGAAGTGGATCGCAACGTACCCAGCACCTTGTCAACCTCGATTTGTCGAGGAAGATCAAAACGAAGCCAGCCCAGAACGCGCCGAACATCGACACCAGCCCGATGATCAGCCTCATGATCAAGGTTGGTGGGATCAGGTTCCCCAGCGCCTTCATCCGCAGAAAACCTGGGAAAGCGTCCCTCTCCATGGCCTGGAACACGTAATCCTTAGCCAGGTCGAACACTTCAGGGTCATCCCTGCCCTCCTCCTCAATCGCCCTCGTGACGTCCTCGGTGATGTGCCCCGGTAGCACGATTTCTCTCTCGGCGCCAGGAAGCAAGAACGTGTACAGAATCTTCTCGGCCGATGCGCGTATGTCCTGTCGCGCCACAGTGTGCGCTGGCGAGTTCGAATCCGTAATCAGTTCTCGCGGGGTGCTACCGTGGCTGGGACGGGGCCCCTCGGTGGTGCTCTGGCGTGGAGAGTCGTAGAAAGCCGCGCCGGGCGTATTCTGAGTACCAGGTCCCGCTCGTTCCTCCCGCAAGTATGCTGACATTTGAGCGTCCTGATCGCGCTCCTTCTCAGTCGCGTACATCGATGGGCCAGGCGCGGAGAAGCTCATGTCGCCCATGCTCTCCAGGATCTGAGACGAACGCTTCGAGGCGTGTTCGGGGTCGGGTGTGCCAATCAGGACGGATCTGCGGAGCTCGCGGACGTAGTGTCGACATAATGTCATATGCTGGGCGACGTCGAGCCTATGATACATGGGTCAGAGGGATAATTCGGGATGGGGAAGGGACGGGCTTTCATTTATCGCTCGTCGGGTTCTTCGTACCAGAAGTCCAGATAGTCCACCGATCTTTGCTGGTCTCGCATAAAAATATAGAAGGAGAACAGGTCGACAGGAGGAAGAGTTCGCCGGCTCAACACTTCGAAAAGCGTTGGAAGTCGGTTCCTGTTGAGATCAGGAACGGGGGATGGTGAAAGGTCCCCCATCTTGAACTCGTCTGTTTCCAACTCGCAGGAACGGCAGGTGGGTGGACGGTACGAAGATGCAAACAAGGCGAAAATGGAGCGGTGCACTGGCGAAAATAGATTGATACGGGGTTCGACTCGCGATTGATGGGCTTGTCAATTGGGCGATGGTGACGGCTCGATAGAAATAAGGGGCGGGCGGGCGGTCGATCGATCGATTACGAAATAGGCTTGAGAGACTTGAAAGGTCAAGGTAGAATGAAGGAAAGAAGAAGGAAGGGAGAAAAACGAGTGGCAGGGTAATCTGAAAACCCAGGAATGAGGTGGATGGCCAGACGAAGGCGAACAATCGTGACTCCGTAGTGGTAAGAGGCTCGGAAGCAGTCTGGCTTGCTCGTGTTGACAGACGGCGCTTGACAATCGTCTCCGAGATTCAGAAGAGGCTGCAGCTGCACGGACCATACTCCCTCTGCCGTGACGCAGCGTGATATTTGCTCCACGCGAAACCGTTAGGGCGCTTCTGATTTGATGTCGAAAAGTGGGGCCTACGACTTGCTCATTTCACTACGTACCACGGCATGTACCACCACTGACTTCGGAAGATAATAATGAGCGCCTACTATAAAATTCGTGCTTTTAGGTGCTACATTTTCAGTTTCAGCCCCATTGCGTACATGCCACACATTTTCTCAGTAGCTATCTCAGTGGCTGTGCGTCACAATGACTTAACATTCAGCGCTTCAGCATTGATGTCTTTCGCAGACAGTCTCTCGTGTCTCTCTTCAAGCACCTGGAAGTTCCTAGAGTACAATTGAGCAGCGGAACATGATCACTGCCTCTGCCATCATGTCACGTATAATTCAACCTCTCATACACCAATCGAAACTCTCTACAATTGCTGCTCAACATTAAATCAATTTACTAGTTTCTGCACATGTTTGTCCAGACCTTGTTTGATGCAGTTCTCGCGGTGTCCTCGTCCATAAGCCTGTTGTCTTCTCTGTTCATGCGTAAACAGGAACTGGCTGCAGATGTTCCTATTACCTGTTCGGCAGGTACATGGGTACCCGCATGGTCGCAGTGATGATGGAAGTATCCCTTAGCCTAGCAGGAGCAGCTACAGTCAATCTTTCGCAACTTCTTGCTACAGAATCCTCGCAGTAGATATTCATTTTAATAACAACAGCGGCTTCATGATATCCAATATTATGACTGTTTATCTAATTCCAATTTGCCCTCAAATTTTCGTTTTGAACGTTGTTGAGTAGAGCCAGCAGCACCGGCCTCTTTGGGGGGGAAAACAAGTCACACACGTGATTGGTCAGTTCTGGTTCCTGCTCCGGCCCTGAAAATTCTGCCACCTTTGCCTACCGCCTTGCTAATTTCGAGCCCCCACACAATTTCGCATTGCAGGTCAAATCGTCCTCCCGACACCTACCACGAGCATCTCTGCAACTCCGACCACCACCACCACAATTTCTACGAATCCCCTCACCAATTCGCAGAGATGTCGTCCACCAAGAAGACCACCAAGACAGGCCGCTCCGCCATCCAGGACGTGGTCGCTCGCGAGTACACTATCCACCTCCACAAGAGGGTACGTTTTGCACAGCTCAAACGAGCCAAAATTCGCAGCTCGGCCCCGTTCATGCCCGGTTGATAGCAGCACGGCGGGGTATTGAAAAAGTTCGGAATGCTGACCGATTGAATTCGAAAAATTAGCTGCACGGTGTCACCTTCAAGAAGAGAGCTCCCCGCGCCATCAAGGAGATCAAGGACTTCGCCACTAAGTCGATGGTATGCATTTGACCACTTCCTTTTCCCCGGATCCGACAGTTGAAACTACATCTCCACTCCCCACGGCCGAACATTGCGAACATCACCAACGTGAAGCCGAGGGGAGCATGAGAATCAGGGTTGCATGGGAGATGGGCAGAAACAGACGCTGACTAGAGCTCACCTGCAGGGCACCTCCGATGTCCGCCTCGACCCCCAGCTGAACAAGAAGGTGTGGGAGCAGGGTGTCAAGGGCTGCCCATACAGACTCCGCGTCCGCATCTCTCGGCGCAGAAACGATGAGGAGGGTGCCAAGGAGAAGCTGTACAGCTACGTCCAGGCCGTCAACGTCAAGAACCCCAAGGGCCTGGTCACCCAGGTCGTTGAGGAGTAAACACGTCTGTGTTTCTGATGATGACGGGCGCGTTGGATGATGGGTAACCCCGCTAGGTTGGCGCAGCTGTGTGCGGCGGCGCTTCTCCCCGCGGGCGAAACGACGGGACGGCAATCCTTTGGTGTTTTTCTTGAGGGTGTGAGGGTCGGTCGATGACACTCAAAACTGGTTCCCTTGTCTGGTCATGGTGGCAATTGGGCTTTCCGGAGTTTTTTTCGACGGCGTCTAGCTTCGCATTATCGAGACCACATAGGTCACATGAGGAAGCAGCAAAAAATGGGAAAAGAACATTCAAGACATCTCGAATCCATACCCCGAGGGCGGCCACCGTCCAGTCTCGCGAGGCATCACCGAACTCGTAACTCCCTATGAAGACTGCCACTGACCCAGAGGAGAGCGGAAGCCTCATGTCTCTGGTTGTGGCAAATCCTCCTTTGTAGATACACTCAAGGTCATATGTCGAAAACAAACCAAGGTGGTATGTGCAATTTTGTGGAAAACAACAAAGTGCCTATGCTTGATGATTGGGTAGAACTGAACAAGACGACAATTCTGTGTCCCTTTGATCCATCCTTACCCGAAAATGCAATAATGCCATCCCCTCCCTTCTTCTTCAATCCTGCAGTGTCCTACCCTGAAAGTGCATTATGATCATTCTACGCGTTGACTCCATGCTCCCAAGTGAAAAAATGCAGTCAAATCCCCAACAACCTTCCAGTGCATCACTCACTCGTCGTCAAGATCCTTGTGACGGGCCAACACCTTGCGCTTGAACTCCTCAGGGTCCTTGTCCCAGAGCTCGGCAGCCTCAGCATTCAGCGGCGAGTCACTGCAGTATCAAAATGTCAGTTACCATCCTACAAGCTGGCCCTGCTTTCTTTGATCTTGCAGTTGTTGCCCATCCAATGTTTACCCTCTTGTAGTGGACAAAGAACTCGGCTTACTTATTCGGCTCTCCCAGCAGGCTCTGCAGGCTCAACAGCACAGTCCGGATGTTGTAGGCCGCAGACCACTTAGATTTGAGGATGTCCAGACAGATCCGGCCGGAGAAGTCGACGTTCGGGTGATAAATGGGAGTGCGGAACAGCACCTCAGGCGGCTTGTAGGGGTAGTCGGAGGGGAAGTTGAAGGTCAGCTTGAAGATCAGCCCGGCGTAGGGCGTGTCGTCGACGCCGTTGATCGTCGCGTGCCACTTGGTCAGGTCGCCGTCGGCTGAAGGAAAGGCGGAAATGCCGGGTGCGGGCGAGGTCATGAGCTGCATCAACTCGGTCTGGAGCCTGTCGTGCGAAGCGGCAGAAATAAATGATCAGCAGGTCGTTCCTTGGAGCAGGGCATCATGATTTTTTGTGGGACATAACATTACGAAGTCTCACTTCTCTTGGGGATGACTTACCTCTTGGTAACATTTGCGGACTCGGCGGCCTTTCTAGTACCGCCAAGGGGAGCACCGGCTGCCTGAGGGCCCTCCATAATGTGTACAAGTTACGAGAGGAGAATGTCTGGGTCGGAACACAGTCCTGGGGAGAGAAAGCTGTAACCTCGAGGGCGGGAAAGTCCAGTACGGAAGATTGCCAGCTGAGAACCAATAGCAGGCCGGCCAACGCAGCCGATGTCAGCTCTGTATCGATTGAAAGAACAGGTGAGCTTCTCGGCGGAAGAGGGAGAGGGGAAACGACATAAAAGATCCCGGGTCTTGTGCTGTCCAGTGCATAAAGAGGTTGGTGGGAGAGAAAAAGTAAAGAGGAAAAACGAGGCTGGTCGTCAGGCAAGCAGGTCTCACCCAGGACCCCTGCGGCGGCGGCTCAAGCTGCCCTTCTGAAGGTCGATTGTTTACTGCACGATCTGCTGCGGGGGGGTCGCCCCACTTGACACCTAGCAACCACCAGGTTTCTTCTACAGCAGTGGATTAGCGGCTCTCACTTACCCGCCGGCCTGTGCCCCTGCAGCCAACAGCGTTGCTCAGTCAATCGACGCGGCTGGGGCCTTTAGCTTCTGAGACAAACAAAAGAAGCCCCCAATTTTCAACCACTCAATTTGGACGACAAAGACTCGCCGCGCGATCAGACCAGTGCCACGCGACCTAATTTACGCGAACAGCACGCGACCTCTCTCTTCTTTTGTGATTTTCCGAGTTCGTGTTGATATTTTCGTGGTTCTGGATTTAAGAGGAAAAAAAGAAGAAAAGGAATTGGACCAAAGCAAAAATCGATTTCCGATTGTCTCATCTTGGATGCCGTTCAACTTCGTACCGTGTTGACTTGGGTGTGCACCCTGGTCTCACTTCACTTACACACATAAGTCCTGAACTGAACCGTTGAATGAGAGGATCTCTTGGTTTCTAGGCCAATATGCAACACTCTCAGCTAGATCCTTTACCAAGTGATCTACCGTTCAGGGTGGTGTCCAAGACCATCGGTAGAGGGGCCTATGCATCGTGAGCTCAGGCTGCCCCCACACCAGTCCCTCTCGGAGGTTCATGCGTACTGATGCGGACCCACAGGATCCGGAAGGCCATTCCCCTAGACGCTCACACACCAGTCTTTGCAGTCAAGTTCATACACAAGGGTTATGCTATCAAGAATGGCAGGATATCAGCAAAGCAGATCTCCATGGAGGTTTCCCTCCACTCGCACATTGGCCAGCATCCCAACGTCATCGAGTGGTTTGCTACTGGCGAGGATGCCATCTGGAGATGGATAGCCATGGAGTTCGCCGAGGGAGGAGACCTGTTTGACAAGATCGAGGCGGATAAGGGCGTGGCCGAGGATATCGCCCATCTATACTTCTTGCAGCTCATCAGTGGCGTCAGTTTCATGCACTCCAAAGGCGTCGCGCACCGAGACCTGAAGCCGGAGAACATACTGCTCAACGACACTGGTAATCTGAAGATTGCAGACTTCGGGATGGCGACCCTCTTCCAGTACAAGGGGCAAGTGAAGATGAGCTCTACCATGTGTGGCAGCCCACCCTACATCGCCCCTGAAGTGCTTCGCTGCGCGACAGGAGACAAGTCCATGAAATACAGGGCAGATCTGGTGGATATATGGTCATGCGGGGTCATCTTGTTCGTCCTGCTGGTCGGAAATACACCATGGGAGGAGCCTACAGAAAAGAAATGGGAATGGCGCGAGTATCTTCGGACCAACGGCCGGAGCACCGACGAGTTATGGGACGGGGTACCTCCAGAGGCGCTGTCTCTGCTGCGAGGCATGATGAATGTCGACGTGGACAAGCGCTTTTCGTTCGCGCAGATACGCCAGCATCCATGGTACACACGTCACAACCCGCTCCTCACCTCTGATGGAAAGATCCTAGACCCCATACAGCTCGCCACCCAGATGCTGGCCAGCCTTCGCATCGATCTCACACAAGAGCCTTCACCCTCTCAGCGGTCCGACGTAATGGACCTCGACTCGCAGCCGACAGCCGCAAGTTTCCCCTCTAGGATCTCTGCCACTCAGCCCGTGAACCCGATCAGCGATGTCGCCTTCGACTGGGAGCGGCCCTCCATGAGATCGATTGGCGCGATTGCGTCCACCCAGCCCGTCGCAGGCATCGACCTCTCCACCGCCGGACGGCCCATCCACGCGCTGGACGCCCTCGCCGACGAGCCCACCATGAGCCAGTTCTCGCAGGCGCCCGGTGTACCCCTCAGCCTGACGCAGCATGCAAGACGATTTAGGGACATCGTGCCGTCGTACAGCCTGACGCGCTTCTACTCCCACGTCCCGCCGCAGCTGTTGGTGCAGATGCTCAGCGATGCTCTGCACCAGCTGAACGTTCCCCTCCAGCCGCCTGCCGTCAAGCTCGATGCGGACCACATCAGCACGCTGCGGGTCAAGACCGCAGATGGGCGGGGCCAGAGCCTTCATGGGGAGATCATGGTGGACAAGTACGTCCTTCCGGATGGATCTGCCGAGGTGCTCGAGGTGCGGTTCGTCAAGATCAAGGGAGACCCGCTGGAGTGGCGGCGGTTCTTCAAGAAGGTGGCTCTATTGTGCAAAGATGGCATCTACAAGGATGTGTAAAGTAAGCATCACACTTTCGGCGGGACAGCATGGGGAGATTTCGTAGCTGCCCAGTGTTGGAAAGGTAGGGAGGAAGATAGAGAGAGGCAGAGTTGCATCAGAATGCATTCATGATTTGATGCGCAGCATGATTAGATGGGATATTAGATTACTTGGACTTTAGACAATAATTGCATGATGTAATCATGGCATGCCTGAATTGCACGTCTGTGGTAATGCCCTGTGCGTGGAGATGGGTCTACGAATATTGTGCTCCTTGTGCCGAAATATATATTTGCCGCTCCTCGCAATGAGCATCTTTATTTACTTTTTCATGGCAGGGGCCGTCACGGCTATAGAGAGCAAATCAAGGTCAGCAATCTGTTGTTGTTTTTTTAGCCTAGAAGAATGACGACTCGACGATTTAGATGTGTCCCATGATGTGCAAATATCGCGCGCCAGATCTATCAAGATCCCACAAGATACCACATATCCTTCAATTAATAATAATTATTGATCCCATCATAACATTGGTTACGTTTTGATACGCAGTCGAGACAGTAGACAAACAACTTTTGACTGCTATTGATGGTATCTTGGAAACGGGATCCATATAGACTGTGATAAATGAGCACGAAGTCTTATATTAATCTTTGAACATGGTGCTATTGTCATCGTTGTTGCGTTAGACTACTAGTGCTGTGTTTTTAGGAGAGATTCCCGTGTGAGCTTGTTTATAAGACTTTGCTCTATGTATGCTTTTCGAAGTTATACATCTAAGAGACGCCATAATTTACGAGCTCTGTGCTCTCGCCCTCCTCGAGAGGTTCGGATTTTGTATCCTGAACTTCGAGAAGCGACAATTGGGACGTAACTAGTCTGTCCTTGCATGTCAAGCACCCAATGCATATTCCATGTCTATCATGTACGCCAAATCAAAAGCTCGGAAGTATCCCATCCCGTTCATCGATAAGCCCTTCCTTGGTCCCCTGCATCACAAGCGGCCACGCAGCCAAAGCATAGTTCGATCTCCTCCTCAAGATATAAGGAACAGTAATCCCCTCAAACCGCGGCAAAGACTTCCCCGCGGGACTGAACGCATGCAAGAAATACGTCTGGCTAAAATCCATCTCCCAGCTTGCCCCCTTGGCCCGCTTGTTCCATCTGTCCAGCGCATCGAGCGTGGCGACGTTGGCCTGCTCGCCCAGCGTGACCAGCTTCTCGCCGGGCCGTCTCTCGGAGAACAAGTCGTAGGTGCTCCTCTCGTCGGACCAGTCCGTGGGCGCGAAGGCCTTGTAGTCCATGATGAGCACCTCGCCGGGGACGTAGGCGATCCTCTCGGCGATGGAGGTGATGAGGCCGGTGCTGTGTGTTTGCCGCTCCCCCGTGAAGACGGTGGGCATGTCTTGTATCATCAGCTGCACGAGCGCTGAGGTTTTCTTGGCCATGAAGCAGCCGTTGTTGATGTTCCCGTCGACCTGCCGTCCGACGATCGCGGCGAATCCCGCACGAAGGAGAGGTAAGGGAGAGCGTAATGTCAGGACGTCCCAGTCGAGATAGATTCCGCCATATATCGCCATCTGCTCCATGCGTATGAAATCTAATTTGTGTTCGATGAAGTCAAAAGGTAGGCCGTTGGCGGTCGAGGTTGGTGGAGTGATATGGTTGATCTTGACCGTATCCGAGAATGTGGTGAGGATCTTTCGGGTCCATGATGAACCATATCTAATAGCTCGATGAACCTCGCTTTGGCTGTAGTCTGTATGAATAAAGATTACGGATGGTTGAATGAACTGGTAGGCTGAGTACATGCAGAGAAAAGACTGGAATGAGAACTCCATCTCAGACTCCTCAGCTGGTTTCAGTGTAATGAGGTGGACTATGCGAGGAATTTCATCATGATATGTGTGCTGTTTGGCTGGTTCGAGGACCCCCCTCAGAGCTGTCCCATGACAGGATGGCAGGCAACCCACCAAGAGCAGGGCCAGCATGCTGAGAACAGACACATGCTTTCGACGTGACATCTGTCGAAGGGGGGCACTCTGAATAGATTTGCGTTAAACGCTATTAAATGCGTGTGGTGAGCACTGGATAATGATCAGGACACATTTGGGTTTGCGTGTCGAAAGAAATATGTTAAATGTAAACAAAATCCTTCACGCGAAATAAATCATCAAAAGTACACATCCCTTACCAAGGGTTGGAATGTTGGAATGTCGGTGTCTCGGCTCGATTTGACCACAAAACTGAGGCGAGAGTTAACCTATCTTGAAGGGCAGCTCAATAGGCCCCTGGCAACCACCTGCTCAGCTCGCTCACCTGGTACCTATACCGCACAGCATGTGAGGCGCCGACGAGAAGACAAGGGCCGGTACAATTTCATGGTCGTTAAACACACGAAGTAAAGTGCCCGGATGCTGTTCGGGGGGGGGGGGGGTGGATATGATGATTGACGGATAAAATGCGGCGATGATTAGTCTGTATATATTCAACTCCTGATAGCCTTTATGGAAAAGAAAGAAAGGAAATTGCAAATATAAACGGCGTGTCGTTTTGCAAGCAATGATCTAGGTCGACAGCTTATTCTCCCGAAGCCCACCTCCCTTAACAGCAACAGCAGTCATCAACGCCCTTGATGCAAGCCTCGCAGCACTCGCAACAGATGAAACAGGCGCAGCTGAGTGGTTTTCGGTTAGTAAGGATGGAATATAAGGACATTCCGATTTCGATAAACATACAGATCGACTATCGAGACGTTAGTTAACACGCCAGATGATTGGGAAAATTAGAATGATGTTTTCATAGGGTTACTCACATATAAGACCTCCTCCCCTGAGACCCAGACGTGACTGGATTGATTTAGGCTCGGTTGAATTCTATACCGGCCAACAGTTAGGAAGAGGCTATGCCCCATAGCATGGAAAAAAGTAAGCAAGCAGTCCAAAACTTACCTCGTCCTGGGGTGGCGACGGGGCTGTGGACTCCATCTCAATGTCAGCGGCTGGGCGCGGTGCCATCTGTGCCTGAGAGTGGGGTTGCGACTGAACGGGCGACATGATTTCAGTGATTTATGAGGATATATCTCTTTTTTGGGGGAGGTAAATGTTGAAGATGGCTGTATCTGGTTCAGGAAGAAAGACAAGAAGGACTTGAGCCTCCCAAAAATTCAGCAACACGAAAAGACCGAGAAGCTTCGAAATATAAAGCAGGTTGAAGGGAGAGTCGTCTTTACCTGAACGGCTATTCGGCATTGACCTGAAGCAAGATAAAACAAGCTTTCTGTCAACCCACTGTAGATCTAGAGGGGCCCGCCAGCGGCTCTCGGTGCTAGAGCAAGGTCCAGCCAATCTGCGCGTCCTCTACTGGGCCGTCCCAAGGTCATTGATTTGGTTTTTGAGGCTGGCCGCCTCATTTCATCTCTACGTCATTACATGAATAAAAGTTGCACGGCAAGGGATATAGCTGCGTCTCTGGGCAGCCCACTCGGTTGGGGTCGCAGCAGCATCCTCGTATTCAAGAGGCACAATGCTACGTCGTTAGCTAACGCTCCATTCACAGGCATAGTACCGAAGATCCTGAACCTATCTGCCAGGACCACGGCTTCCGTGGTCGGAGCAGCGAGAGGGATTGCTACATGCAGGAGGGGGTGAAATTGATTGATATCTACCTTGGTATGCAGTAGGCTAATTGATTCTTGGCTCAGACGTATACACAAGTCGATGCACATGCAGGACAAATAAGTAACCCGGCCCGGAGACAATTACGTGACGATAAGTAAAATGTCCTCTGCGCCCGAAGTCTGTGTCTTTCCCGGTTCCTGAGAAGGGTGCCTGCTTAATTACTTACTCAAGGATCTACAATATGCAGCTCATAAGCCTCATGTGCACCTCGCATAAAGCTGCAGATAAACATTGACACCCTGCTAAGCATGTAGTTGCTCGTGATAATTTCAATTCGGAGTGACAGGCCTCCTAAGTCGGTTCATGTAAGCTAAAAAATCTGAAACATCTCATCAATTAGCTATTGGATGAGAGATTCGACCATGTCATTGTCACCACAGTCTGCTAATTTACTTGTTTGGCAACTTCTCTCATGCAAGTCAAGCCGAATCCGAACAGGGAAAAAAAGAAGAAGACCCGAGAAGAAGGAAAGCTTCTAGATGTGGCGCAAAGGCTCCCTCCCTCCTTGATTCTCAGCTCATGGTCAAATGCGGCACTTCCTCCCATCTGTTTGGAATCTTCAGAAGTGGGTGTAGTCGATCCCAATACTCCATGCAGTCAATCAGGACGTGATGCTGCCTATGCACCTTGATGTCCACGTGCCATCAACACCGCTCCCATCTCTATTCACCCAGGGGGGTTGTATCCGAGCCCCACCTGAACCAACACAGTTCTTCTCACCCCCTCCATCAGCAGTGTCCCTTTTTTCCTTTTCTTTTCTCCGCAGCGCCCAAAGGTTCAATCTAGTGTTTTGGATAAGAGGTGCATCATTCGATGGTGCGTGCACCGGCTACCACGGAAGCACGCAGTGTATTCCCTGTCCTGGTGGCCTGAGCTACGTTAATTAGTCGTCCTGCGAGAACAAAAAACCGGCGGGCCACAGAGCTGCGCCGCTGCCTACAGTTGTCTAGTGCTGATGATGGTGGGCGCTGTGCTTACTGGCTTCCTTAGACTGGCTACTGCAAACGGGTTAATCTTCTTTGTAGCAAAACAGAGCAATGATGTTCGCATGAAATATATGCTCTCTACTACAAAATGCCTGATAAGGCACCGGTGTGCCTTGCCCCGGGCCCCTTCTTCGAAGACAAGGAGACCATGAGGAATTATTATGTAGCATTGGGAGGATCAATTTAATGCCTTGTCGACGCATGTTGGTTTTCGGTGCAGTAAGACGCCAGCCCATCACCCAAGCGACAACGTTGGAACTTGTACCCGCATAGACACCCCCGCATGCTTCTTGGCCTAAACCAGGGCAAAAAACATGGTCGCCTGTTCAGCTCGTTAGTGGTGATCACTCTAGGAATACTAGTCCACCCCCCTGGTGCTGGATGCAGATGCCGATTCTCTCCTTCATCAATGCTCAAAGTAATATCAAGTGATGCATGCGACTCTGTTATGACATGTAAAAGCGGAATGTGTTTGTTGCACTGGAGCCAGTCTTGAAACGCTCATCTCCATGCGGAAGGCCAAGAAAGTCATTCCCACTCCTTGAGCGAGTACAAAGCTACGTCGGTCCATAGTATTTTTAAGGCCAGGACAGGACCATGCCGGGCGATCGCCAAGTGTGGAGGCTTACTACCTACCAACCTTAAATTCCGTGGAGCGCTATCTTATTTGGGAAGGTCGCATAATTGTGGCTCGCATCATCAATATAACGCGTAGTGATGTACATTGTACGTTATGGAAATGGGTTTGTAAGAGAGAAAAGACAGCAGGAGGAAGACCTGGATGTTTGGATACTTCCGCCTCGGAAGTTCGGGGGCTTTTCACAGTGTAAGTAAGCAAAGAATCCTGAGTATAAATAAGTATCTTCTTCCTCCTACTTGAGTGAGTGAGTGTGTGTGTGTGTGTGTGTGTGTGTGACTGGATCTCTCTGCCTACCTCCTCCCCCTCCCCCTCCTCCTCCTTCTTGGTAGCAATAGGCTCTTCCTCCTCCTCAAGGCTACCATCAACATGCGTTTCTTGATTGCCGCGGCCTCAGCGGCCATCCTGCTGACTTGCTCGGCAGCCCCTGCAACGTCGTCGAGCAAGCATGTGCTTCACGAGAAGCGAGAGGGACGACCTCACTCGTGGCAGAAGCGGAGTCGTGCCGATGCTGAGCATGTCATGCCTATCCGGATTGCCCTGCGTGAACGCAACATTGAGAATGCCGAAAAGTACATTTATGATGTTGCCGATCCCAGGTCGCCCAATTTTGGTGAGATAGATGCTTTTCATTTATATAGTCTTGAACATATCTCTCTATTATCAATCTTGGCAGAGATGCTTTTTCTTTCTCTATTTTTTTTTGTTCTTTTTCTTCATTTCTACAAGTAGATCAAGACAATGTGGCTAATCAGCAATCATGATATGGCCAACAGGCAAGCACTGGTCCGCGGAAAAGGTTGCGAATACATTCGCTCCGCATCCAGAGACCAAGAACACCGTGATGAACTGGCTCGAGGAATCTGGCATTGAGAAATCTAGGATGTCACTCTCGACAGGTATGATTGATCACCAACTATGTTCCTGTTGAGGGCTCATGCTTTATGCACTTGCTAACGTTTATATTTCAGGGCACAACTGGGTACAATTCGAGGGCACGGTAGAGGAGGCAGAAAGGCTCTTTGCAACAGAGTACTGGCACTACCAGCACCTCGAGACGGGCGGATCTCGCCTGGCCTGCGACCACTACAGCCTCCCCGAGCACATCCAGGAGCACGTCGACTTCGCCATGCCCACCATCCAGCTCGAGGGTCTCCAGCCCGTGGCCAACGCCATCACCAGCCGTGACCTCATGACCGAGATCACCGACGGCGCCGTCCTGGGCACGTATCCCTGCGGCGAGCTGGTCACCATCGACTGCCTGCGCGCCCTGTACAACTTTGGGCCCGGAAACACCTCGGCAGCAGGCAACAAGATGGGCATCGGCGAGTGGGCAGACTACCTGTACGAGCCGGACCTGCCCATCTTCTTCAAAAACTTCACGTCGCCGCAGATCCCCGCCAACGTGACGCCCGAGTTCATCTCCATCGACGGCGGGCTCACGGCCAACCTGACGACCGTCTCGCAGGACTCGGGGATAGAGTCTGCGCTGGATTTCCAGTCTGCTTACTCCATCATCTACCCGCAACAGCTGAGGCTGTACCAGGTTGGGGATGGTGTGAATGTCGACAGTGTGGGCACTTTTAACATCTGGCTGGATGCTCTGGATGCTAGCTATTGCACGTATGAGGGTGGAGATCAACCTTATGTCGGTGAGTTGAATCAATTACGTCGGAACTCTGTGTGGACGTTACTACAATCACGTCACGGCTAGAGAGGAGAAACAGGACAAGGAGATAAAGAGAGAGAAAATAATAACTGACACTCGAGAGACAGATCCCGCATATCCTGACCCGAATGACAACGAGGGTGGCTACACAGGACCGCTGCAATGCGGTGGCGCTCCCATCTCCAATGTCTTGTCAGTGAGCTATGGGCAGATCGAAGTAAGTCAACACAAGATGGCCACTGAGTCTCACTACCCAACAGAAGCCACTGCTGACGTATTACATCGTTCCCAGGGTGCCCTGCCATACTTCTATCAAGTCCGTCAGTGCAACGAGTGGATGAAGCTCGCCCTGCAGGGCGTGAGCGTCTTGTTCGCCAGCGGAGACTCGGGCGTGGCCAACAGATACAATGCTGGCTATCCCAACTCGTGTCTGAATTCCGAGGAGTTATACGTTGATATCAACGGCACTCGCTACTCTCCGTCGTTCCCTGGAAACTGCCCATACATCACCACAGGTGCGTCTTCCTGAGCTCCTCCTTTACCTCTCTTTCTATCGTTTGAGTGCCTTCTTGCTAATCACTAGAAAAAAAAATCCAGTGGGAGCCACACAGCTCATCACCAATGACACCAGCGACGGAGAGTCGGCAACAACAGACTTCGGCTCCGGAGGCGGTTTCTCCAACGTCTTCCCCCTGCCTTCCTACCAGAGCACCGCCGTGGGCAAGTTCATGGAGAAGTACGCGCCCGACTACGGCCCCAATGTATACAACGACACGGGCAACGCGCGCGGGTTCCCAGACGTGTCGGCCGTCGGGTGGCAGGTCGTGACGGTCTTCAACGGCTCCACGTACGGCGTGGGCGGCACCAGCGCCAGCGCGCCCATCTTCGCGGGCATCGTGACGCTGCTGAACGAGGACCGCATCGCGGCGGGCAAGGGGCCCATTGGGTTCCTGAACCCGACCTTGTATGCGAACCCGGATGCATTTAATGATATTACTATTGGGAACAACGCGGGTTGTGGCTCGGGCGGGTTCAATGCCACGCCTGGGTGGGACCCCGTGACTGGGCTGGGGACGCCTGATTACGAGAAGTTGAAGGCAGTCTTCCTGGCTCTTCCTTGAGGTACTTTTGAGGTGTCTTTGAAGAGGAGGCATGGTCGGAAGACAAGTATATAATGAAGCCTGTATTGAGGAATGAATCGATATGGCCCCACCACTTTGCATACTGCTTGTCTTGGTTCACTTTGCACAGGATAAGAGGTGTAATTGGCAGTATTCGGAGTGAGATTGCGCGCACTTTCATTGGTGTCCTGCCTTGTAGAGTCCCTTTTACCTAAATCCTTTCAACCTCAGTCTCCCAGCTTCATATGAGCAAACCACACTGTCCATCCACCTCCAGAATATCTCCTACACCCACTCTAGTCTGTATGTATATATGAACGTCTTTGTGCGCCGTCAAAGGCTCGGGGTTGGCGGGTGGTGTCGTTCTCCGCATTACGGTGGGATGTAGCTTGGAGCAAGGTGACCTGTCTAACATTAGCTATGAATATTAATACTTCGCAGCCCGAATGCCGTGATCATACGCCGCTGAGAAATCATCACCTTCAATCTCATCCATGCGAATTGATACGACCTGGAAGAAGACATCTCGGCCGAGAGCCGGTATTGAGACGAACTGGACATGTATGTCAATCGTAGAATGGTGCTGCCATGAGAATGGACGACATGTACTTACCAGAATTGATCAATCAAAAGGTTGACCTGCTGTGTTAAGAGTGGACCGTTCGTGATTCCGATGGGGGGCGGGGGGGGGGGGGGCTGGTACTTACAGGACCTTCAACGAACTACCTCATCGCATGGTACTCAACTCGTGGTCGAGATTCTTCATCTCTTCGCAAATCGGTGATGCCTTCAAGCTGCCGCCATACCTGATCTGCAATTGAAGACAAGAAGCAAGAAATGTAGTACTCACAAGAAAGAAAATGTTGTCGTCTTGAGAAGGCATCTTGGTGTAGTCACAAGACAAAATCCAACGACTGCGGCCCAAAAAAGGACAGCGCCCGAAGACACAGTATGTGGCCTCTTTGGCAAACCCTCGGAGGGTAATTACCTCCGCATAACAACAATACTGGTCCCACAATGCTTAATTGTCTTCGCGGCAAGACTGGTGGCGTCTGTCGGTGACCTGTGATTCCCTTACACCGAAGTGAAGGGCAGGCCCCTACTGGAAAACTGCCCCTTCAAGCCGGTCAGTCCGTTCGGCACAACGCAAATGAGCTTCCCCTGTGCAAAATAACCCGCTGAACCAAAAGGCACCAAAAACGCACGAGTCGGCATACGTTGTGGTGCATGGTTGGTGCAGAACAGGCGAGCGGGCTCTTTCGAGTCCGCAGGGAGTTTTTTTTTAATACACCTCCCCAGCCCCGTTACCTGTCCTTCGACGCAGACAACAGCGGGCCTAAGCAGGTAAACTACCCTTTCCAGGTAAAAGACGACAGCATCCCAAACACACCAGCTGCTGGACGCAGGTCGGCCGGAGCGGATAAAAATTTGTTGGTGCGGGTTGGAACAGCCCGACCTCACCGCGATGAAAAATTTGCTGTCCGAGAGGTCGTGATCCCATAAGGTGTTTTTTTCGAACCTCCCCGCCGAAGCAGAGAGAGACGAAAAAGTCCAGAACGCTACAGGGACTCTCGGGTGCAGCCCGGCCTGGTTGCTTTGTGTCCTGGAGAGACGATTGTGCCATTCCCCGGAGGTGATACCGCGCGATGCAGAGACACCGCCCTCCACAGCCTCGCAGAGTGCCCCGTCTGGAACGGAACACTCACCCCCGTGGGATGGGATGGGTGTGATGAGCCTGTACTCGGTTTTTGTAACACTCAAATGAGGCAGTTGGATGGGGCCGAAGCCTCCTGTCAAGTGATGGCGGTTATAGTTGCTGTGTTGTCGATGTGCTGTGCTGTTGTCGTTCCCTAAATGTTAGCATGGCAATATCTGTGAAGACACTGGATGTTAGTTGTTCGCTGATGTCAAATTTGATGATAGGGTCAGTGTGATCTGAGGGCAGGGTGTCAAGGGCTTGCCCATGTTTTTGGTCTTCATTCAACGCCACCTTACGCGTGGCAGCAGCTCTAGGGCAGGTCTTTGGATGACGCGTCTTAGGAAGATGGCTGAGGCAAAGGTGACGCGTGGGATATGATAATACTTACCGAATCATTGGAATAGGGACTTGCTGTTGAATCTCTGTTGGTTGCTTGGTGTTGCTTTGATGGGTCAGCGCTCAGGTTCAGGTCAGGCTATGGTCGCCGCAAGCAGCTGCAGGCATGGAGGCAGCTTGAAGGGCGGCGCAAGGTCGATTGATTTGTTGTTTCTGAAGTTGAGGCAGTCAGTATCGAGAATTCAATAGAAATATTAATCCTAGGATGCTGAGTATGCTCACTGGAGGCATGCATGGAGATAAGCTGCTCTAGGGATCATCTGATCGGCAGGTAGCAGAAATGAGGATGAGGGAACGGAAAGGTTGTGTTGCTGGCGAGTCTGCGATGGGAGAAGGAACGGTAGACGCGAAGACTGATAGATGGTAAGATGATGGATGGAGAAGGTGGATGGAAAGGTAGGTGGATGGAAAGGTAGGTGGATGGAAAGGTAGGTGGATGGAAAGGTAGGTGGATGGAAAGGTAGGTGGATGGAAAGGTAGGTGGATGGAAAGGTAGGTGGATGGAAAGGTAGGTGGATGGAAAGGTAGGTGGATGGAAAAATAATTGGGTTGGGAGACCTGGGGAAAAGACGCCAGCAAGGGTACGAGAAGAAGTTGGGCTTGAGGCCGCTGGATGTGGAAATAGGATCTGAGAATCAAAGGAAAGGGTATAGAGATGGGAGGAGAGGTGCGTGAGGATACGGTCAGCAGGATTTAGGAGAAGCAGGTGGGAGAAGGAGGTGGGAGAAGGAGGTGGGAGAAGGAGGTGGGAGAAGGAGGTGGGAGAAGGAGGTGGGAGAAGAAGGTGGGAGAAGGAGGTGGGAGAAGCTAGGAGAAGGTAGGAGAAATCAGATCAGGGCAGCTTGCAGACGACGCGGTGAAAGTTGCAGACGCGCCCTCGCGTGGCCGAAATCAACAACAGACCTGCACGCGTTGAGAAGCCTGCCACAGGATCTCAACGCCCTCCACTGTGCAGCGGCAAAGCCATGAGAAGAAGCACAAGGTCTGGCAGGTCTGAGCAAGGTGTGTGCGCCCTTAGGAATTAGCGAGGCACTCGCACGCTGTCTTGTGGCCAGGCACCCTCAAACGAGTTTGAAGTTTCTATTCGAGGTTGGATTGAGAAGAAATATTGAATGATGACTTACCTCATATTCGAGAGATTCCTGTGATTCGAGTGGCCCTTGATGAAGTTGACCTGTGATGCCAAAACAACACGAAGTTCGTTGTGATCTGAGACCCCGCGATCAGCCAAAACAAAGTTTTTCATCTGGGAGAGAGCGGTGGTAGATAAACATCAAAACAGCCTCCTCAAGTCACTCACCTGTAGAATACAGCTGTGGACGATTGCTCGAGACGCAAGTTGAGGAGTTGCCTGCATGTAACAAGGCTCGATCTGCTTGGAGGGTAACGCGAGGCAGGGAAGGAAAAGAGAGAGCGCGAGAAGAATTGGGAGAGAGACATTGAATGATCTCAAGGAACTTAGAAATACTTGAGCGTGACGTATTTATGGATTTTGAGGAGAGAAACCATGCTTTGCTGTTCTTGGGGCTGTTGCGTGTAAGGAGGAGGGTGGTTTGTATGGAAGGGTTGGGGCTCGACGTGTTGGGAAGGTTGATGCCAAAAGAAAGGAAATAGTACGAGAGATGGTGCTGATCTTGCAGATGGAGGTGTTGAAAAGTTGACTGATTGCTTATCGAGTTCAAGAGTCATCTTCCTGTGATATTTACTGACTGATTTTAAGCAACTTGGTGGTGATTCTGGCGAGATGTCTACAGGGTTAGGGTCGGTGTAAGTCAGCACCGAACGTAGTGGAGGGTTTGTCTCCTGGGCACGCTGGCTCCTAGAGAGGGGACCTGAATTGCAACCTTCAGACCAACATCTGTGACCAACCTCGTCCCTTGCGAGCTGCTACATTGCCAAGCGAACATTTGAGAATCATTGGCAGGTGTCTTATGTGAGCCCATGACATTTTTTGAGGAGATACGGCTGATATCTACCTATCCACAACACTCTGACTGTAATCTGTTTTGCCGACAACCATTTCGTAGACCTCGACTAAGAAATGTCCACGAGCATCCTAAGAGATCATATTCGCGCCTCCACCAGGCAAAATGCGAGATGCTACATTCGGTAACAGGGACTTGGGCCTGCAGCCTGGTCTCCATCAACCACTCGTTATCGTGAGGCAGCCGCTGCGTCTTGGCTGCTCAAGGCACCCGAACGACATTATTGAAGTTGCGAAACTAGGCCGCAGTCCCGGGCCATGTCAGCAAGCTGTGAGAGGCGCAGCTGGCGGCACAACAAGTCGATGAGGCCTCACCCGTTCCACCTCAGCCATTCCAGACAAGTGTTAGCGCTGATGTCAGAAGTGTTACTTTCTAGAGAGAAATTGCTATATCTTTTCTTTATTAAAGGTGGCACCAGCGACCCAGAGTCTCTCTGGCAACCTCATTGCCTTTCGAACAACCACATCCAAACCACTGTACTTGCTTCTACTAGGACATATCAAAAAGCCACTTTAATCATCATGCAAATTCCATATAACAACGGTAGCCCAGAGCCGTACGGCCAGCCAAATGGGCCCCGCGGGTCCTCGCCTTACTCCCAGTCGCCATCTCATCACCACACTCCTTCCCAACCCCCATACGGTCCTCCTTCCCAAGGTTATGGGCAGCAGGGTTATCAGCCGTACACGCCGCCGCCTCAGCAGACGTACGGTCGATACGACGACTATCAGCCGCCGGCACAGTATGGAGGACCTAGGCCCTCCCAGGGCCAATACGAGCCGCCATATCAGAGCCACTCGCCTTACTACTCTCCCGGCTCACAGCCGCCAGTTCAGCAGGGTGCTGCAGCGGACTACTTGAGCCAGGGACAACAAGGTCCTCCTCCTCCGGGCAGTAATTCTGAGGAGGACCGTGGAGTGATGGGTGCTCTGGCCGGCGGAGCAGCCGGCGCCTGGGCAGGCCACAAAGTCCACCACGGGTTCCTGGGGGCTCTAGGCGGTGCTTTTGCCGGCCACAAGCTCCAGGACGCCGTGCAAGACCACAACAAGCACAAGAAGGACGAGGAGAAGTATCACAAGCACTCACCCTCCCCGCCTCCGCAGCACCAACAGCAGCAGCACCAGCACCAGCAGAGGTCTTACGCAGGCAACTTCACGGCATCATGTACGCAGATGAGCCTGGACGGGGACTTGGATCTCATCGCGTCCTGCGGGCGGGTCGACGGCAGTCGAAAGTTGAGCTCCATCAGCCTGAACCGCTGCCTGACGAACGCGGATGGGCATCTGTACTGGGAGAGGGACGGGAACTTTGCTGCGTCGGCGAGGAACGTGCGCCTCGTGGACGGGGGACGGGTGCTGGAGGCTGAGTTGAAGAACTGTGGGGGACAGTGGGTATGGGATCGAATTGTGCTGGATGAGAAGATCTCGAACGACAACGGGAACCTGGTGATGCTCTGAAAGCTCACGAAGACCTATGGTCTGAGATCCTTTGGGGACAGGAAGTCGTCAGCGCGGGATCACTTGTATCAGGTCGAATTGTATAGCGTTCTTCACAGGCCTCCAATATACTCAATATACTGGCTAACTGTGATTGTGGGGCTCTCAGTGCTTATTTATAGGTGCATGGCGCTGTAGCGTTGTGCTGTGATGCGCCATAGCTGCTGCTACCGCTGCGGCCGCTAAACTGTTTAGCGACGTCATGTGTTACTGAGGGCTGCATGCTGCATTATTGCACCATCTCGCTGCTGGCCAGCTCGGTGGCTTTTCAACCACATGACGCAACCACACACAAACACAAATCGATGCTCAATTCGCAGACAGTGCTGGCACGTCGAGTCTATCACTGTCTTGTTGTTGCAGTCTCAAAAAATCCGGTAGAGATGCCAGCGAAATAGCAACCAAGAACCGTCTGCACGAGTCTTCCTGCACCTCGCCTTATCTTCAAGAGGAGGTGAAGTGGGCCCTCGACCCCGCCTCATATCTCTGGCATGAGCTTCGTTGTTACTCAAAGCGTTGAAACCACAACTAACAGTCTCATCTACGAGGGCACGTGGAGCTCGTTCGAACCATATCTTGGGCCGACCTCTCTGACACAAGCGCACCCGTTCCTTGACACGAAATGCCTGCGGAACCAGACCCTGCGCAGGAGCCCCTCCTCGGATCTCCCAGCAGAGAGGCTGGGTATGGCGTCCATAACAGCAACAAGGCCCATGACACGGCTTCTGGCGAGGCCAAGATTGTGCATTTTTCTGCCGGTGACGCAGAGGATCCCCGAAACTGGCCACGGTGGAAGAAATGGCTTATGATCGGACCTATTTTGCTGATCGACTTGTCCGTGAGCTGGGGCGCATCGGGCTTCTCACCGGCGAGCAAGAAGTTCGCCCTCGACTTTGGCCTGCCAGCCGGCATGGGAACGCTGGGTCTGTCTTCATACGTGCTCGGCTTGGCTTTTGGGCCCATGACACTGGCGCCGCTTTCAGAGGTTTGTTGTCACTGGTGGGAGAGAATTGTTACCTCAGGTGTGCTCTTTGCTAACTCTTGTTGCGTGTGCCCAGTACTATGGACGACGCCCCGTCTATATCTACTCGTACTTCATCTATCTATGTCTGCTGGCTGCGTCCGCCGTCTCACCTAACCTTGCCGTTTTCCTCCCCGTCCGGCTGCTGTCCGGCTACTTTGCGTCTGTTACGATTGCCAACTTCGGAGGTACTATCGCTGACTTGTATCACCCTCACGATACCGGCCCTGCTATGTCTTTGTATTTATGGGCCGCGACGTGCGGCTCGCCCAGCGGATTCTTCCTCATGTCCTTTGTTGCTCATTACAAGGGCTGGAGAGACGTCTTCTGGGCTCTGTTGGCCATCTGCGGCACCCTCTGGGCCATCATGACGCTATCTCTGATCTACTGTGGAGAGACACGGCACAGTATCATCCTCGAGAGGAAGGCCGAGCGAGAGCGGAAGTCAAGCAGTCCGGGTGAAGCAGTCGACATCCCAGAGCACTTGCGGAAGCGGAGTGTCAAGCAACTCCTTCAACTCACACTGTCCAGACCATTCAGGTTCCTGGGAACCGAAGCGATCATCATGTTTGCAGCTTTGTATAACGGATACCTGTACGGGCTGAGCTTTCTCTTCAACACGGCCTTCACGCTTGTTTTTGGCCACGGACATGGCTTTCACACCATCGGAATTGGCGTGTGCTTCCTGGGTCTTTGTTTCGGGATCAGCCTCGGCCCAGTTACCAACATCTTGCAGGAGAGGTACTATCAGCGCATGGTACATCAGTCTGGTGGCAAGAACGTCCCTGAAGCTCGGGTCCAGCCTATGGGGAAGATCGCAGCTATTCGTGAGTCAATATTTCTTGATATTTCTTCTTTTTTCCCCTTTTGAGGCAAGGAGGCTTCTAGCAGGCTGACAGAAAACAGTTCTCCCAGTATCCCTCCTTTGGTTTGCTTGGACGACCGATCCCAGCATCCATCCCATTGTGCCTGTCCTCGCCTCAGCACTCTGGGGCTGGAGTTTCTATTCACTGATTCTCATGACCTTCACATACACTGAGGATTCGTACAAGCAGTACTCTGCCTCTGCGCTAGCAGGCATTGGTCTCATCCGGAATCTGTTTGGAGCAGGCTTCCCGCTGTTTGCGCATAGCCTTTTTACGAATTTGGGTTACGAATGGGCAGGCACGCTACTTGCTGGGCTTGCGCTGGTTCTTGTGCCCATACCATTTGTGTTGAGTCGATATGGGCGGCTCTTGCGGGAGAAGAGTCCTTGGGCGAGGGAGCACATGGATGACCTGGAAGATGAAGACGAAGCCGGACCGTCTGCTGCCGCGGGTGTGGGGGCAGCCTGATATTATCATTATATTCCTCCTTGCATATCTGTTTTGCCTTTTCTATTTCATACCTTTCTGCCTTGCAATTTTGGATATCGTACACACGGTGCCTTATAGGCGTCCAAGTTAGGCGTCTTAATGGTCGACTACCAGTCCATCCGACTCTGGTGGTCCTTGGTAGACTGAGTCAAGATGTTCGTGTCAGCTTCAAAATTGCAGCATGTGCCTGGGTCGAAGGTGATTGTTTGGAGGGAGAGGATGAAGAAGTTGCTTACCCTTGTGAGCATAAACGGCATACCAAACGGCACTCAGAGCCATGAAGCCAAAGAAGACCACAACCGCATAATTCATGCTGACGTCTGTCACTGGCAGCACGGTCGGCATGGAGAACAAGACCGTCTCGAAGAGGATCCACAACAACGCCACGATGTTGACAGTCCAACCAACCAGCCCTCCCATCGTCCACCGAGCCGCATTGACGTCCCTGCGCCGGTGGAACAGCGAGATGGCAATCGGGATCCCATACGACACAGCCAGCGATATGACGCCCACGCTCACAAACGCGAGGAAGGCCGACGAGGAGCCCAGGTTGATCAGGCCCAGCAGCATCTGGATGACCGTCGTCAGGACGAGCGCCCAGATGGGGGTGCCGTGGCGGGTATCGACGCGGGACCACAGGTGGCCGAGCGGGATGGCCTTGTCGCGCGAGAAGGCCCACGTGCACCGGGAGGCGGCAACGGTGATGGAGATGGAGCAGAAGAGGGTGATGATGAGCACGAGGAAGGTCAGGCCGAAGCCGCCGCCTGGCGAGTCCATCACGACACCGAAGATGTAGGGCAGGGCCTGCGCTATGGGTGCCTCGAGGATGTCCTCTAAGGGTGGGAGGGTGGCACAGATGGGTCTGGCAAAGTCATCGGGTCGTATGGTCAGCGTACAGTTTGTTCTAGGTCTCCCTTGAAGAGAGAAAGGGGGGGGGGGGGGACACGTGGGTTGGCTCTTGACTAACATGATGAAAAAGAGGCCTGCGATGCCTCCTACGGGCACACAGAGGGAGATGGCCTTGGGCAGCTTGGTTGTTGGGTCGCCGCACTCTTCAGCCATGGAGGTGATCATGCCAATTGCTGAGAATCTGCGTTCTGGGTTAGAGGATTTCTCAACAGGTCTGGACCTGATGTTATTAAATCAGTTCACTTACGTGTACGCCGAGGGCTAATCAAGACTGCGTGTTAGCAATGACTCTTTTGTTTCTCCAGACATGTTGCCCGCACTCGGGAATATATATCAAAACGTGGGTGACTTGTCATCGAATCCAGGAATGGGACTTACCAGCATGCCGATGAAGAAGGAAAATCCTCCCCAGCCAGAGAGAGATGTGTCGTAGGCGCCCTGTAATATTTCAACTCTTCTTGTCAGCCGCAAGTATTCTCATTCATAGGTATGTCATCTTGATAAGTAGTCGGGAACTTTGAAAGAAATTAAAAAGTCCTACCAAGGTCTCCCGCGCAGAATGTCTCCCCACCGCCGCCTTGGACGACAGGCAGATGAGCGTGATAAGGATGCTAACAGCCGTAAAGGCAGCACAGATGGTATCCACCATCGGCAGGACCTTGTTCCCATACGCGACAATGACAAAGGTGATGAGGCAGATGGCATAAAAGATGAGCAGGACCTGCCAGGACGAGGGGGCCCAGTCCGGGTGGTACAGGGCGACGGTGGCGGCGATGAGCGAGGCGAAGCCGAAGTTGACGGACAGGGTGATGGTCCAGTTGCCGATGAGCCAGGTCCAGCCCGTGATGAAGGACAGCACGGTGCGGTAGCGGGGGCTGGCGAGCTGGAAGGACCAGTAGTACGGGCCGGCGGAGGTCGGGTAGCGGGAGGCGAACTCGCCCAGGGAGAGGGCTACGCACTCGTCGACGATGCAGACGACGACCCAGCCTAGGAACATGGGGAGGGCGCCTGTTTTTTTTTGTTTTTTTCCAAAGAAAAAAAGGGTTAGTAGCCGTAGAGAGAAGACAAGACAGAGGGAGCCTGAACTTTCTTGGAGGGAGGAGGGGGGTTTTGGAAAGGGAAATGACTTGCCTCCGCCGTAGACGGCACTGATCAGAGGACTTCCGAAGCCATAGGGTATCTAAGTGGTGATATAAATCGTCAGAATAAAAATATGCTGTGTTGGTGGATGAGCAGGAGGAGAAGGCACTGAAGAAACCGAGGGGGGGGGGGGGTGGTTCTTGGAACGTTAGATGGTGCACCTGGTTTGGGAACTCACAGCTGCGATGGCCAGCGACTGGAACAGGAGCGTGATCATCGACCGGTTCCGCTGCAGCTCAGGTTTGTACCCCAGGACCGAAAGGTCTTGCAGCTCCGAGACGGTGCCCTTTTCTGGGAACGGGGCCTCCTCATCGCCACCACCGGCCGAGCCGGAGGAGGGTTTCTTTTCCACCACGTCGGAAGAAGCCATGGTTATATTGACTAGTGATGGGCGATGATACGTCACGAGTATCCCCTCTTTCTTACTCTCACTATGTTGTGCGTATAATATGTCTTACTCGCCCTATACCGTGGATGTCTGCAAAAAGGGGAGGGGGCATATAATGTTATTATCAGATCCAGACTTTCCGTCTTCTCTGTAAATTACAACTTCCCGAGGCTGGCCCGAAGATCAGTTACTTAGTCACACCTCAGGGGGAATTATATAAAAGCATATCTACGCCATTTATGGTTGATGCGGCAGAGAGAAAGAGGAGAACGGAGATAAGCTCTTCTTATCTCGTCCTATCATTAAGCATTTGTGTAGATCAAAGGACGGACGGGCCTCACGGAACGAAAGAGGAGGCAGGGCAGATTAAGACCAGGTCCCCGCTGGCCCCCTCTCTCTCATGGATAGTACTCTATCCATGGGTATGGTGGAGGTGGTGGGAGGTGGAGTGAGACACGCAGCAGGGCAGGAGTATTGGGGGAGTGCACTAGTCGTGTATACCACCTCGTTATAGTCAGTCATATACTTAGTTGCTTACTCTCGTAGTACTTTAGTAGTTACAGCCATGATAAAGAACCCGGCTCGCAGGACACTAATAAGCCATGGCGTTCTCTTGGCCTTGGCCAAGAGGTCTGTGTTTTTTCCCTTCTAGGCGTGTTTAAGGTCCCTCGAGCGTTGGCACACAAGTACAGAAGACTGATAGGCAATTTTGCAATGATTGGGCTGTAATAATATTGTAGGTAATAAATTAATTATCAAAGCTGGGAGGGAGGGGGCGTTAGATACGATATAGGTTGGTTGATCAGCTTGCCGAGCGGCAAAATTTACCCTTGGAAGATGGTACTACTTACTAGCTATCTGCTTGCTGGCCCTCCGTCTTTTATTATTCTCAGGGTCGTACGAGCAGAGAAGGGGAGCGAGGGGTTCTTTCTGGGTCCTGCACAGTCTGCATCTATCTGATGAATCATTCATGTGCGTGCGAAATATCTCACTTGGCGGGAATTTATCAATGTTTGCTTTACTTGGCCAATCCACTAAGCTGGCATCACGGCCATTGATTTTAAGCTTTTGAGTGTGCGAGTCCTTGAACCGAATGCATTTGGGAGCTGAGAAGTGGTCACTCCAGTGCTACAAGGGCAATTTCGCGCTTCTTCCTGAAATCAAAATTGACTGCATATCAATAATTCTGCTGACTCCCAATGCTCCAGTAACATGCCATCCATCCGTCCTTTTCCCGATACCATTCACGAGCTGTCCTCTCTTAGCAGAGACCAGCCCGCCCATTACCCTATCCATCACAATTAGAGAAAAGGTGGCCGCGTGGACATGATCAGGGCTGATCGTCAAACGCAGGATTCCACTCCCACCCCCCATGGCTGCCAGGCTCATAACAGAGCTTGGCCTTGCCCGGAAACACAAAGATGAAGATGAAGTGGCCCAAGAGCAGGAAGATGGTCTTGTACAGCTCCAGGCTCCAGGACAGATCGACGGCCGCGGCAACGACCAGACCACCACCGACAGCCAAAGAGCTGCCTGGCCAGCAAGCACGGGCCAGCACGCCCATCTTGACGACGAAGAGCAAGAACCGGAAGGTGGAGGAAGTCGACCGATTCATTGTGTGCATGAACTGATAACAGATCATCTGCAAAGAGCCGAGCCACGTCGTGGGAGGGGCCATCAGGAGAGGAGGGGCGGCGGCACCGTTCACATGACGAATGGGGCTAGTATGTCGGCGCCTGGGAGACATGGCTCGAAACGGGCTCTCTGGGCTCCGCGATGGTGACATGGTGGGCGCCCGGTGCCGGGGCGTGGAGGGCGTTATCGGGAGTTTCTGCAGGCTATTGCGAATGGTCGGTTGGGGTGAGTCGTCCTCCCTGCGTGAGGGCACAAGGTCTTCTTGCGATGCCGACTGTACTGTGGTGCGCTTCGTAGGCTCTGTGATGCGGTCAGAGTGCGGTTCCGCGTTCCATTGGGACCAAGACGCATTTTTACCTGGTACGGGAGTGCTGGGAGGCGCCGGAGAGTCCAGACTCTGAATTCTGCGGCCTGGGATGTTGAGCGAGGCTCCTGACGCCGCTCTCGACATGCTTTCCAGGTTTGTCCCGTTTTTGAGCGCACTTAGAACCTCATTGGCGCTTGGCCGATCCGTGGGGTTGAGTGCCAACAGCTGCTTCAGGAGCATGTAGAGCTTGTCGGGAAGCTCTGGCCGTTCCCGCCTCTCATCTTCGAACCCTTTCCAATCCGTAATCTCGGCTCGCAGCGTATCAATATCTTCTAGCTCCTCGTGGATGGTATTTGCAGCCTGGTAAGGGAGGCGTCCGAAGCACATGAAATAGAGAATCATGCCGAGCGAGAAGATGTCAGATTTCGTGGTAAAGTTCCCATACCTGCCCGTGGCGTCCTGTCGTAGGACCTCTGGCGCGCAGTATGAAATCGTGCCAGTAGAGCCCGTCGACTTACGCACGACATTCTCGGCCTGCACCTCGCCGAAGTCGCTGATGAGGCAGATCGTCTTGCCTCTCTCCTCATGCAAAAGGCAGTTGCTCGGCTTCAGATCGCGGTGGATATAATTTGCTGCGTGCAGATAGGCCAGGCCGGAAGTAATGTCGCGGAAGTATGAGTAAATCTCCTCGGGCAGAAGCTGCGACTGGGCGGACCATGAGTTGGTCGGCTTCTCGGCCTGTCCCTTGGACCGTCGCCGCATCTGCGCCTTGAGCTCCTCCTTGGTGGCCTCTCCAGGAACCCTGCCCACAACCTTCCTCCACAGATCGCCCCCGTTGCAATATTGTTGCAGGATGAAGGCGCAGGCAACGGGAGGGCTGAACCGGCCGAGCTGGACATCTTCCAGCCAGACGTGCCGGTACGAGACTAAGTTCGGATGCGACAACTTGGCGAGCAGCTCGACCTCCAGAAGCACCTTTTCCAGCCATGCATGGTCGTCACCTACAGGGACACGCTTGCATGCAAAGTATCCCAGGTGACAGCCGTCAATCTCATGTCTCACAAGCAGCACCACGCCCTTGCCACCCCTACCAAGCTCGCTCTCCTCGACGAAGAAGGTCTTGAAGTAATTGGGCTGGAACGCTGTCCTCCGGATGCGCGAGCCGTCCTGCACAGCAGGCGTGCTCGACACGAACTCGGCGTCCTGGACCTCGTCGGGCAGGCTCTCGTCGTCATCGTGGAATGGCTGTACTAGCCTGCGGATGGGGCTCGAAGGGGGGAGGTCGGACCGGAAGAAGTCGTTGCCGCGAAGCATGCGGAAGTATTCCGGGTCGACGTATGAGTCACTATCGGAGGAGGCATCGAAGGCTCTGTCGGGCGAGGAGGGCCTCAGCGGTTGGTGGCACGCTGGGCATTCGGTCAGGGCGCGGTCGAGCTGGAGGCGCTGCGAAGAAGGGTCGCGGACGACGACTGCATTTTGGTGACGCCTAGAAAAAGGGAGAGAGGGTGTTAACGAAACTTCAACACCGTAGAGAGGCAGCAGAGACGATAGTACGTCTAGGGGTACTAGACGATTGCATCATCATGAGAGCTTGTGAGACGAGGGGCGAGCGTACAGGACAATCTCGCGACCTCGCGAGTGGTATGGAATCATCGACATCACTGCTTGGCCAGATCAGGACGCATCAGGATGTAAAAGAGAAGCCAGCATTGTGAGAAGGAGCCCGCCGCTCGGAGAAGGCATACGGACAAAACTGCAGAAACGAATGAAGCAGTCAGCGGAGAGAGAAAGGTTGCCGTCTTTGTGTTCTTTGTTGTTGTAGCATGTTCCTGAAGGAAAGTGGGATGTTCAGGAACATTCAAGAATCATCGTCATACTCGGTAGCCTTCGGCTTACACGCCAGGCAATTCAGTGAGTGCAGTGCTAAGCATAATCAGCAGGTCAATCCACAGTGGCAGGGATGGTCGAGTCACGCTATCTTTCCTATAAGCGGGCTGCGGGGGGTGATTCTCTGGAGCAACGCCACTAACCAGAACCCTGTAGGCCTGTGTAGATCATCAAACTAGCACCTGTTGGGGGGCATTACCCGCCTGAGTGGCATCAATTATGTCTACTTAAGTAGGTAAATACTTCAAGGTGAACAACCTCTCGCCTTAGCCCTCTCGTGCTTGCTCATGAAACAACCCAGAACTCTGCACGAGGTAGCCTCTCATGCTTTCTGATCCGACTCGCTGCATCGCGAGACATGTGGACAGTCAACTTTATTAAGGGTCATGAACTGCTTGGTGTCATCGTTCATACTCTTGAACACGACTCCTCGCAGCATATCATCACTATTCTTTAAACCACAATGTAGTTCCCTCCTCTTGGATGACAGTGCACCATCCATCATCTGGAAGTAGACCTATTAGCATACTCGTCTTGTGACCAGCAGTGGTTGTAAAGTACCTTATCTGACCCCACCATCTGAACGTATCCCCACTTGAAATACGGCAGTATCGATGATATGGACAGCAGCATCTCGTTGTCAAGTAGTGACACTCAACACTGGAAGAAGACTGACTACATGATCAGAATCAGTAAGGGCAAGCCGAGTTGTAAATAAGAGAATAGACTTAACTGGTAAACTCGCTAAAGGTAGAGCGTTGGGAAGGACAGGCTCAATCCCCGAGAAAGTCCATTTTCAGCAGAAACTCCTCGATGAGTCCGACCTGCGCAGTATTCTTCGACTGTCTCTTGGCGAGCAACTCATGCTGCATCCTCAGAATATCCCCCTCCAAGCTCGCCTCCGCAGCCCCGCCCCCGGCCCACGACGCGATCCGCTCGCCAAAAGCCCCCAGCCGGTCCGTCAGCCGAGCCACCAGATGCCTCATCAGGGCAATTTGCATCAACACAGCTGCTGTGCGCTGCGGCACAAAGGAGCCCACCCGCATCTCAGACACATCAAAATCTGGCTCCCGCCGGCTGGCGATGGTGACGCGGACGCACGAGGTCATGAGCTGGAACATGCCGTCGAGGATGTCCAGGAGGCGCGTGTGGCACGCAAAGAGGAGGTTGGCCAGCGCCATGTCGGCGGTGCTGGGGTAGAGGTGCTGTTCGATCTCGCGCGCGGCGGGGGGCAGCTCGACGGTGTGCGTGCAGTCTGGCTGGGTACAGGCTGCTGCTGCTGCTGCCGCCGCCGCCGCCGCGCCTGACTGTGGATCTGGAGTCGTGGCGGCACTCACAGCGGCTGGATAAACATCGACGAGCTGCTGGGCGACGACGAAAAAGTCTTCTAGTAGGGACTTGGTGGACATCTTCTCGGCGAGCACCTTTAAAGAGGCCTCTTGCAAGTCGTTTTTGGAGATGTGCAGGCTCGGCCTGAAGGGGAGCCTGGCAGAAAGCGATTCTGCTTCTGCGAGCAGGCCTGTCAACTTTCGCAGGCAGGTAGATCTCGTACTGGCGGGCTCATCAAATGATACATCCTTTGTCGAGCCAAGATGTGTCGTAGGTGGGCGAGACGCAGTTGAAGGCTGGACTAAGGCTGGGTCTTGTTGAGCCACACTCGGGGGCGTAACGGCCGAGAAGAAGTTGTTAAAGTCGAAATTGGCCGCGGTGCTGCCCCAGTCAAACGCACCCGCGAACGGAGACGACACCTGTCCCTCGCCTGCCTCACACATAGCGTCTTCCTCTAAGGATATGATACCAGTAGCAGCCCTGGGGAGCAGCACACTTGTGCCTGGCGGGCTGTAGGTGCATGGGGTGCCGGCCTTGAGGCAGCGAGCGCAGACGATGCTCCCCGCCTGCTTCGGACATCGCAGCTTCTGAGAGTGGCAGCGATCGCAGGCTGCCCGAGTTCTTGGTCGACAAGAAGACATAACTCGCATAAAATAAAAACAAAAAAAGAATATTCTCCTCCCAGGGTTTTCCTTTCTTTTTCTTCTTCTTCTCCCTTTGGATAGTCGGTATTGTGTAGGAGGATGAAAAGGGGACTGGTGGTTAGTAATAAGGCGGTTCAGCTGCATCTGACCAGTCGCATCGGGCTCAGCGTTATCTTCCAATGTGGGCTTAAGTACTTACTTAGTGTAAGTAACGTGTCGAGGGATCCAAATCCTTTCCCCTTGACCTGTCTAATACCACACTTTGATAGCTTTAAGATGCCATACTCACATAAATTCGTCTCTGCCTATAAATAAAACAATTCCTCAAGAAAGTCTATATAGATGTGAAGATGTACAATCTCTTTCTATCGGATACTCCAGTAAGTAGTTTCTGCGTGCGAATTCAGTCTGGACTTTTCAACGAGTTTAACATTAGAAACAAATACATATATACCATTTTATAAATTATGCACAATAGACCAACTTGGCTATGATTTTATCTACCACAGAAGTATTGAAGGCAATTTTGGCTTTTTCTCTCTCTTCACATTGGACTTACAGTGCTGGGACTATAGGATACATCCTACGAAAACAAAGTTATACTTACGCTCTATACTTACCTAGTGTTTGTGTTCGACATCTCATGCATGATTCCTTAAGCAAGTTTGAATATATTCCAATCCTAACCGAGACTATCACAACCTTTAGTCACTTGAGAATACATTTCAGGCTTCTTCTATTTACTGCAGGTAAACCACCAACGCCTCGCTCGCCGCCACAGTAAATGTCGCCTGCCCACCCGACACGCTCGTCGTCTCATACGTCTCGGTGCCCCCCACCACACACGTCCCGTTGGCATAATACTGCTCGCCCCAAGAAGGGTTCCCGCCCTCATCCTGCCTCGACAGCGCATTCGCAGCCGTCAGCCTCTTGGCCTTGACGCTGGACGCGCTCAGGCCCGTGAGCACAAAGGACGTGCTGCCCCGCGTGCCCGAGCCGTCAAAGTAGTCCGAGTTGTACAGCAGCACGCGGAGGGGCGCGCCCGAGGCGTCAAAGGTGACATAGCCAGCGTAGTCGGTGCTCCCGCTGTCGAGGGCGGTCAGGTGCGAGCCCCCGGCGAGAAAAGCGGTGGCGGCGGTGGCGCCGTAGTAAGGGGCGCCCATGTCGTAGCGGCCCCAGAAGCAGTAGTAGCAGTTGCCGATGGTGCCCTGGTGGAAGTAGGTGCGGGTGATGTTGAGGTAGGTGGCGCGGACGGTGTAGTCGAGGGTCCAGAGGGCGGCCCCAAAGGTCGGCGAGACGGTCGCCGCGCCGCCCCCAGAGACGGAGTTGGTCTCGCCCAGGACGTAGGGCTTCCCCACGCTCACGGCGGCTGCTATGTCGGCGGGGAACTGGTTCAGGTTGCTGACGATGTCCGAGTGGCTCATGAGGCTCTCGACTGTGCCGCCGGGGTAGTTGTGGTGGGCGTAGGTGGCGACGTACTGCTTTACTGTTGTGTTCTCCGTCGCGATGAGCTCGGCTGCACCCCATGTGGGCGGCGCCGAGTTCGAGTTGCCCGCCTGGATGATGTCGGTTCTGCCGATGGCGCTGCCTACCTCGATATCCCAGTTGTCCTGCGAGGCGGCGTCTGTAGCTGGCGTCCATGTTCCGGACGCGATGGGCTGGTCATCTGAAGCCCAGTCTGAATAATCAAGACAACCAATCCTCGTGGTCAGCCTTCCGTTCGTTGGGTGGAAATTGAATTGCTCGACGGAACACTTACACTCAGGTTCGTTTCCCAGCTCGATGGCCAGCAGATTTCCCATCTCCGAGACCGCAACCTTGGCAGCAGCAATCGTGTTGGTGATGTTGTCCTTGCCACGATCCAGGCCGAGCACCACGCTGCCCTCATACTTTCCAGCCAGGCTCATGAAGCTGGACCCAAAGGTCAGGCTGTCTGGGGCATCGGTGGCAGCCGCAACGGTGTAGACGACGTAGGCCGACGTGGTGGGATCATACAACGCCCTGTCCTGTGTCGTCCCGCCAATGCGTATCGGGGGCCATGTCCCAGTCAGAGCCTCCCAGTTGGCGAGGCATTGTGTGGTGGCGGTGACATTTGTGAAGTAGGAAGGGAAGGTGAAGAACTCGAAGCTAATAGAGAATTAGTTGCCATGAGACAATTGCTACCTCTTACAGTTGTACGCAGCAGGAGGAGTATCCATCAGGGCTGCACTTACGAGATGCCAACTGGTGCTGGTGCCAACGATGCATATGCATATCCGCTGACGCCTGTCTTGGTAGGCACTGCGAATGTAACGGCCGACACCAGCTGTGCGCCCGTCGCGAGGGCAGCAATGAGGCTGACGACCATGTGTGTCATCTTTCTCTTCCAGGGCTTCTTTACAACTATGTAATGCCCTCACACACAAAACGTCCCTGTATTTTGTCTTCCCGCGGTGCTGGGGCAACGGGAATTTTGTGCTCTTCTTATCCCTACCCAAGGATTAAATTATGAGCCATCACGACGAACGAGAACACCCTCGGTGCTTCCAACCCGAGTGTGACCCCAACAAGCGTCGGTAGAAAACACTTGAGACAACCCATGTCGAGTCTAGTTTTCCCGGGTCTGATGCCTTCATGAACCAAGTCAGTCAGTGCACCACAATAGTTTGGTCGGGGTCGAAAACCTTGGCTGCCATCCCGTTGGCGCGCCAGAGCCACTGTACAGTATTAGGCTCAATTTCCCCTCCTCCCCCCCGTCTTTTGGAGGCGTCTGGTGGAACCCGTGATCATTAATTGAAGCGCGTGGCCTTTGATTGGCGCCCCTTTGTGTCATTCATGCCTTTTCTCCCTTACCCATGGCTTCCGAAGCGGGCCGAGCAGGTCACGAACTGCCGTATTTGTCGACCAAGATTGGTAGGACGAGTTTATAAGCCGCCCTGAAGCTTGGTTGCATTTACACACGCTTTTGATAAAGATAATTCTTGTGAACGGGAAACTGAAGAATGGAGCCTCGGCTCGAGTCTGCGTCCTGCTCTGTTTTCTGCTGTGCAAAAAGCTCTCTCGCATAACTTTAATCTCTCACAAAGCTGTCATCGCCAAATTGGCACACAAACACACAGACACACAAACAGAAGTGCAATTTGCTAATTAATGGGCAGGTAGAGCGGATGATTGACTTCCGCCTCCTCCCAAATTCGCAATGGTCGTGCACACTAGTAGAGCGCCACCTTTTGTGTTTATTGATCCTTCAGCTTCTTGTGTGCTGGGCCATCGGCCAGAACAGCCCGACACATACTCTGAAATATCGACCGACCAGTTTCCTGTCCAAGCGGCCCACCTGGGGTGAACTTGAATATGACTTCTCTCGGAGGTTTTGGTGTTTTGCCCCCGGTCGTGTCGTGAAGCCGGGGCAACAGCACTGAACCTTGCGGGGTTTTTGTGTCGTTCTTTCCATTTTTTTTCTTTTCTTTTTCTTTTCAACATTCTCTTCTTCCTACATTTCAAAGAAGAATGTTACTTCCAATTCCAAAGGCTTCATTCGAAAAGGAGCTGACTGGTCGCCATCAGAGCAGTCTGCACGACCATGAATCCCCCTACTTGGCTGAGCCCTCCAGTGCTGCTAATATTGAACTACAGCCGTTTTCTCATTATTCTGTCAAAGAAAACGTCAACAAACAACTCCTGTCCCAGAGAGCTAGAGCTGGATTTGACGGCAGGAGACCACCGACTCCATACAAGAACACGCCTTCATGAACGGTCTTCATGAACGGTCCTCATCTTTGAGACAATTTCTCGAGAGTGTGATACCCATCTGTTGGCGCGGCTCGACCAAGAAGACATCGGTACCCCAGATGAGGCACTGCTGAAATGCAATGCATGCATGTTGAAACGACTTGATCCGCATAGACACCAGTGGGATCCAGGAAAGATATCTGATGCTTTCCGTATCATGTTTCAGCGCCTTTCTTGTCGGTGTCCCGCCAAGGGAGCGCAAAGCTCTTCCCCAGGACGACCATGCCTGATGAATTTCTGAGTCCTCGGAGGTAAGCAACAGACATCCTGCCTCATCACCTTAAGGATCTCATCTTGAAGGCTAAGAGTCAAACAGAAGAGGCGAAGGCGCTCGCAAGTATGAAAGCAACGATGATTTCCTCCCAAGGTTTATGCCGCTGGGTATTTGAAGCACCTCCGTCGACAAACTCGTCAAGGACAGCGGGGCATCATCACCGCAGGCAATGTCCATTGTTGCAAAGCGCTGGGTCCAAGTCCTGGCTCTCGGGCTGAGGGACGGTCTGAAATCAAGTCTCGAAACCGAACAGGGTCAGTCATGCTTTCTCGTCAATGCCACAACAAATGTGAACAACCACAAGGAGAGGCAAGAACTCTTCTACACATGATCGCCACAAAGGTCGTTGGCCTGTGAAGGCCACCAAAATAGTCAAGGAATGTCGAGTCAGTATTGATGTGGAACTAAGGGAAGGCGGTGTGCGGCGTCCATGATCATACCTCTCAAAACCTCGGACATAAGACCAGGACAAGATATGATAGTCCGGAAGGCTTGTTGAAGTTCCCTGGTGGTGTTATGCCTCGTCATCCATCACGCTTTGCGACAAGAAAAGTCTGAAGGGAGTGTTTGAGAAACTACACCGACTCCTCCAGAAGCCGTTTGAGGGCCACGACGTCAGGCGGAGGACTCGGAATCTTTGGGAGGGGTTGGAGGCTTCAGCCCTCGACCGCTCATTGCCAGTCCTCCCCGAAGAACATCCGCTCGGCGCGGGCCGAAGTGCCAACTTGGGTTGGTCTGTTCTGGGCTGAGGGACGAGCCACGACGAAAAATGACACTGAAAAAGGGGGTGGGATTTGTTTTCCCCCTCAAGGAACCGACGGACAAATTTTTAAAAATAGAAAAACCCGTCTGCCGTTTGGTTGGGGCGGGCCAGTGGCCCTCCTCCTTCTTGTCGGCGGCGGCGGTGTCAAGTTCCGGCAGCAGAAGGGGGAAAGGAAGGGATACCCTCTGTCCAGTGCTGAGGATGCGCCAACCTGCATCGGCCGTGCTAGGAGAATTTCCTCGATCGAGCTTGTCTCCGAGACAGCGGTGGGCGGGATCTGAGGGAATTCTTCAAGGGGATCTGATTATGCCGCGTCGACTGATCGGCATGGGATATGTTATACTTTGACGAGAATTGGAAAAAACCTTGGGAGGAATGAATTCTTTTTGGGCAAATATTCTGCCCATCCCCAGCGTGTTGCTGTCTGTGTCCGTGCATGTGCACAAAGGACGCCATCTGCAAGAGACAGACGCATCGGGCTCCGCCCCCCTATTTTCTGCCACTCAGTTGAGCCCAGCCTCCGTGTCGGGTCGTGAGTTGTATAATCGGGAAGGCCGACTGTCATTGTATTGTTTTTTATATATACAATATATATATTGTATAGCGGGGACTGACAGTAAGCATGAGCTTTCAAGGGCTGGGCGACGGTAAAAGTCGGCCGGAGTTCCACTGCAGCAAACGTCATACAACGATCCAATCTGCAGTTCGGGGGATTTTTAATTCTTAAACACAACTTGACAGGCCAGGGGGCCCGGGATCCGCTGGTGCACCCTCCGAGGTTTTGATACAAGTTGCATTTTACAGGAAAGAAAATCCATGGGAATGGATGACTCAAAAGTTGATCTGTCAGAATTTGGCGTGTGTCGTTCCCGGGCTAGTCTTCCTGTTTAAGGCTCTCGGCCGATCGGGGAGCAGGTCTTCGAAAACAAACCCCCAATGCACAGCCGGTGCCCGACGCATCCGTGGCACCAAGGCGTCCACCGCTGGCGGACAAGAGTCCGGTCCGGCCGGAATGGTTGCTGTTTCAGTCTGATTTTGCGCCCGGTGGACCGACTAAAAAAATATAACAAAGCTGCCTCGGCTTGTGGTCCACTTGGGGGCCCCCAGAAAAACCCGCCCACCGTCCTCCGCGTTGGGCCCAGTAGGCAGGAGAGCATTGATACTGATTGCGCCATGAAACGCCGTGACGATATGGGACATGATTGACCTAGCTTAGCTGGCGCCGGATTGTACATAGTATAATATACGTCCTGAGTCGTCCGCATGAAAGTCGTGCCATGAGTAGTGATCCTCATCTCTCAGACAATCTCTTGTGACGTCGTCCTGCCGCTATTTTGGACAATTCCTCCCCTCCCCCCCAAAATACACATAACAGACAGGCTGAACAGAGGAAGAAACAGCCATGGCCAAAGACACAAGCCTAACGTACGTCTTCGCCAAGAGGCCGACGGGCCAGATCGTGCCGGGGGAGACCTTCCGCGCAGAGACCACGCCTGCACCGACTGAGGCAGATCTGCAGGAGGGCGATGTCTTGCTCGAGACGCACTACATCAGCCTCGACCCTTCGATGAGGGTGTGGCTGAAAGGTAAGTCAACCGCGGTGTGTGGGACGCTGGGTCTAACTGGGCACACTGCTGACCCTCGACAACCACTAGACAAGGCTAGCTACCTGCCACCGCTGCAGATTGGCGAGACCATGCGCAGCGTCGGCGCTGGCGTCGTCCTGGCGTCCAAGAACCCAATGTTCAAGGCCGGCGATTGGGCGACGGGGTTCACCGGCTGGCGGGAGATCGCGAAGCTTGGCCCGCGGGAACTCATGCCTGTAGCACGGCTGCCAGGCGTAGAGATGCCCGACCTGCTCGGCGCCATTGGGCCGACGGGCCTGACGGCGTACCTGGGCCTGGAGAAGATCGGTCTGCCCCAGGCCGGCGAGCTGGTGGTTGTGTCCGGAGCGGCGGGCGCGACGGGCTCGATTGTTGGACAGATCTGCAAGCTCAAGGGCTGCCGCGTGGTCGGCATCGCCGGCAGCAAGGACAAGTGTGCCTGGCTGAAGGAGCTCGGCTTCGATGCGGCGCTGAACTACAAGGACTCGGATTTCCGTGAGCAGTTCATCGAGGCAACCAAGGTAGGAAGATCTCGACTTCTTTTCTGCTGAGTCCTGAGTGTGTGTGTGTGTGTGGCTGGCGCAGCGCTGACTGGATTCGCAGGATAAAATCGACATGTACTGGGACAATGGTGGGTTGTAGCACACAGATCTCATGGGAATGGCTGATGAGGCTGACTTGATTTGCAGTTGGTGGTGAAATACTTGATCTCGCCTTGGGACAGGCCAAGCTTCGCGGCCGTATCGTGGCGTGTGGATGTGAGTAACGAGGAGCAACCGGAGGAGCTGTGAGGTTACTAACACGTTGACAAAAGCTATCAGCACTTACAACGACGAGGGAGACACGGCAAAGCAGACCTTCAGCGTGAGACCGCCTCCTTGGACAGGAACGTGTGCATGAGCCAGAACGCTGACTAGCGACTCCAGAACCTTGGGATGATTACGTCGTTCCGGCTGCGGTAAGATATACAAGTCCTGGTTCAGTGTTCGGTTCATTTGGGCTGACAGTGAACAACAGCATGGAGGGTTTCATCGTCATAGATTATGCAGCAGAGTGGCCAGCAGCGGCCAAGCAGCTGGCTGTGTGGGTGTCAGAAGGAAAGCTCAAGTCCAAGAACACCATTGTCAAGGGAGGCCTGCAGCAGGCAGAGCATGCTTTGGTTGATCTCTTCAAGGGTGTCAACACAGGTAAGGAATTTCCATGTTTCCCTTCCCTGATTGTTTCTTCAGTGTATCGAAGACTGACATGATCCTAGGCAAACTCGTGGTCGAGGTCAAGGAGCTGAAGGCGTAGGGGAAAATTCCGACCTTGCGCAGCAGCAAGCCGCGCAAAACGTGTCATGTTATGTCCTCTGGCACGAGCAATAAGGCTCGGAACAAGCTCAGGACTTGAACCGTAGGATAGGGGATATTCTGATGGCGTCAAAGGAGGAGGCCTGAAACATCCGAATTGATAGGTCGTTGGAGGCTTTTCGTGCGTGATGAATGCGCCAGATAGACAGTCATATACACGCAGACGTGGTGGGCCAATCGTGTATAGACAGTGAAATGAACTTGTCAATGACAGAACAAGCACGTTTGATTGATTGTGGTGAACTATTGTCGATCGATGCTGCGATTGGGTGTCGGCCGGTGGGAAACCCTACAGTAAATTGGTGGTGGCTGCGTACCGTAGGTATCCAGTTATGTACAGACCCCACTTCAGATAGACCCTCCTTGACAGAGACCCCTCTTCCCCGTTCCCACGCAGGGGAGGGGGGGGGGGCCAGTCGCAACTACTCTCGCGTCGCATGAATCTTAATTTTCCGACGACGCGCCGCGTCTTGCCCAGCACATACGTGACGGCCAGCCAATTTGCGAGCACTGCATGTGATGATTGCCAGCCGATCACGCCAGGCAGAGATTCGCGGCTTGCATTCATGCGACCCGAAGATGACTCTGAGTTGATCCTCAACCTGTTGTTGGCCTGACCAAATTCTTGAATACTGTCTTTGCACAATTGTCGCTCGCTTGCCTCTATATTCACAGCTTGCTTGGATCGAAGACATTGGCCACGCAGTCGAAGTCAGAGCTCGTGGTTTCGCAAAACTCATGACAACAGGACGCAACAGCAAATAAACAGAAATACGTTCAAGATGTCACGACTTGTACTGGGAAGACATATGCTGCCCAGATGTGGAAGCAGGTGGATGATGGCCGGCCCCGCCATGGCTCCTATGGGAACTCCCACTGCTGGTCCTTTCTACCAGTTCGTACGAGAGGTCTCTACTACACGACCGAAAAAGGCACAGGCCACGAAGGAAGCTACGAAAGAGAAGAGCGTGCCGCTGTCCAAGGCAAAGGTTCCTGCAGCCACGAAGACGAGGAAAGCGTCTGTCAAGGCGACTGAGCAGGACGTGGAGGCGACAAAGACGGTCAAGAAGGTGCGCGCAGCGAAGGCAAAACCAACCACCAGCACTGTCACGGAAGTGAAGACACCAGTAAAGGGGAAGAAGACGGTGGCGGCCAAGGGCACTGCAGGGGGTGCAGCCAAAGCCACTATGGCCGCTGCCGCTCCAGAGCCGACAGTCAAGAAGAACGCAGAACCAGTGGCTTCAACGCCTCCACCACAGCAACGAGACAATGCGTCCAGCTCGATACGCTTCACTGCGCCACAGCAGAGCTCATCGTCGAGTGCATCAACAGCTGCAGCAGCACCTGCCTCTAATCCGACATCCTCGCCGACTCCGACACCCAGCCCAGTTCCTCCTCGCTCGCCAGGCAACTTGAAGCCCAAAGTGGACACCAACAGCCCTGAATACAAGCAAGCTGCGCGGAAATGGACGGCCACAATGATAGCGTTGCCTATCTTGTTGGTCACGTCCTACTTCCTCTTTGAAAGATGTGAGTGTCACTTTCGCCCTGGCGCACGCTACGCTTTGAGTTATGTAGACCAATTGCTGACTCGGCCTTTTCTCCAGTGGCCCTGGGCAAGCACTCCAGCCTCGAAGAGATTCGAGAACAAATTCGAGCCAAGACTTCGCGCGAAACGAAGACGAACGACGCATCATAAGTGGACGAAGTTACGAAATATCAGACTGAACTTTTGCAATCTACACTCAAACCACAATGACCTACCGTGCTTTTACTGGGACAGCGAGGTGTTTGCGGCTTTCGTACTGCCTTGGAGGCTGGAATAACCCAATAAACATACCCAATGAGCGTGTAGACCCCAGCGGCCCGTGGAATGTATCACTCGGTGACGCAATCTACCCGATCGTCACCCCCCGGGGAGAGGGCTCAGCCAGCAAACATACCTGCATGGCCCAAAAAGTAGACGATAGCGACCACACATCGGGGCTCGCCTTGACTCAAGCTGACATGTTTGCCCAGTCAAGCCGACTCTATCATCACAACAGCCACCATTCAAATGGGCACGCAGCGTCGACCACTTGGCCATTGGTGGCCCGCACATACTCATCTAGGTTCGTTTCTTGTTGGTATAACCTCATAGTATCCTCAACGACATATCCACTGAATTTGATGACTCATTTTGTCTTTAGGAATGCACCCCTCATGACAAAACTCCGTCCTGCGTTCGCGCCGGCTTATTACCACACATTGCCCGTAGTGTAAGGTCGGCACCGACTCGGCCAAAACTTCAGCCCCCTGTACCATAGTACACTTGAGGTCCATAAAAGGAAGGCAAGCAGGGGGTTGGCGCCGGATAATCGGCACGCTGTCGGCGAACGTCATTTTGCAGACCGCAACAAGAGAAAGAAAGACCAACGGAGTTTTACAACTGGATAGTGATTGGTCAAAGTTTTCCTCTGCAGGGCGAATATTTAATGCTGGCCTGCTTGTGGCCTTCTTCCCCCGCCTCTGCTGGCGCGATCGGTCCTCCTCTTTTCTGCAAAAGGTTGCCTTCTCGTCTTGTTCGACATACGAACTAATAACCATGGAGAAGACGGATACAGAACAGGGGCAGGCCGCCGAAACGCAGAGTGTCCGGGGACAGGAATCTGGCGAGAGATCGAGCGAAGAGGTCCCGACCAACGCTGATGACCTCGCTGCTGAAGTAATGGAAGATAGAGGGATGCCCGACGACGAAAGCGACGACAACAACGGAATGGCGGTTGCTGGGAGCCCGGGTCACAAAGTCCCTTCAGAAAAGGCTGGAGAGTTGGGCCGGCCGGCGACGAACGAGGAGGCTGTCTACTCTGTCATCCCGAAGGCGCAAAAGGTCCAGATCATTATGCTGGTGGCCTTCTCAGGCGTACTTTCGCCCCTCACCGGCTCTATCTACTTACCTGCCCTCAACCAAATTGCTGAGGACCTAAAAGTCAAGACATCACTTGTCAATCTCAGTATCACCACGTACCAGATTGTGCAGGGAATCGCACCGTCGTTCATCGGCACGCTTTCCGACGTCAAGGGCCGCCGCCCTGCGTATGTGGTCACCTTCTCCATATATCTCGTTGCCAACCTCGCCCTCGCCCTACAGAATAGCTATCCTGCACTCATGGTACTGCGCTGCTTGCAGTCTGCAGGCAGCTCGGCCACCATAGCCCTGGGCGCAGCAACAGTGTCAGATCTGGTCACGAGAGCGGAGAGGGGTTCATGGCTCGGATACACTACCCTAGGGATCTCGCTTGGCCCTGCGCTCGGCCCGGTCATTGGCGGGCTGCTAAACGAATATTTGGACTGGCACTCGATCTTTTGGTTCCTACTCATCTTCAGTGCCATCGTCACAATCCTAATGATTGTTATCCTCCCGGAGACAGGTCGGGCTGTCGTAGGCAACAATACTATACAGCCGCCGAAGTGGAACCTTAGCGTGTTGCAGTGGTGGCGGCTCAGGCACGGCAAGCCACTCAATGGTGGCCAGGTCTACGCAGAGGACAGGTCTACGATCATGAAGCCGAGGAAAAGACCGAGTCCGCTGTCGTCACTGCTGATCCTCACCGAGCGAGAGGGTGGCATCACTCTGGGATTCGGCGCCGTCTTCTTTGCCGGTTACTTTATGGTGCTGACGACATTGTCTGAGCAACTGACTGCCCGCTTCGGGTTCTCATCGGCCATCACCGGTCTCTGTTATCTCCCCCTCGGCACAGGATCCCTGCTGTCTCGATTCCTGGCAGGTCGACTATTTGATTACAATTTTCGACGGCACGCACGGCGCCTCGGCCTCTCACTCGATCTGTCACGCCAGCAAAAGATCGAAATCTTCCCAATCGAAAAGATCAGGCTCGAGGTTTGCATACCGTTAGTCTACATCTCCTGTGGCACCGTGATGGCCTATGCCTGGACCATGGAGTCGAAATCCAGCCTCGCCGGGATCGAGGTGTCTCTTTTCTTTCTAGGTCTGTTCTTCAGCGGGGCGCAGCAGGGCTTCAACACCTTGGTCGTGGATACGCACGCAGATATCCCAGCTACGGCCACGGCGGCCAACAACCTATTCCGGTGCCTGTTGAGTGCAGGGGCTGTGGCCGTGGCTCCTTTTATGATTGAGAAGATAGGCATCGGTTTCACTGGTGTCTTTATCAGCGGTGTCTGGTTCTGCTTCAGCCCACTGCTCTGGCTGGTCCTGCTCAGGGGGAAGAAGTGGAGAGAGGAGAAAAGGGCGAGGCAGGAGAAGAAGGACGCAGAAAGAGAAAAGGCAGCAAAACAAACAGTATAAATTTTTTTTTATATGATAGACTAGACCGTGACAACAGCACTGTTGCTGTGGTTAGCATCCATACTTCAAGAGAGGATTTCATTTTTTCATATCAGATTAGGCCTAGATGTCCTGTTCTACCAAATCGACAATTGGAGATAGAATCACTACCTCTCGCTAAAAAGAATGGACTCATTGCTGTTGGCAGTGACGTTGATGAGAAGGAAAAGTCTTCCTAGTCAGGCTAGCCTCAGCATAATTTCTTTGTATGCACTATAAACTCTGGTGTGTTGCACTTGTACACGATCCCTAAAGGAGCAGACTGACTGCTAATCAAAGTAAAGTTATGGCAGAACTGGTGTAGTAAGTCTAAGTCTTGCTCTAAAACAATGTCCTTTGTCAGGCTACCATGCCAATAGTGCCAACATTGAATTTCACATGCACTGACGCCTTGCTTGGAAAGTTCACAGTAGCTGGAGCTTACTTCTTCTTAAGCAGAGGAACCCCCGCCTTTAAACCTCCAACCGGTCAAGTTCCTTTTCTTCCAATACAAACTTCGAGAGGTGTGCATAATCTCGTGCCTTTGTCTTTTGCTGACAACACAGCCCTGTTAATCCTTTCACCGACGCTTCCAGAAAGTTAATAGAAGATGGCTCGAAGTATGCCGACCATTCCTTCACTACATAGATATGCCTTGAGCTAACCTCCAGATAGGTACTTTTTCCGAGTCAACCATCAGCAGCGGTCTCATAACGCCCGGCTCAAGTGAAGACGAAAAGCTAATAAACCATGCCACCCCAACCGCTGGCCTAGAAGCCCACGGCTACGAAGCTGCCATCCCTCAGCCCGGCAAGACCTACAAGATCCATCACCACGACACGAACGAGCTGATCACGCTCGACGAAGGACAAGTCAAGCTCGCGCTGGAGGAGAGTGCAGAGCAAGTGGGAGGGTGGCTCTGGGTCTGCGAGGAGAACATGGAGGGGTGGCTTGGGTTCCGGAACCGCGTGTCGGGGGACTACCTAGGCTGCGACCAGAAGGACCACTGGTTTCAGCGGACTGTAATCGTTGCTCATGATCGGGTGCATCAGTCTCTGTGTGTGCGGCCGGACGCGCGTGGGGGGAACCTGATTCTTGTGAAGTATCATGAAGGGGATGAATTGCGGAAGTTATCAAGGAGCCCGGATGGAAAGGGCCTGGTTGGGAGTCGTATCATTAGGGATCAGTGGGAGTTTGAAGAGGTGTAGGTCAGTGGTATGTTCTTGCTATGTTCGATTATATTTAGAATCAATACTATCGGCTCCTTGCCATAGAAGTTTTTGAAGAAGTAATTACCCAGGGGCATGTGACACACTCGTTTATATCGCTACAGGCAAGAAACTCATACCGAAACTGCGCGACTCATGATTGTATGAGCTTGTTGTTCGGCTCTGTAGATGATCATCAAGACTTCTTGTTCAGAAAGTGATTACTGCTCTTCACATGTGCAATCAGTTCAGCGCCAAGCCTCTAGAAATGAACAGATCAGCTGACACACTCATCCTTCTAGTCCGTCAACTAACACAAAGACAGCAGGTCATTTTGTTCTCTTAGTCCAATTGTATTTGTACGGATTTTGATTAATTAACCCTTTTCTTGAGAGGCTGGACAGAGTATCGACATGGGGTTTTATATACAACACATGCGACCATCCTCAACTAGGCCGTGGGGGCCCGGACCTTCATCACAGGCACGCCTCGGGTTCCCTTCCAAGCTTGCAGGCCCCTGTTCTTCTTCATCCCGGCCGTCCTCTTCACCTTGATGTCCTCGAGGGCATCAGCGTCCCGCTTCTCGAGATCGCCCGTCTCTCCATCAGGCAGGACACCCTCGCCGTCAGTGATGCTTCCAGGGCCAAAGTCGGGCTCGCCGCCGAGGGAGCCAAAGACGTCGCCAATGTAGTTGGAGGGCTCGACGCCGTTCTTGAAGGTGCAGTTCCAGTCGTCCAGGATGCCCTTGACGATCTCGACACCGGCGTTGTAGATGTTCTCGATGGCGATCTCGAAACCATTCTGGTCCATGATGAGCAGGTGGTCGTAGGCCGAGACGCCTGGGGGCGGGCGGTCAAAGTCGGAACCGGTGCGCATGAGGATGATGCGGGTAAAGTCGACCAGGCCCTCGATGGCCATGCGCACCATGACCTCGAGGGTGGCGTTGTCCTCCTGGGCGGTCATGCAGTAGTTGCCGGAGCCGTTGGTCCACAGCGTGGTGGTGTTGTCGAAGGCGCCCGAGAGCAGGTTGCCAGAGTAGTACACATCGCTGGTGGCGGTGTCGCAGAGCACCACGCTGGGAGGCGAGGCGCCGGCGGTGTAGTTCTCGGTGCTGGCGGCGTAGCGCTCACGGTAGGCCGCGGCGATGGTATTGTCGGTCAGGTTGGCCTCGGAGGCGTACTCGTAGGCAATCTGCCGCAGGTCCTCGTTCAGCTCAAACACCTCGGAGCCGTACCACTCTCCTGGGAAGGTGTTGGGCAGGTACGTGTCGAAGCCAAAGTAGCCGGTGGTGAAGTTCTCGGGCATCTCTCGGGCGTCAAACTCGTACTGGAGGGCGACCTGCACGGCGTACCGCGACAGGGCCACGCCGCCGAGGGTGCTCCACTGCGGGCTCACACCTGCGATACCCGCGATCATGAAGTACGTCGACGTCAGATCGAACTTGCCGGACAGCACAACCGAGGTGACGGTGGTGGCGGCGTTGATCTCGGACTCGCCGGTCGTGACCTGGCAGATCTCATAGTCGGCTGTGCAGTGGACATGAGGGAACAGCATAGACAGGCCCGGGGCTGAGATGTTGACGGCCAGGAGATCACCCAGGCCGCTGCTGGGCAGGTTCTCATACCAGATGTCTGCCTCAGGGCTGAACTATAATGATAATCAATGAGATATTAGCGCCAGATTCTCCCCTCGCGGACTAGTATTGTTGTTTGCCGGCAGCAGGCTCCAAAGAATCAAACTTACCATGCTGATGATGAAGACCTTGGGAGCAATCTTCTGGTTGCGAACCTTTACAGGGCTTTTGGGGCTCTGCACAGTGGCAGCGCTGGCCATCTGGCCAACGGCCAGCAGCGCTGAAGCCGCTATAGACAGGAAACGCATGCTGATTACCGGGTATAACGCTGGCTGGAAACGAGAAGGGAAAGACGACTCCGACCCGCTGAACACTCAAGGTCTCAACAGCTGGGGACGAAACAAGCTGCTGCTGGCTGAGGAACAACAAAGGTTAGAAGAAAAGAAGTCATATTTCCCCCCCGGGACAAAGACCTAGTCCATAATATATATAGATATACATATATGTACACAAGAGAGGACGGCCTGTTGAGAAAAATTACTTGCGTAGGATTCGTGGGGCTAGTGGTGGGTGGCGGGCTGACTTGGACATGGGGAGAAGGTTGACAAGGCCAAATGATAGACGATAGGGGACGCGTCGTATTGGCGGAGACCGCCGTGATGGAATCCACTTGGACTGCAGGAATATGCAAGATATCGGGTCCACCCTCTAGGGGCGGGATAGATGCTGTCAGCAGTGAAGAAAAAAAAAAGCAGGGCCAAGAACAAAACTAGAGCTCGGAGGAAGCTGGAGAAGTGGAAAACTACTCAAGGCGGACACAACACCCCCAGCCTCTGCCTTGATAGCGTGCAAACAGCTGGGCCGCTTGCAGGGGAACGATCAAAGTTAATGACGAAGACTGGGACGGAGACGGTAAACCGAGGTCCTCAAGTTCAAAGATAACGTCAAAGTCGGCAGCGTTGCCCCTTATTTGCGCTAGCCATAAGGCTCGTCTAGAATTCGGGATGAACAGGAGAGCAGGGCTGCCAGAAGATAAGGAAAGGGAAGTAGGAAAAGAGAAAAGATAAAAACAAAAAAAGGCCATACCATAACTGGTGAGAACAAAATATTGGTCAACGCAGTTGACCAGATTCAAAGAGATGACGTTGGGTGGGAACAGGCTGCATGCCTGGATCCACCGCCTGTTGACTCGAGATCCTACAGTAACTATATGGATGGACTCGACAGAGTTTCATTGTGTCACCTCATCTTATACCTATTGTGTTTATTGACTCAGTTGGATACTCACAGTCCAAGACTCACTGTCTTCTTTTCTCTTCTGTTTCCCCTCCCTCCCAAATCCCGAGGCGCAGGTTTACGCTGATGTCAGCCACCAACAACTTGGCAACAAGAACTATGATGACGCCTGCCACACACTTACCTGCAGTGTTCCTTTGTTGGGAAGGTCCCTGTTGTCGATCCGCACTATAACCGGCACGGCAATTAATTAAGGGAACAAGCAAGGGATGTTGATAAGAAAATTACTCACCGAGATTTCGGCATCAACAACAACAACAAGTCTTCCATCCCATTGAGAGCTGACCGGTAGGGGAAAGAAAGTTGTCCTGCCAACTTTGTCACCACCCAATAGCCCTACACCCCTTTGAAGCTGTTCTAGGAGGTTATGCAGGTGCGCGGCGATGTTGCTTTTCGAACTTCTCGAAACATTCGAATTCCACCTGCAGGGCTGCAGATCTCCCTCAAAGAAATGAACTGGGCATCCAGGACCCTTTTGCATTTACTGTACTACTGTGGCAGTCCCCACACACACACAAGCATATGGTATGTAAGGTACAAGTTTGTATGCGCCCGTTTCCCCACCTGCGTGCGAACCGCTCGTCACGCATGAGCTCGCAAGTCGGAACCTTGATCGACTTGTGAAAGACGAGAGGTGTGTCGTGTGTCTTGTGTGTCTCAAAGATTTTACGTAGGTCATGAGTTGTTTTCCTTCTTTTTCTTTTCTTTTCTTTTTCCTAAGATAATCAGCCGACAAGAAGGATTGAGATCGCCTACAGCATAATGTGTGAGGATCCTCGCACGACATTGTCGCCGTGTCAGCACGCCAAAATCTCGGATCAAGAACTGATAGGCCCGAGGCGAGGATTGACAGCTTCACGCTTTTGCGACAGTCTCGGGAACAGACCCGCCATGTTTTGAATCTATTGACAGCCTGCAAGCCACATGCTACACGCCATTCTGTTCGTGGTATTGTATCTCGAGAACAGAGTCTTTTCGTGAGCCTGAGATTTCGAAAAATATGACGCATAGTTGTACGTCACTATCTCTGGGGTGTCTTATCATCATGTTTTGCAGGGAGGCTCGCCGGGTCGTCCATCGATCAACGATTGTGCCTCGTGTATCTGCCTTCGTCTACCAACAACGATCGAATTTGAACGCAAACTTGCCACTGACAATAGCGTCTATCTAGATAATCTAATTCAGAACTATCCAGGCGAAGTTGGACGAGATAACCACTCTCACTAATTATATGGCTGGTCCTGCTCCTATTTTCACTCGGTACGACCTGAACGGGCCCTTCCTGGCGTCCACATTGTTGTACTGTCTCGCAGGGGCCAGACTCAATTGGTTGGTGCAGAAATACAAATACCCATCCAAAATGGCCGCGCTGTCCGCATGCTGAATGAGGCCGCTTCGTACCAGCGTCTTGACATAATAGTTCTTCGCCGCTACAGGTCCCGAGCCTCCAGGGGCAACACCATTCACCTCCTCGGTGACCCTCGCCTGGTCCGTCTGCACATAGAAGATGGCATTCTGCTCGCTCGCCAGCATAAACACCCGGCCCTGGTCGTCGGCCGTGAACCCAGCCTGTTCCGAGCCGAGCTCGCCCGGGTCCTGCACAGCCGCCAGCACCTCGGCGTCGGTGGCGTTGAAGTCCTGCAGGATGGCCTGGGCAACGTAGTAGAAGCGCCGGGACGCCAGGTTGCCCCAGTAAACATTGCCGCTCTGGAGCGCGATCCCGTCCGAAGCCGTGTTGCAGAAGCTCTTGGTCGTCCCGTTCCAGCAGTAGATCGACTGCCCGTCGTAGACGCCTACGAAGGTCGGGTCCGCCATCACCACATGTGTGCCGTTGAGCCGCTTCACGACGCCGCCCGTTGCGAGGTCCATGGCCACCACACCGCCTCCGGGAGACTCATCGGTCAAGAAAGCAAAGCCGCCAGTGCCGGCTGTGTTGTTGATGCGTACATCGTTTAGGTTCGTCTTGTTGAACAGGATGCCGTCCGGGAACACATATGTCCTGATCAGCGCTCGCGTGGTCACGTTGAACGACATGATCTTGGCGCCACCGCCCGATATAGCCTGGCCGCTGGACCCGTATACGATACCGCTGTCGACGATCCACATCTGGCCCAGCGAGTCCAGCACGACGTTTTGGACGTTGATGAAGCAAGTGGAAGGGTCCTGCCCGTCTGCACACCGCTGGATCTCGGCGGAGGGCCAGGGCTCCTCGTCTTCAAAGCTGGTGCAGATGACCACGTTGTTGGTGGAGTTTTCGGCATTGCGAGGGTATGTCAGGTACACGTTCAGGTCATGATCCACCGCCAGGCCGGTTGGTGCGTCGGTGCTCTGGTGGACAGCCTCCAGCGGGTCGCCGATGATGGTGAAGTCTTGCGGGCAGACGCCGTTCGTGGAGTTGGAACTTGACAGGGCTGGGTTGGGACAGGTGGTGGGGAAGACGGCGCCTGCTGTAGTAGCAAGACTGACGAGGGCGACGAGCGTAGGCCACATCTTGATATTGGGAATCCGCGGCACGATGATGCTTGTTCTGCGCCTCAGGTCGTCCTTCTTGTGACTTCTCTTGTCGGAATGATGAAAAGTTCACAAAAGTGCTACCAGCACACTGTCATAGGTGACCTGAAGGTTGTAGGATCATCTATCTAGATCAATTAAAATAAAAACAGAGTCATCAGCATCATTATTCCGCTGTGCAAAAGTAACTTCAACACCCATAGTCGAATTAACCCCCCCGCACCTTAGTATGATGTCAAGCATTTCAACGTCGTACCGGCAGTTCACTCAAGACGATAAATACTCCGGACAAGTTCCTGATGAAGTTGATATTCCCGTGAACCTTGGAAATACCGGAAGCACCCCCGCAGTTCCATTTGTAACCTGGACTCACAAACGTCCAATTGCAACGCAGGTTGGCAGATTGACTTTTGAGATCACCGTATATACCCAGACCGCCCTTAACAAAGTCTATTGAAGTTGATTAATCAAAACAAGCTGCGAACTGGTGGCGTCCCAAAGACCACGCTCATTGTTTGCGGCTGATTGACCTCATGTGGTCCAATCCATCCAGATGAGGATATTCGCATTCCACCTATCAGCATGAAGACTCTTGAGTGAGAAATGACTGGATTACTCCGACTGCATAAACATCATTTTTGAGATCAAAGAAGATTTTGCCTTCTTGGACGAGTCCTCCCTCCATAAGTAAGTACTTACTTGCTTTTGAAAAAGTAACGAAAAGTGGATATAAATTACGCCCAAAATCCTCCTAACCCTGGTTCATTATCCCGGCACTGCCACGAGCGCTCACCTCGGCGCGAACACTTCACATGAGCGCATTTGGTTTGATGAGTGCTTGAGATAAATAAGGAAAAACTGCATTTTATGGGCTGTAAATTCTCCGATGGAATTAAGACTCGTGAGGGTTCTCAAAGGTTGATTTGCGACCTATTGCCCAAGAAGAAAGTCAAGTACTGCCGCTCGGACCGCGCTTTATTCGCGTCCGTGCCCCTGCCTATTTCATCCCGACGCGCAGGTAGCAACCACGCGCAGCTCATGTCTTCTCAGTCCACTTCAACGGCCAGCTTCGGATACTCCCATTGAAAGGCAGTGGTCAGTACACCCTGCTATATCGTTTCATACAAACATTCATGCTGATTCAGTTCGCAGCGTCCACAATGTATCGTGACTGTTAGCTGTGTTGAGTCCCCGATGGCGGTGAACGAACTGCATCCTCTGCAACAAACTCTGACCAGGACTGCGACATATGAGTCCGACGAAGGTCTTTGCTAGAGGTCGTCTAAGATTCTGAGCCTCACATGGTGCGGAGCACAAACGCGTACTTCTGCTCACCGCTGTCGTCTGTCTCATCACGCGGAATCTCGGCACCACCACAAACTCTTTCAGGCCACGAACATCTCCTGCATCTTGATGAATCGAGTATATCTCCTTCAAATCGCTGGCTTTCCGCAAACGGGCTTTTATGTCCTTCATAGCGCGTAGGAAGGACTAGAGATAGCTCTCGGAGCAAGCTGAACCAGTCAACGGCAGGCCGAAAGCCGTACAGAGGAACATTTCCCAGCGATCCTCCAGCACACAGCCGCATCACGCCCAGGACTGTTCGCTTCGCAATCGAGCCGGTGCCCAGAATGCCACAAGCTGCCGTGCCCTTCTCAGCTCTCGGTGTTCCACCTGCTGCGGTGGTGCCCTCCATGTCGGACGATGTTCCTGCGGACAGTGCCAACGTTGACCCTGCGGTGTCTTCCATGGATCTTGAGAGCCATCGACCTGCCTTGATGAGACGCGGCAGGCCCGAAGACAATCTTTCTGGGCTAGATATCCAGCAACTCTCTGGGAAAAGAGCTTTGAGCGGCGGCGATATCTCGAGAAAGAGGCAGAAAATCACACTGGGTGAAGACCATGTCAGCCCAAAGGATGCAGCAGCGCCCATTTCCAGACCTCTGGACGGCAGCAACAGAGATCACTCGGCTTCATCTGCATCACTCGAGGTACTTGGACATGCTCTCTATCCTCTCTCCCTTTTGTTTTGCAGGCGGGAACTGCAGATACTATGATGTGTTCATTCACTGACTCCAGTCATTTGCACACAGCCTCTTCGGAAGCACACCGGTATTGCAACCCAGCTCAACCCGCTCTACGAGCATCTACAAGGACTAAAGACCATGATTGAAAGTGATGACCGGACAACAACAGATCCGGGGTCAGCTGCAGGACGCAGCAACAGTCTGAACAACTTGACGACAACTTCAAAGTCCAAGAATAACGAGCCATACCATCGTAAAGCCGGTGAAGGGGAGAATATTCGGGATCAAATCGAGAAAGTGAGTTTTCCCAACCTGTTAAAAGGAAACGGAAAAGGAAAAGAGAAAAATAGAGCAAAAGTAAAGAAAGAAAAGAAGAAGAAAATCCACGCTTGTTCATCTACTAATGTCAACGCTGCGATCGATGCAGGTCTTCAATCACTACAAAGACCAGGATCAAAGTATAATGAACCCCGATCTAGCCACTTCGTCAAAGCCAGATGAAATGTCCCAGAACAACGGCAAGTCGCGTGATTCCCGAGGTCACACCATGAGGCAGATGAATGCCGCGAGCCATTGGGGAAATGACCAGGACGATACATCGGTCCAGCGACGACTCGTGCGGGCACGAAACTCATACCCAAACATCTACTCCAGGAATCTAGACGGAAACCCATATCGAGTGGAAGGTAAGGTGATGCTCTGATCACAGTTGCCCGAGACTCCATCTTGTGCCTGTTGTTTAACCCTCCTTGTTCTTGATGTGCTGACCAGTATATGAGATGTGTTGGGCGGACTCATGCTCCCTGGACACTACGAAATGACGAAGGCTGTAGGCACTGGCATGCCTTGGGTCTGTCCCATTCGATCCTGCCCAAGTCATTTCAAGAGAAAGACCACTCTGGGCAAGCATTGGAAGGTTTGTCACAATCATCCCAGCGGCGCAGCGTATCATTGCCCTGACATATAGCAGAAGAAACACCGGAAATGCCTCCTGAACGACAACAACGATGGGACCTTTTCTATCAAAGGACAGTACCGCCCGAAAACCCCCAGAAAGGAAAATGCCCTCGTTATTAGTCAGGAACCATCGGATCCGTTCGATGCCCCAGTAGCTCCTCCTCTTGAATTGTCTCGCAGCTTGCAGCCCAACACGGCTAATTCACAGTGTAATGTTGATGTTCCGAGAGAAGCTGAGTTTGGTAAGGAGCCTGCTGCTGAAGCCCCACCAAATGCATCCGTAACTGCAGATGCCGAATCTGTTACCTACTTCAGACCGGGACTTGTCATGATCTCAGATGATCTTGAGATGGCCACGAACTTTCGGGCATACAATACATGGCCAGGTGCGACCCAATCACCACTCAAGAAGCATTTGACTTCCTTCGTAAGCCGTCGTCTCGGCTAACCATTTGATCTGGCAGATCACGCAGGAAATCCGGTCAAGACTGCTGGAGCGCTTCTGCCTGCCAACTACAGACTCTGTGGGTATCCTGATTTCGAATGGATCTGTCCAGTTCGATCCTGCAGATGCGCAACGAAGTCTATCGAGGCCCTTTCCAACCATTTCGAGGCAAGTCATTTTTTGGTGCTTCATTATTCCTGGCATTTCTTCTGTACGTGCCTGTGAATATTAATGTCAACCAGCGTCAACATTCGTTTGCTCTATTTAACGACAATAGGGATGGCACATTCACTGAGATCGGGCACCACACTGGAGGTCGCGCACCCATTATCAAGTCCAAGAATCCAATCGACCCAATCATTCCAATGAAGGAGCCAAATGTCGATCCTGGAGACATCAGGCTCCAACATGACTTTGCCGCAAGTCGAGCGTTATGGTGCACAGATCAACTCAAGCGGTTACTCGCGAACAAGCCTCTAGAGAAAGTGAGAACGGTCGACGAAGTCATGGCCGAAGGAGGTAACGCGGAAGACCTGAAAATCATGGAAAACGCGCCACAATCTATCCAACGATCGCTGCTTTCCACCCCGACTCCTGAGCCGTCCCTGCCCGACTCCGAGGTTTCTTCCAATGCCTCTTCGGAGGACATGGATGATTCGGAGAAGGTGTATGACAAAGAAGCGGTCAATGGAGCAGAAGCAACGCACGAGAGAGGAGCTCCCAACCCTGCAAAGCAGGAGAGCAAGACTTCGGATATGACGACTACAGCAGTGAAAGAGAACTGGGCGACTATTGAGGCTCTCTTCACCGGAAAGAAATTCCCGCCACCCCAGTCAGACCCGATGCGAACACTCCTATCTCTTCCCCGCGTCCGAGAGCTTGAATTCCCCACAAGTCAGATGTTCTCCGTGGCCTGGCCCAAGGACGTGTCTCTCCTTATCGTACAGCTTGTTGGTGAGGAATCGCCGGAACCATGCAACAGATGTGCCAAGGGTTCAGGTATTTTCAAAGGCTGCGTCATGGTGAGCGATAATGTAGCCCAAGCTACCCAACAGGGCAGTTGTACTTGCGTCAATTGTGCATGGAAGAGCTGTAACCTTGGCGTGTGTGACCTCCGGCTGAAGCTGCGCGAGCGCGAGCGCGAGCGCGAGCAAGCGGCAGACGAGCAGACTTCCTCGCCGCTTTCAGACTCGCAACCTTCTATACGGACTCAAGACAAGGATGGTCACTCCGACGTCGTGGAGAACGGCTCAGAAGATCGCCTTCGTTCGTTGCGTGCTCGTCGGTCTGAGCGGCTTCTGACCGAAAAACAGACGAAGAATGATGAGAAGTCGAGGCCACAGCCTACATCTCATGATGACGTCCCGCCTGCGACAGCTCCAACTCAGCCACGCGCAGTCGCCCCGGAGGAGCACAGTGTGGAAGTGCAGGAGACTGGAGTGGGAGCTTCAGCAGCTGCGTCCAACATGGCTAACGGGTCCAGGTCCGTACAGGTTGATGAGCGCTTTACCTTTGGGACTCATATCATATCACCGGGCGCATCTCTTCAGTTAGATGTGGATTCTGCAAGCCTTCGCACCTGCACTCTGGCCGTAGGAAAGGTGACTGTCAAGGTGCACGGGGAGCCGGCCTTCCGAACGGGAATTCAGGGCATGTTCAAGATCATGCCTGGAAGAAGTGGGGAGGTTGTCAACACCTCTGGAATGGATGCCATACTGCATGTGTATACTATGAGGCTGGGTCGATAAGCATAAGGTGTGACATTACCACTTCACATAGGAAATAATATTGCCATGTTCAAGTCTATTTAGAAAGACAGCATTGAGATCTTGAACACGTAACTGGTCCAGATTGGTCTCAGCACAGCATTGTTTCCACATGCCAGACAGACTTAATAGGTCTGTGTGACCATGGTTCAAAGCCCTTGTGACTTTCCCATGTGGCTCTTTGTCACAAGCATGAAGTGTCGTGGGCAGGCTCTCCATGCCTGATCCACCAATGGCTGGCATCAATCAGCTGCTGCGGACGGCCGCTGCAGGGAGCTCACTTCATCACCCCTGTTCTTTATGAGAAAGTCACCCCAACAAAGCAACACAAACCGGTATGGTGCAGTGGTGAGTGTTCATGGTGTCTTCTCTCGACACAATCCATTACCTCTGAGCTAACATAATCAAAACCAGGTTTAGCATATTGGATTTTCAGGGCTGCGAAAACTTCCAAAGACCGGAGTTCGAACCTCCGTGCCGGTGAACTTTTTTGTTTCTTTCTTTTTGCACCTTTCTGTTCTGACTGCTGAAGCTTGCGAACTGAGTTTGTGACTATGTACTTTTTGAACTTCCCTGGAATCTAATAGAGCATACTTCTGAACGCCCAGCTGGCCTGATTAGTCTAAAACCTCCCTCAGTTTTTAGATAATCAGGGCTGCATATGTCCCTCTCATATGCAATATTTTGAACCAGGGGGACCATACTCTTCAGGTGTTGACAGCGTCAATTCTGGTCTTCTGTGCATATTCCCTCTTGATACTCATGTGGAGGGGCATGAGTGTTGTTGAAAGTTGGTATTGAGAAAGAAAAGAATACCTTGTCTTCCTAATTTGCAAATGGGGACTATGATGAGAAGTCCTGCGCACGTCTCTACGCACTGATGCAATATTTAGAAGGGTGCTTACTTATGTGAGGGCAAAAGGCTTGGATTGAAGTGTGCTGAAGAGAAAAGAGAAAAGAAGAGAAACGCCACGAGGCCAGCTATCTGAGGCTATCAACAGGTCTGGCTGTTGGCTGGCTGGAGGGGCCGTGCACGGCCCTGGGCCAGTGACTCACTGGCCCTCGCACATTACTCGATTGTCGGAACAAGCAGTCGTCAAAGAGAAACAGGACACAAATGAGTTGGGTTCAAGCCAGGCCGGACTCTGTTGGTCATTGACTGGCCTCCGAGGTGCTGGGCGAAGATCTTGATCATACAGAATCAACCAACCTCGAAACTGTATAAAGAGCTCTCGAGCCACAACTCAAGGATGATTTGATTTATTTGGATCCGATAGGGGCTGACAATCCTAGACCTTCTAGCTCTATCAACATTTTAGCCCGCCCTGCGACGACGTGACAGATAACTCGGGGTACCACGGCTTAGTAATGATGGACTGGGAACGTATAATATGTGAGGGCAAAAAAGCTCATATTGCTGTGCGCTAAAGAGAAAGAGAAAGGAAGAGGCAAGCCACGAGAGCAAGTAACTGAGGCCATCAACAGGCCTGGCTGCTGGCTGGCTGGACTCACTGGCTCGCGCACATATAATCCTCATTTTTGGTAAGGTACTTTAGCCATGGGCTTTCGCCTAACGTTGGGTTCTGACCCCTTCACCCATGATTGCCTGTGGCTGATTTCGTGACCTGCATGTTGAACGACCCAATAGTTGGCCCTTCAGACCCAGCAACTCCGGGCATAACATTCATTGGTGTCAAATCTACGGCGACTACACCTGTCCTTCCCCTCTTTCTGGTTTTTTGGGGGGGGGGGGGTCGGAGGCTCTCACTGGCCTGTTTTCGTGATTTCGTGGCCTGCATATCTATGGGTTACACTGTATCACTGCAGCCTATGAGAATACAGACTGCTGCTGCTGATGAGTCTCTATCAATGGAGGCGGCCTCCCAGGACTGCAGCGGCCCAGGTGAGGCGTAGCCCCCGTAGCGGTTCAGGCAATGACTGCTCAGAAGATCATAACAACGGATTCGCGCACCACAATTTATGCGAGCATAGTAAACTCTGCCTAGCACCGACACGACCTCTACGACCACTACATTCCTAAGGACAAGTTTCCGAAACTACTCCTTCTATACAACATCGCTCGATCAATCCTCCACCTCATCCAGCAACGAACTCGTACGATGTTTGGCGAACGCAGCGCGTCACCGGCGGGCGCCGGAGCATATACTGAGGCTATCGACGAAGGCAACAAGACCTTCAGCCTGTTTAAGGAAGTTGATGCATATTTTGGAAACCCTATTCTGAGCCTGTTCGCCTCTAAAGCAAGGGCTAGAAGACTGAAGACGGAGCTTGACCAATGGTACGACTTCCTCTACGACAGGAACCGCAGAGTTTACTACACGCCCATCCTCTCCGCGACGAACTTTAAGAAGCACATTCGAACATGCAAGGGGGTTTTCAAACCCGCCGGGGAATGTCTCGCTACAGCACCATGGGTCCAGTTCGTACACGGCCTGGGAATCACGCCCGAAAACAACGTTATAACCAAGAGGTCGTTGGCTGGTAAGGGGGACCCTAAGATCGTGCTAGAGGTCGACGGGGAAGTAATATGCCACGTTGTGAATATGCTAGGGGGGGACGACGCCGTGGCTGGCAAGCCAGGTCTGTCAGGGGCAGGAAAGTCATACACCACAGCCATCGGGGGGATCACGTACACGCCAAGTTGTGGTGACACTAGAGCTGCAACTCTTCGGTACCAACCCTCCAGCACAAGCGAAATCGCCCAACCGCACTTCTTCTTTTCCTCGTCTCAGCGGTCCGGTAAGGCCTGGGATCCGGACAACTTGTTGACGCGGTATGAATTGGCTCTGGAAGTCGGCACATCTGACGGATCCATGATGTGGCTGATACCCTCCACCCATATTTCTAGAAGGCTGGACATATTTATCGAGTCCCTCAAAAAGCTGAGAAATCCTTCGCACATACCCTTGCGCGACAGACCAGTCTTCATGACACCTAGTTGGCTTCACGATGCAGAACGCGTTCGCCGCCGAGCAAGCGGCGGTGACCAGGCAGATCAGCTCCTTCAAGATTGCGAATCGCGGGCAGGTCATGCCCTTGAGGAATCGGCACGTATACTCCAATTCCTTCACGACTGGATCAAACCCCGCCAACAGCTTTACTTTTTGGTACCTGGCGGGATCTCACCCGAGGCTGTGTGGGAACGTGAAAAGGCTCATGAAATACTGAATAAAACCGTTAAGTCCTACGAATGGGAAGTGCCAGGTACATGGAAGCATGACCTCTTTCTCTCAGGAGATAAGGTGGACTCGGTTTTGACAAGTGGCCCCAGTGTCTGCATTATTCCAGGTGCTGTGTATGTGTTACCTTTCGATTCCTCCAGCGAGTTGTGGCAGACGAGGCCACTTCAGCTGGAGGGGGAATAACAACATGTTTGGGAGCTTTGGGCAAGGTGTGAAAGTGGGTAGCAGATTCCGGGCCAGATGGATCAAAGATTCGGTGTGGCCATAGCCTGCTTCAATTCAAATATTCTTCCTTATTGTCTCTAGTGGCTTCGCGATTTGTACACCACAAAGAAGATGGAGTTCAAGAGGCGGCCATATCGTGTAAGTCCGGACTAACCCCGACGCTTGAGATGTATTGATATCGGCATACGACGATCTTCCATGGCTTTATGTTTCACGCTGCTCGCTTTCTTTTGTGATTCCGAACAGTGTCAACGTCAGCCATTTTATATGGCAACATAAAGCTAAACTCCGTTTCGATACCAATATATAATCGTAGTCGACCACCACCCAATCTTCTTTATAGCCCTGCAGATAATCACTGCCAGACCCATCAGAATAACCACCTTTTTTTACTACTACGACTACTTACCAAGCTACTTACGGACTTTTAAGTTTCAGTTCACCAAGTTCTACAACATGTTTAACCCTGAGATAAACTTCCACCCTACCTTCACCACGCCCTCCCGCCCCCTCACCTGGCTCATAACAGGCTGCTCCTCAGGCCTCGGCCTCGCCCTCGCCCGCCAGGTCCAAGCATCCGGCCACACCGTCATAGCCACCTCGCGCAACCCTTCCCGCACGCCCGAGCTCGTGGAGGAGATCACCAAGGGCGCCTCGGCAGGCAGCCCAGGCAGGTGGATCACCCTCGACGTCGACGACCCGCACGCGGGCAAGGTCATCGCGGACCTCGAGGCCGAGGGCGTGGCGATCGATGTGCTGTGCAACAACGCCGGGTATTCCATCCACCACACGGTGGAGCAGTTCACAGAGGATGAAATCCGTGCGCAGTTCGAGACGGTGTTTTTTGGGCCGTACAGGCTTATGCGAGCCGTCTTGCCGGGTATGAGGAGGCGGCGCTTTGGGGTGGTGGTGAATATGAGTACTGGCGCCAGTCTCGAAGGGCGAGATAGCATGGGCATATATGCTGCTTCTAAAGCCGCGATGGATGGTCAGTCCCTCCTTTTGTCTTGTTTGCATTTCCTCAAAAACGGAAAATGCAGAGTATGCTTCTGAATGTGGGGCTGACAGCCACCCTTCGCCCCCGGGGCTAAAACAACAATAGGCCTCACTAAAGTCCTGGCCAAGGAAGTTGCGGCATTCAACATACGTACACACACAATTCTGCTGGGTGCATTTCGCACAGATATGGGGAACAGGGCGCGTGTGGGCAGTGCAACATTGGCAGAGGATTACAAGGGTAGCCTGGTGGACCAGACTCTCCAGTTCATGACCACCGGGAAGTTCGTCGGTGACGGGGATCCCAAGAAGGCAGCCCGGGCGATCTATCAGCTGGTTGCGGGCGAAGGCTTGGGTGCCGGTAAGGAAGCTGAGCTGCTTATGCCTCTCGGCCGAGACATGGAGGCAAGAGTTCAGTTGTGTCGGAATCGTCTGGACCATTGCTGGGAGGTATTTGGTGATATTGCGATGAATGTGCGTGCTGATTCGTGAGAAGGGCCGGCGAAAGCCTCACCCCAGGCCTTTTTCCTTTTGGATCTCTTGGTATGCACAATGTCGCAACTGGTACTATCGTGTGCCTACTTGCTATTGAATACTAAGACAACGTGGCCCCCCAAAATAATGGTCTCAGGAACAACCCAGGCATTACAGTCACCCATAGACTATAAATACCCAGTCAGTGAGCCCCTCTGATAATTACCTCCAATACGGTTCCAAGCCTTTCCTAAGCCCACCCAAGTTTCTGCAAGCGCCCCTTAGGGTAGGAAGATGTAATCTAAGCACACTAGTGAGTGAAATAGCACATATATTACCAAATTGCAGTAAATGCTGGTATTCGAACTGTCGCCTGACTCTCGAAAAATCCATCATGGCCTTGTGGAAATCTCCAGGCAATCAATACGGTCTTCTCCCGAATCAATGAATGTTGCCTTGTGGTCGTTATCATAGGTCGTCTCTGGAACCCTCTCGACTTGATCGTGCCAATACCCCAGGTAACAAGTCTGTCGTGTATACCTGTCCAAGGGCTCACTGAAGGAGCTCTGGGACCTGAGAACGTCGCTGACGAGTACTGGATAGGATAAATCGTAGGTCATTTTCCAGTTGATGGAATCGAAGCTCAGGTGGCAGCTGGGGGAAAAAAGTGGAACGGTTATTGCGTATTGTGCAGATGGATGGACTCGCATGGCACTTGAACAGGTGCTACAAGAGCTGACGCGGTGGGGGGATGCATCATTTCAGTGATTGCTGCAGGTGGCAGTGAGCACTGTTCCATTGTCAGCTTGGCGCGTAAGTAATTTCCAGATGGGGGGAGACAAAAGAGAGGATATCAATATCTCAGACCTTCGGCGAACAAATGAGTGCTATCGAAAAAGTAAGAAAAAAGTTGCTGCTCGAGATACTCGTTCTCGGTATGAAGTGTGAGATCATGGGTCATGTCTAAATTATGAAAGTACCTGAGCACTTGTCCTTTCAAGCCCAGAAGCTGCGCAAATGGCTGCTTCCTCTATCATGTTGTCGCTGCCATGCTGGCTAGCAAGGGAAGAAGGAACTCTTAGGAATTATGCTACTTGAGCCTTCCGTTCGAGTTGAATAAGTACAAGATGGGCAAGCGCGGTGTAGACCAACACTAATAATTAGGCAATCGAGCCTGTATTTCGCAAGAAGCTTCCTTGGCAGCGAGTGCAAACCAGAATTGCAAGTCCATTCAGGCTGGTCAAAATTACTTCTTTGCGCTCTCCTCTTGCGTCTCTCAACCCTCCACCGGCGACCGACAAGTAAACGCATTCACCTGTGGGGTCTCAAACGCCGCAATCAGAGACTTAATCGCAGAATAGCAGCCCAGACCACTGACGACCAAAGAACACAGTGTGTAGAGCGTAAGCAAGATACAGAGCCACCAGTACCGGCCCATATACCCCCTGACAATCCTCTTGAGACCGTGATCCTGGCGTTGCACCTCGCCCGTGTGCGGGTCGAACGGTGTCTCTCCTCGCATCGCCTCCCTCTGCACAAAGAACCCCAGTCCAATAAGGGCAGGGAATGTGTAGGTGAACTGCACGAAAAAGAGAGCGGCGGTGAGACCGATCAAGCCATAGAAATCCGGGATGGCGGCAGAGATGATGAAGGCGACGGACCAGAAGACGGGCACCACGGCTGCCCAGCACCATTTGCCTCGCTTGGTGGTCAGAGGGGGGAAATCGAAGAACTCGATCAGGACGTTGTTGTAGATAACCTTGATGCCGATGTTGCCGTAGAGAGTGGCGGCGATAATGCCTGTGATGACTGCCAGGACATTGCAGACGGTCTGCCAGGCGTAGGGGGACAGGCCTTGGTAGGAGAGCTGTGGGAAAGCGACAATTAGTCAAGTCTCCTGAATGTACTTTTACCTCATTTGCCACACACACACACACAGAGAGAGAGAGAGAGAGAGAGAAAGGTGTACAACGAACCTGGTTCGCATATTGTCCTTGGAAGTAGTACTGATATGACCCGTAGATCATATAGACCGAGTAAATGAAGAACTGCGCTCCCCACATCACCTTGAGAAAGTCGCGAGGCCGCTGCAACTCAGCCATGAACTCGATAAACAGCTGCGCGCCAGCATACGCATAGACACCCTGCATAAGACCCACAACGGAGCCGATAAACCCATTGTCGGACGGCGGCACGGACGCGTAAGTCACGACAGGAGGATACGAGCCGTCGGGGAGCTGCGTCACAGAAGCTGACAACGTCGCAGCACCCGAGGAGCCAGCTTGTGCTGCGGCATAGTTGGGCGGGCTGTGGGCAAAGACGCCCATCGAGATGAACATGATCAAGAGGTTGATGAAGACGGCCCAGTTGGCCAGCCACGTGAAGCGGGACAGCGTCCGGATCTGCCCCATCACGTAGCCGACGATGGCCCAGATCAGACAACAGATACAATAGCAGAGGCGGAACTTGGAGATCTGGGAGATGGACTGTCTGCAGAGAAGGTCGTCAGTATAGGTTGTCGGTAATTCTATGTCCGCCGACGATGCGTGCAAGCCATGAAGGAAAGAAAAGAAGGAGGAGAAGGAAAGGAAATTGCACACACATACCCATTGCTGATGATGATATTTCCTACAGACAGCAGAAGCAGGAGGGCCTGGGACCCGTTGACCAACCAGCGAAAGTATTTCCCATAGGTGCGGTAAGCCAGGTCGCCATAGTTCTTGGCGGGGAATTCATAAGAATCAAGGTTGAACTTGATGTCCTCTTCCCCGTCATCCCAGAAGGTGTTGGCATCAAGAGCATCATTGCTGAAGTGGCCATTCACGTCGCCCTCCGGGCTGATAGAGTGCAGATCACCGCTGTGGTTCGTGCCATTCAGCGGCTCTCCCTTGTAGTCGGTGTGGTTCGGGACTCTCAAGCCGGTTCCCGAGGTTCGTGAGTAGGTGAAGTCCGACAATTCGTTCTTGGCCATAGCCTCGAGAAGCTCCGTCTGCATCCTCTTCTCGTCCTCGGTGATATCGAAGGGCGCCTGGCCGCCGAGTTCCTGGAGCGCGTTGACCAGCTCCTCCTGCTGTTGTATCTTGGTCTGCAGCATCCACATGAGGTCGCGAGTCCAGCTCACGGCACCGTTCAGGATATCACCCTTGTTGGGCCCCTTGTCCTTATCCTCCAACGGAAGACCAGTGGTGATGTTTCCGGTATTGCCGCTGGTGGCTCGCCTCGCACCTGGTCCTGCTAGTCCGGACGTTGCCGACCCGGGGTTCGAGTTGCCTGTCAGGGTGGGAGACATGGGGGTGCCGTTCGAGATCATCTTGCGGATCTTCTCGTCCTCCAGCCTATGGGTGGGGACCAGCTTGCTGAGGTCCTGGATCCTCTCATTGATGTTGTCCCGTCTCCGCCTCTCGACAAGGTTGTGCGACTCCCGTCTGCGCTTCTTCTTGGCTTCCTGCTGCGACGACAGAGCACCACCCTGGCCGCCAAGCTTGGTGGGCATAGACGTGCCCTTCATCAAGAAGCCATTGATCTGAGCGCTGTGCAGCTCTGTCTGGAGGGGTGAAGAAAGGCCGGACCCTGGGAACGAGGTCATGCTGTTTGGTGTATGGGCCCAGTGTCCGGATGGTGCCTTGGTATGGTGAGCTCCGCCCGCTCGTATCGGCTGGGCGCCGAATCCGTCCTGAGATCCCATCGACAGGCCCAGAGCGCCCATCTTAGGGGTGAGTGGGCTTCTCGCGGTGGAGGCCTTGCGCTGCATGGCCTGTGCCTGGAGTCTCTGTCGGGCCTGCATGAAGTTGGAGTCGTTTGGGTCCTTTGGCATGCCCTCGGCGATGGGCGAGCCGCCGTATGACATGGGCGTGTGGAATTGTGGCGCGTGGATTGATTGGTACTGTGGCACATTGGACACGAAAGGGCTCTGGATGGGATCCCCGTCGGGCGTGTTGGAGAAGCCGGGCATGTGTTGCTGCTGGTCGATGCTCGGGCGCGAGTTGTACACGCCGCTGTTCTGGTTGTAGTTCATGTTCATCTCGTTCATCCCACCAAAGTCATGGCCTTGCATGCCCGAGGGGGCTTCGGTTGGGCTTCCGAGCCCCTCCAACAGCTCATCATCGCCAAAGACTGCCGAGCCGCTGGAGAAGGCATTGTTCTGATTGTTGGAGTTTCCACCAAAGTTGTTCTGAAAGCCTTGGTTGAAATTGAGATCATTTGGGTTTATGCTGCCGCTTGCGTGGCCGCCACCGAAGTGGCCAAAGGCCTGTTGGGCCATAGTGGGTTGCAAAATGCTTGTCGAGGTGGCGGGTTGTTGTGAGGTCGTATCAAATGTCGATCTTAGTTGCCCTGGCTGATCGATGACTCGAAGAGACGATGGACCGACTGGGGAAAGCACCACGCCGCTTTGTCTTCTCTCCTTGTCGCAAAGGTGTTTTTGGGGAGGTGGAAATTCTGCTGGAGACGACAATCAGCTCTGTGGGCACACAAACATAAGGAAATCAGATCGGTCGGATATGAGCTGTCTGTCTGATTTGAGGTTTGAGGCTTGGTTGCAGGAAGGCTGAAGAGGGGTCAAGGGAAGCCGAGGGGCGCAGACAGAGAGAGAGGAAAAGAGGGACAGCGCCGCACCAAGTTGCGGTCAGCGAAACCGGGGACTCTGGAAGCCGGAACTCCCGACCAGTTACATCCTCTGTGGTCCAGAGTGTAGCTATTTTGGGGGGCTGCAAGCTGATACGAGGGAAAGAGGCGACAGGAAGGGAAGACGGTGATTTCTTACTGTTCTGCAAGCGAAAGCCCGGGGGTGGGGAGGAGGGGGATAATAGATAATGTGACAGCTCAGCAGTATGCCATGAACCCTCTTGAGGCTGTACGTCGTATGGATTCTTAGTGGGGCTTGGCGGGCGACTGCACTCGGGACGATCGGGTCAATTTAGGCAGAGGAAATGCAAACCAGCAGTAAAAGGCGGCGACGTTGTTAGTACGACTTTGAGTTGTGATGGATGGCGTTGAAATGCAATTTCATGCCGGAGTTGAATGGGCGGCGGAGAGAGACGAAGACGAGAGAGGGTTGGGTGCCTGCGAATATAAGTCGTCGGAATTGACGGGTGTGGGTTGTTGCGTCTTGGAGTGTAAAAAGATGACTTGAGGGGGCTAGAACGTCGAGTCCAGGTCCGAGGGGAGGATGTCCTAAAGAGGCACGGAAAGGTTCTGAACTTTCCTGGACCTGGTTGGTTTTGGGGGGGGGGGGTCGAAGAGTTGCTGTGGCGGGCGGGAGCTTGGACAGACCGCTTTGCTGGGATGGGTCCTGTAACTGGCAAAGGGAGCCTGAGCCTTCTCAGCGCCAGTCCTAATATTGGACTGGAAAGCGCGGTAGGGGATAAATAAATCGAGATAGTACCGCCACCAGGTAAGGTGATAAGTCCGAACGAAGACTATAAAACAAAAACAGGTATGAAGCAACCACAAAAGGGAGAAAATAATCAGATAACTGAGAGAGGAGACAGAAAGAGAGAAAATGAAGAGGTAAAAGTGATCAATAAAATTATTGAAAGTTAACAATCAAGTTGGGTCGTGCGCTGAACAGGTTGGAAAAGTAGACGTGGGCTTGCGATTGGGCGTTGGGCGGCGACACGAGCTCCCTTTTCAGCTTTCAGTTCAGATCTGAACCTTGGCGTTTGGGTGGGTTTGGGTTGGGTTCGAGAGCGGATCCCCCTTCTTGTTTCTTCTCTTGTCTAGAATCTGGAGAAGAGGTGGTAAGAGGAGAAAATGCTGGGGTTGTTTCCTGGAGAGACAAGTTCTCGACAAGGGGGGTTCTGGAAGGGTGTAGGGGAGGTACTATAGCGCATGTATAGCACTATGGTACAGCGCTGTGGGCACTCTGGTCAGCGCTGCCGTCCACTGATTCACTTCCGGGGACGGTGGATCGACAATACCCGAGCAGGCCTAGCGCCGGAGAAATTCCCGAGGGCTACGGCGGGGAGGGGGGCAGGCTTGGAGATGGCAAGAACGGGTCCGATTCTTGTCTCTTTCTCGCTGCAGGTTCGAGGATGAATGTGTGCTTGTGGGTGGGTGGGTGGACCACGAATCTGAAATGGTCCAAATTGAAATTCTCAAAAGAGTGAAAGTGGCGGCGGGTTGAGGCTGGTTGCTGATGTGTAGTCCACAGCGCCGAAACTGGTGTTTTGGTTGCCCAGGTGGAGGACGAAACCAGTTTACTGCTGATGGTGTCAGCTTTCTGGTCGACTGGATTAAAACGCTGTTCGTACGAGATATGAGTACGAGGTGTGAATGTGGAATCGGCTGCTCGCAGCGCTGCTGCAAATGCAGGGCTAATATTGCCCGCCGGATCTATGATACCGTAGAATTCTGTGCTTCTGTGAAAGGAGCAACTCGAGGTGACACTGGAGTTGCGTTGCGGTTGTGTTGCTGACCTTTTATGGATTTTCCCCACTTCCTCTCTCAGTGCGACACAACGCCGAACTATACGCCGACCGGATTTGTCGTCTGGCGAGATAAGTTGGTTTTGCCTTTCTGAATGACCTCGTTTCGATATCTTGAGATCAATGATTGAGAGTCTGATGAGATATTCTTGTCAATATAGCCTCTTGCTCCAACGATCTCTTCTTTTTTTCTTTCTTCTTCTTCTATTCATTCTCCTCGTCCTCTGGACATGCAAAACCCCACTCGTTCTTCCGGGGGGTAAGGGCGGCGGCAGCGGCAGCAGCAGCAGCGTACCTCAATCGCGAGTGGTCAGATTTGGAGCCTCTCCCGGCTCAACGTCGGACAGGACCTTGACGGTATGCGATGCACAAGGCGAACAGGTCCACTTTGGTTATGGAGCTAAAGAGCTGCCGTGCACTCAAGTCCTGTAGGATTGGCGGGGGTGCCGATCTGTGATTCGCCTCTTTCTCGTCTTGTCAAATCAGATATATCCGCCTCGGACGGTAGGCCCTTCAACGTCCACCAGCGGGCTGGTCTTCCTTTGATCCAACTCTCTTTTTATCTGGGTCGTAGGTGGGGTGGGCGTTCATCCCAGACTGACGTCGTGCCGCAACAAGTGCTTCGAGTCTTTTGCGAAGATCGTTGAGGGGTAGCAGGTAGTGGGTGGTTGCAGGCAGGCAGTCTTGCCGGGGGTGGTTGCCCTGCGTGTGTGCCTCTCTTTCTCTGTTGATCCGTGATCTGAACACGGCATATCGTATCGTAAGCCAACACTGTCCCTACTCGTCCCCATCATCCAAGACGTCAAGGGACTGCGTGAGCCTCTTACCTAATGCCTGATTATGCAATCTACTTTCGCCTTGAGGAGAGAAAGAAGGGCTGCAGGTCGGGGAAAGACGCAGGGGAACTCTTCTGTGGTCTGTGGTCGATACTTATTTATATAATCTGTGTCTAAGTTAAGGTCCTCCCATGCTGTAAGTGTATTGGGTCAAGATGCGAAGCCGAAAGACGATGTGGCAAGAGGGAGAGGAGACAGGATGAAGTTTGGATGTATCTGCAGGCCATACCCACTTATATACTCTACACTATCTCAACACCCTTCCCTGCAGGAGAGGTCATGTATGTATATCTGTCTGGAGGGTACTTGAGTCTCCTGACTTCTCTATACGTATGGAATGGTGTGAAACATAGAGAGAGGGTAGACTACGACACCGCCTCAGTTGCTTTTCTCACACTGTAGCAGCAGCAGCAGCAGCAGCGACAGGAGCAGCAGTCCTGGCTGAGGACGAGCTGTCCCGTGTAGGGTGGTGTACTGTAGGGATATGGTAAATGCACCGGGAAGTTTTCGTGGTAGTTTCCATCAAGGGAGAGATGGGGAGACGAAAGGACATGGACATTTCCGGATGGTACGGGGGAATAGGGTGGTGGGCATGCATCCAGCGTGACTCGTGTAGTCATCCCAACCTAAGACATCGAGGCACACCACAAGGTGGTACTTGGCTAAGCGATGGCTTCGACAGACCCCCTTCTCCAGCACGTTCGACGTCATGCCGTCTCTCTGTATAGTGATTTTTGCCAGCGGCAAGGCCGGCCATAACATGGATATTGATCATCTCGCGCACCCTCTCAACTCTCGCTCTGCCGCGCTGCTGCATGAAGGAGGCCTGTTGTGGTGGCCCAGGTCTAAGATCGCCCAGATCTTCAAAAGCAAAAAGTTGAGACAAGCATACGAGGTTGGCGGACGCGATGGATGCCGTGCCCGGTGCCTCGTCCTACCCGACCGGTGAACGCCATCAGTGGATTCTAGAGCGACTGCAAGCCAGCCAGCCAACCAGCCAACCAGCCAACCAGCCAACCAGGCAGCCAGCCAGCCAGTTCAGACGAACTGACAAGGCCACGAATGGACTGCCTTGCCGGATCATGCATGTACAGACCTGATCACCAACTCAAATCAACGGGACCGAAATTCCAAAAGCCTACCCTCCTTGTGCCCCAGCGTCAGAAGGCTACCTGTACTTTTGTGATATATCACCGGCCGGCAGTACAGTCTAGGCCGCTTCCTCCCCCCTCCCCCCTCCCTTTCGTCCCTCCACGATCCTACACTGTGCGTGACGAGTGGGCTACCTTGCCCGAGGAGCTGTCCCCTTTCGTGGCTCAGGTGGCTCTGTGCTTGATCAAGGTTTGGTGGGGCGCACGACCTCCCGCGGCGGCATAAAAGCCAGCCATGGGATTTTAAACTTGGCGGTTGCAAATGCCATCTTGACCAGGGAGGCGAAGACAAGATCCGCATCGTATCAGCAACTAGCAGCGGTCATGATACCCAGGACCACACGGCACGCAGTCTGGAAAGGACAAAAACCGGATCTGGAGCGAAAAGGTTGGACGCCTCTCAGAGAGAGGTGTGGTAGGACATCCTTGCGGTCGATTGCTGCGAGCTGCAAGATGGAGGGCAAGACAAGATGGCCCATTTTCATCTCCAAGTCAAAAGAAGAGCAGGAGCCAGTCGGAGGATCTGGAGACGGGCAAGTGCCGTCTGCAATGTGGCACGGGGCACATCACGGCCCTCCCACTTGCAGGTCAGATCCGCGCTGCAGACCCACTAATTTCAGCAGGGGTTACATCCGCGCGCGCTGGCCCAAGGACTCCAACGTCGTCTCTTCGTCGGTCGTCCTCGGTTCTTGCCTCTCTCTACCTACCCTCTACTTCTACTATACAGTAACAGCCAAAGCTCTAGGATCGCTCTCCTGAACGCAACATCCACACACCCATACCCACAAGCTGCACTACCCTCCTCGGGCACTGGAACCTGTCACGCCCGCATTTCTAGCACCCTTTCTAACGTTATCTTGTATCACTTCTTTTTACCCTTCCTGCGTGCCCACCTTCCCCCCCCCCCCTCCTTCAGCCGTCACCATACGCGTGGCTGTCCAGGCTGCTAGAAATACACTTCGTGTTGGGCCACATCGCCTGTCCCATCAGCAGCCTGCGTTCGAGCTCTGGAAAGAGAGAGAAGGGGAGAGAAGGGGGCCTTCCCAAGCGAGAGGGTCTAGATTTACGCCAGCCACAAGCCTCTTGCGTGTCTGACTCTTGATACTTTGCGCAGACGAGAGCACCAGATACGTACATACATACATACATACGTCGTCGTCGTCATCGTCACACCCAAGGCCAGCCCGGTTGACACTTTTCGATACTGTGTGGTGCGCCTCGCCGTACTCGCCACACTAGGTTTCGATACTACCTCCTCCTCCAACACACAACCTGGTCACCTTGAGGGTCACAGCCTTGTTCTGTTCGACCTGCCAGCAGACCCTTAGCAGCGCTCTGGCCCCCTCATACAACCCTCCTTCTGAAAAGATACCGACCAATAGCCTTCTTTACTTTGGACACCATCCCCCTCCTCACCCCCCTCCTTCTTTCGAATCCATATATCACAAGCCAAGTTTATCGACAAACCCTCGTTCGGGGGCAGGGTCATTCGGCCACCCTTTTGCGACGCTATAACCTTCCACCGCGGAGCTCTTGGTCCTAAGGTTTACAAGAAGTTGGGAAAAGGGTTTCAGGAAGACCTACCAAAGGCAACACGCCCGGAACGCCCGAAATACAGAAACAAGAAGATCACGCGGCCAAGATGGCTTCAGCATCATTTCGCGAGCAGATGAATTCCCTGGGTTGGTCGCGGCGCGGCGAGGATGAACCTATCAACACCTCCCAGCAGACCGGCCTTCTGTCATCCATCAAGTCGTTGAACCCGTTCGGTGACCGTGGCTACGTGCGCTTGCCCACGACTGAGGGCGCCGGTGCCCCACTGCCAGCTTCCTCGAGGAGGGAGGAGGAGGAAGGGTGGTTCGCGCGTGAGTTGCCCAACAAGTTCGGTACCCATAACTATACACTCCACTCGAGAGATAGAGACAGAGAGAGAGAGAGAGAGAGAGACTCGTTTCCCCTTTTGCAGGACCCATATGGCCATACGAGCCTTGGGACGGCACTTGATGAGAAAGAGGGTGTCTTGCCACACCAGTGACTCAAATCCTGGAAACTTGGCCATTACCTGATCTGCACCATCTACATCTATCTGAAATTCCTGGCGAAAGAGCAAGAGGCTGACTTGTTACCCTTTTGGTTTGGGCCGTCACAGTGAGCAGATGGGACCGGATGCTAGTCTTTGGTGCTTGCAACCTGGGCGCGCTTGTCTGCTTCGTTATCTGCTTCGCCCTCTTCCCGGTCTTGTCACTCAGGCCTAGGAAGTTTGTTATCTTGTAAGTTGTCACATTTTCCAGAATACTGTACCATGTGGCCATGAAATAAGCCCGGGATAGCGCCCCCTCCCGCAGCTTATAGGCTACTTTGGGACGGGAGACCCCGTGGCACATCCCACGCACGCACGGGGTCCACCCCATCCGCCCGTCCTCTCTGGAGAGGGAAACAAGCTTGTCTTCCTGCACTCACCCGTCGTGCATACGCTGTCGATCTCGCATGACTTGCCGAAGGGGTCCCTCCCTCGCCTGGTGACTGGTGAAGGTGACCTGCAAGGCACAAGCGTCCTACTCGCTCCTTTCCTCTCCTCCTTCTTTTCATCCGGATCTCTCGGGGAGCTTGCACTGCGGTGAGGGTTGCCGTCGAACTTGGCTGACCTGTTGACAGATGGACCCTTGGATCGGCGCTGTTCCTAGCGTCCTTTGCGGCTATGATGGGTCCCATGGCCTACGTTCAACACCTACTGTCTGGACCTAGACTACCCTTCACGGCCGCGTATTTTGGGTCTATCGCCCTCACTTTCTACTTTTCCATGGGGGTGAGTTATCACTGCCCCGTTCAGCAGATGTGCAGGACAAGCACACCACACGCCACACACGCGCTCCCTACCGTGATGCGTCTTCACCGGTTGCATTAGGCTGACACGGGCGTCCTGCCTGCCTCTCTAGTTACACAGCACTATCCTCACATTGTTCTCGGCGATCATCCAGATCGCCTGCCTTTTATGGTACCTAGTCAGCTACTTCCCGATGGGATCCAGCGGCCTACGCCTCGCTACTACATTCGGAGCTCGGCGAGCTGCGGCCTGGATGACTGGGTGAGCTGCGAGATATTGTCATCCATGCTTGCCAACAACACCAAGATTCCTTCTGGTGTAGTGGAGCACCAGGAGAGAGACACGGGGCGGCACCGACACAGTCGGGAAGTTTTCTTCAGAGGTAAAATAAAGAAGAAGAGAAGAAAATTAGGAAGTATTATTTTGTTCTCGAAATGCAACGCATTATCAGACGAAGATTGCCAATCGAGATCGTTGGTCACGAGCGCAGGGCGTATGGAGCACTTTGGTTTCAGCGAGGGACGGGAAATGTGGAAAAATCATGGTGGGGCTGACGCCAAATGGCTTGCGGCCTGAGTCGAATGAGTAGTAGAAACAATATATACACCTCGTATCAATTTGTTAGTATTAACATATTTTTTAACAGCCGGTCTACTTACACCTATATATTCAGCTGCAGCTGTTAAACTTACAAATCCTAACTCCTCATTAGTATTAATATTTTTAACTAAAACAGCTATCCCTCTAAGTGATGTAGCAGCTGCGGATATTTTAGAAGAGAAAGTATAGGAAACACAGTGTGTAAATTCACAAGAAACTATCCGTATCCAGTAGCACGAGGGCAAAAATGAAAAGGTTGAAGAAAAAAAGGGTGACAAAAACGAGTGAGAAGATTGTGCACACAGACTAGACTTATGCACAGCTTTGACCCTGCACGGAGGGGAGGCGTGATAAGATCATGCATGGATGCTATCAGTCAAATGCAACAGCAGTCGTCTCGCATGCGTCGTAAAAGCTCGCACACCCTGGCCGCGCAGCATAGCGCCTAATCCTTTCCCGCTTGTCGTCCCGCCTCCCGCTGGAGGGGTAACACGACAGGGACGATGAAAGAGATGGGGGGGGGGGGAGGCGGTAAAACGCAACGGCAAGCGATCCCCCCCCCGCCCCCTCCCCTCTTCTTTCCTTGCCTCCCAGACGCCGATCGAGTGGCTGAGAAAGGCGCACTTTAGGCGGACGGGGCGCGAGGCGCGGCTGTTCGCAAATTAAATACGTGTTTTTCCCCCGCCGTCTACCAGGGTGGCAATGGTGGGCTAAAAGTCTGGGCGTATGCAATGCAGTGCGTACATAGTACATGCATGACTGGTTGGTTGGTCCATACGGGGTACATAGGTGTATTTTGTCTTTTTATTTTTATTTTTTTGCGTCGACTGTATTGTGTTGTTACACTGCGATGCCATCATCTTGCATCGTGAGGAGTAGGGGTTACGGTAGTAGTACCCTGCGTTTCTCGCCGTCGCCGCCGCTGCTACTGCTGCTACCGCCACGCCCCTGCACGCTGGGCCTTTGTCTCTGTTTGTTGACTCATCTTTCTGCCAGTCTGTTCTGCCGTCTTCGTGTGTTGAGCTGCTACGTTGCAGTGTTCCCGTTTCTGACGTATATCGAGGACTGTGCCGCCCTGTTTTCTCATTCCTGGAGGAGGAGATCCAGGGTAGGGTAAAGAATGGTCGACATGTGAGAGGAGGACATGGTAGTGACGAGTGATTTCATGACCGGGGGCCGGATTTCGTCCTCTCATCGCCCATCATTCCTTCTGTGTGGAGAAGCTCGTGCTGGACCGGACGACATTGAATGTAGTTGTGTGGTCTACGGATATGTGTGCTTGTCCCTATTAGACTCCCCTCCTCCCCTGTCTGTGTCTCTTGCACCGTCGTGATCAGGTTCCTGGACAGGGCAGAAGCACCTCCCTTTGACTGTGAGCCTGGGCAGGCTGAAGATCCTGGATACTCTGGACTGCGGCCTCCTGCCCTTGGAAATATTGTATCCACTGTGCATCCATCAGAGACAGTCAGACTTGCAGTGACTCATAGTATTTGTCACTTGCAAGCCAACGTTGAGGCAAAGCCGCCAATGTAGGCGGCAACCTCTGAGTACGAGGCTCGTCATGGTCATCTTCCTTCCCTTGACGGTTCGAGGCCGCGATTGAATCTGTCATAAGCCCGGGCGGGCTATGGAGCCTCCCAATTGGAACGGCGATGTCATGCTTCGAGAACAAGCCCGGCACAACTGATATCGGGGACGTTGTTGTGGCCAGACCCGACGCCATTCTTGGCCACCCGCGCTTGGACAGCATTGCTTTTTTTTTTTTTTTTTTTTTTTTTTTTTTTTTTTTTTTTTTTTTTTTTTTTTTTTGGAATGGACCATGATGAATGGGGTCCATTTCCAATCGTCACCTACCGTGCTATCCTATCTTTTCTTCTGTTCCCTTCGTGGCTGATTATAGTCGCAGTGGAGATGGACTGATGAAGAGCACATATCCCAGAAATGGCCTACCGCCCACCTGGAACGCCCCGTCTCTGACAGGAGATTGAACGGAAGGGAAGAAAGAAAGAGAGAGAGAGAGAGAAATTGAAAATTGAGGCGAGGTGCAGGTAGATCGGACAAGCCATGTCCAAGCATAGCATCGCCAATATCGCCGCCAAAGTAGCTTCATTCAGGTGGATAGTCGACAACTTTGTCCTCTTACCAGGGCAACCTGTGCCATTAGGTTCTGAAAGCGTCCGGCTTGTTTCATTTTTGGACGATGCTGTTAACGAGATACACTCCTTCTGCAGGGGACTCCACATGAACGATGATCTTATTTTGTGAGCGCGATGATCTGGGGGGACTTGCCAGACTGTTTCCTCTTCGCCGTTCTTTCCATTTTCTTTTGCTCTTTACCCGTCGCCCCCCCCCCTTCTTTTCCCCGGCGAACGAGTATTGGTCCTTCTTTCCTTTTGAAGGGAAACAGGGAGGAAAGGGTTTGAGGGTTTTCCTACTCACTGACCTGTTCTGTCTTCTTGTATTGTCCTGGTGATTTGTAAAACCCCGCAGTTTGCAAAGGATTTCGAGCGGAATTGTGGCAGACCTTGTCTCCTACCATTTCATGGACACATAGATTTGTCAGAAACAAGATGTCCACAACGGCCAGAAGCAGATGATTTGACCAGTTTCAAAACTTTGGACATCATGGCCACCAGGAATTTGGGCGAGGAACGAGGACTCCGTCTCCGCCACTGTTACTGCTTCCAGAGCGAATTGCCACGGAACGACGTCTGATCAACGCTGGTCACGACTTCGCATCCAGCTGCCTGCGTCTCTGAAGTACGCCCCTACCCCTTCTTCACCTAATATCAATTTTTAGCCAGCTCTTCTTTCCATTTACACATCGCAAGGCTTGCTCCAGTTCTATGCAGCTCGACAGGCAACCCTGCAGGTGCGTGGAGGACAGCAGGCGGACGGACCTTGAAGAATATCTGAATGTGACTCGCTGAGAGCAACGAACCGGTCGATGGCTTCTCATGCCTTGAGACACAGATATGTGCCAGGCACCAAGCGCCGGCCTCGACTGTCGCTTCTCTGCCTGGCTTTCATCAGTCCGAGGGAGCTGGACGACATGAGGTGCTCCAGTCTCACAGTGTCATTCCCGCTGCCTGGTAGATACCAAACGGCAGCCTCGATTCCAGAGATGTCAGGGCCGGCAGTCTGGCTATCGACGCTGCTGTGTCGCCGCAGCATGAAACACTCGTGGCGCTTGCCCTTTTCATGATGTGGGAGACTCCGTATCCTCACCCTACGAGTAGCATGCCAGATGCGACGACGGCAGTTAAGGTCAGCAGAGCAATCATCAGTCGAGTGCCATTTCACAAGTTTTCAGCCACGTACTCTGGCTAAGGTGAGCTTCACATATTGGTCACGAGCGACACGCAAATATATCACCCACCTCTTGAAAGAATCCAATCGACGGCGAGCCCATGCGCCGAATCCCAGGGCAATCGGCCGCGGGTATGCACGCGGGGTCGGCCACACCTAGGCGATGCAGAGCCGACTGTTGCTTTTGCTCTTTTGTGTAACTCGTGGAGGTCGCCGCCCGCCGGATATCAGCCCTGGCTGCTGTGACATATCGGCAGAAGTACCCGCTCGTTCATTGGCCTGCTGTCCGCTGCGGTACCGAGGCACCAGGCACTATGCGCATCTACTAGCACATTGCGTTCCTGCTGTTCGGTAAGGGCCGCAGGGCAAGAGGTGGGAAGCTGTGTGGTTCCTGACGATCAACCAGTCGGGGTTCCGTTTCACGTTGCGAAGAGCTGTACAACGTGCTCAGGGTGTACCGAAACGCAGCATCCACCCGCCCCGGACGACAGCCTCACAATGGTGACTGGGACGATCTGGGTTGCCAAGCTGCTTGCTAGAGTACAGTTCTGTACCCAGCTGTATCAGCGCCGCCACTTCCCCTTCTCTCCTTCGTGTTCGCAGCAATGGCCGGCAAGGACATGTACCAATCCGACACGCCAGCGGTAAGACGCACACTGTCAGGGTAGTACATTCGCAGCAAAAGGAGCAGTCCTGACCGGTAGCTGTAGCCTGCCCGTTGTCAGTGAGGTCTCAGTGACGGAACGCCATCTTCACAACGGTTGCAGGTCTAGTGCACCGTTTGAGATCGCCAGGACTTGGTCCTTGAAAGGCATGGTCGGTGTGTGGACGGGCGCAGTATAGTTTTGATTGTCTGTGCGTTACTTGGTCTTTAGCAGAAATGAATTTTGCAGCCTCGTCAGCTTGTGTCCAGCCGCACAGGTATCGTGGCTGTATGACGAGGCGGTCATTTTTTTTTTTTCTTCTTTTTTCGTCTGCATCTTCATCAGGCGGCAGTCTGTTTTGACACCTGTATTGCACAGCCAGCCCCGAGGTGATATGATGAGAATTACGTTCACGTCTAGAAGGGGTCCAAGGATCTGATCTAGCCGAACCTCCCGAGAGTCGCTTTCTTCGGCCTGACAGATGGACCCGGTCTGGTTAGCCTAGAGCAAAACTGTTTCTCAACGGCGCGATTTAGGTCCTGGCTTATGTGCTACTTACTGTATGTATAGGACGGCACTGCTGTGCGTTGCGCCTGTAATGGGGTAACTTCCCTAAACGAATCTCTGCATGCGAACGTGCAGACAGCTCAAATCCTGAGGGATGCCAGCCTTCCTGGGCCACTGCTACCCGAGGCGCCCCCCGCCCCCCTTCATTTTCCATATCGGCAGAGCAGCGCTGAGATTGAAGTAACCTCAACTCTCTGGCAGTCGTTCCATCTTTCTTCTTCTGGGTAAGTTTGAGTGGACAGACGGAATAGCCACTCCGAGCAGCCACTCGTGCTTGGCCCCCCCAAAACCGAGGCGTTTAGATCCGTCCGTCCATCTCCGAGTGGGGGTGTACTCTGGTATATCTAAACGATGCACCTGGTCTGGCCATTTTTTATTATTCATTTACGCAGTATGCGCTTGGGCCACCTCACGGATACTGGTACTATGTAAGTAAGTACTCAACAGCCTGTTCTCCTTGACTGCAGCACATAGTTGCAGCTTTGGGCTCGAAAT